CTCAGTTTCGAGTTGGTCTTTACTCCTCCACTTAAGCTAGAGATCCCTGACGGGATAGGCGAGAGCGGACCCAGGAGTTCCTGAGATCCATCACACTCAGGGTGATTTAAAAGGTCTGCCTAGGGAGACAATCAGGGACCGTTTATGGCTCAACGGCAGGTACGGTCTTGCACGGATACCACGTCTCTAGCTTGTCGAATTCCCGTGTCATACCAAAAGTGTCCAGCTGATCTTTCGTATCTTTCGTCTTCGTGAACAGTTGGCAGACGTGGTCATTTTAGACCGCGAACCGCGAACCGAGAAGAGGGTTAGACGGCAATTTAAAAGGTTTTTCAGAGTCAATCACTAGCATTCAAAGACTAAGTGTGTTTTACAACGTGCTTTACTGATACTTTCATAAACAATCTCATGATTCCAGGACGTCCGCTAACAATAAGATGACGAAATCAATCATAGACAGGCCATTACGGTCACCGCTACTCCAGGATGTGGACGACTTCCGTTGCCTAGATGACAGAATCCAACACTATGAGGCACTTGCAATAGCGGCCCTGAGGCGTGCCAGGGAAAAAAAGACGCTCCGGAACTCAAAGGCTCTGATCCACCGCTTGCCTGAAGAACTGCTATCAGCGATTTTCTGTTTCGCGAGCGAGGCGCGTTACAGAATCCCAATGTTCGAGGTGATCAGCCACGTCTGCCGACGCTGGCGTCTTGTCGCGCTGGACAATGCCCAACTTTGGACAACAGTCTCCTTCAACGACAAGTGTCGAGCAGCTCAATTTCTGCGCCGGTCGAAGAGGAACCTGGTGCACATCTTCGTAGACATCGGTTACCGTGCGCGACGTCACGATGGTGCTCAAACCGCACATCCATCGAATCCGGACCTTCTCCGCGTACGTCCAGCCGATAAAGTTCATGCATACTCTCTTGTTCAGGCTCAAGACGGGCGCGCCGCACTTGGAGGAGCTTACGCTCCGCATGGACCCCATGGACCCTATGGATTTGTTGGCGCGTCTTGGCAGGCTAACGGCGCCGACGGTGACCCCCTTCACAGCGCGCCCTCTATTTAGCGGGGAGACGCCTGCTCTGCGCTCGGTCACCCTCTCGTGCGTGTCTCTTCCGTGGACGACACCTACATACCAAAATCTACTGCATCTAAAACTTCTCGATCAATGCGATCTGCTGTCGCAGGTTGACCGTCTGCTGGACGTCCTCGAGCGATGTCCTGCTCTATAAACGTTCATGATACATTACCAACCTGACGGCCAGATCACACGGCTGGTTCCCAACGTCACCAGGATCGACCGACTTGTGTCATTGCCTGATTTGCGGGAACTAGAATTGTCTTTCATACAGCCTTCATACATCTCCGCCATCCTCGCGCACCTGTCGCTTCCTGGAGACACAAAGATCACGCTCCGTGCTGTCATAGAAGACCCGTACAGGCACATATACCGCATGCTCCCCAAAGACTACACCGCCATCCACACGCTCTGCAACTTCCGCACTTTCGAAATATTCACCATGGCCGAAAGGAAGGTAGTTATGCGCGCATACGCGCAAAGCAGGGCACTCTCCCATGAAACGTCGTTCCTCCTGGAGTTGCACAACATCTGCCCCCCAGTTCGCGGTCGTATACGTCTCGGCGGCGCTCAACCTCAGTAACGTCGAGTCGTTCATGGTGTCGGACCCGACAGCCCAGCTGTCTTTGCCGTTGCCGCAGTGGCGGGGAGTCCTGCGCAGCATGGCTCGTGTGCGCATGCTGCGCTTCATAGACATGGCGACAAAGTGTCTTTCCTCTGCCTTGGAAGCGCTGAGGACACCATACGAGTCGCTGGCGGGGGTCAAGCGGAATCTCATCTGCCCCGAGCTCAAAAATCTCGAGTTTGTTGGCGGCACGTATAGCGACGCGTTCAGCAGCAATTTAGTTCTTTTGTCTCACAACCCTAATGTCGACGAGGGGCGAATTAATGGATTCGATTGAGATCTTGGGAATGGAAGAGTACCCGGAGGCGGCAGTTGAAGATTCCTCGCGTCTTGCGCGAGAGGCTTATGTGAACGACTGAGGAGTATCGTACCTTCCCCAAATTGAGTTCGGAGCTATTCGCATACAAAACCAAATGATTCTGCCTCTCTTTCGTCGTTGGCTCTATCTTTCAGTCTGTATGTATCCTGTATTCGTTACTGTTCTTGTACGTTACATTGGGACATTGGGCAACAAGTTGACTCCTAACAAGCAAGCCGTGAACACGCGGACAGATCACTGAAAGAACTGTTCATCTCGGAATCCACCACACTTCAAGAGATGCAATGAGTTGATTTTGATGCAAGTGCGTAGCAAATACACTACAATATGATGATGCAAAGACAACAAAGCCCGACACCAAGCACAACAGGTGATACACGAAGGGGAAAAAAGCTACAGAAATTACATTCATCTAATGCTGCCATCTAGTCGATCTCCTCCATCGCCGAGGACGTCGAGGCTTCCTCCGGAGGAGGAACTTCGCTGCTGCTCGATGGCACGGGCGCAGACTCCTCCTCGTCGACGTCGAGACCAAGCGAGATCATGCGGTGAATGCGCTTCGCGAACGACGTCGGGTCGTCAAGAGAGAAGCCGGATGTGAGGAGGGCGGTTTCGAAGAGCAGGTACGTCAGGTCGCGCACGGACTTGTCCGCCTTGTCTTCCGCGACCTTCTTCCTGAGCTCCTTGATGATCGGGTTGTGCGGGTTGAGCTCGAGCGTCTTCTTCGACGCCATGTACGATGACATCGACGAATCGCGGAGCGCCTGCGCCTTCATGATACGCTCCATGTTCGACGACCAGCCGAACTGGCCAGTGACGAGCACGCATGGCGAGTCGATAATACGGTTAGAGACAACGACCTTCTCGACCTTGTCGCCGAGCGCATCCTTGACGGTCTTGCAGAGGTCCTCAAACTGCTTTGCCTCCTCTTCGCGCTCCTTCTTCTCCTCCTCGGTCTCCTCAAGCTCGAGACCCTCCTTCGACACGCAGATGAGCTTGTGGCCATCGAACTCCTTGAGCTGGGTGATAGCATACTCGTCGATGGGGTCGACGAGAAGGAGAACCTCAAAGCCCTTCTTCTTCAGCACCTCAAGGAAGGGTGAATCCTTGACGGCAGACAGCGACTCGCCAGTGAGGTAATAGATGTTCTTCTGCACCTCGGGCATGCGAGTAATGTAGTCTGTCGATGAGCAGTTAGTATGAAGCCATAACACTGAGAGACGCGCGCATATATTCACCTTTCAGAGAGGTCATCTCTTCTGTCGACTTCGTCGAGTAGAAGCGGAGGAATTCGGCGAGTTTGCTGCGGTTCTGCGCATCCTCATGGATACCGAGCTTAATGTTCTTGCCGAACGCCTCGTAGAATTTGTTGAAGTTGTCCTTGTCCTCCGCAATTTCACTGAAAAGGTCCATGCACTTCTTCACGAGGTTCTTGCGGATGACCTTCAAAATCTTGTTCTGCTGAAGCGTCTCGCGCGAGATGTTGAGTGGCAGATCCTCGGAGTCGACGATACCCTTGACGAAGTTGAGATACTCGGGGATAAGCTCCTCACAATCGTCCATGATGAAGACACGGCGGACATAGAGCTTGATGTTGTTGCGCTTCTTCTTGGTCTCGAAGAGGTCGAAAGGCGCACTACAACGTACGTTCAGTATCGATCTAATAGATAATCGCAACCAAAACACTTACCGCTTGGGGACGTAGAGGATGGCCTTGAACTCGAGCTGACCTTCGACCGAGAAGTGCTTGACAGCGAGGTGCTCCTCCCAGTCATTCGTCAAGCTCTTATAGAAGGCGGCGTACTCCTCCTGTGTGATCTCGGCGGGGTTACGCGTCCAGATGGGCTTCGTCTTGTTGAGCTCCTCGTTCTGGATCTCCTTCTCCTTGATCTTCTTCGTCTTCTTCGGCTTCTCCTCTTCCTCAACCTCCTCAATCTTGGGCTTCTCCTCGCCCTCCTCCTTCGCCTCCTCCTCTTCCTCATCCTCAACTTCCTGTTGAAAATGTGGTCAGAAAAAGCTTTGAAACGACGGTAACGCGAAAGTGATACTGACCTTCTCAACCTCCTTCACGACCGCCAACTGAATGGGGTAGGAAATGAATTCTGAGTGCCTCTTGACGATGTCCTTGATGCGCTTCTCCTCGAGATACTCGAGCTGATCCTCCTTGAGGAAGAGGCGCACCTCGGTACCGCGACCGAGAGGAGGGTTGATGGTGTCGGGGGTGATTGTGAAGGTGCCACCAGCTGCAGACTCCCAAATGTATTGCTCGTCGTCATTGTGCTTGGAGATGACCTGCACACGTTCGGCGACGAGGTACGCAGAGTAGAAACCGACACCGAACTGGCCGATCATGGAAATGTCGGCGCCGGAGCTGAGAGCCTCCATGAAGCCCTGTAGAGGACGCGTTAGCGTGTCTGGCGCGCGCCACACATGCGAAGTTGAAATACATACCTTTGTTCCGGATTTTGCGATGGTACCGAGGTTGTTGACCATATCGGCCTTGGTCATACCAATACCGGTATCACGGATGGAGAGTATCTTGTTCTCCTTGTCGGGGATGATGCGAATGTAGAGGTCCTTGCAGGTATCAAGGACGGAGGGGTCAGTTAGGGACGCATAGCGAATCTTGTCGATGGCATCGGACGCATTGGAGATAAGTTCACGAAGGAAAATCTCCTTGTTAGAGTAAAAGGTGTCTGTGCACGGTCAATATTAGAATCATCGATCGTGTCGCGCCAAAAGGCAGGAATGCTTACTGATAATCAGGTCGAGCAGCTGGCTGATCTCGGCCTGGAAGCCAAAGCTCTCGGTAGCCATTTTGTTCGGGAGTAGGGTGCGATGAAGGGTATAGCAGGAGATGGGTGGAAGATGGAAGAACGAGCTGAAGAGGAGAAGCGAGGAAGGAGGGTTTATGTACTCCAGCTCGGACGTTGTTCTCGAACCTTCGATCCCTTTTCGACCGCCTTTGGACGTGCTTACGAGCGCTTGTCCTTCGCAGACCTTCCATCATCTTCCATCTCCTTCCACAGCACCTGCTCTATTCGGACTCGCTTCGACGCCCGACGCCTCGAGCACGCCGCCACCGCCGTTGAAGGAGACGATGGCCAGACTTACCCATGTTCCCGCTGTCACATCGTCCAATGACTTGTATTGCTCCTGCTAAGCACACTTAAGAAAGTTCTCGCGGATCCTTCGACCTCGGGATCAGTATAATATAATCCGTATTCCATATCCTTCCGCGTTACACTTGAGTACAACAACTCCTCCCCGATCGTGATCACAACAAAGCACCTGCAGCCACTCGAACCATCGCCTCAACCTCATGTCGACGCCGCGTCACTCTCAGTTCCTTGTTCCTGCATGCCCGACACCGACCGCGAATGCCTCCTGCCCATGTTCATGCTAACCCTCCGCTGCTCGCTCACCTGGTGCTTCAGCAACTCGACCATCGCCTTCACTTCCTCAATCTCCTCCCGTAGTTCTGCGTTATCGTCTCGTAGCCGTTGGTTCGCTTGCTTTAACCTGCTCACCTCTGCACCGGCCGACGACATATTGGCCAATGCTATTGTTTTACGCGTACTGTCCTGTTGTCTATGTGCGAACGAAAGCTGAGTCTCCAGCGTGTGAACGCGTTGCCGGTAGCTTCTGAAGTAGGCCTCAATGTCTTGTAATATTGCAGTCAGACACAGACATACCGCATCATTTCGTTCATCTCAGCGTGGGTCTTCTCGTAGGTATCCAATCTTAGCTCCATCTTGTGATATTTACTCGTGAAGACTTGCAAGCACTCCGTCTGCTCTTTCAGCTTGTTGATGTCGATCTCCCTATTATATTTGGTGCATATGAGTACAATGAGTCTCGAAACGTAAGGAAAAGCCTTCTCACCATAGACGCTGCAGTTTGATGAGCTGCTCGATCTGCTTCTCATAATCGTGTAACCTATCAACCTTGGGCTTGCTTTCCTTGATCTTCGTCTGCAACTCGAACGCCTTCTGCGCCGATTCTGCTACTAGCCTGTCTTGCGCGGCGTACTTCTCCTACAGATATGTCCATCAATTAGACAACGCTTCATAGCGTATCATGATGCAATCACAAAACTTGCCTTAGCGTCTTTGTCCGCTGCGCGCATAGCGTTCATCTCCGACTCCAAACTCTTGACTTTGTTCTTAAACTCTGCAACCTTGTCCTGCAACTTTCGATTCCAGTCCACATACTGGTTCTTCACTGTCAACGCCTGCGACTTGTGCTCCTTCAGCGCACGCTGCAAATGCGTCATTTGCGCTTTGTACTCTCGCAGCCTGTTATGCTACACCCACAACTAGCATAAGACTGCATTCTACTCCACATTGAAATGACTGACGCACCAGTCCCTGCCTCTCCAGCTCGGCCGTCTTTGACAGCACCCGGTCCTCGTACAGCCTCCCGATATGCTTCACATTCTCTCTTGCGTTCCACAGCTCAAAATTGAGCTCGTTCCTCAACAGCAACACCTCCCTCTGCAGCCCCGCCAACGCCTGCCCAATCTGCATCGGCACGTGCTGCCCGCCCCACTCCTGATGTGACTCCCGCGAGCCCCTCCGTGCCCGCTCACCGCCTTCCGCATGCTCTTGAGGCACCGCGTCCATCGACGGCGAGCGGGTCGGCGGCCGCGACGAGAGCAACATGGACCATGATGGTGATGGGTCCACCATCTCGACGTCCAGCCCGGACTTGAGCGCGACCGACGTCGCGATCATGTCCTGCAGGGACACCCGGGGACGTGCCGGCAGGGCGATACGGTCTCCCGGGATAATCGTCGGCGAGGAGACACGGGACGGTTCGATGGAGGTAGGCAGAGACGGAGTGTGCGCGACGGCGACTGGCATGGAGACAAGGGAAGAACTGGAACCAAGGTCGGTAGAGAGCAACGCGGGCGCGCGCTGCTGCATGCCGAGCGCCGCGTTCCGCACATCCAGCATTGTGCAGTCGCCGACGATGCGCGCGATATCGTACTGAGCCCAGAAGTCGGGACGCGCGAGTTCCTCTTCGGGTCCGCGCCAGATGAGCAGCGGGTGTAGGATATGTCCGCGCATTAGTGGCTAATTAATATCCTATGTCAGACTTCGACGAACGGTTGGCGTACAAGCCCAGAATTACTTGCCTCGCTTTTGCTCCGAATCTTTTCCTCGTCTAGCGCTTCTTCCCATGGAATAGCATACGGGTTGTCAATTTCGCGACCGGTCAGATACTGAACGGGGAATCGCAGAAAGCGAATGGTATTGCACGGGAAGAGGTAGTACAGAAACCTGAAGTAGTCGGCTGCGGATGGCGGAGACGACGCGCCGCCGTGAAAGGTCTGCTCTAAACGTCTCCAATCCAGATCCTCTCTCATTGGGAGCGCATATACAGTCTCTGGAAGGCCCTGTTCGTCATTATTCTCCGCGTCGCTGTCGGCAATGGCATTAGAATTGGAGGCCTGAGAAGGCAGAGGATTCTCGCGTTCGCGCCAGCAGATGATGCGAGCGAGGACAACGTATAACATAGGAAGGAGGCGTTTGAGGTCTTCGCAAGCCTTAACGGCGAAGATCGGTAGCAATTTTGTGAGCACGGTAAGACCGTGAATCGCGACGGTGGAAGAGCCGTCAAAGATGAGGCAGTGGATGATGTTCGTCATTAACATGTGAGAGGCAAATACGGAGGAAACGTCTTGGAATTCGGGCCGAGAGGTATATCGATTGAGGAGGATGAACAGTTGCAAGCGCGTATTTGGAGAGTAGAAACAGTGGTAGACAACGGTCAAGAAATCCTACAGTGTGCGAAGATGTGAAGATGAGCAGACTATCGCGGTGTTTGATGAAGCAACATCCATACCTGTGGCCTTTCTAGCCCAACCCTGACAAGTATGTCCTCCAGGTTAGCTTTCCAACAGGCCTTTTTCTCTCGCTGGTCCGTATCAAGTGCCGCCCACTCAAGTACATCCTCACCGGAACTCTCATTGAGCGCATCCAAGAGATACAAGTCCATGAGTCGCCGCCGAAATTCGCCGATCTTCTCCCTCTGTCTTGCGCGTTCGCTCTCCCTTTCCTCATCCGAAGCATCATCCGCCACAGCAATCGCACGAGAGTCAGGGTCAAGCGCGGTCAGAATGAGCTGCTTCGCATGCTCCACGGAAGGGGTAGGCAGCTTCGGCTCGCGCAGCGCCGGCCGCAATATCAGGTCAAACCAAGTCGAGATAATCGATGCAGGCGGCAATATGGGATGAAGATGGTACAATACGGCGAGGAAGACCTCCGCCTGGTTTGGAGTGGCATGGTCGATGACCTGATCGTAGATTTCTTCGAGCTCCTCTTCAAGCGCACTGAGGAGAGCGCCCGGGCTGGACGAGGTGGAGAATTCGAGGACGAGACTATCGGCAAGGGCGAGGATGGTTTCGGCGGAGGGTGCCTCTGGGGCGGATTCGAGAAGGAGACGGAGTGGCCGAGAGAGGTGGGAGGCGGCGTCGGATGCCATATGATGGTCGGCTGAGGATGGCATGCACGCGTCTATTCCACTGCTTCTGGTCCACCCTCAACAACATCTCGGAAATGCGAATGCTGAACCGAATAGATCCGTAGATGAAAATGCAATGGCGATAGAATCCTCATCTGCGCCTCGCTGTCCAAGGCATTCAAGGGTAACTACTCTCTTATTGGTGTGCTTTTCGTATCCGCAAACAAATGGACCGGTGAAGCAATATGTCATGCTGGAAGCTGTTTCATGCATGCTGTCAGTCTTAGATCGACTTCAGGACGCACTTACAACTTGACTGGACCATGGCTCTGCTAGTCCAATGGTCAAGATTGAGACACCTCGAAATAGCTGAAGTTGAGCTGTATCATTCTCCATAGCTAATGCCCATCTCCAAGCCAATTCTATCCCCCAGATGATGTTCATGCGCTCCACCCTCGCCGTCATTCATCTATTTGTGCTCGCCTTCGCACAATTCTCCGAGCCCGTCTCATTCGACGGCATTTACTCCAACGCCTCCACCCCAATGTCAAGACTCGCATGCTCCGACTCTCTAAATCCACTTGGGTTTACCACCCTATCCTCACTTCCGTCCTTCCCATACATCGGTGGTGCTTCGTTTGTTGCTGCAAACGGCTCGGGTAGCTGTGGCACCTGCTGGGAGCTATTCTATTTCGGCAGAAACGGGAGCGGCAGCAGCAATGGGACCACGAGAAGCATCAGCGTCCTTGCAATCGACTACGCGAAGGACGGATTCAATATCGCACAGGAGGCAATGGACGCGTTAACGGGCGGGCAAGCTCGGTCACTAGGGATTGTCAACGTCACGGCCGTAGAGGTCGACGACTCCGCTTGCGGGCTATGATGTGCTCATCTCTGATATTCAGGTGCTCTGCGGTAGCTACTCCTACATAATGTGTTATACCAGCTTGTGCCGTCCCATCCTTTGATATCGATGTGATCCGGCTATCTAATAGCTACCATCGTGTGCCCACAAGGATTGTTGCATGTTGAAGGACGTGCACATTCAGGCAAAGACGAACTAGGGACGAACTGCCTTGCTTGCATTTGGAGTAGGCCGCTCTCAATCTCATATGTGCGTGAGTGGCGGAATTTTTTCTCTTCCGCAGGGAGCGAAGCGAAGATCTGAAGGTCCGGGCAAGAGTAAATAATTACGGCTCTGCATCACCTTCCCCGAGAAAATGTACTCAATTCCAATGAGCTTTGTATTGGCCTTATCCGAATCATAAATGATGCCTTGGTGAAAATCATGGTTTAGATGAGTACTTAATAGCGGTGCGCCTCGAGATGTCGGGTACGATCGTGCCCATGATGGACGTAAGCACGAAGTGAATTTTCTCGCAAAGCTGTACCTCAAAAGCAAGAATACATACGAGTAGACATGGAATGCACATAGGTGCTGGTGAGTAGCATTGATGGGCTTGAAGCTCATCATGGTCATGCCCGCCGACATGTACTAGGCGGGGGGTGATAAGTCTCCACAGACTTTAAGTTCAGGGCTTGAAGAGTCCATTGTAGTGTGCAAGGGCGAAGCAGTAAGGCATTTCGAGAACAATCGCTACCGAGCCGTGCTTCATATATTCGATCCATTAGCATGACGTCGCCGGTGCATCATCCTCCATGATTGGCAAGTGTTAAGGCAGAGTTCTGAACTCTGCGGCTGCATTCGTGCTGACTGATGGTGTGCGTCGAGCAATGAAGCAATGTCTGCATTATAACCGGGCTGTTTGTAGGGCGAGGGCCGAAAAGACCTGCATTTCGGAATGCAGAGATGCCCAGTGGCAAACTTGAACTGCAGAACCTTCCCTATCGGGATGTGCTCGAGGTGCCACATGTCGCTTGCTAGGGTTAGGGTTTGGCCCGACGAGCAGCAGCCCTCGCCACTGTCGCACGTAACGAGCTCGGCCTCTACCCACCTTACCCAGCCCAAAAGTCGCGGTGAGCACTTATTCGGCACAGGGAGTGTATCATCATATCGGTTTGCCGCTCTGACGGGATCCCGACAATGGATGCCACATATCGATTCTGGATGTAATGCCGACGTGAACGCGTACTGACGCGCTCCAACCCTTGATCAGATGTCCGCTACTATCGAGGAAATCCACTCTGACCACTCCGACCACGACCACGACCACGACCACGGCCACGGTCACGATCATGACCACGAAGAGGATCCGACCTCTCAGGCGGCTCTCGACAAGATCCAGTCGCGATCGGAGCGCAAGGCTCGCAAGGCTCTCCTCGGACTCGGTCTCAAGCGCGTCCCTGGCATCACGCGCGTTACCCTCCGCCGTCCCAAGAATGTGCGTAGAGGAATACCGGACACAGGCTGTTACTCATAGCGCAGCAGGTTCTGTTCGTGATCGCGACGCCCGACGTGTACAAGTCGCCTAACAGTGACTGCTATATCGTCTTCGGTGAGGCCAAGGTGGGTGACGCGTCTTTCACTTCTCTGTCGTGTTTATTGAACATGTATCCAGGTCGAGGACATGAACCAGCAAGCACAGCTCTCGGCTGCCCAGCAGCTCGCGAGCGGCACCGGCGCGGTGCCGAACATTGAGAGTTCAGGCGTGGGTGGCGACAATGAGGATGACGACGAAATCCCTGAACTCGAGGAGGTGCACGAGGAGGGTCCCGTGGACGAGACCGGTGTGGAGCCAAAGGATATTGAGCTCGTCATCCAGCAGGTTGGCTGTTCGCGTGCAAAAGCCGTGCGCGTGTTGAAGGAGAGTGGGGGTGATTTGATCAATGCCAGTGAGTTGCATTCAGGTTCTCAAAATCGCTCACTTGTCTAATGCGTGGCCGATCAGTCATGGCGGCGAGCGAGTAGTTTTGTTCTGGGTTTCATGTACACTAGCGCGGCGTTGCTTCGTGATCTACAAAACACCTCCTGGCGGCAGTCGTCAAATGCATCGTTCACTATTTTGCTGCCAGAGCCCTGCGGCACGACAGCATGGTTATGCATAGGGTAATGTTCAGAGGGACTTCGCGCGCATACGTATATCAATGCTGCCAACAACGCAACTCTACGTAATAGTTCGACCGCTCCCACCCATCCTGCACTATCTCGACACCTCTTCTTACATTCTCACCATCACATACGTCTGTCTCGTCTGATGGACATCCTATGACCAGGCCTAGGTCCTTGGCTGCTTCACGAACCAGCTCGGACAGCTCGCCTTGCGCGAACATATGGTAGTATCTATTGAAGATTTTAAATGTGTCCGGCATTTGCTGGCTATTTTTCGATGCCTGTGCGAGTGCAGGCGATGGGCTAATCGATGAGATGCCTTCTTTCCGTTTGCCTCTCAATTCGGCTGCTGTCTTTGCTTGAGGCTGGGAGGACAGGACCCACGGCACGAAGACATCCTGGCCTTTTCTTGATATGTCGCGGGAAATTGAACCCTCTGTGGGGATGTTACGTTTGGACAGCTCGTCTTGTGCAATCGCCCACACATAGATGAGCGCACGGCCATGCGAGGGTGAGATACACTCCAGAAGACGCTGCACCATTATTCAGATGCATCCCGGCGAGCATATCACGGTTTGAGGATCGGGACGTACCTGCACTGCTAGCTTTCTCCGGGCAGGTGTAGAGAGGTGGTGTATCGTTGCGACTGAAATCACAAAATCCTGTGGCCCATGTGGAGAGAGCTATCACTTCAGTACAACAATAACTGGAGTAAGCAAGCACAGCGCACGAACGAAAGCCCCCGCTCTCCACGACATAGCGAGCACATTGCCCCATACGACCTCCCTCCGTTGTCCTCCAGCAGACTGTGCCATCTCCAGCAGATTCCTGCTCATATCGAGCCCCACTGTCCAAACAGCGCCTGGACGATCGGATGGTAGAAGGAGATATTTGCCATTGCCCGTGCCGGAGTCAAGGCCGACCCATCCAGTAGGAATAGAGGCTAGGAAGGAAGCGATGATCGGCCATGGCTATGGCCGCATTCACGGTCAGAAAGTCAAGATCAGCATGCGTCGTGCACACACCTTATAGCGCGTGGATGAAAAATGGGGCGCAATTTCATCGTAGACGGCATGGACGTGCTCGTCCTCGTATACTTGAGGATCGTCAGATACTGTCACGGCTTTCACAGCAGTCGCAGCAGGCATGCCAAGGACAACAGGATATGATGGATTATGCTTGTGGTATCTTCCTTCAAGGTAGTACAGTAGCCGTGTATGTGTGGTGGATGGTGGTAGGAGATCAATACCGACGCGCCTGCTTAGCCCTCCGTGTCGCTGGCGTCATAGCCCATCTCCTCATCTAACAGCTCACGAAATCTGCTTCCGTTGAATTGCGGGAATGGCACAAAGCTGGAGACGTCCAACGTTTCGATAGCTTGTGGTAGATCGCTATATTGACAACGTGTGGGTCTAAGGATAACACGAGGGAAGGGGATCGCACGCACGCGGTAGTGGTCGCCTGCAGGTGGCCGAGCGACTGAAGGGCCGATGCAAGCTCCTGCTGATGATTGTCCAGCAACCTAGAATTTGGCACGACGATAAGAGGTTTGCCGAGACGGAGGACGTCAAGGATCGTGCCCGAGCCTGACAGGAATGAACTTCTGAGCAATGAAGGCAAGCGAGGGGACGCGTACCGGCATGGCTGATGACTAGATCGGCTCGTTCGTACTCCTCCTGCAGCGACGGCTTGAACTTCCACACATGCACATTGACTCCATTATTCGTCTGCACCAGTTCGTTGCCTGCTTGTTCGAAGCTGCCCACGTCGAACTCGGAGTCGCCGCACTGCACGACGAGTTCTGAGTACCCCCGCGCGCGCAGCGCCTCCAACAGCTGCACTGAGAGGACCGTCTGCACGAGAGAGTCGAAGCGAGTCGAGCCTACGGTAACAAATACATGCGTATGGAGTAGAGCAGATGCAGTTGACTTGGCCCCAGACTCTGGGATTGAGACCGATTCGGACGCTGGGGCTGGGCTGAGAGACTCCGAAGCCATGATCTCTGCTTTGTTCCTTGTCTCCTCCGCTTCAGCTGCTTTAAAGTCGTGCACGACCCGCAGCTGGCGATCTGCTCAATTCGTCGGCGCTACTTACGATGGGCTACACACTCTGCGTTCTAGGTCTTTCCCCCGCGTTGTTGCAGCATTGCCCTGTTTTCTGACAGCAGGTGACCTCACAGGATGCGGAACGATGGGCGTCGCCGTCATATCCGGCGTGCTCGCCAGCCTTGAAGCCAAGGAGGTGGCGGGTCCTTTCCCGCATGCAAAATGGGAGTCCCACACTCCGGGGACGATGACACCGCACGAGCTGGAGGACGAAGCATTACCATCGCGATTCATCGCATGCGTTACTCGCGAAGAAAGTGCGAAAAAGCTCAGAGCCACGTTCGCGTCCTCCGGATCGCTCGGACACACGGTGAAAGTCCTCGTTTCGGACAATGTACACGGTGTGCAGCAGTCCGACGTTGTGCTACTGTGGTGGGTGGCAGCCTCGAGTCCATGGGACATGCTTTACATCTCTGCGTAGCTGCAAGCCACAGCAGGCCCATCTCATCCTGACGGAGCCCGGCATGAAGGAAGCGTTAGAGGGGAAGCTCCTCATAAGCATCCTCGCCGGAGTGACGATCTCTCAAATGAGAGCATGGGTACCCGAATCTACGAAGGTTATCCGGGCCATGCCCAACACTCCATGTAAAGTCAGTCGAAGACCCTCGGTGTCTGCCAAGGTTTTAATTCTGATTACTCGCAGATCCGAGAGGGGATGACAGTAGTCAGCACCCTTCCTCCGTCCGCCTCGCCTGAGCTGGACCGCTCTATCATATTGAACATTTTCTCATCAATCGGACGGTGTCGCATCCTCGACGAGAAGCATTTTGATGCCTGCACGGCGCTCTCCGGATCGGGACCCGCGTTCGCTTGCATCTTCCTTGAGGCGATGGCTGACGGGGGTGTAATGATGGGCTTGCCTCGTGCCGAGGCACTTGAGTTGGCAGCACAGAGTGAGCAGTCTGCCGTGATTTTCCTAGAATTTAATTGACATGGCCTATCCGGATCTCAGCACTGCAGGGTGCGGCTCGCATGACATTGCAACTGGGCACGCATCCGGCACAACTTAAGGACTCTGTTACCAGTGCGTGTTTCGCCCGCATTGCAGCCTGAGAAGTCATCTGATTGCTCTATAGCTCCAGGAGGGTGCACAATCGCCGGTCTTTTGGCCATGGAGGATGGTAGAGTGCGTTCGACCATCGCTCGTGCCATTCAGATTGCTACAGAAAAAGCCACGGAGCTCGGTCATCCCACAAAGCATTGATGCATTGATGCAGTCCACACACATGGCACCGTTATCTTGATCACAGCGCTTCGCCGATTTCTTACGATGCGATTCGTATAATAGGCATAAGCATAATTAATGCGCGGACTCCATTAATGTTTTAGCCAGATCTGGTGTAAGTACAGTACGTGGTGACTACAAATCAGACTCATTCAGACGGCTAAGAGTGTCACCGTCAATCTTATTCGGTCGTCTCCACCATGAAGGGACCGCCAAGACAACGGGTTATGTATCTTGAAGAAGATACACATATCCTTCTGGCTCCCATAAAATGAGGATGAACGTGTGAAATCAGTAAACGCCACCCAGAGTGTTGGAGAGCGATGATTCAGAAAAGAACCGTCAGGAAGGTTGCTGCGAGTCTTGGCTGCGATGAACAAATATATTCGACATCTGGACGGCGGAGGTATCATTTAGAGATGGAGGATCGATGGCAGACGACACTCACCGTAAGCACAATCTGTGTTCGCACATCTTTCAGATGTCACAAAATATACGCGAAACAACTCAAATGAACTTGATGTGTCCCGCGTGTGAACCACTCTCTCCATGTAAGCCACTCACGACCAGTGGAAAAAGAGGCAAAAATTAAAAACGGGAAAGACAAACGTCATGAATTTTGCTCAGGAGAATGAACGCCAAACCGTGGGAGGTATCGGTGAGACGCTAAAGTGAAAGAGCTTCCTAAAACATGGGGAAGGCGACACCCCGCAAGAAGTTGCGAAAAACGAAATCCTCAAGAGAATGTGCAGGTTGAAGATGAGATTGTCCAATAGTATACAGGTGCCTGCGGGCTGATATGAGCACGTCAACCGAGGTGAACGTCCAGCGCGAACTCACCAGAAATAAACAGAACCTCAAACCCATCAACGGTCTGACATGGAACAGGAAAGCGATAAGCACACGCTGGTGAATCAATAAATAGGTCGACGTACAGAAATCCAGTGTTTCGTCTGCACGCTTCACGTTTTGCTGATGAATATATGATGGATGTTAGAAAGAGATGGTCAAAATTTTCGTGGCCACGCGCATGGTGGCCAAACATGACCAAATAACGCACCTTCCACGCTTCCTCGAAGTCCGCAGGCAAGACAATATACCGGTTTTTCCGCACAGCTACGACGAGCAACGATTAGCACTGCTTTTCTTTGGCACAGGCATTCGGTGCGAACAAACCTTGCAACCCAGCAGCTTGAACGATGGAGGCAATCTCCGCGGCCGATAGTCGCTCCGGGCGTGAGACGTCTGAAGGAGAGTCAAGCCAAGCTCATGGCGAAGGAGTCGTCAGACACACGCACAGTCTTCCAGATCAACATCAGGGCCAAGGTTCATCTTGCTCGTACATGTTTGGAAGATAAGGCGCTTCTCTCGTCGCGATGGTAGTGGGAACTCGATCTTCCGGTCAAGACGTCCTGGACGCAGCAATGCAGGATCCAACGTGTCGGCTCGGTTCGTGGCCATGATGACCTGTGAAGCATCGAAATTTATTCATAGTTTCCAGAAGCACCAGCTCTGTACTTACTTTGACGTTGCTGCCTTGGTCGAATCCGTCCATCTGGTTCAGCAGCTCCAGTAAGATCCGCTGTACCTCACGATCCGCGCCTGTTTGTGCGTCGAATCGCTTTGTGGCAATGGCGTCGATCTCGTCAATGAATATGATGGCAGGAGCGTTTTCCCTTGCTAGACGGAAGACGTCACGAACCATCCTCGGGCCTTCTCCGAGATACTTCTGCACGAACTCGCTTCCTACGACGCGGATGAACGACGCAGTTGTGTGATGTGCGACCGCCTTGACCAGCATAGTCTTTCCAGTGCCTGTCTCCGTATAAGTCGAAAGAAGAAAATCGAGATCTCAGCACCACTGCGCACCTGGCGGGCCGTAGAGCAGGACACCTCTGGGAGGATCAATACCAATCTTCTTGTATAAATCGAAGTGTGTTAGCGGCAGCTCCACCGCCTCCCTGATCTCCTGCTTCTGTGTGTCCATGCCGCCGATATCCTGGTACGACACATCAGGCTTCTGCTCTTTGCCCAGCATGGCTATGGAGGAGTCCGCCTCCGGCGGGAGGATGTCGACAAGTGCGTTGGAATGCCGGTGCAAGGCGACGGAGGAAGAGGGCTTAAGAAGCTCGCGGTCGAGCGTGGAGAGGATGCGGACAACATAGTTTGAGCCAGTTGTTGAGCCGACAATGCCAGTCTGTTGGTCTATGGGCTCAAGAAACTGGCCGATGACGAGCGGCACGGATTGAATGCGCTTGACTTCTTCTTGCGCGCGGATGAGTTCGCGCTTGAGATTCGCCTGCTCGTCCTTGATGTAGCTCTCTTGAATTTCAAGCATCTCCAGATGCCGCGCGAGCTTCTTGTACCTGATATACAGATCCTCCTCCTGCAGCTCTTGGAAGAGGGCTGCTTTCTCTGTTACAACATGCTCGAAGGTCGGTTCCTGGTCTCACCTGTCAGAGTTGGTCTGCAGTTTCTGAGCACACCACGCACCTGCTTCTGTATCTCGATGCCAATTTCATCCATGCTTGTAGCTTAGTCGTAGCGATAAGTCACCAGTAGAACGTCGTGTGTCGCGGTTCCAAATATACAAGCTGACGCGGCTCGAAAGTCGACAGTTGGTCACATGATCTCCCACTGCTCGCGTCTCTAGCAGCACAAGCGCCCGCCACCAGAAAGAGCACCGGACTCTGGAGTCTGTACAGGCATGGCCCATGTTGTCCAATCTCTGGATCAGCCTTCAAACTACAAGGATTCGCAAGCACGTCTCGATCGCCAGAAGCAAAATGATATGCTCACAAAGTCCACGACGTTATATGTGAGCATCCTACGCTCTGTGGTAGCCGCATTCGCTGATCCCGTGTATATGCAGATTGGTAATCTGAGTTTCTACACGACAGAAGAACAGATATACGAGCTTTTCTCTAAGTGCACCAGCCCAGAGGAGGGCGGAGGGATAAAGCGTGTCATTATGGGTCTTGATAGGAATACAAGGCGGGTCCGCCACTGCACCATGCATCTCGATGATACTTACGCGCTATGCTCAGAACGCCGTGCGGCTTTTGTTTCGTTGAGTACTACAGCCACGCAGAGGCGCTGGCCTGTTTGAGGTACGTCAGCGGCACGAAGCTCGACGAGCGCATTATTCGGTGCGATCTCGACCTGGGCTACCGCGAAGGTAGGCAGTTTGGCAGAGGAAAGAGTGGCGGCCAGGTATGTTCTTGAATTATTTCGGCATCGAGTTTCACACATAATCTATCCTTGCTAGGTGCGGGACGAACACAGACAAGACTACGATCCTGGACGTGGTGGATGGGGCGCTCAGGCACAGCGACAGGAGATCGAGCGACGCAGAGAAGTAGAGGAGCGGTATGCCGATGCGCAGGAGGGCCCGGGCGCCGTCGCAGGCGGAGGTGGCGAATGGAAGGATGCAGGCAATGCAGACAATCCGCTCAAGCGCGCACGGTCGCCGGAGGATGAGGGGGACAGTGGGAGAACGGTGCGTTCGTTCTGTGTGATTCACTCTTCTGTAATGCCCAGCCTGACTATGTCTTCCGACATGTGCAGGGTGCTCGCGCAAGAATGGACGACCACGATCAGGCGCGCATGTGAGAATGCGGCGTACTTGTACTGTAGTTGTGTTTATACGGGAATGCCATCGCATATATGAGTTTCCACACCGCGAGTGTTTATCGTACTGTCATCGGTAGCAGGAGCATCTAGTCTGCGAGGAAGTCTGCGTACGCCAGAGGTTCCTGATGAGAGATGTTTGCAGTGAAGGTCTTTCCACTTTCTGTTCACACCAACACAGCCGGAATAGAATCCGCGCTCCCGTCGAACATACCTGGAAGTGGCGTCTGTGTCGCGAGCCTATTGACATGTTCCCACTCGCATATCTGGCACTGCAGGCGGTATGATCTGAGTATCCAACGATGCTCCATGGTCTTCATGCCTCATAACATGAGTGGCCTCTGATGCGGTCATGAGGTAGTGGATAAGCGCTATTAGAATACAAAATGACTCGCGAGCGTCCTATGCGCTCGGTCGGCTGACGAAGCTCTAAGATGCTTAGTAGATGACGCGTGCGTGAACTGGATATCGTGAGCCGTAATTTTCGGGCTGGTAGTAGGTCATATGGATCCTCCGGACAACGCGATGCGCCTCGGAGACGGACGCTAGGCGGACCAGGTAGCGGGAGGTGAACGTTGACTTCTTGATGCTTTCCTTTTGTCTAGACAGCGGACGGAGCACGGCGGTGTCAGTGGTCATGCGTGGACGGATTATGAAAAGGATAAGACCGAGGTAGCACGTACATTTCCATCTTATAGACCTGCTGCCCCTCCTGCATCGACGCGAGCTTGAAACTTTTCAAAAAATCTCGCACTGCTTCTGGTTCCATCATTCTCGGCAGCCCATAGATTACGACGTTCTTTCCTTGCCCCGTGATACCGCCGTTGAGCCCATTTCCGAGCACTATGCCGCGTTCGACGGCCTCCGTGAAACCCTTCTTGCCGCGCATTCGAATGGGAGGGCCAGCATAGGGATCGGCGACTAGTGGTGCCAACACGGTGCTGCCGATGACCGTATTCTGCAACGCTTTCAAGGTTTTCTTCAAGTGTATTGGAGCGGTGACTTCTACCCAGGCGCGGCCGGTAGGGGTGAAGCGATAGTAGTCGAGTTTGACTGAGCCGTGGAATATATCAGCGCATATGAATAGTAGGCATTGAATTTCTACACACCGTCAGAGACATGATCGACCTTGTTTTTGCCGCATAGTCTCTTGATATCTGCTGGGATCACACTGCGCGATAATTTTGTGAGGAGAATGTGCGTTCCCTGGTGAGCTGCTAAGCGGTGAAGGATCGTCCATCTACAAGTATCAGGTAGACACACTTTCTTTGTCAATGCCCTGCACGAGCTGGGCGGTGCCGCGGAGGGCGCGCCTGAGAGCAATGGTGTTGGACATCACGCAGTGGCGCGTGGGAACCGACCCGACGCGCCGGAGTATGGCAGACGCCTAATAAATTACTTCCCCGCGTGAGCACTCTGTTGGCATCAGACAGGCTGCCTCCTCCTCCAGCGATGTGTATGTCTTTAATCATTCCCCACTCGCCCTGCGAACATCCCGCACGCGCTCATGGTTTCCCCTGCACACATGAGCCGACTCAGCGCACTAGCGCTACATGGCACGCTTCTCCACTTGGCGACTCAGATGAGTGAGGGAGATCCCTGCATTTGTCGAACGTCGTGGAACTTGGAACGACGCTTCTGAACCGTTTGCACTCTGCCACTATTTCTCCGCGGGGAACTTGACTGCCGGGCGCAGAGTGCGCCGTTGCGAGGGCGTTCGGCCGACAACAACAAACCTTGCCGGAAGGGCCACTTTAGCTGGGCGACCTTTCTCGACCATCATATACCGCGCTCTGGAGTGCGGGCGGACGATGTCGGAGGGCGGAGCAACGGTTTTTGATGCGTTTCAGGAATTACCCAGCGCACAGTTTGGCGGCGCATCAGCGTAGATCAGCGTCGAGACTCGCGTAAGCGATCGTTGGCGGTCATCTTCCGCCCCATCCACGCGGGTGATACGATTCCTTCTCTTTCTGTCGATGACGAACAAGCGACATGGAGCTAGAACGTTCACCTAAACGTTCACCGAGACGCGCTTCCCCGTACTCGACCGCGAACAACTCGGGCTCATTCGGATTGCGATTTTTTTTGCCTCAGCCCTAGAGCCAGCATATATAAACATTGTTGTCTCAATCGTCATTTGCCCCAGCTCTCCAAGCCAGCTCAACACCAGCTTTCTCTGACTTCGGCTGCGCAGCCTTTAGTCAGTTTCGCTTTTACGACCCTCTACGCACTCTCCTCCCATCGAGTTCATATCTCGTCGCCATGGGTAACAACGCGTTGAAAGACAACCCCCCCGGTGCCGACCTTCACATCTCCACCAATGCCTCCGACTGGCTGTGGGCAGCGTTCTGCGTCCAAGCGGTGTCCCTTCTTGTCATGCTCGTCTTTAACTTTGCGGTGAGTTTCATGCTTACCATTTGAGATCGTTCATGGTAACCTGATGGTGAACTCCTCAGCGCCCTCGTGGTACTCGTCTCTTCCACCAGCTGTCCCTCATCATTTTGATAGGGTTCTCGGTCGGATACTTCTCGATGGCATCTAATCTTGGTTACGCCCCGGCCCCGGTCGAGTTCCGTGGCCACGGCGACAAGCCGACTCGCCAGATCTGGGTATCGTTTTTTTTCTCTTCTATGTCAGACCTCTGGCTCACATACTCTTCGTTAGTATGTGCGCTACATCGTGTGGACCGTCACATTCCCGCTTTCGGTGCTCGAGCTCCTCCTTGCAACGGGCCTGTCGCTGTCGGACATTGTTACGACCTGTTTCATGTGCATCGTTGTGATCGTTATGGGCCTCGTCGGCGCAATCGTTCTCAGCACGTACAAGTGGGGTTATTTCGTCTTTGGTATCGCCGGCCTCTTCTACGTGTGGTATGTTTTTGTCGCCCTTCGGTTATCATCGCAGCCGCTGATACGATTGATAGGTATGTGCTGCTCTGGCACGGTGTCCGCACGCAGTTCCCGGGTGACGGTGTCCTGCGCCCCGGCTACATTCAGGCGGCTGGGTGGTTCGCCTTCATCCTCATCACATATCCCATTTGTTGGGCATGCTCTGAGGGCGGCAACGTCATCACGCCCTCAGCCGAGATGATTTGGTACGGCATCCTGGACATCTGCGCAGGCCCGATCTTCCTGTTCTTCTACCTCTTCCGCCTCCACAACGTCGACTATGCGACATTCGGCTTCAGCTCAGGGAAATACACCGACTCAGGAGCAGTAGTTGTGCCGAGCGAAAAGCCTCCGGTGAGCGCGGCGTAAGGATGCGCGCTCAGCCGCGTCTTGCTCGCGTTCTTGGAGTTTGGTTGCCTGCAGGATGTTAATTGGACAGCTTTTCATCATGCCTTTACGATTACCCCTTCGTCCACGTCGTTTTCCTGCACGTTACCCTTGATGCCTTTACCCTTTGGTTGTTGTCTGTATTGCTAGTCGTCTCCGCTAATCATCACCGCTCCACCCCGCATCAATTTTCTATTCAGCAGCTAGTACTAGCAATTGGTTATGTTGTTGTACTAGACTGCCTAATGCAGGGAGTAATTCAAATTACGTTATACGCAATGTTTCAAGGGCGCTCGATGATCTTCCCATACTTGGAATGTGTCTAAGTGCTCAAGCTGACACGACTTTCGAGCTCACAACAACACAACTCTCACAAACATGTCCTCTCGCCACGATTACAGAAAGCGGGACCGTAGCTGGGAGCGAGATGAACGCGACCGCGATCGCGACAGGGAAAAGGAGCGCTATGGCAAGTACCGCGATGCGCCACGAAGGAGTCGGTCAAGAAGCCCTCCGCGCCGGGGTCATGAGAGAGACAGACGGCCGGCAGGTATGTGGATTGCCTCAATAACTCAGCTATCAGTTGCCTAATCGCCTGATGATGGCAGTCCGGAGAGATCACGGGCGAGAAAGGGATGATGACCGCAGAGATCGAGACAGACGGGACGAGCGGGACGGACGCTATCACGACCGAGGCCGAGATAGGGATAGAGACAAGGATGCGCGGAGAGGGCTTCCACCACTGCCCAGGGATAAGGAGCACGATAGAGATGCACGAGGTGTGGATGGGCGACCGGACGACAGACGGAGTACTGCTGAACCAGAGCAAAACGGTAGCGGTACGCGGTCTGGTGAGTACAACTTGTCTTGTCAACGATGCTCTGATGCTGAGCACAGTGTGTGCCGCTCTGTTGTAGGCGCTGTTGGCTTGGAGAACGGACAGTCGAGACAGGTCTCGGAGGTGCCCACGGAAGGCGGCGAAGAGGGTGAGGCTATGGAGGTGACGAATGAAGGCGAGGAAGCGATGATGGCCATGATGGGCTTGACTGGATTCGGGACGACGAAGGTGCGTTGTCCGACGTAATCATTCACAAAATCTTACCAATACGGGGCATCTGCAGGGCAAGCACGTCGAGGGGAACCAGGAAGGCAGCGTGCAAATCAAGAAAATCCGAACGTGGCGTCAGTACATGAATCGGTATGTGTGCAGTCTGTTGCTTTTGTATGCGGTTCCACTGACCAGTTCTTTCGTTCGTGACAGACGGGGAGGGTTCAACAGGTCCGTGAAAGCATACATTCGTTCCACACGTCTCAACCTCACACCTTGTTTCGCAGGCCATTGGACAAGATCAAATAGCTTTCGAATGCATCATCGTTCCTCATTCGGCTGCTGCTACTGAGGAGAACATGCTTGCAGTTAAGTTATGTCCTTTGCTCGATTGCGGCGATCTGCTACCACTATACTTCCTCCTAGTGCGGATCGAATTGCAGGACGGCGAGCACATAAGCCTGCATGACGCTCATAAGTGCAACCTCAAATGTATAGATTCTATTCTATTTCAGGCGCATACAATGTATTTCTTCCTTCCGCATGGCTCATACCCTGCTCTATACGTACTGCAATCTACCATATCGATGACCGCTCAGATCTAACGAGGTATTGGCGGCTGTAAACGGTGCATGCCAGGCAAGTCCGATAAGCATTCGAAACTTAGTAGTACAGACATCAAACAGGCTGAAGGAACCAATGAAACGAGACGTTCAGACAAGGCATTACTAGGATCTGCTGGCGATGTATACTGAGGAAGGGAAGGAAAAAGAGAATCGGTGTGAACGTCAAGTACGGATCGCATGCTGGCGGTGCTCTAGTTCTCCCAATAGAAAAGACTGATCAGAATCCGTGGATTTTGACGGTGGTCCTGGATACGCCCTCCTCGACGAGGAAGTTGGAAATCTTCAGACGTTGGTCACCTTGGAGCTGAATGACCTGACCGGCCTCCTCATCCTCAACGAGAGTGCCGTTGCAAGCAAATTCCTAATCAACATACACTCAGTCAGCCACTCGACCGGAGCAAGTCCGACGGCGATATCCACGCACCTTCTTGAAAGCCTTCAAGAGTTTCTTAGCATCGTACTCTGGAAGGGGGGATGATGTGTCAGCCGCTGACAAAAGGCGCACATAATACGCGAAAACGCACCTTTCGGCAATCCCTGCAACGTTGTCAACGTCTTCCGTCCGTTTCGCTGCTGGATACGGACGTGAATGTAGTTCTGCTGTGTTCCAACGTCTGCGCCAGCTCCGAGCGGGTCTCCCTCGTCTGCGAAGGGGTCTATGGGGTGCATTGGTTAGTCAGTACAGCACATCGATAAGCGCGGCGGAGAGGTAAACCTACCGAAAGTGTTAAGATTCTGCACGCTCATGCGATGTTCGGGGAGAATAGATAGGAAGGTTGTACGAAAACTGAGTGGAGGTTGTTTGCTGGTGGGTGGAAAGTGATGGAAGACGATGAAGAAGAGAAGCTGGCGGTGACTGCAGTTGGTCGCGCGTCTTATAGCCACAGTTATGTAATCCGGGCCCAGCGCTTCCGCCGCCACCGCCTCCGCGTGTCTTCCCAGTCCGAGGCTCTGCACTGCGACATTTCCCCATACCCTACCCTTCGTGCACCGCCGTGCCGTTGCGGCGATATTGCGACATGGTCAACGCCAAAGATGGCACAAAGAAGAGGAAGCCCCCTACATTCCGGCACCTCCCTGTCAACCGTGGTATGTGATCTGCCGTACGGTTTCAAGTAAAATCTCATTTATCAGTAATTGCCTCGATTGCTAACAGCCAAGAAGCTCAAGCAATCGTGGGTTGAAGTGCAAAAGGTCAAGAGCCAATGGAAGGCTCAAAAGCGCAAGGAAGGGATCATAACGAAGGGCAGACAATTGGAGGAATTAGTGGCGAATGAACAGGAAGTGATTTCCGATTTGGAGGAAGGTGACGATGAACTACGCCAAGATTCTGGTAGTGCTGCTGAGTCAGGTGCTGAGGAACGTTCTCGCAATGAGGAGGACGGAAATGAGGGAGATAGTGCCGAAGCGTCCGAGGATGCCTCATCTCCGCGAATGAAGCCTCCGTCTGCGAAAGAGACACGCACCAAAGAGTCTACGGAGGAGAAGAAACCGACGTTGCGAGACCTTCAAAGACAAGCTTATTCACGGACTTCCTTGCACACGCACAAATCTGATCCTCTACATAGTCGCCGAGGTGCTGATGCGAGCCGTGGAACGTCGTCCGGCGGCCGTGGACGCGGACAAGAAAGAGGACGAGGCAGAGGCAGGGGCGCATCCTTGAGAGGCCAGCCCGACATGCGTCTTCGCATGAACGCTTTGCTCGAGAAAATCAAGCGGGACTTTGCCTGAGCTGCGCGCGTTGTGGCTATGATGTCGAGCGCAGTGTGGTAGGGCTCATTCAACGATAGGTCAAGTTATGCGACAAGATAATAGATTGACGGTTAACACATATCGAAGCCTACAATACTTCTCAGCCGTCCGTCTTCATCTCTTCGCTATCTCCATCGACCTGTTTTGCAGCCGCCACAAATCTCTCCTCCAAGCTTCCGAACAACGGTTTTGGCTGCGGGTTTACAGTTGTCGTAGCAGAGATTGGTTGTGGCTGTTCGCTTAGATGACCGGGGCTCGGGTGGTCCAATTCATCTACAAGTCCAAGCGCTTTCTGTCCCGCACCCTCCGCTCCGGCAGATGGCATTGCTGTGGCGGTACCACCGACGCGTATCGCAGGCAAGACAAGAGGGCTTGGCGGGGGACTGCGAGAGCTTGAGCGCCGAGCATCCTCGTGAAGGAAGGGGATAGGAGAAAACAGTGGCGTGGAGGGCGCTGACAGAGAGCTGACAGCAAGAGGTACGGTCCTGACGGCGCGTGGAGTGGCGCCTTCTGGTATGGGCGGGAATGCGTCCCATGTTGAGGTGACGAGAAGAGACCGTTCTACGGCACGAAGATATTTTCCCAGATACTTGTATTGTTCCGTAGGCCGCAGACAAAGTTCAGAAAGCCTTTGGATCGTGAAGGGTGGACTCCTTGAAAAGCTTGAGAGCTGTTATTCCGAGACAGAACAATATCACTCACTTGTGAAACTCGTTGAGCATCGAATACAGCGTTGCTTTATAGTCCGACGCCTCCTGTTCTGTGAGTTGGTTCTTAGGCGCTTCGATCGCACTGGATAGAACGCGTGCTTGCTCGCGAGGAGGGAACGGCGGGAGTTTCAGCCCACCCGGACATGGTGTGGCGGTTACTGTTAACCGCGAATACTCTTTCTTGACAGTCCCAGAGAGGAACAATGCTATATTCTGTGTAGGCCATGAGTGTTCGGCGTGTGCGCTCGGAAACGTACAGCATACCTTGTCGATCTTGTACCGAATGATATCTCGCAGCAGCGGCCATTTTGATACACTGAGAAGTCGTCAAGGCAAGACTGTTCCTGAGAGGGGTAGTTTGGAAAACGTACTCGACATGATCTGTGGATGCCACCTCCTCGAGCAACTCGTCATACTCTGCCAACTCGATGCAAGATTCAGCGATGGTACAGAAGCGTACACAAGTCGCGTACCTGTTTTCCACTCAAGGTCATCCTTTCTATCCGTGTTGTCCATTGTGGTATAGTTCGCAAATAATGAAAGCGAGGATAATGGTGGGCACGCAGCAGGGCGGGAGCAGAGAGGGTGCGTCCGCGACACGATCGGTTTAGAGAGACATCGAGCGTGAGATCTGTTCACATTGCTCGCACTGCTTTCGAGCGGCGCCCATCATACAGACTCTCAGGGAAATGCGAGTCCTCACCTTGGCCTGCTGGTGCTGCTATTGAGTTGCCATGTCTTTCTTCTCAGCGGCGTTCTTCACCAGAAAGTCGCGACACGCAACTCCCAAAAGTGCAGCATTCGAGGTCCTGCTCGTGCGTGTGATGTCAGCTGGCTTCAAGTGGCAGATCTTCCTGTGAATCTGCCGCAAGCTCTCCTGCCAGAGAAACTTCCGGGCTGCGTAATATTGGAACATCTCTCCCAGGTATTTTCTTTCCGACGACGATGGACGGCAATCATCGGCGCAAACTGATCCTGTCGTATGCACCGGACTGGTGAGTGTTTGCCAGGAATATGCCAATTGGTCTATGTATTGAAAGGGGTAAACGGTAGGATCGTGACGATTGTACTAGGGCATGTACATTGCGCTGAGAGCACGGCTGCCTGCTGACATTTCATGCAGTGCTTGCTTCGTTGCTCTTAACAACTCATCCGGCTTCAAGAGAGAGTTTTCTTTTAGTGATACATCGTGAGTTGTCAGAACACGTTCGTCTCCTTAGATCTCATCAGGACGAGTGCAGACTATATCATCCGTGAGATAACTATGCTTCTCATGCTTGCGACCCCTGGCTAATCCGGATTGCTCAGCTACGCGGAACATGAGCGCATCCCGGTCGGTCAATGATCGCAGAAAGCGAGGCAACGCGATCTAATGATTCCTATTCAGCCATTTGCACTCTACATCATTGCTGGTGCTTCCCCCTTCTTACTGCAAGCTATGATCAACTACCTCACTGTACGATCTTGGTGGGACCTGCACAACAGCACTCTCGGGCGTCAGTTCAATTCTTTGGACTACGGTGCGGATTGTCTGACTTATCTGTCCCGTCTCGTATAGTGGTACTCAGCCTTGCGTTGTCCGGCGTCATCACCCAATTCGTGAAGGTCACCGTGGGCCGACCACGACCCGGTATGCATTATCTCAAACCAACTCCTTGGCGAAGCTGACTTCGCTCACAGACGTAATCTCACGCTGTATGCCGCCGCCTGGTTCTGTTGATCCGCATTGGGGCCTATCAAACTACACAATTTGCACCCAGACAGACGATTATATCCTGAAAGATGGCTGGAGAAGCTTCCCCAGCGGCCATTCCAGTAGTGAGTAACGACTGGAATTCTCCGTAAAAGGCCGTGGCCACAACTCCCTTTCGCAGTGTCGTTCTCCGGCCTTGGTTTCCTCACTTTCTACCTCGCCGGAAAGCTGCATCTGTTTGATCACAGGGGTCATGCGGTAAACGTCAAGCTTTTACCCCAACGAAACTGATACTGATGTCGCCTCTCTAGCCAAAGGCGTGGGCAGCATTGACCCCGCTCTCCGCTGCGGCCCTCGTCGCCATTTCCCGCACGATGGACTACCGCCGTAAGTCGCCAAGCAAACCCTCTCCATGCGCACCTCTCATGTTCTTTGCTCGGACCGTCCTGTCTTTGTGCATATAATCCTTCATGCCAGACCACGCAACCGATATCCTTGCCGGCTCCCTCCTCGGCATCGCCACTGCCTATTTCTCCTACCGGCAGTACTTCCCCTCGCTCTCCTCCCGGCTGTCGCACCGCCCGTACTCCCCGCGCATAAAGCGCGAGCTCCTGCCCGTGCACGCGCAGAGCGTGCCGCTCGCGGCTGGCGAGGAGGAGTCTGAGGAGACGGACGGGGAGCTGGAACACGAGACGATCCCGAGGGATGAGCATGGCCATGTGCTATGGAAAGACGACGGCGATCGGGAGCGGAGAGAGAATATGGGGTTATCAGCGGCAGACAATTGTTGATACAGACTGTTCTCGCTTACCCCTTGTTGTAGTGATGAGCATACAACAATCATGGATGGGAAGAAACCGGTCAAGTTGAGCTCAATTTGACTTTAGACGTAGCAGATGTGACTATGTCCTAATTTTGACAGCACTGTCAACATGCGGTGAGTTTCTAGCCACCTCACTTTGGACAACGCAATGTTTGCGAGTCAAGCCAAGTCAGATTCGCGGTACCAGAGATAATGACAACAATGCAAGCAGAAAATCACTCCTCCAAACGCACAGCCCGGCACGGTCCAGCGGGCCGCGATAATCTGTGCCTACATCTACGCACACCATCCTTCCATCATGAGCTCTAGGCAGCCTTGCACTCCGTGTCCTGAGTGTCGCAGTCCGAAACAGTGAAGGACGCGTTTCCGCTCGCGTTCGCAGCGTCCGCGCACTGGTTGTGCTGTACGTCGCACGAGCGACCGAGCGCGGCCGACAGGTTGACGAACTCGTCCTGCTCCTCAGACGTGACTATAAATTTGCCATCGCTGGCCTGAGTGACGGCTGGCGCACTGACACCACCGACTGTAGACGTTTGTTGTCAGAGGAAGTTGTCGGCAGAAGAAACGACAAGCATACCAGCGCCAGTGAAGGTCTGAAGGTTCGATCCTGTCGCGCTATTGGAGGAACCTTAGATGATGATGTGCATGAATGACACATAACTCACGCAGTGCTCGTTGAGGCCGTCGCAGCAGCAGCCGTGGCGCTAAGGGGGAGGATGTCAGCTATCGTCACATCAATACGCTCGAGCTGGACTGACGTCGAGGCCGATGTAGCAGTGGCGACAGTATCAGCATTTGTTACTATGCCATTAGATGTTTCGTGCACGTCAGGCGAACGAACGTAAGCTGACAGGCTTAGTTCTTACCAGTGGCGGTCACCGAGACGGTTACGGCGTTGTCTGTCCCGCAAGTCACTGCTGCAGAGGATGCAGAAACGGTCGCAGAGATGCCAGCAACGGCAGCACTGATCTCCTCTGCGGTGGCATCGTCCACCAGCAGGTTGTCGGTGAAGATGCAGCCGGGCTCATCATCCGCATCGTCGCATGTGTTTCCTTTTGCCGTGGGATCGCCGATCGTACCAGCAGCGAACGTGCCCGACATCAACGCCAGCTGGGGGTCGCCTCCAACGGACGCGATCTGCGTGGCAAGTTCGAGGGCGATGGCTTTGTTGATGGCAGTGGCATTCGTGGAAGCGGGGTCCTGTAGAATAACGAGTTTATTGACGTCACTGAAATCGCTGTGAAGGGCATTGACTCACCTGATGTTGAGTGATAGCTGCGACCTCAGGATTCGTAGCGGTCTCGTTACATATAACGGAGGCCAGTCCAACAGATCCGGTGTTGCGCTCGAGCGCACGGTAAATAAGTGCAAAGACCATGCCAGTCACATTGCCTGCAGCGTTCGCATTTGTAAATGCTTGATCAGCGGTGTCTTGCTGGAGACAATCGAGATTCTGGTTGCGAAATCAATAAATCATTCAACAGGTAGTAGAAACGAAGAAGCTCACCGTGATGCTTCCAGCACCCCCTGCAGCAGCCGCATCGCCCAACAAACCAAAAACAGGATCCTCAATATTATTAGGGTTGTCAAGGTCCAACATGGGGCGCACGGATGCCAGCACAATGTTATGGGAGTGCTCTACGAAGGCATTGCTGAACTCAAGTGTGTCGACGGAGGATTAGCAACATACGCACCCTGCGGCACCTCACGCTTGATGCTCAGTGGCAAGGCCCAGGCAGTGCATACCAAGACAAGACTGATGAACTTGAAGGACAACATGACGAAAATGTGATAGAAAGGAAGCGACTTGTATCAAATGAAATGAATGCTGTAGTCAAAATGAAAGGAACGGCCGGCGACCTGCGAATCTGCAGGCATAGACAGAGAGTTAGAATGTAACATACAATGCAGCATGGCTTTGCCGTGAACTGACCGAGTGACCTGATGCACAAAGAAAACCAGTCTGGCTGGTACAGAAGAAAAAACGGAAGCTGGTACATGCATCCCGCTTTCCGGCTTTTATGTTTGTAAGACTCGTGGCCGTACCTGACCGCACATTTTCCATGACGACTTTGGAATCTGGATCGTTGCGAGGCTCGGTAGAACATGCTGTTCAAGGACGGTCCGACGCTGACTATCGACATCAGGGGAGACATGCATATAGAAAGTTGAGCACACCATCTTTCGGGTCAATTTGGTTGCCTGACAACAGGCGAGCAGATAAGAGTACCACTGGTCACCAATCACTATGATCCCATGGCCAAACGCTCGTGCGTGAAAGATGATAAACTAGATGCATTATGCTATGAGTGCTCTGTTGCGCGAGGAGTTCCAGGAAAGGCAACCGCTGTTGTCATGTCCTTGCGACGAGCGTACCCACTACTCTCGGTCAGCTATCACCTGTTACACACTCCCTCACGACGGTTGAGAAACGCGCGGCCGGAGAATGAAACGGGCCCGAGAGCCGTCCAGCAACTGGAATTGATGTGGGGAGAGCGATCAACACGATCGTCGACCGTAAGCCCGGTATCCAAGCAGTCGGCACCAAGCATATTAAGGTATATCTTTCTGGTCCTTCTGAGAGGGAGATCCTATTGCATAGAAAGAATGGTAGCTGGAGCCTTACCACTCGGGCTTGGAGGTTGCAATGCTCGGTTGGACGGGGCCATAGGATCGCGGCTCCTAAGAAACAGAATATTGGGCCAGCATATGAGATCACGGTGGTATTGGTCGGAGACGAAAGAGCGCCGTTCAAAAAGCACCATGGACTATCTCATGAGAGCAGTGATTGCTTCTCAACGCATCCCCTTGAGTGAATAGTCTGATGCAAAGAGCTGGCATAACAACTGCTCTCAGCCTGCTTTCTAGCACCACAGTTACCTGGTCTCTTGTGTCAGCAAGAAGTCGCCACGCTCCGGTCATGACGCCAGGACGCGTCTCCATGGTGCGAAATACACGAGCTTCGCTTGATCCTTGTGAGTGCCGTTTGCGGCGGCTGGCCATCTGCATTCTGGAATGTCCAACAACGTTACGCGACTCAGGCGGCGGGACTGTGCACGACTAAGCATGTATCGATTGATGCTCCTAAGGTACAACAACATGATGGGTCAGATGAATGCAAGGATATGGTACAATCGAGATGCTACAATGTCCGTGAGAATTTGCTCTATCGTCCTGCTATGAGCAAGCTCCTAAGATCCTCGCTCAAAGTTGGCCGCGTTGAGATTGCCTTGGCTTCCGCGGCCTCAGTAGAGAGGTCTCTAGCATTTTTCCGGCGTCGGACACTACCCGAAGTGGTCTTGCTTGCTTCCGCTGCGCGTCGATCCATATCCGCAACCATCTGAGCAAATGAGAGGAAGAGGACCTCCGCTTGGGCAAGAGTGGAGTCCAGCTCAATGGTCATACTGAGTTCATTGCAATACTGCAAGATGGGTCAACAAGCTGCTCTCTTATTTAGTCTGATACAGAACATGCCTTGAGGATTTCATCGAACTGCGTGCACTTGATATGTGAAGACAAGAACGCGCGTCGACTTGGTTTGAGCACGTACCTCAACCAGGTAACGAAGGATGACATCTCTGTGAGACTCCAGGATGGCGAGTGCTACGAAGAGAACAAAGTCGTTACTGTAATAGTCTGTCCACAGGACCTCCCACAGGCGAAGGACGTCCTCGAAGGGGAACTCGCGTTTGAAGTGAATCAGAATCCAGCTAATCACAAGATTAGTGCCGAAGGAGTGATGGGCACAGCAGACGATCACACGTACCGAAAGCAGAAGAAAAGGTTCAACGAATCAGTCTTTTCTGTAACGATAAAAGCATTAGCATCGCCATTTCATACTCACTTGTTCTGCAACAAACCTAGATGACGATAAAGCTCCGGATCCATGACCCGAATCAATTGCTGCAATGTAGATAGTTGCTTCCTCATTCCACTTTGATCTCGCAAGAAGTTCTGTTTCTGTGAACAGCGGAGACTCTCAGCCAGGATCGCCATCATCGCGTAGGTATAGTTACCATGCAGTTCATGACTTGAACAAAGCACCAGAAGGTGAGCTCCTCGTCGCCTTCCATGATGACATAGATAGGCGCGCAAAGATCGGACATGCCTTGAACGTAGCCTAGCATCATCGAAATGGGGCGTTGTATCCAATGGGGGAGTGCAAAGCTCACGTACCGAGATCCTTCTCATAGAAATTGTATGTGAGCAAAATTGTGGCCAGTCGCTCGATATGTTCGTTCGTAGGCGCCTGTGCACCGATGTCGCATAGTTGCGGCGAGATCGTCGAGTAGCGCATGTGCATCATCGTCTTTTCGTCCTCACCGTTCAAGCCAGAAGGCGTAGAGCTGGGTATATTAGCAAACAGGGGATGCGACCGGTCCGTCCGGCGGCAGTCCACATCTATACGATGCCGTTCCTGGACCAACACATCCAAGCTTGAGTACGCTTTGGTCAATTGTCGATGCCAGCCAAACACGTACCTCTACGACATCAGGCCGGTCAAAAATCTCCGGCACACCGCACCACTCGTCCTTCACAGAACGATATTGTTGCCTATCGAGCACCGTTCAGACAGATATCATCCCATATAACGCACATACAAACCGTTTCTTCTCCCACTCTTGTGCCCGCTCAGCATCAGTAGAGTCCCATTTGTGAATTCCAAGCAGCAAGGGCCAGACGCGCTTCCTTAGAGCGCCAGAAGAGCTGATTCCTCTTCGGAAGATCTCGCGCCTCATTTCCTCGTTCCTAACTGTCGGCCGGCCATCCGAAGCAAACCAGCTCTTCCATGCTTTTTCATCCACGGGGTGCTTGGGATCTCGCGAGGACTTGGGAGTGGGTAGATTCGATGTGGATTGAAGTAGTTCAAACACGCCTAATGAGGATGTCTCTTCGGCAAGTTCAGATGAAGGCAAGGCTTGCGCCTCCCTTATACGCGCCCGTTCTCCTTCTTCCGCGACAATGCGCGCCCATCGCGCAAGGTACACTCGTGCGCTCTCGAACTCACCAACGCCACCTTTCTCTACCCAACTACCCCACTCCCACTCGCCGTTTGCATTGACCAGGCTCTTCACCGGATCGGGTAGGTGAGGAACAATGGGCTTTGCGAGGGGATGTGAGAGAATTTGCTGAGCAGCATGGGTAGCATGGCGGGTAATATGCGAAAATGATTGTAAGAGAGCCATCCTCGCCTGAGAAGGGGCCGCATTCGACGAATATGTTGAGGGGAGTGAGCGATGGAGGACAGATGCACGAGTGGAATAAGGGTTTGACGGTGAGGAAAGGGGCCGAGGCCGTCGATGCGCGGGGATAGGAGAATACGAATTGGCATAGGAAGACTGAGCAAGTATGTCGTCCACAGCGGTATCCGAGAAGAGCTGTGTAGAATGTGTCTCAATGTCTTCTCGCGAAGGGTCCACGAGATAAAGGGTGGATTGCAGAGAAGACCGCATGATGTAAGCATAGAAGCGGAGGCGAGCAAGTAGATCTTCCCCACCCCATGACACGCTTCCTTTATTAGGAGGAGCAGCATCGGATGGAGGAGGGGGATACGAAGCAGGAGGTCTGGCATCGGTCGGAGATCTAGATGACGTTGTGAACGAACGGGACTCATCGTCATGAAAGTAGAGTGTCGGGAGAGTGGAGCCGCTGATGAGGTTGATAGCAATAGAGCCATCTAGTCATGAAATTATGAGTTGTGAGTGAACTACCAGCCATGTCACGTACACCATTGAGACAACGAGGGCGGCTGCACGATGAGCGAATAGATCGAAGTTAGCGGGACCGAGAATGCATAAGATTCCGGGCGTTGCACAGGAAGCTCGATTAGCACTGCATCTACATTAAAGTAAGCAATATAATGAGCGAGTATATATATATGAGAGCATACCTTCGTCATCCTCATCATCTACAGCTGAACACTCTTCTACTTTCGTGAACTTGTCCCATTCACTCTGCCCTTTCTCATCCAGCAAGGTCTCCGGAATCCATGCCAACAAATAGCTCGGGTTTATGCTCTCCTGGAAGTTGTAAACGTCAGAGTCCAGGCAGAGGTATAAGGCTCAACTGACTCGCTTCACGAGTACCACAAATCCGGGTATATTATCTCTGGCATAAGCAGTTGGATTCACATAGACCTTTGACTTGCTGTAGATGAGTCGGTATTTGCTTTCATCTTGACTATTCAACAAAGGTGAGCGCCGGGCGTCTTCGGAATCCGGAGAGTCGTGCTTGATTTCAACCATGGATTCTACCTGAACAAGGTGAGCCGATTCATTTCCGATGACTGGAGACTGCGACACGTACAGAAACAGTTGAGAGCGAACCGTCAAAGGGAAGAGATTGAGGCGAACTGCCCATGAACGCTGCGTTCGGAGTTGATATGGGGGGGTAAATGCTGCGTACTGCGTGCTCATGTGCTCATGAGAGCGTCCCGACGGGCGCTAAGCTCTCGCGCGCATCTGCGCGCCACTGCGCATCACGTACGTGCTGTATCACGTGAATATGCACCACGTGGGAGCGCTTTCTCGGGAAGAGCAATCAAGCACAAACAGCGCACGCAGAACTGTACAGTTTCTAACTCTGCTGGAAATTCCGTAGCCACACAGCAGTACTGTGGGCAGCGCAAACACCGAGCTTTACGATGGAAAACGATCAGGTACGGTGCAGAAATGTTGTCGGTAACATCGTATGTGGCTCTGACGACTTTGCGGCGGTAGGGTGTTCTCGTCGACCTCTACGTCCCCCGCAAGTGCTCGGCGACCAGTGCGTTAAGGCCCATTGATTCTTGGTCGAGGCAGCTAACAGGCCATGGTATCGCAGACCGACTTATCACGGCGAATGATCACGCTTCTGTGCAAATTAGCATCTGCGATGTTGATTCTGAGGGTCGTGCCCTGCCCACTTCCACGGCGTTTGCACTCTGCGGCCCGGTGCGCGCGATGGGCGAGAGTGATGACTCCCTCAACCGGTTGGCGACCAACGCGGGACGTGAGTGCTCACATTGGCCACCGGAATCTGCCATCCTCTGACATGAGGCGTGTAGTGTTGAAGAATGTCTGGTCTTTCCAAAAGTAATCTCATCTGACCGAAGAGTCCAGCTATTGTCGTGTATCATTTCCGTCGCTTCCTGTTATCACATTTTCCGCTACTCTGTGTCCTGCATGCATCTACGATGGTAGACTCGCATGAAAGAGTCAGTACGAATGGCGAGGTACGTATGTTCACGTTGTCACCGGGACGCACAGAAAGGCATCGCATCATGCAGCCCGTTATGATAGTGTGGTTTGCATCCGTCTACATAAAATGATGGTCGAACAATTGCATTGCAACAGCTGTATCCACCTAATTAGCAGGCGAAAGCACAAAACGAATCGCACTCTTGAAAACATCTGGAGATATCACGAGTGACCTCAACGGCCACCATAGGAGGGAAATCAAGAAGCTATCAGTCTGAGGTAATATCGATCACATCTGTTGGATCATGTTGTATCTTTTTCCGCTTCCTAGGCGGCCTTGCGGCTGCTATGGCTGCGGATGTCGAAGTGGATGCTGTAGAAACTGGGGCCATGTTGGTTGACGGATTTGCAATGTGAAAGTAAGGCCTGGATTGAATACCTTGTGTCCCTGAAGTACCCCGCGGGACGATACGATGCGAAGCCATAGGCCGCGAGGTGTTCTGTACGACTTGAACATTAGCTCCTGAGGTGGACGCAGCTGCTTGTGCCGCGGGACGACTGCTCGAGGCACTGCTTTGAGTTGTCGTTGTAATGCCGCTTCCATTGCCATGCAGCAGGGCCACGATTCGGTTGTAGTCGCTATCCAGTATCATTCGGAGTTCCTCTGAATTACCACTGATACCTTTGAGGAGTGCGTATCCTTTCTTCTGGTCGGACACCCATCGTACAGGGTGGTATATCGCATCCGTCTTGGTGACCTAGCGTAGAAGGGTCAAAATGCACCTCCGAAGGCTTTTGAGTCCTTGTGCACATACCTTCAAATCTTGCGGCGATGTGCGGATTGTGTCCCAGGCCGCGATTTTGTCGGCACCGCAAGACCTCAAATATGTTTCGACATGTTTCTTCGCAGGGGCACCAATCTTTTCCCATGTACGACTCCGTTCGGGCTTGTGAAGCAGAAACTGCCGCACACCGGAGCAAGGTTGGCAATTGCATGTCCATCGTCTTTGGATGCTTTGCATCTGAGCAGTGCAGTCAGCGGGCCGTGGGCCTAAGACCTTCTCGACCCACGCAAGAGCAGTTTTGCGCAACACGACAGCGGATGCACCAGTTGTGACAGGCTCCTTGTGCGCCTCGGCAACCTTGCGCAACTCAGGAACGAGGGGCACCAGAATGTCCCTGACGTACTGTTCTGCGAGAAGTGCTGGATTTACTACTCGTCTTAGGATGATGTGACATGCCTCCAGGACGTTCAACGAGAAACAGGATTCCAGAGCATCGATAATTGGCTTGACTACCGACGCAGGTGTGACTGGCGTGGCAGGACGTGCCCAATACCCATAGCTGACGCTGCTAGTCCTGGCTTCCTGTGGAAGATTCACTTCTGAGGCGTATTTTTTCCCAAGCCGAACGATGGCCGTCTGGACATCCGTCGTCGGAACCACAGTTGAGAAGTTCTCGCGGTTCGCATGCAATTCTTCAGCTAACGTCTGGAAGTTCAGCGCGTTCTGAGATAACGCCTCCAAACTTGGAATGATGCTGAAAAGCCGGTCATGGTCAGCCTAGAGATGCATTGAGAACTTGACGATAAGTTACTGACGTCGTTAACACCACTTGCGGCTGACCTGCCAGTACCATTGCCCTTATGACGGACGAGAGGTCTGGCTTAGATATGCTGTAAGGAGAACGAGCTGCCGACCGAAGATACTGGTCCATAGCAACGCCACACAACTTGCGTAAGTCTATCACGGGACGATCAGCGGGACGCGATCGAATGGCATCGGTCAGCGACGAAAGCAGTGGGATCAAGACATCTTTCGCCTGCGTCTGTATAACTTCACCGGTCTGGCCACTGAAGTTGGTGAGCTTGTCAATGATGAGCGGCACCAGCTCCTGTTGATCCGTTTTCAGGCACGTTTGAATGTACCGTTGAGCTTGCATGAGATTCTTTTCAGCTTCTGATCGTTCGTCACGGTACGCTGTATAGTACGGATATGCCTGTGCTTTCTTTGTAGAGGCATAGAAGTCCACCCCAGAAATAGCAGCGGATAGAAGTTCCTTGACTATTCGCCGGCGCACACCCGGGTCTGCTGCTACCATATTGTCATGTAGGTAGGCAGAGAAATCCAGCAAGAAAGATGAATCCGCCAAGGCCTTCAATTGGGGAATTATACTACTGCTCTTCATTAGCAGAGCATTTACAAGTGCGATGATCATTCCTGATGCAACGTACCTCTGTTCCAAGAACGGTGACCCTCCGTATCTAGTGGCCAAGGAGAACATCAAATCACACTCGTCTGCTGCGGGTTTGGCGAGCGTGTTGGCAATCTTGAGACGCTGTTCGTCAAACCACCCAGTGGGGAGGTCTGCAAACAACTGTCGGTTTTCTTCCAATACCGCTTCTTGGAGGTGGTCTAGCAGCTGAAACCTGAGCCGATTGCTACTATCTCGTAATAGACTGGCCTCGATACTATGTAGACCCAGCACAATCAAACGCGTCGTAACGGATTGTTATGACTGCATACTTACATGATCTTGATAGACGTGAAACCAAACACGAGGAAGGCCGAGCAAGCATTGTTTACACCAATCGTGGCGATGCTTCGTTCTGCGTCGCAGACTTTGATAACTCTCACCCATGTGGCCAGATCTTTCCATCTCACAGCTGCCTCACAGACACTGGGCACCACTGTTGTGGCATCGGACGCAGATGCTCGGTGGAAAATGTAGTCGACCATGTCCATTTCATCTGCGGTAGGACTCGCGGAATTGCTAGCCTTGATGGTATCGCATGCATACTGAAGGCCTTCGGCGCCGTGCATGATGTCAACGTCGTTCCTTTTCGGCCAGATCACAAGCGCAGTCCGCCGATACCCTGAAGAAGATTAGTTCCCGGTTGAAATCATCTCGTACTTCAATGCTCACATCGTTCAAGAGAACCAGCGCCCTAAGCAGCTCGTCAGAACATTACACGGTATTCCAATCAAATCGGATGTCTCACATTGCCGAGGTATCCCTCATAATCTTGGTCGTCGCACTTTTCCTCTTGCAATGTGTCCGCCAAATCCTCCGGTATTGCCTCATGTTCAGTATCAATCTCGAGTTCTTCCGTAATCAGCCTTCCGTCGAGGTCGACCAGAGTCTCGATGCTGACATCGCTCTCCTCCACCTCTGCCATGCTGACCTCGTCGTTCCCATAGCCTCCGCCACAGTCATCCGCATAGCCCTTGAGGTGACATACTACGGTGGCAAGGCCAATACGGAAATCAAGTTGCTTTGCCACAACGTCAAGTGTTGCAACAAGCTGGGCGTCGTCGCCTTTGAGTGCGCTGCCACGGAGACTTGCTAGGGAATATTTGTGATCGAGAAGGTATACAACTTTGCTCGGAGCCTTGCCGTCCAGGTTTTGCTTCCAAGACAGCAAAACGCGACGCAATTTTTCTACGGCGTTCGCATTCCCCGACAATGCAGGTCGAAGCGAGCTTGTGGTATGGATCAGATTGAAGGATAGAGCGAGTCTGAAGCCCTCCGTAATGGGCTTCACCTCCTGCTTGACATCCGTGTACCATGCCAAGACAGATGTCTCAAATAGGCTCTTGGGACTGCAATCGTAGACCGAGGATAGACTGCCACGCGAGACGTGCACGGCGCCTCCGCTGAACTTGGACGGGAGTACTATCACAATTGTGGCAAACATGCCATCCATCTTCTCGGTGCTAGCCGATGATCAGTAAGACAACGATAAGCGTATAAAGACGTACTCCACATGAGGCAAGAAGCTGGCAATACAAGGACTGAGCGGGCGCAGCGAAGAGAAAACGGCAACTCGTATAATAGGAGCTTATACAACTCGCAGCGCGATTTACTAGCTGCGATATTGACATCCAGCACCGTACAAACATCCGACATAAGTCGAGCCCAAGAAAGTCTTCCATGCAGGGTTCTCAAACCTAATCTGCAGATCTGATATTCAACAAGCACGCTTCCAGCCGGCAAGACCTCAAATTCACCTGTTTTGCATCAATCTCCCATGTGTCTCGTACGGATTTGTCGAGCACTGTACGCTCGCCCATACCAAATGGCGCTGGCTCAGCTTTCGATTTGATCGCCTCTGCGTCCCGGATACTCAGTGGCAGACCAATCGTGCCCAGACCTTCAACGCGCAGTGCCGGATTGGGTGCATCAGGATACGCACGATTGAAGGCGAATGCTCCTTCGAACGAGAGGTCGGATAATATGTCGATGAGTTCAGCCTAGCAGCAGGCTCAACGTAAGCCAGACCATATCTAGACTGAACGCACACGGATATATTCAGACGGACAGTCCACAGGACGTTCATCCCCATCTCCTTCACCTTGATTATCGTCTGGTTCGGCTTTGATAGCCCCGTTATTCTGCTCGTTCCAGCTATGCATGCTCTGTGGAACTAGGTCCTCATCAGCGCCGCCCAAAATAGGACGATTATGTGCGTAATGATACCTGCTCCTTGTGAAGCGTCAGCGATTGTTGGCTCGATCACGACGTCTGCATTGCCTAGCTCTCGTGCATTAGGATCGCTTTTGGGACAGCTGCTAGCGGCATTGATCATGTCAGGATTCTCCAAGGCGTCTGGGTGATGGTATCTCGTCTCCGCCTTGTCCAGACAGTTACTTCCTCTAAATATTCAGATCCGAAAACGGGCTGGGTGAGCGCGAGAGAAACAGTACTGACCACAATGTTCGCAGACAGACACCGTGGACGGCAAATCTTCCACCTGCAGTGACCGCTATTTAAAGCGACAGCTCACCTGGACGGAACGCCATCTTTGCCCAGCTCGCTTCTTGATCACACGGTCGCGACCGAGTAAAGCTTTCACTCGTGAGAGATTCGAAGAACTAAACTGATTTACCATCAGGTTTTGCGGCAATCGTACCAAAATCTCGTCTGATGCGTGATCAGTGGAAGAAAGCAGTGGATGATTCTGATAGCATCCGATGATCCACCTCGTCAGAGATTATACGCTGAAGGTATCATGGACCTCACCTATGAGGAAGCACTGGATATACATATATCGATGAAGTCTCAGGAATGACACCGTTCCGATGAGGGTAGCTATAAAGGATTCCCCTCAAGCATAGTACTTCAACGCAGTATGTTTCCACACGTGTCCCTTGCTCGCCAGAGCAAGGCTCAGCCTCGAAATGAACGCCGGGCGCTTTCCACTGTTTGGCAGTATTCGCTCAGGGTGGCTTACCGTTCTCTGTTCTTTGTGAGCTGCTCAATTTATATTCCTTCGTGTTCTTCAATTCGTCGCTGTCGGATCTACTTCATGATGTTTGTCTTCACCATGCCCTGGGGCATCATGCATAGTATCTGTTTTGCCATCTTCTCATCTGCTGGATGTCCACTGTCAAAGCTCATCTCAATTCATCTCAATTCAACCTCAGTCTCTGAAATTTCATTCCTTCATTGTTGCTATCCAGATGCTATGGCAGTATATCAGATTCTTTCATATACCCTTCTGCTCCTGAAATCACAAGCATGTTTATGGCAGTGCCATGTTCTGTGTGTCGCTTGTACAATTCCTGCATGATATATAGGTTAAATGATTGATATATATAGTTTTTCGTAGTGGCTACCCAAGTTTGAAATTTAGGGCATGCAACACTGATAGCAAATGCAATGGAGGCAATTTTTTCTCAAAGGTAAGACACCGGTTAACATTTACTACACCTTATGCACTTGTTACACGGCATCTAAGGCGAGCAAGGGATCTGCCGCCAAGGGCGGCACTTCTCGAGTTCTGAAGTGTTGCATTTGAAAACAGTATCCCTAATCAGGCAACTGTAGCAAGCTGAATAGCGTAAACGAACGGATGTAAATTGAATACTCCATACTTCGGGTCGCGAGAGTGACAGACGCGATGTGACACGCATGGCAGCCATCAATATTCAACATTGAACAATCCCGCCGTGCATGGGCCATGGGCCGCTCCTTGCAACGAGAACGACGTTCTGCATCTTTATTCGCCGAAATCTGCGAAAAGCCGACGAGGCGAAAGTTGGAGGTGCGTTCATGTTCCAACTCCGCTTTGGGTGGCGGCCGTCTCTGCCGGCGGCAAACGACGATCTATCACATCAGTGAACGTTGATCAGGCCCACCGTGACGGCTAACTGGGCTCGCTATGCATGCAATGCACCTTCTTACAGCCACCACGTCCAGCATTCTGTCCAGTAGTCCTTATCCACCATGAACTCTTCATCCGGACAGTTTGAAGAGCTAAACGACGATCGCCGGTTGGTGCCAATGACCTCGATTCCGTCATGCGTTCACGCAGCGTAACTTGGTAGAGAATATGCCTCGCGACCTGAGGATGCGGTATCTTCTGAGCGTTCGGGATCATCTCCGCATCTGTTGGACCTCGATTTGCCCGCGTCCGAACTCGACCTTACCACAACGTTCGAGTCCATCATGTCAGAGCCAGCATCGCGTCCAGACACAGGGTAAGTCACAGCGCATGGTACTATCCTGACTCCGCTGAGCGATGGATCGGACACGCAGAATGAATACGGTGCAGAAGCGAGCGAGCAATGTTCTGAAGCTGACCCAGGAGCACGCCAAGCTTCAGGCCGAGCTCAAGGCAATGACAGAGAGGCTTGAGGCCGCAGAGCGCAGGCAGCGGGAGCTGGCCGAGAGAGCGGCGGCCAAGGAACGGCGGATCCCCACATCGTGACTCGCTGCACTACCCACGCGCTTCCTTCTTTTACATATAGCATTGCCTTCTCTACTATACCCAGATGTTCTCACCCGACTAATCGCCAGCCTGGAGTCAGCCATGTCCGGAGGGTTCTGTACCAGAATACCGCCTCGTCATAGCCAATATATATAGAATGGTATGCCTGCTATCGATTCGCGTGTGGCAATATGCCCGACTGCAGGGAGATATGTATATGTATCGCATCAATATGTACCTTGAAGTCATGTCCAATTGTGTGCTTCATGCAGGGCGCAGTTAAGGGGAAGTCAAACTGCGAAGGGTGGGTAGGCAGGAATCGAGCGGCGTCAGCAAGACAACAACTACGGCTAGTAGTATTAATTCGGTTCTCATCGTACCCCACACCTTATCAAGTGATCTGAGGCTATAAAGATGCTGCAACCACCCTCTGCCTCCGTCTCCTATCCTCTCCCATCCTCCAGTTAGCTGCGATCGTAATGGCCAACCGACGACCTTCTGTCCTCGACTCTCCGGTGCCGGGCACCATGCTGGCCAACCGACGACCCTCGGTGTTCGACTCGCCCTCGTCGAGGCGTCAGTCGGGTCTGTCGTCTCGCCGCCCCTCAATCGACCCGGCGAGGCTGGTCCCGATGGACAAGTTAGTGTCTTTTTATCCATATATGCATGTCTCTCGACAGCACGGCCATTCTCGGTGGTAAATCTGGCTCGAACTTGGGCGTCGTCGGCAACGCAAATGTGAAGGCGCCTATCGTTGATGAAAGAACATGAACCTATGCGCAATGTGTTTATATTCTGGCCTAAGGAGCTACACGCTGAGCTGTTATGCACGATCCTTGCTGGAAGGGTCTACCAGAGTTAAGCCCACTATTGACTGTGTAGCGAAGGAATTGATCGACATGCCACAGGCAACATATATACGACGAGAGCCAGTCGATCGCACCATTCCGATTCATATCTGCGTTGACAGAATGGATCTAACCAGTGCACATTGCTTGCTTTCACAGAGCTTTTGCTATCAGTGGACATGAAGATTTCAATGTCGTCTTCGTCGGCGCTGGCAATATCATGTTCGGTATGTGCTCCGTCGTAGCGCATTTATCTCCATTTGGACGCGTGTTCTTTCTACAGGATCGGAAGAAGGTCCCTGGAATCACTCCTTCCGTTTCGAACAGTGAGGACTCCTTGAGATCACAGATGGCCAGCCATACTCATTGATTATTTGTCTCCTACTGACAGCAAGCTGGGTCCGCGCTTGAAGGTCGTCGCATTGATCGATCCTGCCGTCGAGCGTGCCACGGCAGTGTTGCAAAAGAAGTGCGACACCTTCGTGCGCTCCGCCTACGAGAACACGCGCGTCTTCCGCACGCTCGAGGACTTCGTGAAGAATATGTCGCGCAAGGACACTCCCCGCGCCGTGATCGTGGGGAGTCCGCCGATGTTCCGCGGCACCACTCAGCCTGGGCGCGACATTGAGCTGCAGATCCTGCGCCACTTCCCCGGCGTTGCGATGTTCATTGAGAAGCCCGTGGCCACTGGTCCGTCGAGCGAGATCGAGGAGGTATTCAAGGTTGCCAAGTTCATTAGCGAAAGCGGCACCGTCTGCTCCATCGGGTTTGTGCTCAGAAGTTAGAATTGAAGTCGAAGGCTGACTTTTGCAAAACGGCAGGTACATGTTGCGGTATCTGAAGGCAGTTCAGATGATGAAGCAGATCATCAACGACAACAACCTCACCGTCATGGCCACGGTCGCCCGCTATGCCTGTGCGTACGAGGCCATCGCCAAGCCCGACTGGTGGGACAAGTCCAAGAGGTAAGCGATATGCACATGATCAGGCGGCCGCATGTTGACGCGCTTTGCCTACAGTGCTGGCCCTATCGTTGAGCAGGGCACGCACTTCTGCGACCTTTCTCGCTACTTCGGAGGCGAGGTCGACATGACCACGGTCAGCGCGCACTCTCTCGAATGGGACGAGAACGCCGGCCACCTCTCGAAGATGGCGGTCGATGAGACCGCTATTCCTCCCGAGAACAGGATCCCGCGTGTCACTGCTGCTACATGGTAAGTACCCACTATCGTTACTGAGGACATGCTTTGATCGTGTTCTACAGGAAGTACGACAGCGGTGCGGTGGGCAGCTTCACCCACCTTGTCGCACTCCAGGGTCACGATTACAGCTGCGAGCTTGAAGTGTACGCAGATGGCTACCAGCTGAAGTATGTCCACCTCTTACCGCGACCTAGCTGAGAATGTGACGCGAACGTAACACCAGGCTCGTCAACCCGTATGTGCAGCCGGTCCTTTGGATTCGTAGGCCAGGCAGCGACCACGAGGAGTCCTACCGTTTCCCCGATGATGATCCATTCTTCTCTGAGGTCAGTTGACTCCTTTAATTAGTCGCTCTTGACCAATGTGTTGACGCTTTGTGACAGATCTCCGTGCTGATCGACAACATCGAGGACATCGAGGAGGAACCGGAAACCGCGCAGATCCTAAGCTCCTTCGAAGGTTCGTCTCTTGCTGCGCATATGAGGAGCGGTCCTGAATCTGTAGTCTGCTGTTCTAGATGCATGCAAGACCTACCAGCTGACTTGGGCCATTCGAGAGGCTACTGAGCGCAACCGTAAGAATAAGAGAGAAACAACTGTCGTGGAGTAAGCGCAGAGCACGTGAAAGCAGTATCATATCCTCTCGATATCACTCATGAAAAGTGAAAGGCAAAGCGGCGAAATACTCATACATTCCTGTACGATAAAAATAGCAAAACAATGGATGGTTGCGATTGCTCGCGAGACACAGTTGAGGCGGACACTGGTACATATGGTTTTGCAGAGCAATGGTACAGCCAATCCCCAAATCAAGACGGGTCAAAGCGATAACTTTCAGTACATAAATGCAAGCGGACTGCGCTCACTGCGATTCGGTGTGCTGCTTCTTCGTTTCTTCATCAGCTAATTCGCCTGCTTGCCCCTGGGAGGCGGAACTATGCTTCCTTTTCCTCTCGAGCTTCGCCTTCTCTCTTTTCGCTTCTTCGTCCCACTCTTCCTGTAGATGCGTTTTAAGCGTGGGCATGTTCTTCTGCTCTTTGTCGCATCGCCAGCATACTAAAGGCTCCTTTAACAGAGGCTCGTACTGGCTCGGCTTGAGCTGGGACATCTGTGACAATGCTTAGGATGTGCAGGCCAGGAGGGTTACTGAAAGCGACTCCGGAGTCTAACATGCGTGGCCCTATGTCGCTTCCAGGCTTATTGAGATGACACTCACCATGGCAAAGTATGAGGGCTCCGCATCGAACCAAGAGCGGATGTCATCAAGGGGAAGAAAGAAACCCAGTTTAGGATTAAATGAGTTATAATGCTTCTTGACCTTCATACTGGCGGAGCATAAGTCGGACGAGATGACGTGGAGATGGAGGTGTCTTCCTAGAATGTGAGCACCTTATTTCATTCGGCACATGAAGTACAGAGACGCACTCCATAGAGGACACAGCATGGAACCCGGTCCAGATACCCCACTTGAAACCATACCTCTTCATCATCTCTTCCTCAATCATCGCTCGCGCAGTCTTGGCCGTTTCATTCAGCCTGTCCAGGAGGTCCTTTGCCCGTGCTTTGTCGCACTTGAGCAGGGTCCGGAGGTTCGTGAGCTCGAAGACAGTAAACGGCGGAAGGACACGTGGCAGGACGAGCAGATGGAATATGGATTTGGGGAATGCGTCGAATATTGTGATAGTATCAGCGTTGTGAGCTAGCAGGATCGACGCAGGGATCGCTTTGTCAGGGTCGGCCCTGAGAGCGTAGCCACGCAGGATAGTTAAACGAGACATGGTCATCAGAGACTCATGCAGTTTACGATGAGCTCGTCGTCAACTTCGTTCTGAGGGCAGCCGGCAGACAGTTGAGGATGAAGGTTGAGCTGCGAAGTCGCGCCTCCTTCGAGACCGGGGCTCGGACGCGATCACGTGGTACGCGATCCTGACAGGAGAGCAGGGATGCGACGCCGCATCTCCTCGGTATTCGGAAAGCAAATACGTTAGATTCCTATCAGCTACTCGCAAATCAGATTGCAGGAAGAATGTAGAATTACTACATATGATGCATTACGACAAACGAACGCCGAGAAAGCCCCGTAACATTCCAAAGAGTCAAAGATAGTACACGAGCACCAAAGCACAGCATGTCAGCAAAACGCACAACAGAAGACACTATATGAGCAATAATACTAGGGAATACGTGTAGCAGCGCGACTATGTTACCTCGAGGACGGATATTTCGAGCACCCGAAACTGCGACTGGTCCTTGGAGTGTTCGGACCAACCAACGACCTCGCGCCAATTAAATACGTTCGCTTCCTTCTCACCTGCACCTGCGAACAGACCGAGGTCATCATCGGAGACGCCGCGGAACATCATGAAGAGACGTGTGAAGACGCAATTCTCTGCTGTGACAGAAATGTCGATGGCTGCAGCTATCCTGCTAGGGGTCATGAAACGATATGCGATATTGCGGTGAGCGGAAAAGGCAAACACGTTCTGGCTGGAAATAGGTACGGTGAGATGTCAGACTGTTTTTTGCGAAGAACATAGACTTACTGAATGAATTGTGTCCGTGCCGTTAAGGATAGTCCTAGCTGCTCAAGGACACGCATGATATGGGACATGAAGTCTGTATAGGGCATTGCAAAACTGTTCCGAGGGGCAATAAACTCGTGCGGGTCGAGCATCCCAGGTTCCGGTCTGTGAGCGAATGAGATGATTTAGCGACCCTGCTGGAGATGTTGAGCTTACATCGCTTCGTAGTATAGTGACGTCGCAATGGTCTCGGACTCGAAGTGCTCTAGTGCGCCACCAGGATGAACCCGCAGGAAGTACTTCACTTTTTGGTCTTCAATAGGCTCTGCGGGCGGCCAAGTTACAGCAAGCTTCCAAAATGGCGCGAATGCCAGGGTGACATCGCAGTATTGTTGTACTGGTGCAAGGATGCTCAAATGGCACTTTGCCGTGGCAGGCTTAGCTGCGAGAGCAAGCTTATTGATGACGCGCGTGTCGACGATGAGGTCGGTAGAGATTTCTTGCGTGTTCGCTATTCTTGTGCCGCTAAACTCCAGCTTATGCGTATCGCCGTCATGCACAATGTCGAGCTTTCCCCAGAAGGAGCCGTCTACTGTTGTCCCATCTTCCATACGTGCCATGTCAAGCTCATCGGAAGAGATCAGCGTGTCTAGTGCCACATGCGTGCCCGGCGTCAATTCCAGATTGAAAGTAGCGGGCATCTCGAGCACAGGAGGAGGACTGCAAGTGCGTCAGTGATACTTCCGTCCACCATACTGGAAGCTACGTACGGTGGCGGCCTGTTACATAATAGCAGGGATTTTAGTTTGCAATCACCTCGGATTCGCAAAGTTCACTCACGGAGGCTCTTCTTCAGGTGGCGGAGGACTGTCGCCCACAATTTCAACGCGGAGGCCCTGCACATTCATTGACGCGATTTGATATGAATCCTCTCCCGTCAACTAAATATTGCAATTATCATCTGCGACAGGCATGCCAAACAAAGGAGCAAGCTTACATAAATGTATGGTCCTGTAACCAATCGCTGCGAATACAATCAGTCCCTTTACCAGCGTTCAATATCGAAACGAGTGCATTCACCGCTGCGTGTATAGATGCGAAGTCGATCGGTACGCGTAAACTGAATAGAGCATCTGGAGGTGGCTTGATCCAGTCCCTCGCCAATGCATCAAGCTCCTGCATCCTGGATCAGATTCGTTCTATGTCTACGCTGTAAGGAGCCTACACCAAACGTAGGAGGTAGCTGAGCCTTTATGAGCCTCTGATCGGGATATCAAGGACAAGCACTCACCATACGAATCGTTTCCATGTCGCTGAAGACCAAAGTGAGGAGACGCTGCTTGGTGACAGCGAATGGAGGCATCTTGTCGGGCAGCTCGACATCTCTGTTGCTCCTGGGTGTCTTAAACCTTCCCCACCAGCTGTGGGAGGACAGACTCGCATTGGAACCGCTGCGAAGATGCATGGTGATCAGGATGGGTGCGCAGACATGAGTTGGGGTCGCCGGAACTTACGCAGGTGAAGAGATCATTGTGAAGGAAGGGACTAACGGGAAGAGAGAGGAAAGCGAGTCCGGGGAATAGAGAGCAGGTGAAGGCAGACCAGTTGTGAAAGAGTCATTAACTCTCGGAATGCGGTGAGAAACACGAGGCATCACGAACACGAGGCCGAGTAAGATTGCGGTGCTCACTGGAGAACGAACGTTTCTGATGGTTAGGCGGGGGCAGCGCGGAAGCGGCCCGAGCATTGTCAGCCCTACTCGATGCTCGTCATTGCTGGCGATGGCGAGCACAGTGCGCACATCGAGCTCGACGACCCCCACCCCTTGAAGGACTCAGGCCCGATCAGCGCGTCCGTAGACGCGGGTCACGTGGCATCCATGAATGCTACCGAGTCCAATTGCGCCTCAACGTTCATCGACTCAACCATCCATGTTGCGATCTGCACTGCGCATTCAGCTCCGCGTGTCCCATGTGACATGCTCGCGCAGCCTTGTCTCCACTGTCCTCCTGACGAAAACCTGGGAAGACATGACCGTCACCGACCTCAAGAACGAGGCCAGAAAGCGCGGTCTGCAGCCGTGTGTACAATCGACTTGTAGCTGGGAATAACACATTGATATGGGCTGCAGGAACGCAAAAAGGGCCACTTTAATCAACCGCTTACGAGAGGATGATGAAAAGAGAGCCATGTCTCTCGCACGTCCCGTCTTCCCGCAAGTCCCCCAGCCCGTGCGTCACGCGTCTACCGAGGTGCCTGGCGTACCATCCACCTCGGAACCTCTTCCGTCGAAGACGTTCCCGAAGGAATTTATGGATGTAAAGCTCCCTGACCTCTCACAGCCCGCGCCAGAACCACCTATCCAAATTGTACGTGCGAACTCATCACTTGATCCAACCACCTGGTGACCGAACCTACAATGTAGCCCTTCCTGCCAGATATGTGGGACTCCTCCCGCATCAAGGCCGAATCTGCACCCAAGGAGCCAACGGTCGACATGTCTGCTCCAAAGATGGTAGCAGTCGCTGGCTCGGCGACCCACATTGGCGGTGGACCGACTTATAGCCTCTCGAATGCGGAGTCCGAGCAGGAGACTCCGAAACCATCGGTAAATGCAGGCCCTTCTGGGATCTGGGGAGACATTGCCGAGGACTTTTACCTTCCTACGCTACTGAAGCCACTAAGCAGTGCAAAAGAGGCGACGTTCGACATCGCTGAGCTCACGGAAACGTCGGGAGCTCAGCAGAAAAATTATTCGCGGGCATTGGGCAAGGACGAAGTGAAGGGAGTGTGGGCGCTGTTGGGCCTTTTGGCTGGGTCTTGGATCATCGCTGGCTTCTTTGCCCCATCATCCGTATTTGCTGAGCATGTCACAGAGGCAGTAGAGGAGGATGCTGCAGGACACTGAGGAGACTCCACCTATCAGACATCTGCTGTTGAAAACCCCTGCCACTATATTTATCTACTAGCATGTTGTCCCGAGGAGAACGTCTCCATTGTGGCCTCGCCTCACATACAGCACAAACGGATGTATCACATGACGTTTGCGCTCTTAGTGCAGATCGGCCACCATGCTCGTCCGCATACGAGCCCTCTGTCCTCGTTGCCGAGGTTTCCATGCATCTGCTCGTCGTACACATCTAGTCGGGGCCCCTCATCCTGTCTCTAACCTACGCCCTATCATTTATAACGATACCGCCCCTATGCGCTCTACTGCCGCTACACATCCGTATTCGCTAACCGAGTTCGAGGGCGATACTCAGGAGTACCAGTGGAAGATACAGCGGCAGCAGCTGGACGCATATAATCATGCCTTTTGGGCGGATGTAAGTGGGACCCGAATGAATAAGTTCGAGTGCTCATGTGTCAATTCATTCAGAGCAATTCTCGCTTCCAAGCTGCCAAAGCTGCCGTGCTCGAGAGCCTCCCTGAGTCATGTACCGCAGAGGACCGCGAATTCGTCCTATCCGAGTTCTACAGACGCTGGGTCGTGCAGGAGATGCCCCGCCAAAAAGAGTATGACGCGGAGTGGAGGAAGCAGAATTGGAAGAGCATTTCACTTGGAGCACGCCTCGCATTCGACAAGTTTGCCGCTCGCATCTCACACCCCTTTTCATCGAGCAAAATTAAGAACGAATGAGACATACATTTACAGTACAGAAAGCAACATTCATGCAGAGTCCATCTGGTTCTCATCATCAAGAACGAGCTGCCGGACATTTTCAAACACCATCTCCAGATTCAAGTCCAACAGACGCTGCCTCTCTTGCTGGTATTCGTTATACAATCTCTCTGCATCTGGAGGTGATAGTACGGGCCAGCGGATCGTGATATCCGACATTGCCGAGATCTCCGTGGCTTCGCTTGGTGACAGAATGAGGCCTTTAGGCTTCTGCTGTTGCCCAATCGTCGTCTGAAGGGCTGCGTAAAGAGCCGTACTGCGATACTGAGCATTCACCTCCGCATCCGTAAGGTTGATGGTTCGTCGTAGCTTTTCCCAGCTTGAGGTCTGAAGTCAACATATGCCTATCCCTGCGAGACCGAGCTACGTACTCATCATGAAGGTATATCCTTCGCCAGACGTTTCTAAACGTGGAAAGTCGTCGGGCATCGGGGACGTTCTGTGCAATACGTCAGACAAGCGGAGACAGAGGGATATATGGTACTGACCGTTGCTCGCAGAAGCACACCCAAAGCGATCGCGTAATCTCTCGGGCTCCGCGAATTGTCTTTTAAACTGACGAGCTCCGCGAGGTCATCTGGAGACAATGCTTTACCGTTAAGCAGCTCACGAACGAGATGCTTGAAGAGCTGGACAGATGTTCAGTACATTCGACAGAAGGTCGTGAAGATAGAATGCACACCTGGCGATGCCCCCAGTAGTGCTGAAGATGGTGCGCTCGGCTGTCGCTGATGCTTTTTACTTGCGCATCTAGTGGTAGCCTGCTGCCAGACGCAGCCAGAGCGGCCTTGAATTCCTCAAGAAGTGCTTCATGAACACCAACGAAGTCCAGGCCAATGTGGAAAGCTAGTGCCATCTTTGTCAGAATCCAACATGATTTCCTCGAGAAAAGGACTTACTCTCTATCGCGTCTATATCAACAGATCCATTAGCTGCGTGCAATTGTGCCAGCTGCGACAATTTTCCGACGCTGAGGATGAACTGCAGAAACTCAGAGTTAACCATACCGCATAGTTCAGAAGACGAACGCCCCTTACATGCCTCTCTTCAAGGTTTACAGTACGTTCCGACTCAAGTAACAGCGCTTTGGATGCATAATCATACCGGCCACGGCCCAAATCGTGTATCCACGATATAGACGGATGGGGGTGTGAAGCAAAGAAGGCGTCAAGATACTCGTCATGTCGTCGTGCGAATAGCGTGCGCAACTCGCCTACAGCCGTACTGTGTCAGCTGGCCGGTCCACGATATGCATGTTTTAAATCACCGTGCTCAATGTACCACTCATAAAGCTCTGTCGCAAATTGTTCCTTGAATTTCATAATGTACGCCTCTATCCTCGCAGCGTAAGGATTTTCTTCAGGAGGATAGACGGTCCCCATATTGCACAGGGATGCCAAGCTTCGGAAATCTTGATACTCCTCCGCAAGGCCGAATGCCATTCCAGTGAAACCGTTCCTGCCTGTTGCGACTTAGCGCCTGTGCGATGAACGTCGTGATGTGCTCACGTAAAATGTCGAAGACCTGAGATCGCAGCTGACGGAACTTCTCCTCAAGGGTGAGTCGCTCCCGCTCCGCGGAGACGTCACTATCCTTTGTATATGGGCTGAACGTGTTGTGAGTACAGTGTTATCCCTAAAACGAAGTGGTTACGAACCTTCTGAGCCACAGGAGGCGCTCTTGGATGCAACCGAACAGGACTGACGCCAGGTCCGGCAGCTGATCTTTCGCGTCACTGATGGATTGCATGGTTTCAGGATCTGCACTCGGAACTTCTGCTAGCCGGGCAGTACTGTAGAACAGCTCGCAGACGGCATCGATGATCTCGGGGCTACTTGACCATGGGTTGATGAGCGGCGGTTCAACGCCATATACGGCCACGTTATGTTGCCGGTATTCGACGGCAGATAGCAAAATAATCTGAAAGAAGAAGGAGGAAAAAGCATGAGCTATTGCACATTCCACTTTGCTGAGACTTCTTACCAGTGCGATCTCGTTCGCTTGATAGATCTCATCGGCCAGATTTCGTCGATTTTCACGTATAGACCGGCCAATTATCCGTTGGACGTGAGGAATGAGGCTGGGGATTTTCTCTACGTGAACCCTAAAGAATTCCCTGACGTAGTCCCCACGGGTGTCGGCGCCGATCTCGATCATGCAGGCGTTGATAGCCATGTCCAAGACGTTCCGGGTGCGGCCAGCCCTGCAGCTCATTGAATGTACTATTCAGCTCTAGAGGGGGTCGTTGACATACTTCCAAAATTCGGTATGTTGCCGCCACAACTGGTCAGCTGCATATAACTTCTCAGCATCTGTCTCCAGCTGTTGCCGACTCCGCTGCGACATCTGCATGCGGATGTTCCAGTTTGCTCAAGTACAAATAGCATGAGAGCACACCTTATCCATAACTCCGTTGTCAATGATGAACTTGTTGAGGAAGATGAGCCTCTCCTTGCGGCCAGCAATCTGTGTTTGTAGATCAGGGTGTGGTCGAACGATCTTTCCGTCTGCGGAAAAATCAACGCGGTCGAGACTGAGTATCTACCAACAAATGTGCGTGATTCCTGACCTGATTTCAGGACTGCTCTGCTCAGCTGTTGAGCACCCATCATCAGAGCATCCTCGTCGATCTCAGGTGGGAAGCTAAATTGTAGAGGGTTCTGATGGCCACAGCTCAGCGGTCGCATAAACTGGGGAAGAAACGCAATACCTCAGAATATGAGCCATAGAGAATGGCCTGTTTCATGATGGACTGGATAAGATCAGCGCGGCCAGTCCTGTAACAAGGCGTCAATAGTCTGTCAGGTGAACGCAGCAAATGATGCGCGCTTACATCTGACTGAACGAGACTACTTTCTCCATATGAACCTCGACCTTGATCATGGTAGTGGCTGTCAACATCAGAAGATCGGTCTCCTTTTCGACAGCGCCGATGCCCAGAGTGCGATCTGTTTCTGATTTGAGCTCCAGTCGATCCATGTAATCGCTGTCTGAACAGACTTTAGCCGGAGATCACTCGGGAGTGAAGTGATTAAGTGCAAACCTCTTGCACAGAAGGCCACTGCATCGCTAAATTGGACAATAAACAACTTGCCACCAGAGAGCAGGTGTAAGCGGGGATGCAAAATGGGTATAGAGGTGGAGGTCTGCGCATAGAAACCTTTGTCATTCGCCATTTGTCCAAACAAATCTGTCGCACTTACAGTCTGGTAAGGAACAGATTTGACGCTTTCGACGCTGAACTGTTCCTCGTTGAGCGCGTTCACCATCCGAACAATTGCATATACGCGACGAAGTTCCATGTCGATGTCCATAGTTGATTCATCCACCGAAGCCTGGAAGGATGCTAAGATGACAAGAGTGTTGGAGCTGATGACCAGAAGAACGTGAGGCGCGATCCTGTGGAAAGCGCCGCGGTGCTTACTTTTCCATCTTCAAGTCCAACAATTCAAGATCCAGGGCCGCCATGTTTTCAGCGGCTGCCACGAATTTGTCTTTCAGAGCGTGACTTATCACCTCTGCCAAATCTTTCTCTAGGATGAGCTCTTCCCATCCTTCTACAGACATATTCCATTTTTGTATCCTTGTGGTCACCATTGCCCAGACATCTCTCCCAAGAGCAGTCTTCGACTGCTCTCCAAGGGCAACCGCGCTTATATGACCGGACTTTGGCCTCATACCCGTCGCTGTTCCCAAGAATCCAGGGAATAGATGAGCAAATGAGAGCGAGGAGGAAGGATGGCCGAATTCATGGAAACTTAGACGATTGCCGCCAGTTGCTGTTATGGTTAGACGGAAGAGGCGGCCCTTTGATGTTGAGATGATGTATGTCCGGGGCTGAGCACGTTCTATGAGCGTCGGACAAGCAATGTAACAGCGATGATATACGTACGTCTGCCCGAGAGAGTGTTGTTACCAATTCTCCTTGATCTAGGCTTAGATTGTAATATGTAAAGTTGTCGCCACCAGCAAGGCCCATACCAACGCCATCCCAGAAGCGGATCTGGCCTATATGTGAGCTAATGATCAGACCAGGTTCCCTTGTGGGACCGTGAGGAATGAGGGCGTAAAAAGGAGTGGTCATGATATCCTCTCGTCCATTTTCGGCTTGGGGGCAGAGAAAAATATAGCAAGTCGGTGTCCCTGTCAGAGCCTGCGCGTACTGTGAGTACTTCAACAGCATCTTTGCGTCATTAAACGCGCACCTGAGCATGTTTCCATACGAAGCAAATTTCCCTGGAAGCCACAATCGCGAAGCCTGTCAACGTATCGATATCTCCCGAGTAAGATTGTTCGCGAAGGTCTATAATGCACGCAGATATCAGTGAGAGTCACAAGAGAATAAGCAGAAGCTGACCTGTTCCCTTGAGGGCTTTCTTCACCTCTACTGGAAGATGAGCGTAGAAAGTGGCGGTCAATTCCTCGGTGTTAGCGAACGTCATATCTTGCCTGCCGCTGAGATCGCGTTCCTCCTGAATCTCATCAACATCCATCCTGACAATTGAGGCGCCATCGGGTTGTGCGGATGGCAATCTCTCCTGCGGCCGTGGTGTCGCGAGGCGAGAGCCAGTTGTATGTGCAGCACTTGGCGCTGGCTGCTTGGATGGAGATCGCGCAAATGGGCTCTGCCTGTGAATTCGTTTAGGAGCGGGAGATGTTGTGAATGTCGCCATTGACACAATTTGGGACGTGCAGTCGAAGTCGACTGAGGGTATTGTGCAGGCAGTAATTATATGTTGACCAAGCGCCGTGCACGCGTCAAGTCGCGTTGAACATAAGTGTGGCCCGTGCCAGCACAAACACGGCCAAATACCCTCTCACACTCACCATCATGCTCGGCATCGAGGACTATGGCAGCGACAACGATAGCGAGTCTGAGATCCAGCTCAGGCAACCCGTGTCAATTCAGAGCACATCTGGTGCTGCTGAACTTCCTCCGCCAGCCAGAAAGTCAACGTTCTCTCTCCCATCACCAATCAATGCGTCATCTGGTGCTTCATCTAAATCTCCGAATGAGCTCTCCCTGCGAGTCCCCAAGGTCAAGAAGTCAAAGAAGATCATTACCATAGGCCTACCTGAGCTTCCGCCTGAGGAGGATACCGATCGCGCAGATGGACCTCCTGTGGCGAAGAAGCCTCGCATAACGCCCGGCGCACGCTCATCTGCGCTTCTATCTATGTTGCCCGCGCCAAAGAATAAATCACCTATTAATTCTGCTCCGGAGAGAGTACTTGGTGCTGGTCGTGGACCTGGACTCGTATTCAACACTGGTTCACGCCGCTCCGTACGAACTGTAAGTATACAGGATGTCCCGGACAAGGATAACGACGAGGGAGCTAGTGGCTCTGTCGAAGTCGCCAGCAGTGATAAGGCGAACAAAAACATGGTCATTCATTTCCTTCCTCCTTCTTTGGTGAAAGGAAAGGCGAATATTTCGGTGGAGGAGAAAGACGACCGACCAAGAGCTTCTCCTACTGCCTCGTCTTCATCTTCAATTGGCTTTTTCTCGATAGGTGACTATGCTGTGACCTTTCGCTGCTGCCATGCTGAGATATGTTGTAGCTTCGACAACTGAATCAACGGTATCGGATACACGGACGTCAGCCAAGACCAACATTCGCGCATCAACGTCGGCTCCTTCTGTGCCAAACACGTCGCCTGCGCTTGCCCTTCCTTTGCTTCCTGGCGTCTCATCTGCTCCCAAGGTCGACGACTTCGCGCCACCCGAACCTTCTCCTCAAGATCCGTACCCAGGCTATTACATGCTGCCATCTGGGGTATGGGCGGCATACGACCCAGAGTATTATCGTACCTACTACGATAGGTGGAAACGAGAGTACGACGAACACGTCCGTGCGCTTGAGAAAGGAGTGGTAAAAGGCTTTGAAGCCATCGAGACGGAGGGCGCTGAGGAGATCAACGCATCGCGTGTAATGGAGAAGGCAAAGAAGGAGATTCAGGAGAGAGAGGAGAGGAAAGCGTTGACGACCGGTGACGCGGAAGTACCTGCGGCACCGAAGATGAATATTAAGGTGCATCTCTGTTAGTATCATTGATTAGTCACGGTATGCTAAAACGTCTTCCTGCAGGGTGCCGCCCTCGGTGGAAGAGCCCGAACACGCCACCAACTATCCACTCTGCTCACGGAGGCATACCAAAACAGAGAAACACTGGAGGAGAAGATCGCACAAGGCCGAAGGAACAGAAAGGAAGCAGGTAATAAGTATGGTCAGTCCACGTTTCCTAGCATCGTCGACAATATCGCTAAAGTATGCTCCACAGGATTCTAAGTTATCGCTGGCCTTCCCTTCAATACTTGCGATTTTGTTGTATGCCACACGTCATCGTGAATCATCTATATTCGCAGATAATGTGAACATTAGAAGGCAATGTAGTAGTTATACAAGGACAAGGTATAGATATATGTACATGTTGCAGTCTACTTCTGAGATGACGAGAATTCTGCAGCCAAAGTGTTACCTCGGAGCAATACTTTTGATGACATCAGATACTTACTGGTAACCGACTTGGTACCTTCCGAAATTGCGTGCTTCGCCAGCTCACCAGGCAGGATGAGGCGGACACTGGTCTGGATCTCCCGTGATGATATGGTGGACTTTTTTGAGTAGGATGCGAGCTCTAACAGCTTGACATGTCAACTTGCACAGAATTTCAGGAGCCTCGTACTCACTGGACGCCTCAGTGGCAATGCGCTCGAAGATATCGTTGACGAAAGAGTTGAGGATGGCCATACCCTTGTTCGAGATGCCCGTGTCAGGATGCACCTGCTTGAGCACTTCGGTGCGTTGTCAGTATCAGCTATGTCGACGAAAGCCATGCACTTCGAAAGTACACACCCTTGTAGATGTAAGAATTGTACGTCTCCTTACGAGCCCGTCGACGCTTCTTCTTATCACCCTCAGCAGACTGCGACTTCGTCGACTTCTTCGCAGCCTTTGACTCCGTCTTGGCTGGTGCTTTGCTCGCAGTGGAAGCAGGGGTCTTCGAGGCGCTTGAGGCGGGCTTGGCAACATTGTCAAGGCCCGTGTCGCGTACGATAGGCATTTTGTGGCTGAGCTTACCTTTGCTGCCATTGGTGTTTGACTTATTGTACATTATTAGCGCGTCTTCATTAAATGGCCAATAATATAGATACCTTTGAAGAAGGAGGAAGGGTAGGAGGGCAGCGAGATGGTAGTGAGAGAAGAAGCGTCCGATGCTGAACGCGTCGCGTTGATCGCTTTTAAACACGGGGTGCATAGTCACGTGAAAACGCGTTCCGCCAGCCACAGACGCGTTGGCGCGCAGTTCACGTTAACGTTGTGCCTTTCAAGTTGTCCAAAGTGGAATTAATCAGCACTAGTACTTGTCATGCGTGATTATTGGCAGCATCACAACGAGGCCAAGTGCTACACATAAACGGTTCCAACCATCCCTACAACCTTTGTCTCGACATCTTCTGCCCACACTTGAACGACATTCTCCGCTTTTTTTACTGCTCCACAAATTGCAACGTGACGATTCACCATCATCGGGTTAATTGCGCGATATACAAAGGACTTGAAAGGAGCTCCCGATGAATGCATCGCAAAGCCCTCTAGAAGCATTAGCGCGGTCAAGGGCCCATGAACGAGCCGCTCTTCATATAAGAGGTAAGTGGCAGGCCTATAAAGCGCTCAATGCGTAATCCACCTACCGGGGTAGCCCTCTGACAGCTGAGCGAAGTCACGGTCAAGATGGATACGGTGACCATTGAATGTCAGCGCAGAGAACCTGAAGAGCATGGTCGCACTCGGCAAGTATTCCAGGCGGTAATCTGCTGTGATGGGCAAGCCCTTGGCTGCAATCGTTAGGTGCATATTAGATTATCTGCAGCAATACAGAGCGATCGACGGCACCTTCTTTCACTCCTCGCCTATTCCCAGGAGCCGCAAGGTAGACGTGCGACCGCTCCTCCTCTATGGCGATCTCGCTTGTACCTTGCTTGCGGTATGCAATGTTCTGTGTCACAAACACCATCGGCGAGCCGTTTTTGAACCCTCTCTTCTCTACCGACTCGATCGTCGAGGTCGCAGTAGCATTCTCGCCGATCAGGAGCGGATCTTTCCACACCATCCTCCCCCCAGCCCACATGCGGCGCGTGAACGGCTCGGGGGGACAGAAGTCCTGGTCCGTGCCGTCTGCGCGCAAGGCGCGCTCAGGGTTCCGTGGATGGAAGAATACGAGATGGTGTCCATAGCCCAATGGGGCACCTATATCAGGTTCCTCCGGTGGCCTGGCAGTACCGTTGCGCGTGGGCAGCGTCACAAATAAATCAGACAAGTGCTCCGGACGTAGGGAATCCGATTGTATGAGCCTTTTCTCTGAATAGATCCACCGGTCGAGTGCCGCAATATGTTCTCCGGATATGGCGGAAAGGGAGCGTCTAGGCGGAACCGTCCGGAATACGCGTCTGCGTGCATACTTAGCGATACGTCGCTGATAGATGGACATTGCTTGTCGCAACCCGCAATATGAAGCTAGCAAGTCTCAGGAGTGCTGAATAGATCGAATCGAGTGTATGGCGTGAACAATGGAACTTGTTGATAAAGTTCAGTCGCTCGAACACATTCTCACAGTACTTATAGCTCGGCCAAGCCCAGGAACTCGGAGTCTGCGACGAGTGTAAAGCACAACCGGGACACACATCTTATGCGAATCGGACGGCGGCGAAACCACGAGTGACGCTGGCAAGCTCAATCAACATCCACCAGCATTTACCGCGCTCTCCTTGGGCGGATCGGCCGAGGTCGCTGCAGCTCGTGATCCAGCGGTTGGTTCCAAACAAGTCGGAACTGTTGATGCCGGAATGATTCATGCATGAAAACGTTGGACATCTATCCACACCTTGCACACAGGTCCATCGCCCATGAACGACGTGGATCCGCTCTCGTTCTTGGCCAGTATCCACTGTGGAACGCGTGTATCTGGTCGTCCATGCCCGGCCGCATCAGTATTCTTGGACGGCCGGCAATATGCGCACTGGAACCGATGGTGAGTCAGAACGGTGCTCATTGTGTGCTTAATGCGTCTGAGGAGGACAATGCTACAGAGCGAAAGGCAGCGGGGGGTCACGCGTGCCACAAGCGAGCTTAAGCGATCGACCTGTCACGCATTGTGAGCTCGCCACCCGCCACCGCAGCTCGCCCTGCGAATATATACCACGCTTCATCCCATCTGCGACCCATCACTTCTCTCTTCCACCCTCCTAGCACCCATACAGCGACCATACTGGCTGGTCGCATCTCGTGCGCAAGTTCTCTCACGAAACTGTCGCACTTGCGGCTATTTGCGGTCGCCGCCAGAATCTTATCAACCAATTGAGCTTCCGCACCGTGACAGCTCGGCCATTGAATGTCCCTCCCCTGCTCCGCCTCGCATCCGCTTTTCTGACCGCTTTCCCATTGTTCGTTCTCTCGGCCTCCAGCGCGCAGCTGGACAATGCCCCATCTTTTCCTTTAATTTTCTCATCCCAGGACTCTTATAATCGGCCTCCGTGTATCATAATTCCCCACCAACGCGCCCCTCGCTTCATAGGACACATTCGACGCGTCTCATTCACAGTAACACTTCGCAATGACTGCCATTATATCTCCAAAGCCTCGCCCTGCATACTCTTCCCTCACCACATCCCCTCCTCACTCCCTACTGGCCCCTATCTACGCACAGGATGATGACCAGGTGCGTTATACTATCCTGGGGTGTCGCATTGCACTTATGGATGCCTTTGGCGCATCACTTTCAGAAGCGAGCCCTACACAGCCCACCACGACTTGCATCCCCTATCGATCTGTTCGATCCTCGCGCGAATGATGCCAATGTTAGTGTAGACTTTTCTCACACAAGGTTGGATGTTTGCTGACGAGGGAACTAGATCGTCAAGTCACCTAGCACGTGCAAACCCGTCAAGAGGCGTCGAGGACCGACGTCGTATGCACTTCGCTCATCGCGAAGACGACCTTATTCTCGTGCGGACTGCCATATCATTCCCTTCCGTGGACCGGCTGTCTTCGACAGCTTGCCATGGATCGCTCAGCTCGAGGCTGCACCGGAAGACGGATCTGTGTTGGACATCGCGGATCTCTCACAACTTGCGACGAAAGTAACGCGACCGGAGTCTCCATGTATGGATCTCGTACGACGACGGAAGAAGCCTTTGCGTCCTCATCGGCGCGAGCCCGAGCCCATCAGATCGGCGGACTGCTTTCCCCCGCCGGGTCTCGAAAGTCTTCCTGCGTACGCGCTCTTTCCTGCCGATCGGTTCGTTTCGAACCCGCGTACTCCTCCTCCTCGGGAATCGTTCGTGCCATCGGAGGTACGCTTTCACGGCCTCAATCCAGCCTTTCCTTCAGGTCTCGATGACGTCTGGTACCACCCCTGCAACTCTCCCTCCGAGTGATCCTCCGTTGGTCACTGTTATATCCTCTATGCAATGTCCGTCGGCCCTTCTGCCGTAATCAATCCGGCTCTACTCCACTGCGAGTGATCATTACGACATATCTGTCATCGAATGCACCGTCTAATTTATCTACAATTGACTCCCTGCTCTGCCTGCATAGTCGCTCGCGGCCCTGGATGCCGCCCGATCACCTCGCTACACAATCTCATGTCTCGGCCAAACGTATTCCTCGCATCATCGACGTCGCATGACTTCCTGTTCGGTCCGCACCTGCAGAAACTGCTTACGCCCGTATATTGATCAAGACTCATATATTGTGCTGCTACAATTACTTGGCTTTTCTTCTCGCCCGGCCATGGCGTTGTTGTCGATTTCTTTACGCTGCACATCTTGCCTTCGGCGCTCGATTCACAGCTTTGCAGATCTTCACGGTTCTTGCCTTGGATCAACACCGGTATCGGTATGCATCTTGCGATATCGCGTTGATTATTATTGCTTCTGTCTATCGGCTGTAATGCTTTATCCTTCTCGTTGTAAATGTCGCTCATTTGACGCTGTGTATAGGCTAGTTGCTTTCCTGATCGTTTTCTCGACTCTCTTCGTTGTCCATGGATACTAGACTCCCATCGAGATTCAGGTTTAGTTTATGGCGACAGACGGCTTGCCGTGTTGTCGATTGTGATGTATAATAACGCTGCTAGTTGTATCACCAATTCATCGTGAATTCAAAGTTCGTGCCGCATTGAAAGACGGTCATCCTAATCCTTTCGCGAACAAGGTGCTACAGTTCGAACGTTCGAACGTTCACCACTGACTGGCGGTTCACAGTTATTGATGCTGGTGCCCAATATTCTGTATGTACGAGGCCGAGCCAGTGTACCGGTCGAGTCATGGCCAGGCTGTGCCCAAGGCTGAGATGAATCTCTCGACGCGAGCATCTCTCGAATCGCCACCTCCGCAGCGCTCAGCACAAACGTTCAAAAGCACTTGGTCCTCTTTTTGAAGGTGCGTACGTCGTTGCAGTTCTTTCACGCTCTGATATTGAGCGCCACATTCTCGCGCAGAACATTATGGCCTCAACTTACGACCGAGTCATTAATTTCGGTGCAGGGCCGTCTGCCCTACCCGTCTCCGTCCTGGAGGAGGCGTCGAAAGGCCTCCTCAATTTCCAAGGCACGGGCATTGGCATTGCAGAGATATCTCACCGCTCGAAGGAGTTCCAGGCGTTCTTGTTAAACATGGAGTCGCTCATCCGTGAACAGCTAGATGTGCCCCTAACACATCGCATCCTCTTCACACAAGGCGGCGGGTCTGCCCAGTTCTCCGCGGTCGTGCTCAACTTCCTGGCACGCTATCGTCTCCTCCATCCTGAGCGCGGACCAGAAGAGACTGTCATGGACTACGTCGTGACTGGATCGTGGAGCAAAAAAGCCTCTGAGGAAGCAAGGCGACTTGGTGGAGGACGAGTGAACGTCGTCGTCGATTCGAGACAGTTTTCGGAAAGCGGAAGGGCATTCGACAATATACCTCTTCACGACACGTTCAATTTCTCCCCCGATCCCGCCCTCGTCTATTACTGTGAAAACGAGACGGTGGACGGTGTCGAGTTCTCGCACGAAGACTCTTCGCCTGCATCTTTCCCTTTCCACAAGCTTGGGAAGGACGGACACCTTGTGCCCCTTGTCGCAGATTACTCTTCCTCATTCATGTGCCGCCCCATTCCACATCTCGCCGACCACGCTGTCATCTATGCCGGAGCTCAGAAGAATATTGGTCCTGCTGGCCTCACAATTCTTATCGTCCGAGAAGACTGTGTCGTGGACGTTGATGCAGCAGCGAGATTAGGCGCTGCCCCGGTGCCGATCATGATGGCGTACAAGACGCTTGCAGACTCTGGTAGTCTGTACAACACGCCATGCGTGCTGCCAATATACATCTCAGGCCTTGTGCTAGAAAGAATGAAGGCGCGTGGCGGTCTGAAGCACTACGAAGAGACAAACAAACGGAAGGCGGAGAAGGTGTATGCTGCGCTCAAGGATGGTGAGGCGAAAGGCAAGTTGCGGAGGAAGGTCAAGCCGGGCTCAGGTAGCTGGATGAATGTCGTCTTTGAGGTTGTTGGTCCAGATGCGGAGAAGAAGTTCCTCGAGGGCGCAGAGCAGAAGGGCATGAAGGGGCTGAAAGGGCATAGGTAAGTGCTGGTCACGTCTTGCCATATGATAGGCTGATGAATGCTCGCGTTCCGCACTTGTTCAAGATCCGTTGGAGGTGAGTTCTATCACAATACTGCTAGCTGCTTCGATTGATTGAAGGCACCTGTAGGGGTCCGTGTATCGCTGTACAACGCCATCACCGAAGCGGAAGTCGATCAGCTCGTCGACTACATGAAAGAGTTTATCGCGTCTGCGTAGAGCGCGCCGGTGATCGCTATGAGATAGACATTGTAGAGGATGAATCTGTGCGTATGTAGTGTTTTAGATGGGCGAAAAAGGACGAAATGTATCTTATAGATGCAAAAAGATAATCACTTAGGTCACTTTGCCGGAGTGGTTAACGGGATCGCCTGCTATGCATAGCTGCCAGCGGTTGGGCTTTGCCCGCGAGTGTTCGAATCGCTCAGGTGACGCTTTTTTGCAAAATCCTCGTGCCCACTTGTTTTCGGACACAATGCTTATCAGTTATCAATCTTCCGACCACGCATTTGTGTTTCTTACTGTGATAATTCATCTGTTATTTGCTTCGTACCTGATTTGGGAAACAGCACTTCTTAATAGGACTCATTGTTCCTGCTCATGGAACTCAGTTTCAGCAGCTGCCGCTGATTGCTGATAGCAGACTATGGATATACTTATGTCACTACGCATACATTTCGTCCCACCCTTCCTCGTTCGTTGGTCTCTTGGACGTTTCAGCCTCCTGAGGCATGTGTGGCGCAGGGGGCGAGATAAATGCCCCGCTGTCAGCGGTTGCTCCCTCGCCTTCAATCTCTCTAACAGCATCCCACATGTCTTCGTCATCCTCTGGTGTTGATGAGCTTGTGGGCTGAATGGGCTGATTTGGTGCCTGCACCTGCGGTTGCATATTCACGTCCGGGAGATCGCCCATCAACTCATCCCACATCATATCATCTTCGTCCGGGATGGCGTCGCCTGAGACATTGTTGGAATTGGACACGTAGACAGCTCCGTCGCTAGTAGGCGGCGCTGCTGAGGCAGCAGCAGCTTGTTCGCGTTCTTCATCCTCGCGAATAATGGCATCGATATCAAAGTCATCGTACGCGTCTGATGCAGGAGGTTCGGATGCGGAAGATGGGGCCTGAGATGGGGCGCGAGACGACGACGCCAATTCGCGGAGGCTTTCTTGTGCATTGTCTGCGCTTGCCCTCCCTTTCTCGTCCTCTTCATCGCTATCACCGTCTTCCGCGTCTGATCCAATGTCGAGCTTGCGACCGTTTACGGAGATGCCCTTAGCCTCATCTTTCCATACACTAAGTGCGACCTACAGTGAAGGGTATCAACACGCGAGTTCGCACAGCAAACATTGTACTGACATGCATCCTCTGAGAATGGCATATTTTCTCTACGCGCTGAACAGTATCATCGAAGGGCATCCTCGGATACAGTTTATGTGTCCAGAACTGGTATACGTTGAGGAGCCTGTTTAAATCATCCGCCTTCACAGAGTCATGACTCGAAGAAGAGTTATCACACAATGAGTGCATACCTCGTGTCCCTTGCCCTTAGGCTTGAAGGTCTTTGCGTGCTTTATGAGGGCGGGAAATCCGTCAGGCCCTAGCAATCTAGATGCGTCCAACTTGGGCAACTGTTTCCTCTCTTTCTTCTCTTTTGACGCGTCCTCATCATCCTCTCCCTTCTTCCTTGCACCCTTATGAGATGACCCAGTGAGATCAAGCGGTGAGGATTTTGCTAACGTCCTGGCATTCTTCGCATCCTCTTCGCGCCGCAAGGCGTCGAGATCAAGGGCTGGAGGGAGGTCGTGGATAGGCTCATCATCCAGATTGTCAAACATTGCATCGATCTCCGAGCGATATGCGGTAGATTGTCCTGTCCTTCGCGCCACTGGCGGTGTCGCTTCCTCTTCCGAGTCGGATTCAAAGAAGAGAGTAGTCCGCGGTCGTTTCGCGGGACGGTCAGACGGCTGCAAACGGTCATCATGGTCACTAGGCGGAGAAGATACAGCACGAGGAGATTGAACGACTGGGTCGTCCCATATGTTCGCGAGTGCCACGGCCGCCATGGTGCAGATGTGTGCGTGAGACGCGTCGACGCGCTGAGTTACGAACGCGTCTGTCACGCGTCACACGGCATCGAGTTATGTCTGGAGCGCCCGTGCACAGTCAATATTGAAATCCATGATGATGTCCTCAAAGGCTGCTGTGCCCGAACCCGATGTAAAAAGTGGCATAGACTACTGGGCCAGCCAGCCGGCTAGTTACGATGGCGTTCTTGGTAAGCATAGGGTCTCAATGCCATTGTACGACTTGACTGACGAGACAGGTGGGTTTGGCACTGGGGTAAGCCAGCACCGTCTTCTTTACTTTCCACGCAGTTCATCCACCAAACGTGAAGTAGTCTCTTCCACGCATCGATGCTCTTGGATCACGGGAATTTCTCCTCTACCTGATGCCTCAGCTATGCACTGTCCCTTCCGCAATACGGCCGCTGGACGCGCCCAAGGAGCTCCCAAACAGAATTCGTGCCCTGGAAGTTGGAGCCGGTATCGGACGCGTCACTGGAGACGTACTCTTGCATCTTGTATCCGACGTCGTGCTTGTCGAACCGGTGGACACTCTCGTCAACGAAGCCCTCGCACGCGGGAAGGCAAGCGAGATAGGTGCCCCGAAAGGGGACAAAACGTTCGTCCGATGGAAGGGCATCAAAGAGAAAACAAAAAGTGTCACAATCATTCAGAACACGCTTCAAGACATTGACCCCTGCAACGTCTCGAAATCCACTAAGATCCTCGGTCGAATAGGGTATGAACGCACTGCAGAGGGAACTGATTTGGATTCGCCCTTTGATGTGGTTTGGTGCCAATGGTGTCTTGGCTCACTTAGTGACACGGATCTCGTAGAATTCTTGAAGCGAAGTCGCGCTGCCTTGCGTGATGCTAGCTCGAGCGTGATCATAGTCAAGGAGAATTGCTGCTCGGACGCCGAAGGTGGAGGGCCGGCCACGGAGTTTGACGAGACAGATTCCAGTCTCACGAGGTAAGCCGATTCTAGATATCCGTTGATATGTGTATCGCATCTCAGCTGTACTGCTTCAGATCAGACCAGGCATGGAAGAAAGTTTTCAAAGACGCCGGCCTGCGGCTGATTCGTGAACGAGTCCAGGGCGGTTTTCCTCCGGGTCTTTACGTTGTGAAAATGTGAGTTTTCTCTTGGTTCCTGTGCTCGTAGTAGCAAGCTCAGCTCAGCAAATCATTATAGGTATGCTTTGCGGTGACCAGGGTGGACCCTTTCCCAGTATCGACGAGCGATACCGCATCAGTCGGCGCTTACATCGTGGTCCCAGGCATCGCTGAGAGCACGGTAGACGATGATGGTATTATTGTACATAGAAATACAAATAGACATGGCATACAGCAGACCTGCGGCGAGAGAGGAAATTGGACTAAAAGAAAGAAAAACTTAAGCGAGAAGATGAGCGTTTATACTGCCACAGCGTGGTCGGATGAGTTGTAGGGAAAGAACGTATCCAAGCGGTCGAGGATCAAAACTCCCTCATTGTACTCTTAGCAGCCTTTTGAGCCACATTCCTGGCGAGTACCGCTTCGCTGAGGCTGGTACGTCTTTTCTGTTCTCTCGTCTCCGCCCGTTCCTTGACATTCGGGAAGTGTGTGCGGACGATAGTCTCCAATTGTGGCCAAATCTCGTCCGAGGTCGCGCCAGCCAGGCTGACTACACTCACGCTGGGAGGTACTTGATTTCTGTAATACTCTATGAGCGGGGATGTTGCTCCGTAGTATTTCTCCAGCCGGCGAGCGAATGTTTCCTGACAAGATAGCGAACGTCAAGGAATGCGCATGTGGCTGCAAGACCCTGACATACCGGATTGTCATCTGGCCGTTTAGTCAAAGGCTCGCCTGTTTCATCGTCGAGGCCGGCGACTTTTGGTGGGTTGTATGAGAGATTGTACACCCTACCCGAAGGTAGATGCACCCAGCGATCAGATATCCGGCTAAGAATGACTTCATCGGCGACATCAAGATTGACTACCAAACTGAGTGGACGTCCTTGCGCTCTGAGTACAGCGTGTGAGGCAGATCCTAAGCGACGCCAAATCTGAACGGGCGCCTTACCTCAGGTGGTCATCCAACAATTTCCCTTGACCTAGCGTCCGAGGGAAGCCATCCAGAATCCAATGCTGCTCTCACGTCAATCTCGGGTACTTACATAGGTCAATCTAACAGACCTTGTTGGGAGACAAATCTAGCTTGCTTGTAACCACCTTGAGCATAACGTCGTCGGGCAGCAGTCCGCCGGTGGCGACGACGTCCTCCGCTATTCGGCCAACCTCCGTCCTGAAGCGAGTGCGAATTGAATCAAAACTCAGACTGACTGCACGTCATGACGGTAGCATACCTCTCTGCGATGTGTTGACGCAACAAGTCGCCGGTGGATAGCGAAAGAATGTCATACTTTTTGACCAGCCTCGCCGACAGGGTTCCCTTGCCCGCACCCGGTTTACCAAACATGAGCATACGCAGGATGTTGCCTTCTCCATGGTTGACGGAAGCGACGGAGCCAGCAGACACATTGTTCAAGGAGAACGGAAGAGCCTTATTGGCAGGGGCGGATGATCGGAACGCGCGCCATCCTGCCCACACTCCCTTCGGCCGAAGCGGGGACAGCGACATGTTAGCTGATTGGATCTGCAAGCGAGTCTTGCTAGGAGCGTGCGGGGTATGGAATGCGGGGTGTGGGCTTGTGTGGGCTCCTCTTACTGCGACGACGACGAGCTGCCGGCGTCATCATTGTGTTGGGGGCGAATGTGGGATGGCGGCGTTTGGGTTAGCGCTCTGCTGCTCTGAGTAACTCGGTGCGATGGATTCTTACCTGTGCTGCTGAGGACTGTCGCCGTCGACGCCGGGCGCGGGCGAGCGAAGGAGCTGGCAAGGTCGAGCGAGCCGATAATCCCTGCAAGTAAGTACTTCGCCGCATCCCGGGGCTGGCCTGGGCTGGCTCTCTTGGCCATCACAGCCAAATCACGCGATCCCGACATCGTCCCATTGCATAGGGTTCTCCGGACAGTCACCTCATCGCGACAGCCCGCTCCTCAAGTTACGGCGGCTTCATGTAGAATTGTTGTGCCAGAGGAGTAGAATACAGAATTACAGTACGTTTAATCTTTACAAGCTACGGCCTACGCGTGCTGCTGCTGGGCAGGGACAGGGGTCTGCTGTCGGCCCTTCAGCGTCCAACCGATGAGCTCCCTCATCTGCCGCACACCATATACACCCCTCACGTCAGGCCTATTGATGTCCGCGGCGATGCAAATGGCCTCAGCAACATGATCCACATGGATGGGCGGGATGGTCATGGCATTCGCTACCGAGTCCAAGGGAGACGGCGAGACAAGCGGTTGCGCGGTTGATGTAGGAAGCCTCGACGCCAGCGAACGCAGCAGCCCAGACGGAGTGGGCAGACCCGGGGGTATCTTGGAGTGTATGGTTGCTGACAAGTCCAGTGCAGCGGCAATAGGAGAGGTGAGTGGACGGAAGTGGGGATGGTAGATCAAGCCTGACAATGGTTGAAAGACATCAGACTCACTATAGCGGCGAGAACGGAAATAAAAGCGTACTTGGCCGCATGTACACCCCTCGATAGTTCGAGTTTCCTGTCATCATCTGCTCGATGCCAAGCTCTGCTTCGCGTTTCGTCTCAATGTAACGAGCTGAAATCAATGGACGGAAAACGTCCTCTGCGGATATGAAGATGAATGGTCTTGGACCCTCAACCCGTACTGTGGGCTGAGACGAGACGAACGCCTCGCAAGCTCGTAAAGCTATCGCAGTATCCCGGGAAAAAAATGAATGATGATGCATCGACGACAAGACGCTGGACAGTTGGACGTACCGGCATCCCTGTTGAGCTGCTCGTAGCTCCCAGGGCGGTCTGCGCCTCGTGCTAGTGGATTGGCCGAGGGTCCGCCGCCCAATGTGTCCGATATAAGCGTGCCGATGAGAGCGGGCAGATTGCCCTCCTTCAGAGCAGTTTTGTACCTTACATCTTCCAGGAGTGTACCGAGTGTATGCACCACGGCGGTTACATCAGGGAGGATGTGAGAGTATGTTTCTGGCTTCAGTGCATCGGCCGCTCGCCAATTCACCTATGTATCAGATGAAATATGAGGATGCTGCCGTCAAATAGCTAGGAGAGGGGCAACACTTTGGAAGTCCAGGCGGGCGAATGGCCCTTGGGAGTGGTGTATGGGGCCCCGGATCGACTACCACGACGTGAGGCTCGGTGCCCCATTATGCAGCACAGATTAGCTTACCTGATGCTGGTCACTTGAAATCCTCGCGCAAGGGCGAGTTTGCACACAGCAGAACCTACGTCATAGTTGGGACCACGAATCATAAATCTCGCATGACATTGCGAATCTGCCAACTTGACACTGACCAACGAAGCCATTCCCTCCAACTACTAATATCTTTTGCAGAGCTGCCTCCATCGGTTCTAAGTTTGCCTTGATTGAGGAGTGGTGTGGTGATGAGGATCAAGAGCAGACGCGTTCCGCCCCGATGATTCTTGATCTGACGCGTTTTCGGCGCGGTGGCGTGACCATTTCTGCCACACGTTCAAAGTTGAGATAGACATTCTTCAATCTCAAGTTCTACTTTTCGTCACAAACTATAGAAACTCCAAGTAACCCGTAGGGACACCTCCAAGCTGAACAAGATACAATTACAATTCTACTCCCGCTGATTGTTAGCGTGTCACTGAGAATACTTAATGGCATCTATGATACGCCTCGTGTCGGTTACGAACCCATAGTTCTGCAAGCGCATCTATTAGCAAGCGAAATAGTATAATGCAGAAAGTTGAAGGCTGGACATACGCGAGTAGCATTGAACAACACATTCTCGAGTCCTCCCGGCGGAGAGGTGGTAGCGACACAGTCTTTGATGGTGATGCAATCATATCCTCTAGCATACGCGTCCACAAGAGTCCCTAGGACACACTTGGTAATCAGAGCCGGTCAGCACTATCCAGCGTGCATGACCACTGCACGCATACTTGGTCGGCATTAACCCCCGCAAAAAACAGCGTCGTGATGCCGTGCTCTTGAAGATACAGGTCGAGCGCTGTTTGATAACCCCATAGTCCACTCATGCTGTCATAGCAGCTAAGCAAGGTGACTCATTCTGAAGAAATGTCCATGCTCACCGATTCTTGTGGATCCAGACGTCCGTCCCTTCTCTCTTACCCTCCTCATACATCTGGTGTAATGGACCGTATAGATCTGCGTTGTACTCTCCTCTCATGAGCAACCGTCCAAAGCTACCTGGTAGTAGCGAGCCAAAGCCGCCTCTGCCTTTCTTCGCGAAGCTGCGAACCAGGGCGGGCGGTATTGTCGTGAGCTCGTGTTCAGTGAGTCCCCAATTACTGCATAAAGAGCCGACTCGTTGAGCGTATAATTCACGAAGGATATTCTGCACGTACACCCAGATAATCTTCACTCCTTGCATGCGTAGCGCAGGTACAATGTTCATCAGGGGCAGAACACACGCCAGCCCAGTAGGATGATCCCTATAGTCGGGATGCAAGAAGAAGCTGACGAATGATGATATGAGATTCAATCCGTCTCCTATCGCCTCACAGTGCAACAGCAGGACGTACTTCTGCATGTCGATGATCACGATGGCTGTCCGCTCCTTCGCAATTCTAACCGTTCGTAATGCATCTACCGAAATCTCTAGTTGCGTCCTAGGTTGCAGCGATGGAGCTTGAACATCTTTCTTCGTTGCTTCATCCGTGGGAAGATGGGCCTCCCGAGTTAGATCGACAAGTCCAGAGGGGTACTCCACCCAAAACGAGGCAGCATTTCCGTACTCGATTGGAGAAGAGACGTAAGGACGGACAGTCATAATTGTAAAAAAGGACGATCAGAGATGGTCGAGGATCACTCCAGGGTCTGCAGATAAGGCAGCTGACGAGAGGACCGTTCGATGCGAGGTCTGGAGGTTGGGGGGACTCGGGAGATGCTTGATCGCTCCTGTCTCGAGTGCTTGCTCACGGGTGTCCACCGTGCGAGCGCAGATAAACCCGTCGTGATGATATGAGGGTCAACTGCTAAGAAAGGAACGCTGGCTCGTCAGCTGCGTCATCGAAAGGCCGAAGGTGCCGAACGCGATGGCCATCCACGCTGGTTTGGCAGAGGTACAGCCAAAGGGAGCACGCCATAAAATATCGGTCGAGCCGTGTGGAATAAGCGAGAGGTTGTTCGCAAGAACCTTGCGAACACGATCGGTTGCAACGCCGCGAGCACTGCCGGTGGCTGAGTTTGGGCATGCGGGGCTGCGCGCAGCGCCTCCGCAGGCATTGCATGCGTTGATCGCTGCCTACACTCCACGTTCACCGTTACCACCATCATGGAAGACATGAGTACGACCTGTCGCCCTTTTCACGTCATCTGCTATTGACTGCCTTTGGCCCAGGCAAATACACAGAAAACCCCTTTGCGTCCACGCACTCCTTGGACGCGAACCCTTTCGAGGATCCTATACCGGAGCCCAGCCTCAACTATGCCAGTACTACCGATGCTGCACGATTGGAGACACTGAGCCAGCGCGAGAGAGATCTCGAACGGAGGGAGCAGGAGCTGAACCAGAAAGCTGAACACATCAGGAGATTCGGGCGGAATAATTGGCCTCCCTGTGCGTGCATTGCTCTTAGCATGTATCAGGAGTACTTATCGCATACTCGAGCCAGTCTACCCCGTCATTTTTCACTCCATCAAGGATGAAATTCCGGAGGGCTTCCAACAACTGATAACGCGACTGTATCAGCTATGGTTTGTGCTGGTCGGCACACTGGTTATCAACATGATCGCATGTATCTTCGTCCTAACTTCGGGTTCGAGCAACGGCGCAAGTGACCTTGGATCGAGTATTGGGTGAGTACGCCTCTGGCCGAAGTCGCGACACTCATATCTATACGTGGCATAGCTATCTTATCGTCATACCGCCTCTCTCTTTCCTCCTGTGGTACCGGTATGGATATTGTTGCGTCTTACGCGCTACCATCTCTTGACCTCATTTTCGTAGACCAATCTATAACGGGTTCATGAAGGTGAGGGCGAAGCCTCTATTGGGTTCGCGCGAGACTGAAGAAGGTTGCTTGGATGCTTACAGGAGCAAGCCTTATATTACTGTGCGTTCATAATTGGACGGTGCCTCCTTCGCTCACTGACTTTGCCTTGCATGCAGATTTATACTTTGTATTCTGTGGCTTCCATTTGCTATACTCGCTATATATGTGAGTGGCAAACACGCTGCGCTCCACTTGTTTGCATGCTGAAAGTAGAATACAGGATTATAGGCATTCCAAGGTGAGCATGTCTGGCAGACGTCTCTTAAATTAGCCTAATCGTGGCGTTATCGCGCAGCACTGGCTCTGCGGGCCTCATCCAAATGATCCAAATGTATGTCAGAGGAGCCATCGCGGCCGGAATCCTGGGCACTATCGCATCTATCGGTTGGATTTTGCAAGGTGTCGGAAATGCCATATTTTACCGACAAGTAAGCGTTCGTCTACGTTAGCAGCGCAGCCTGTACTAAGTCAGTTATATAGATTTGGGCACACAACAAAGCAGCCGGCCACTCTGTCGAAAAGGTAGGTTGCGGAATGCTTCTGAGTAAATCTGCATGCTCATGCAGCTATGTTCCAGGCGAAAGCCGAGCTTGCTACCCATGGTGCGAAAGCGTATTTCACGCGAGGTTAGGACGCTGGCGTCTCCTTAGTTTATGCTTCGGACTCCAATATGTACAATTGCCTCATTCTGTATGGCTTCTGCTATGACGCGCAATGTAATGCTGCTTGTATGGTTGGCACGTACCATTCTCAAATGTGAAGTGGCCAGATACGGGCGTCCCGCACAGGACGGCAGACGCCGAACGGCCATCAAATATTTGGGTCGGGGTTTCAACTGACTCGTCTTAGAACGGCAAGGCGTCGCCTACTCTTTTCTTCAAACCCTCATCTTAGGTGCGTGTTCTTCGCGCCGCCTTCCGTCCGTTTGCACTCATTTCCCTTTCCTGCACTCATTTCTCTTTCCAGGCCCAAAGCTTTCAAAAAACAATACAAAAATATTCAAAAAGCAGTTGCCTCGACCCCTCCTGTGTGCGTCGTTTTTCGACAGCCTCACCATGGCCCGTGCTAATCTACACCGCCTCGATAGTCGCAGAAAAGTCCACATCGCAGTAACGACCCCCCCATAACCCCAGAAAATCCAATGTCCGTATCTCCTTCTGTCGCTCAGCCTCAAGAGGCTCTCGTCCCTCAGGTTTCCGAGGCGGCGCCCACGCCCGCGCCGCCTCCTGCGCCTGCGGTTATGCCGCCTGTTCCGGCATACAACCCGGCACCTCCTCCTCAGGCGTCCGCCCCTTCGGCCTCGCTCTATGTTGGTGAGCTTGATCCGACGGTGACCGAGGCCATGCTCTTTGAGATTTTCAACTTGCTTGGACCTGTCGCGAGGTAAGTCGCTTAGATCATCTTAGATGGACCCGAATTTCACACTTGCATAGCATTCGTGTCTGCCGCGATGCTGTCACCCGTCGTTCCCTCGGTTACGCCTATGTAAACTATCTCAACGCTGCAGACGGCGAGCGTGCTCTGGAGCAGTTGAACTACTCCTTGATCAAGGGGCGTGCTTGGTACGCACAGATCTCTATCATCCAGACTGCGTAAGTTGATATATGCGTGTTGTTCAGCCGCATCATGTGGTCTCAGCGCGATCCTGCCCTCCGCAAGACTGGCCAAGGCAATATTTTCATCAAGAACCTCGATGAACAGATCGATAACAAGGTTGGTAATATTCGAGTTACTCCGCGGGAGTCATTGCTAACTCCAGCCGATTAGGCCCTTCATGACACCTTCGCCGCATTTGGTAACGTCTTGTCGTGCAAGGTCGCCACCGATGAGCACGGCCGTTCGAAGGGCTACGGGTTCGTCCACTATGAGACAGCCGAAGCTGCTGAGACTGCCATCAAGGCGGTGAACGGCATGCTCTTGAACGATAAGAAGGTTTACGTCGGCCACCACATCTCGCGCAAGGTTCGTCGTTATCTGGAGAGTTTGTTGACTGCTCGTTGAATGATTGATACAGGAGCGCGAATCCAAGCTCGAGGAGATGAAGGCGCGGTTCACCAACATTTATGTGAAGAACATTGACGCTGAGGCGACTGAGGAAGAATTCCTTGACCTGTTCAAGCAATTCGGCAACGTCACCTCAGCTGTGATCCAGCGTGATGATGAGGGCAACAGTCGCGGATTCGGTTTCGTGAACTTCGAGAATCACGAAGAGGCTCAGCAGGCTGTCGACACCCTTCACGACTCTGAGTTCAGGGGCAAGAAGCTTTTCGTCACTCGGGCACAAAAGAAGGCTGAGCGCGAAGCGGAGCTTCGCAAGTCCTACGAGCAAGCGAAGATGGAGAAGTTGAGCAAGTACCAGGGTGTCAATCTCTACATCAAAAACCTTGAAGATGACATCGACGATGACAGGCTGCGTGCCGAGTTCGAGCCTTTTGGTACCATCACTAGCGCGAAGGTGATGCGCGACGAGAAGGGTACATCGAAAGGCTTCGGATTCGTTTGCTTCTCTTCGCCCGACGAGGCGACCAAGGCGGTCGCGGAGATGAACAACAAGATGATCGGTTCGAAGCCGCTTTATGTCTCCCTTGCTCAGCGCCGTGAGGTTCGTAGGCAGCAGCTCGAGAGTCAGATCGCACAGCGCAATCAGATAAGGATGCAGCAGGCTGCAGCAAGCGGGCTCGGTGGCTACATGGGTGGTCCTATGTACTACCCTCCTGGCCCGGGATTCCCTCCTCAAGGTGGTCGCGGTATGATGGGCTATGGCCAACCGGGCATGCTTCCTCCTCGCCCGCGCTATGCACCTAACGGACAGGTCCCTGGCATGCCCATGCCGCCCTACGGCCAGCCTCCTCAAGGATACCCTGGTATGTCCGGCTACCCACGTGGCGCTCCCCGCCCTCCCCCGGCTGGCCGTGCTCCTCCTCCAACCGAGCCCAATGCTCCTGCTATCAACGGTGCCGTCCCTCGCCCGGCTGGTCCTCAAGGCGCGCCCGCCGCGCGCCCTCCTGCTGCCGTACTCCCTGCTGCCGCTGCTCGTCCGGGGTATAAGTTGAACCCTCAGACTCGCAACGTCCCTGCTCCAGCCGGTCAAGCATCTGCTGTCCCGATTGCGCCTGCATCTGCACCACCAGCTTCCGCCGTTGAGCCTCTCGCCATTTCTGCTGCGGCACTTGCCAACGCTTCGCCTATGGAGCAGAAGCAGATGCTCGGCGAAGTCATTTACATGAAGATTGTCTCGTACGTATCTCGTAGTAAGATGCATGCTCAACATTGATATTGATGATGGGTACTTTGCAGAACTCAACCCGAGCTGGCTGGCAAGATCACGGGTATGCTTCTGGAGATGGATAATGCCGAGCTTCTTCACCTTCTGGAGACTCCTGATGCCATGAATGGCAAGGTCAACGAGGCGCTCGCCGTTCTGCACGACTTCTCCCAGAAGGAGACGGCTGCGACCGAAAGCAAGTGAGGGCCGTTGGAATGCGTGTGTGAGATAGCGGTCGTGGTGCTTTCTCCGCTCGTTATTGTTTGTTCTCGTCTTCAGGTCCGTTGACTCGCCCGTTTTCATCTGCTTGCTCTGTTCGCTCTGTCCTCGTATAGCGTACGGGGTTCATGGTAGTCGTTCCTTTGTGTGTACTGTATTCCGAGGAACAGGAGAGTCGACTTACTGCACATCATTCTTCTGCGTGATATGCATCCTGCGTGAAATCCAGCTACAATGACAACAGGCTGTGGGAGGTCCCTAGTAGAGACAACGTCCTGAGGTAATCAGTCTAACTGCTGGCCTATTTACTGATACTACAATACAATACTGAGGGATATAGCAATCGCATACACGCGATAAGGAAACTTAGCGTTGCGTACCACCTCTCATGCCCATCATCTTGAACATATCTGCCATATTACCACCCATTCCTCCCAATCCACCCAGTCCACCGAGCCCATTACCCATTTGGGCCATCATGCCTGGGAAGAAGTCAGGTCCTGTATCTGCAACAGAGAAACGTGACGACGTACGTTGCATTTCTTCCATGTCGAATTGGTCCCCTCCTTGACCCTGCATCATCGCCTTCATCATCTCCTGCATGCCGCCGCCGTTACGCATTTGACGTTGCAGCTGTTGGAGCATGCCCGGCGGCATGGAACGCTGCATCGCCTGTATCTGTGCGGGAGTCGGCATGCCGTTCGCTCCGCGTCCCCGCCCACCGGCCGCTGCCTGCATCTTCTGGATTGCCTGCAACCAACCATTCTTGCCGCCTGCCTGCTTCGCCATGTTTGCCATCATGCGGTACTGGCAGAGCAGCTCCTCCACCTCGCGCACACTTGTCCCGCTCCCGCGTGCGACGCGAGTAACGCGCCAGGTAAGCCCAATAGGCTTCCCGTCCTTGGCGAGCTCCATGAAGGGAGTGCCGTCCGAGTCGAGCTCCGTGGAGGTCATGCTGTCGGTGATATAGATCATGCGTTTCATCCGTATGGAGCCCTCTTCGTCTGAGCCCTGGAGGAGATCTTGCGGCAGCCCGGGTATCATGGAAGCAATCTTAGAAATGGGGCCCCTGTGTTTACGAGAAGACATTAATTGAATGCGGGGGAACTGGTAAGGCTGCACGCACATGTTCATGACATTTGAGATTTGCTCTCGCCAGTCTCGGATGCTGAGTTTGCCCTCCTCCAGCTTCTTCGCCATTTCTTTCTGCTTGTCGGGGTTCTGTGTCGCAATGTCCTGCATGTGCTCCATAAGACCCTGGACATCTCCTAATCCCAGCAGCTTTGATATGAACGGCTGTGGCGAGAACCTATCCAGGTCGTGTAGGTGTTCGCCTACACCGAGGAAGATGATCGGCGTCTTGGTGGCTGCGACACTGATGGTCATCAACATGAGCAACGGACTAATAGCGCAAGCGGTACGTACGCGGAGATGGCACCTCCTCCTTTCGCATGGCCGTCCATCTTTGTCACAATGATAGCTCCAAAGTCAGCACTCTCTTTGAATGCGCGGCTCTGTGCCTCAGCCGCCTGGCCTGATGCATGAGTGAGTCCGGTCACTCCTAACTAGCATTTACCAAACTCACCGATGCTTGCATCAAGGACTAGCACAGTCATGTTAGGCTTGACCGCCTGCCCGATCTGTACCATCTCCTGGAACAGTTCCGACTCTTGCTTATGTCGACCAGATGTATCGACAATAATGACGTCAAACCGTTCTTTCTTGAACTTCGCAACACCCTGTGCGGCGATTGCAACGGGATCCGTCTCTGTGTAGGAACCGAAATAGGCGACCTTGGCCTTGGTGGCAGACTGCCGTGTCTGATCGAAGGCACCGGCTCGGAATGTATCTGCACAAACGATGCAGGACTTGAAGCCGCGTTTCTGGTAGTACACGGCAAGCTTTGTACATGTCGTTGTCTTTCCATTTCCCTGTAAAACAGAGCAGTTAGCCGGTTGAAGACCAAGAGGGGTGATCAGCCGCACCTGCAGACCCACAGCCATGATAATATTTGGTTGTCCCTTCTTTGGTTTGTATGGTTCTACTCCAGGGTCCACGAGCTGCACAAGTTCATCGAAGATGGCCTGACGAAAGGTCTGAGATTGCATGGAAATGAAGCCATGCGTGCTTCCACATACCTTCTGGACTATAGTCTTCCTATTTGTCTCCTTTCCCTTATCCGCACCACCCTCCAGCGCTGCCTTGACCTTAGCCTTGACCTTCTGCCGTAGCTGAGCAACCAACTTGACGTTGACGTCAGATTCCAGCAAAGCGGCGCACACTTCCTTCAAAAGAGCATCGAGGACCTACGTCCCCATGGTGAGCTGAGAATAGCCGACAAGTTCATATCAGCGCCACACGTACCTTCTCGTCGACGACTGGTGCCCTACTGAGAGACGAGAGGGCAGCATTGAGCTTGCGACCCAAGTCAGCGAGAACCATGGTGGCGGATATAAGCCAAGTTGGAGCAGTGCTAGTGAATCGACGCGTGTGCTCGATCGCGCTCAGTTGATCGACGCGCGACCCCAGCCTTGTCTCCGCCACAGCACTCATGTCTGCCAACAGCGACGAAGACGAAGACGTCCTCGACGACGTCGACTTCGATAACTCTTCCGACGATGAGATAGACGAGGACATTCTCGATGCCCTCGAAGGCGATCTCGCCGCGGCAGCCGCGGCGGAGGAGGCATCGGAGGACGAAGTGCGTTCAGCCACCTTGTAACGGCCGCTCTCTGCTGAATTGACTTAACGAAGGACTCAATCACAGAAGATTCGGACAACGTCTCGGACGATGACTACGACGACGACGAGACGCCACCGCAGAAACAAGTCTTCCCGACACCAACAGAGCCATTGCCAGAGAATGTACCGACACCTGCGGACCACACACTATCGGGAGAGTCGCCTCCTAAAGGTATACATGTTAATACGAGCTGCGCTCTGATATTAACGGCATTAGCAGTTCTCAGTCCCTCACCAGTTACCCACACGTTTTCGCCTGCCCAAATGCGCCGCGCAAAGCTGGTCGCTGACATTATCTGGCCGCGCTCCTACACTGTAGAAGCCATCTGCGCCATCCCTCATCCAGCGCCTACGCACTGTCTCGCCGCCTCCTTCTGTATGTCGCACCTTCTCACCGGCTCTGACGACGGGTACATCCGTGACTACGACGTCTTTGCCGCCGTGAACGGCAAGGTCTTCCTCACTGCGCCTCAGCGTCATCACTGCGGTGTCATGGAGGGGCTCATGAAGGCTGGGCAGATCAAATTTTGGTGGGAGAACCCCTCCCCTGTCGACCTCACTGCGAAAGGGGGAAACGCAGCTTTGGAGGACCCGCCGCTCTCTCCGGTGTACAGTCTTGCGATGCAGTCGGACGCACTGTGGACACTAGCCGGATCAGATGTACGTGTCATACACTAGACTTGCGTTGCAGTGAGTGACATTGCGGATAGCAAGGAACCATCAATTTGTTCACTGTACGCCACGAGCCCGGCAGGCTATGTCATGTTATGAGAGGTCACCGTGGACGGCCTGTCTCTGCTCTAGCACTCTCGTACGATGAAACGGGATTCTTCAGCGCCGGTTGGGATGGCGAAGCTCTGGTATGTGCTTGATTTGGTTGCTCCTGGATACCAAGCAGCTCTTATCGGTGCCCTTATGTCCAGCAATGGGACCTCAACACAGGCCAGATAGTACGGAACTTCATGTCACATGGAGCACAATTAACCGCGATTGGCGTACGCCCTCTCATCTCCCATTACGATGGCCATCATTGGAGTTCTCCTACACCCGGCGTGGATGGAGAGCCGTACGGTAACAGACAAACCCTCCAGAACGGGCTCGTTTCTGACAGGTATACGGCCGATGGACAATCAATACCTCCGTCGGCGGAATTAGATTCCAAAGAGCGTGTCTTTGCAGGTCAGCAAGCCCAATCCTCCACAGAGTTGACGACTTTGCTTCAACAAGATGATGACGTCAAGTCCGACACATCCTATGATCCGCTCTTCGACGAGCCAGATGCCGATGGGGAGCTTGATACGGAGGATACCTCCGCCCTGCCCGCCGCCAATGCATTTGGGAACCCCTCCTATGTCGCGCAGAGCGGCGGAGCAAGCATGGCGCTGTCAGGCCAGCACACGCAAGCGCAACGCAACGTGCGTAGTACTGCAGCCCCGAAGAATGCACCGCCGATCCTCGATCCTGAGACATATTCACACTTTTCGCCGGACATGCTCATGACGGCGTCGATCGATGGGCAGATTATGCTGTGGGACACGCGCGTATATGCGCCCGGGCAGGGCGTGGGACGGCTCTGGATGAGCGAAAAGACACCTCCATGGTGTGTTTCGGTGTGTAGACCGCTTGTCAACTTCGGATCTTGAGGCTGACAGTGGGCTTGGTGTGCAGGCATGCTGGTCCGCGGATGGAGCGCAGATATATGCGGGCAGGCGGAACGGGACTATAGACATTTGGGATGTCAGACAGACAGGGCGCTCGGCCTCCGGAACACCGAAAATCTGGAAGACGCTGCGCAACCCGCCCAGCTCAGGGATTGTCTCGTGCGTAGTGGCGTTTCCCGACGGACGACATTTGGCATGGTAAGCTGCCCGCATAGTCTTCGTTATCTCATTGCTTACTATATGCTCGTACCACAGCGCCTCGAATGACAATATCCGTTTGTGGAATGTCGCAGAGGCGAAGGACTCTCCTCCGGGAAAGAAGCAGATCAAGGGAGGAGTCCAATTCAAGATCATCCCTGGCCACCACGGCGGGTTGATATCCTCCATGTGTAAGACAAACATTCTACTTTGCATTACATGCTTTCAACTGCTCTATTTGGCTCTCAGTGGTTGACCCCGCAGCACGGTTCCTGGTCAGTGCCAGCAGCAATCGCGGATGGCACGGCGAATCCACGCGGACTGTGTTTGTGCATGAGATCAAGCATATCCGTTGATGAAAATGCACTCATGCACGCGTTCATGTTCACGGCATCCCTATCTTTACAGGCTGCTAATGTATTCTGCAACATTGCTTGTGGATATCGCTGTTATTCATTTTGCTGCGAGTATGTAGAATACGGCATCAAGATAGCATTACAACGACTTGCATCGCAAGCTGCCAGTACCTGCGTCAAAGCGACTAGCCATGTACGACACTCTCCAACATATGCTGTACAACCTATATTTACATACAATGCAGCTGGTGGTCCCAATCAAAGGTACGATTAAAATACTATATTACAGATTGAACACGTTTGATGACGTTTCAGCGATACAGCCGATTCACGCGTTCAACGATGCTTTGCCTCTGCCTGCTGCTTCTTCCATTGCTTCTTTTGTGATGAGGCAGCGGCCTTACTGCCAAAAAGAAATCTGGATGTATGCTTATCTGCACCGGTCTTCTTTGAAATAGATGAGGTGCCCGCAAACATCATCTGATTCGGTGTGAATCGGCTGCGGTACAGATTTTGGAAACCACTCACCACCCAGAAACCCCACGCACTGATGATGGCGGTGCCAAGTGAGAGAAGCAGGCCTAATGCACCGACCGTTCTTGTATTATACGAGATGAATGCTGTGAAGGCGCATGCGGAAGAAAGCGGGCCCAGCAGCGGATGACCGGGGGTCTTTTGTTGCGGTTGTATCGCGGGTATTGAGGGTACCTAAGGTTCAATCACAGTTTGCAAGACCATTCTTAGGCAGTATTCCATGGAACGTGCGTACGTTGAGTATGAGAGCAAAAGCTATCGCAACCAGCAGAATGCCAACATGCAGAGACAGGAATGACTCCAAAGGCGTCAGTTCCGTTCGCATCTCAGCTTCGCTACCTTCGACAAGAAAAAGGAGAAAGCGAGGAAAGAGCAGCAGAGGTATCGCTGTGACTAAAAACCTGTGTTTTGAAATCCATTGAGCAATCGACAAGCAGGTGAGCAGTGGGCACTCACAGTATTGCCGCTCCCCATGCCCAGTACAAGACAGTGTCCGAGTCGGATGTAATAACGTCCTCCGTTTTGTCACCCGCGATGATGTCTGATTGCTGTTGTCGCTTGCGCGAGAGGTCGTCGAGCTCAATGTCGGACATGGTGGTAACGACTCAATGTAATTCAGAATATTTGTCTTTGTCGTGGCGCAGCTGAAACAGTGCACACGACGCGCAGCCCACGAGCCAGGGGTTCGTGACGTCACGCGACAAAGATTGCATCAAAAATCCAATGCAGTTACGTTTGCATCTTGTAGTATAACATGTGCGATAGAATATATAGAAATGCAACGAACAGAACACCAGTACATAAAGAAAGCACCCCGTAAGAATACTGCCTCTGATTAGATACAGATTGCGCCTCACGACCACCCGCCCTGCGAACCCCATCCCTCCGACTGCTGAATCATCGCAGCACGAGACGGGTGCACGCCTGGCGGCACAGTGGGAGGCGGCGGCGGCTGCGACGGGTATGATGGTGTCTGATAGCCACCATACGGCGTCTGTGCCGGCATCCCGAACGGCGACGCTCCGAAGGGCTGCGGCATGGGCGCGCCGAATGGCTTCGGCATCGTCGAACTGAGGCTGGTGGGAGCTGGAGCACCGCTTGGTACGCCGTATGGATTCGGCGTCCTGGCTGCTTGTCGCACCGACATGTGTCCAGGGGTAGCATGGCCTGGTGCCGGCGTCCGCGCTGGGGTACGACCGCCATATGGCGTCTTGCCACTCAGACCACCGCCGCCGAGGTTTTTGGATTCGTGGATATGTCTGGGAGCGAATGAGTGGCTGTTAGTAAAGCAGTGGATAATGTACTTACCTGACTTTGAAGGCATCACACAATTCTGACACACCAGTGGCCGGCGTATCAAAAAGGTAATATGCCTCCGGAGTCACTCTCACCGGCTGGAAGTGATTTATGTCAGCAAATCGCAAAATGCAAGGCCAAATAGTGTACTTGCCCATGTCTGCACCGTGGAGTTCTTATTTGCCAAGAAGCAGAGACTGAAGTGGCCCGGGCGCTTGCGGTTCAGCGCGAAACCGTACGCGCTCTTCGCAGGATTTGCGGCGACGAAATTCTTCAGGTAGAGGTCTGGGAGCACGTATTAGTTCAGTACCGGATGGACCATACCTGCACCGACTACTCACGAAGATCATCCTCCGATCCATGCTTGAACTTCTCGTGCGCCATCAGCTCCTCAACCTTGCGAGCCATAGCTTGGACGTGATTGACGATCAACTCATCCAAGTCGGAATACTGATGAGTGCCATCAACAATAAGCTTCGTACCCACAGTCTGGCCAGTGGGATCAGCGTTTGGCTCAACGACGTCTGCAACACATCATGCGATGAGTTCCACCACCAGCACAGCCTCTTGGAACTACACTCACCGATATGCTGGAAGAGCTTGTCATCCACTTTCCAAGTCACAGCAAGGTGGTCCACGCCCTTTGATGACGGCCTGATAACCACGTCCCCGCGCTGTTGCTTGTCCAGGTATTGCTCCGCCTGCTGCGCGTTGAAATTATGGAAGTTCGGATGCTTGATGACCCTCCGCGTCCTGTCGACCTCTGCGCGTTTCTTCCGTGCCTGGATCTCCATATCCCTCTCATGCTGCGTGTGATTCCAGAAATCATCGTGCTTAACCCGGCAGAACTGGCTATCGCCCGCGCTGATGTCCGACGGCCGCGACGACAGCTCGACCCAGGGACTGTCCGGTGGGAGGTCCGTCTTGACATCAATGATCACGCCCTGCAGCGTCTGACCTTGCTTGACGACGGACGGCGGGGAAACTGGCTGGTCAGCGAGGTACTGCGCGTGAATGATGCCTTCGATGCCCGAGTCGAGCCGCACCGCGACGAGATTTTGCTTGACGCGCACGACCATCACGGACACGATGAGGCCGGCACGCAACGTGCGCGGCGTCTCTCCCGTCAGCATCATCGCGACCTCCCAGGGAGTCGGCAGCGAGAATTTCTCGCGTAGCTCGCCGAAGGGCTTGAGCAGTTCCGTACGGATGACGTTGAGCGTATGCCGTTTCTTGTCTTGGTTAGTTTCGTACATGTTGACGGCGAAATCATCGAGGTTCAGCTCGTCAAGCTTTCTCTCGTTGTTCTCATCCGCCATGATGAGGGAGACCACAAGCGAAGGATGCTCGTCGTGGATATCTTCCTCATCCAGCTCGAGTGCATCCGTTGCCATCTTCCGAGCTAACTCATAGTCTTCTGGGTGTATGCGGGTATTATCGAGAGGATCAGGAACGTCGATGTCCTCGTTGTGGCGGTTCTTGGACAGCTTTGATTCTGGGTCCTGGACAATGCGCAAGAAGCCAGCCGCATTGAGGAATATCTTGGTGGTAAGAAGACCGTTCTTAATGAATTGATCTCGGTTGATGAGGTTACCGCCCTACGCAAAGTGAGTATGACTGCACGATTAAGAACACAATGGATACTGACCATAGACGCAATCTTCTTGGCTAGTACTTGCGCCTTACGGGGACCCAATCCGCAGATGTATGGCAGCAAGTGCTGGTAATATGAATCGGTCACAGCACGGTTGATGTCGACACCAACTTTGTTGGTGACATCAACCAGCACTCGCTCCAAAGCGGACAACAACTTCTCCGTCGGAATCTAACGAGAAAAGATGAATCGTAGAACAAGCATCGCGTGGGAACAGCACGTACCAGATTCTGATTGTCCTCGTCGAACATTATAGCCTTGATATCGGCGCCCAGAGCAGCGTACTCGTTCAGTGGGCTTTGCGCATACCGCGCCAAACCCACACAATACTTGGCAAGAGGCGACAGCGCACTGAACTCTTCAGCAGCACGCTTGCTATGCTGGTAAATCCGAGCCACCTCGTCTAAGACATAAATGACATCGATGTTGAACGAGTCTTCGCGGCGATCCCCATACTCTCCGCCCTCAACATTCGGCCTCATGATCTCCTTGACTCGCTGAGCCAACTTCATGGTCGCGATGCTGAATCCGCCGATGACAATAACGTCCGGCTTGCGCCTCTTCAGGATGTCGAGGAACTCGTCCTTGTACTCACTGTCAACGAGGTTGTCTAGTCTGGTGTGCTCCCGTAGACGCCCAGCCTCGTCCATGAAAACGATGGTGATGACATCTTTGTGAGGATCGCCTTTGCCCCATGACATTGCAAGTACTGAGGGAATTTCGCCTACTTGCATATCTTGAGTCGCATACGGAGCCACGTCAATCCTCTGTAAGTGCTTCAGTGTTGAGAGATTCACGCATGTAGACCAGATACTCACTTCGTGAAGGATTTGGGCACATGACTCGGCCAGGAACTCCTCAGCTTCCTCTCGCATCCATTCCCTTGTCCACTTTACACCAATAGGAATGAGGTGCTGCTCGAGCGTCTCTTGCACAGTCCGGGAGCGCTCTTCATTCCATGCACGCGCAGTGTCACTAAAGCTATCTGACGAGAATGCATCGTTCATTCTGCGTTCGAAGGCGGCCTTTGCCTCCGGAGGGAGCGTGATCGACACCGTGACCAAGTGCTGCGACTCAGCCTGCAAAGTGTGCAGGAACTGTGCTGAACGCAACATATCAGCGGCCGGTTTGTTGTGCAAGTACTTGAAATTCTGGACGCAATGTTAGCATGAATGACAGCATTTGCCGATGCTCTATGGCTTACAAAGTACGGATTGTGTTCATCAATCTTCATGACACCGCGTTCCGTAGGCAACACCGACACCAGAGCATCAGACTTGAAGACAGTGCGGATTTCCTGCCTGAGAAGAGGATCTTTGCCTAGTTCTGTGGCCAATATCATACGTGCGCGGGAGAGCAGCTCTTCGGGAGATTGCGCTCGGCCAGCATCAGGGTCCGCGAATTGCTCAGCATATGCGATCGGATTAAGCTCTTGATCCTCGATGAAGTAAGTGTTGTTACCCGAGACGAAGTTAAGGGCCACCTCCTGAGGTTGAATGCCAAAGCCCTGATTGAAATGCGAGTAAGAGAACTGTATCGTCGTAGGATAGTTTGGGACATACCTCCGCCAATTTGGACACAACGCTCTTCTTAGCGAGCTCATAGGCTGAGATGCGACTGGGCTTCTTCGGCTTCTTGATGTCGATCTGTTCATCATCGTCGTGGAAATGAAGCTCGAGTCTGCTTTTCTTGTCTTCCCTGTACTTAAGCCCCAGCCACTCGGTTGCATCGGCAATCATCACGACGCTCTCTATCCTCTTGCGAATCTCGTTTTCGAAGTAATCGTCTGGAACACCGAGGTGGCCGTAAAGTGAGTCCAGTACCTGTCGTCGCTCCAGGAGTGAACGATACTTCTGGCCAACCGCATAGACTCGCCATAGTTCGTCAAGGCTGAGAAGCTCTACGCTTGCTCGGAGATCTTTAGGATTGAAATACGAAATGTAATCTCGCTTGTGTGTCCAGATGTAAGGCACTTCGTACTCCTGAATAAAGAGGAATCTGAGAGCACAGGATATGGCTTGCACAAGGTCTGACAGGTATTGATGGTACTGGCCGTCTGGTCGGAAGAAATCATATTCCTTGTGATAGGAAAGCCGAGTGATGACCCACGAGGCCGCGTCATCGATGTCATTCTCCGTAAGTGGCTTGCGGAATGATGGTGTCGACGACTGCGATAGTGTAGATGTAGCGAGTTGCATTCTCTCAGGGATGTCTTGAGCTCGTATTAGATCATCGTCTTCAGTCAACATTCGCGCTCGAATTTCTGATGGCTCGAATACCTGAATGGCACTATGAGCATGATTCAGACGATCAAGAAAAGACGAGCTTACATCGTGATACTTTATTTCTGGCTTTTGCTCCTCGTCGTAGGCTGTCTCCTCTTCGTCCATGAGAGCCCAGTCGAACTCATGACCATCGCCGAAGACTTCATGTATCTCATCCCAAGCACTAGAATCGTCTGCGTCACAGTCATATTTCCTTGGATCAAGGAAAACTTACTTTGCATCGATACCGGCGAGCTCTGGTCGGCTCATCGCCTTCCGTCTTGCCTTCTCTAACCTCCTTCTCTCCTTTCTCCGCTCTTCCCGTTCATCCTCGTCCATGGCACCGCCCGTCTCCTCCTCGTCCTCGTACTCAATAAAGTTGTCCATGTCGTCGTCTATGTCATCCTCATCGTCTCTTCCCCCCGCATTCCTCTCATCGTCCCAGATACTTTGGATATCCTGGACATGAGGGAGATCCAGATCATCGTTATCAAGGTCTTCGTCGGACGACTCTACGACTGCCTTGCGTTTGGAAGAGGATGATGCAGGCGGGGACTCGGAATCTCGAGCGCGACGTAGACGCGTGAGTCTGTTACGGAACGATGCACCGGTGTTCTCTTCCAGCAGCTCGAGGTCGTCTTCCTCAAGCGCCTCCTCTTCTTCTCGGTCTGGAACAACCATACACGTGCTTGAGTCAGCGATACGATGTTGAGAGGAAGACACGCAGTACGCACGATATTTGTGGTGGCGTTTTCGCCGCTTGCGACGCCTACGCCTCTCTTCACCTTCGTCAACCTCCTCCTCCTCATCATCCTCATCGACAATGAACCCTTCTCTAATGCGCCTCTCTTCCTCTTCGTCCTCTTCAGGCTCCTCCGAGCTATCATCGGACATGCCTCCTGCATCGTCGCCCTCGTTCTCCTGCACCGATTGTTGCATAGGAACATCTTCCTCGTCGACGTGATTCTTGTGCACTGGATTAGCAACCGGAGACGACATGGTCAGAAAACGCGAGCGCTATGTCCAGTCGGCGTAGAATTGAGACCCAAAGTTCACGGGTCGAACGAGGTCGTGGTCAGATTGAGCGCGTGCGAGATCGAGATCTCATACATGGGGGTTTGATTAGGTAACAACCTCGATGACTAATTTGTACATGCTCGTGCTCGATTACTCTTTCCCAACGATGCAAGTACCGGACAACTACATACGCCTTGCGCTCGACGAAGCCAGGAAGTGCCAGCCAACGCCGACGGCATTCTGCGTCGGCTGCGTGCTCACAACGAGTATAGCCGACACGGACGATCCGATCATTTTAGCGACGGGGTATTCGCGAGAGCTTCCAGGAAACACGCATGCTGAAGCGAACGCCTTGACGAAAGCGCATCAGCTTACTTCAAAGGATCTGCAGCGGCTCTTCCCCACCTTGCCCAGCAATATCACTATCGACGAGATCCTGACATATGCGGACATTTATACGACGATGGAGCCATGTTCAGTGCGGACATCTGGTCTATCGCCCTGCGCAGATGCCATCATAGCAGCCAAGATCCGCAGATGTTTCATAGGCGTTGGAGAGCCGGATGACTTCGTCAAATGCGAGGGCGCACAGAAGTTGCAGGATGCAGGGGTTGAAGTAATCTGGATCAGAGGACTGGAGAACGAATGCCTGGAGGTAGCCAGAATGGGACATTGAGTTGTAGGATCCTGATCGCGAGATGAAACAGATGAGGCTGATGAGCCGTTCCAATGCTTCAAGTTTGTCCTACAAGCGGTGGGGAAAGCCGCCTGTTGAAAGAGCAAATCGTCCCTCGCTGATGCTTCGAGGACACCGAAATTATCGCAAGAGGTTCATGGGGTATTTGCTGACAGCGGTTTGGCGTTTGAACTGAAGTTGTCCTTGCAATTGAGAGACACTCGATCTGTTGGAAAGTAAGCAAGGTCGCTCTCCTTAGACGTTGTGAACGATAGCAGAAAATCTCTCAAAGAAGGTAGTTTCTCCGGACTGGATATTGCAGTACCCACGCGATCCTACTGCAGTGCATCTGTTATCTATGCCACACACCGGGGCAATACTGTACCATGAGAGATACAGATGAAGCGTGGCCAGTTAACTGGCGTAAAATGCGACGCCCGATCTCTATTCGCCCTTCTTCACAAAGTGAGGGTCGCATTGAACCAGACGGCAATTAGTCAACTACTTCGTACCACGTTGATTGAACGGCAGACTGGTGGGCTGAGTAGCCTATTGCAACCGAGGTCAAGTAAGTCTGGTCGTTGTCCGATGCGCAGCGACAGAGAATGCGCCGTCAGCTGCATCTTCAGGGGGCTGGTTCGTGACATTGATACACTTGTTATCTCCTTCTTCTGCCTCTGAAATGGGACCTGTAGGTCCGAAAGTGATATTATAAGTATCGGCGCACTGTATAGGAAATCAGCGGGCAAAAAGCCAGGCAGATAGGCTTGAGTACAACGGTGAGGACGGTCAATGAGAGCCGGTGACACTGGAAATGAAATGCACGACCCAAGCTTGCGGTGACAGATTGAAGCTCAGATGGAATAGAGGACATAGCATTAACGGTTAAAAAGTGCTTCTTTCAGAGCGGCGCGAGGCGAAATAGAAATAAAATCTAGTATCCTCAAAGTATCGGTTAGAATTGCATGAGAATTGCTGAAGAAGCTGGCCTTGCAAGTGGCTGGAGTGTAAGGGTCCCTAAGTGAGGATGGTCCGTGCGCTCCACGACATGTTAGCGGAGTTGAGACATCAGGCCGATCGTGGAACAATCTGACAGAATCTGACGTGCCTGTGCCACCACCGGCCACCACGCTCTGCGACTTTGCTTGAACCTCCATAACCAGATGTTCGCTCGATATATTGAATATGCAGCGGCAGGCTTGTGGAAAAGGTTTTGCTGATGACCAAGAATACTGATGTGCTGCTCAAGATGTCGGAAAGACACCAAAGTCGGCTCGGCTGCTTTTCTCTTCTGATGATTCCGCAGTCTACCCTAAACTGGTCCTCCAAGGATTCTCCCTGAGGATGTTCATATGTGTGTCTTTATCCAGCGATATCCCATTGAACGTATCTTGACATTTTGCGATCCATGGATTGCGCATCGTCCTTCTGCGGCGCTCTTACCCGCAGGACAACATGCGGCACTCAGGGTCGGTGGTGCGTAACCAGTTACGTGTATTTCGTCTTCGAAATACGATGTTGCAATCTCCTCGAGCAAGCCTTGGAATACCGCGAAACTAGCGTTGAGGTCGTATCGTACGCTTTCCCACGCTGGTAGACATTGTCCACGTGGCAAAATCATGCCTGAATGGCACGGCTGTATCTTCCTGTTCGGTTATACCACTCCTCTATGATGCATGTGCCCATGGAACGCATTCGAGAACAACATCACACTCGCCTGAATTGTGGCGCGCGTCGTCATACGCGTGACGTCACGGGCGTTATTCTTGCTCACATTGACACGGTCTTGTGTCAACGTTGTCGTCGTTTCTGATCATGAACCTGCACATTTCTGTCACAGGGCGACTGGAAAGCATCAGTTAGCTATCCATTTATTCTTGAGCTGTTCATTTCAAATTGCTGCAGCACTTTCCGAAGATATTCATTGATACTCATTATTTCACGGGCGGATGGCATACAGCTTTTCCCATGCGTCTTCGATTCCCCCTTCAGTGTTCTCTCGCTGGATATGGAACCGTGACGTCTGAATCGACGCTTTTGGTATCGGCGTATTTATTCTTGTGGCCTGACTCTTTAACCTGTCCTTGCATCACATCATGTCTTGCATACGCAACACTCATATCCACATTTTGTGTTCGGAAAACACGAATACTCACCAGAGTCGGCAGACCCCACGGGAGCAAACTCGGACCCAGTCGCATGCACTGTGGGGAGATCTGGGAGTGTCTCTGGCGCGTATGAGACATGCGAGGAACAGAGTTTCTTGATGTGACTTGCCGAACCCGAAGAGTGCACCGCTTTACTCGATCCATTGACCTTTTAAGTGCGAGGGCTATTCTGAGCCTCCAGAACTCCCAGTCTTTCCGTTCATCTCCCTTCTCCACTATACTCTCAATGCATCTCTAGCACTAATCTCAGCACAATCCGCTCGCATTCTTTGTCTTCTTTCTCAAATGCGATCTTCGAAACCCGATCTTCCATATCCTTCATTCACGCTTGTGCTATCCAGCGCGGCTAACGACTCATCGCGCTTGCCTTCCTGCTGCGAAGTTCATAGACGTAGGCACCATCCATACGCAAGACATCCGCCGTGTCATCACGACCATCTGATGGTGTGTGCCATAGAAGTGACGAAATCATTCCGCGCGCTCTTCTGATGAACGAACTTCTTGCAGGATACAGTCGATTATCGCAATTTTGGTGGGCAGTGTCCGTCTATTCTCGCGGTACGTGTGTTGTATGTTCAATCATGCTTGTCTCACTTCAGTACGTCCTGCAGCAGCGCTCGATTGCTCCAACCAATACGGATGACGAGCTGGCGAGTCTTAGACAGATGCTTCAAGCTACGCCTGTTGCACCAATAAAGCATCATCGTAGTCTGGCCACACTGATTGTTGTGCGTCAGGTTCAGACTTCCTAAGGTTTGTCGTTGACTATTTGCCTGACTGCTTTTCCAGGATATGGCTCTTGCCGTCCGCCAAAAATGCCAACGCATACAACCGGTCAAGCAGCTTTCCTCGCTGGCGAAGGTTGACCTTCTCGACTAAACAAGAGACGGCCGCGGTCGAACGAACATCTCGTTTCTCAACTATCCGCAGACATCTCTTGCTTTGATTACTGTTTGCTCAGGCGAGAAACTCTAGAAGACCTTACGAATGGCGGTTTCCAACTTTGTAGTGTTGCTTTGCTCTTGAAGTTGCTATGTACCATCCACCATATCTCCGCTCCGTGCGAATACAAATCTCATACTGTTTATCATCAATAAAGTAGGATTGCTGCTCGACCCTTGCTTGCGGCGAGTATCTTCGATGATGCCTTCTGGCCTACGCCCACTGAAGCTCTGAACAACGGGTCTGTATGGGTCTATTTTTGTTGTTTTTCAGATGTTAGTAGGACTGCACCTGCGAGGCCATTTGCCCTTTCGGTCACGCTGCATTAACGCTGCATGTCATAGATCATCCTTCGCACCGTGTCACAGGTTACTTCATGTTCATTTGTTTTTGAATGATTTGCCTTCAGTGCTGTGCCTTCAAGTAAGACTATATACATCAATACACTAACGAGTTTTATCAACCAGTCACAATTGCAGCGGCGGCGGTTCAACAGTCCATTCATCTAGTACTTATTGGACGGGCGGCGGCGCGATATTTGCTTTTGTTTGCAGACAAGCGCCGCGAGCAGTTTCCACGCCACCGCAATGGGCGCTTAATTTGTAGTAGGTAGTCCTCCCTTCGCCATCATGCGTATCGAGAAGTGCTACTTTTGCTCGAAGAGCGTGTATCCAGGGCACGGTATGTGTCCACGTTCACTTTGCGCTTGCTTGTGTCTAATCGTCATGCAGGTAGCGCCTTTGTACGCAATGATGCAAAGGTCTTCCGGTTTTGCACCTCAAAGTGAGTTACACACACTCGATTGAGTCTCGTCAGTGCTGAAGCCTCTAATGAAGATGTCGCAAAAATTTTAAGTGTGTAGTCTGACTAATCCTGAGGAGTTATTTCTCATGTGTTCGTTCTCCAGCATGAAGCGCAACCCTAGGAAGGTGCGCTGGACGAAGGCGTTCCGGAAGGCTGCTGGGAAGGAGATGACGATTGTACGCTGCTTGTCTCCTTTATTTGTTCATCTTCTCACCTTTGGCCCCATTCAGGATTCAACAATCGAGTTCGAGAAGCGGAGAAATGTCCCCGTCCGCTACGATCGCGAACTGGTTCAGACAACTGTCAAAGCGATGAAGCGCATTGCGGATATCAAGCAGCGCAGGGAGCACGCGTTCTGGAAGACCAGGTGCGTACTCCCCATGTTATGGATTCGAAGTGCTAGCTGAAATGTTTTGTTCAGGATGGCCGCGAGCAGGGAAAAGCTACGGGCGCACAGAAAGAAGAAGCTGGCCGCGAAGGTTGCATCGGTCAAGTTGGTCGAGCCTATTGCGGTGCAGTCATCAGAGACAGAGAAGATCCGGGAAAAGATCAAGGTCTCAACGAAAACGAGAAGCGCGCTGGTGCCGGGCGAGGGTCGGTCAATGGCGATGGAGATCGATTGATCCTGGTTTCAAAATTTCGCCTCGTTGCTTCTTCCCTAGCTAATTTCGTTACTCTGTCGTATCCTTCAACTGTATGCAAACTGGATTATTCTACATGATACATGGTACATGGTATGTTGTGGTAGTATGTATGGGTACAGATGCTCTCGTGAATATCTGGTATTCATGCAAGCTATCGCTGTTTGTATTTCGCTTCATTCTCCTGGCGGATGTTAGGGTCTAGTGTGTTATGCAAGCCCAACAGAGCCTTGCTGACGGCCTCGCTCGCACCAATCATAGGCTTTAGAACAGCTATAGGCACGGCGCGTACGACGGCACGGACGGGTCCCTGTCAATGTCCTCTCAGTCAGTACAGACGCAACGCAAGGTGAAAATGAGAACACTGACCTCGTTCCCGGATCGTTCATATACCTCCATCGGCACAGCAAGGATCGTCTGCGCAGCAGAGTTGAAATTCTGCTTCAGACTCTTGTATGCAGACTGAACACCCTCTTTGACATTCTGAGGTTGCTCAGCATATCGACTGATGAGATCGCCCGCATCTTCCGACTGCAGCTCCTCTCCGAGTTCGTCCATGAAGGGAGATGTCTGCATAGCCTCTGCCATAACAGGGTCTTTGAACTGGCCGCCAATGACATGCTCTGCTTGCTCGAGGATAACCTGGGTGCCTGTGGCCAGTCGGGCACCTAACTTGATGGCCTCCATGGCGGTAGACTGCATGAAAGCCGTCGTTCCCTTCTGCAGCCCTCGGACTACTCTGCCGTCCTTCCTGTACTGTGCTATCGGCAGTAGGACCAGATCCGCCACTCCAGAGCCTACATTGACCACTGAACGGATAGGGGATACTCCGGAGATGACATCGACTAGCTGCGTGGCCTTTACGTCAGGCGTCCACAAGTCATTGAGCATGTCAAAGAACCGTGGCCAGCCAGTAATCTAAGGGCAAGAGAAAATCGTTAGCAAATGCAAGGCAAACCTTACAACCAATTCAACATACTCCAGTCAGCGTAATGTGACGCAGAGTCATCTCAGCACCATCAAAGTGGAAGAAATTCATCAGTTCAATGGTTCGTCCATCACGCAGAGCTCTGTAATCCACACGGCGTGGCTTGTAATCCAACTTGATATCAACCGGGAACACCTCCGCTTGTTCTGACTTAAAGTGTTAGCCATGTTCTGTTCATCTTCGGATCGTCACTCACGGAAAAAGATTTCCTCTGCAGGCTCAGTAGAAGCGGTGAGGGTGCTGTCCGGATCTTTGAAGCTGAAAAACTTCTTCAAAAAGTCAAGTGCATCTTGATCGACATGTAATCTGAGCGGTAAAATCTTGGCCTACCGCGATGTCGCGTCCGTCAGTTCGTGTAGTCTAAATGAAAAAGACAACTTACGCGTAACCTCGCCTCTTCTGAAGGATCACTTGGGACAGGGTGGACAGTACGTAGCTCCACTCGCACCATATTCGACCCAGTCTCGCGGATATTCCCTCTTGGATCGGTGAGAAGAGCTGTCAGAAATTTCCTCCAAGTCGAAGTCTTGATGTGATCCAAGATCTCCACATCTCGCACTGTGACCAATGTACGGGACGTGAACTCCGAGTCCTGTTTGTAGCGGTCTACTTCTGCATCAACGCCCATCAACCTGAATTCAATGCTTGGTCCCTTCGACCTGCTCAGTCGCTTCCGTCGAGAGCGAGCCACACGAGGGTTGGATTTCCCTGGCGAGGTTGTCGATTGCGGCTTCAGCGACTGCCAAGAGCTCTGAGTTGCCGTCTCCGCGTCTTCGTTCAGCTCTTCGTCGATGGCAGCGATCAAGGCGCTCGGTTCCAGTTCGTCAACGTTGTGCTCGAGACCAATATATACGGAATTGAACAACAGAGTGTTCGTCTCCTCAATGCTCGGGTCAGGTATTTGTCCGCTTGCGACGAGCTGCCTAATCTTGGCAAGTTTGCGCCTCATCTCCTTCTGCTCTTCCTCGATGATTCTGCGAGTCCGTGCCCAATCATAGCCGTCATATAGAAACAGAGTCACGTCGCAGTCATGTAGCCGTACTCGAAGAGTCGTTTCTTCATAACTGTCAAGGCGTTTATGAGCGGTCTCGAGCATAGTAGAAAGAATGCACTTACCTTGATGAACCATCTGCCGAATCAGGAGTTATCGTGTCGAAATGGTGCTCAATAATACGCAAGCGTTCTGGGCGGAGCATCTTGATGGTCTCATTTCTTGTGTAGAATGCTCGTCCGAATTGTTGAGATCCGCCACCGGCAACACCATAGGAGCCCTCCTGACCAGTTGCAGATTCGTTGAATTCTTCGTCGTCCAGCTCCCGCAGGCCTGCGGCAGCACCAAATGATTCATCAAGGTAATTCGCATTGGTCGGAAGATCGTCTTCTATCATGTCAGCGGCTGAACCAACCTCTGGAAGTCGCCGGAAGGCTTCTTCATCAAGAGATGCTGATTATTGCATTAGTACAAATGATCACTTAGCATGATAAAAGCAATTCTCACAAAGCAATCCCCGTGAGGGGCTTGTGCTCTCGCTGAGTTTCATAGGTGCCTTTCGCTTGTTCATCGATGGCTCTCTGCGGTTGATCAGCTACTACGAAAGCATGTCTAACGTCTCTCACTCACCGACTAACATCAGGCTCAGCAAAAGCTGCACTGATGTCACTCACAAACGCCGCGAGTGCGGTCATCGTATCCGCGCACAAATGGAGACGCGCATCACAATGGTCAATTGTTATCTGGGTGCATGAGTAGGCAAAATGGCACTTGCAGAGGCTGAATGGGACAACTTACCCTGATATCTGATGGCGTGGAACTGTCATCGCGGGCGTATGACATGCTTAAATCTGCAACTTCAGCGAGCAGGGCATAGCCTGCTCCCTGCATTCGTCCATCAGTTTCAGGGCGTCCTCTTTGACCATAGGACGAACCTTCCAGAATGCAAAGCCGCTTGACTGCACACCAACTTGTGGATTTGCACCGAATTCCGGCCGTTCTGACACGGCAGCAAGGTTGTCGACCAGGAACAACGATGCACCAGGAAGGCGCAATTGGAATGACATTTCAGATAAGTTGCCGACGATGACGGTAGAAAAGTCGAATTCTTCGATACTGTGAATAAGGGCACCAGGATGGTTGGGGGCAGTCGCGCGAATTGCGCTATTGATAATCTTCACCGAAACCCTCGTCCGTTCAGTTGGTACAACAGACTCAAAAGCCTGCAGGGGAATGTTCATTAGTGAAGTCACCACGAGGAAGGATTATACTCACCCCTGGTGGAGTCTTAACAAATGATCCAACGTCCGACGCCCAATCTAGGTCGGTAGACAGATTAATCGTGATGCCCCATACGGTGACCTTGATTCTCGACTCCTTCGACAGGGTCTCTGGTATCACTAGAGCAGCAAAACGGACTTTGACCGCAGGTCGCGTTGCGCTCTACACATACATTATTTCAGCTGGTATAACAATGCCGGCAGACTGAACAAACGCACCAATGTACGCATCGGTGTTCTGCACATTATTGATAAAGGTGAGTTCGATTTGTCATAATCCACGACGCTGAGATCCATCACGCCTATCGTTAGCACCGTCTCGTCCTAAAATGGTGATGAGCAAGTTTGCACAAGCAGCATGCGGCAAACGAGGCACTAACCTTCCCTTCCGGCTTCAACTCAACCAAGGCATCAACGTCCGACGCCGATACCACGAAAGGTCGGGTGACTCCTGTGCCTTCAGAATGCCGAGGAAGGAAAAGGCTGATGGTGGCTGGAAAAGAGGATCTATTAAATCAATCCGAAGCAAGAAAGACCGCCATACCTCGAGACACCGTGATCTTGATTGCCGTCTCTTTGAGAGCGGTGACTTCGGTATTAGATGGTGCATTCGCGAAATCGCTTTCAGCTCCACTTTTTTCACTACCTGCGCTCCGCGACCTGGCAAAAAAGTGACTACCAATGAGACTAGCGTCCTTACTTTCCGCTACATCCGTGTCTATCTCATATGATGTGCTATCTTCGAGAACGGCCTCCACTAGTTGCGTAAGATCATCAGCCCAGAGTTGAAGACCGTCCAGAATGGGTTTCCTGAGCTCGACGTGAACCGATGGAATATCGAGAGCCAAAGCCACCGCGCTAATAGACGGCGGGCGCGCTGTTGCTGCGGGACGTAGCAAGCGAAAATGAGGTCGTGAATGCTTCTCGACAATCTCAGCGTGAGGCGTCTCCGCTCCAAAGCATACGTCGCCCTCCTGGGTTCCTTCAGCAGGTAGAGGACTGAACGATAAGATGGAGTGGGCGGTCGATCCTGAACGTGGAGCGTAAGCGATAAGTGCACGCCCCCAATCGGCACACAGCAGCACATCGTTGAGATCATCGGCAGCTCTATTGATGCCGTCTGAGTCGAGTTCCACTGGACGGAATTGTGTCTGTCCGCTCTGGTCGTTTTGGAGTGGACGTCCCAACGACAGTCGTAAATCATGGACGTCAATTACAACTGCACCTGAACGCGGCTCGTGGTTCCGCGGAGGAGGACCTCGGATTTCTACACGAATGGCAGGGAACTTCACGATAACCTCCGACCGTTCTGGTTGACGTCCTCGTGGCCTCCGCTGTGTCGAGATTGCTAATTAAGATGGATTTTGTACTATAGGTTGGGCTCAATCCCGCTTACCTTCCGCCAAAACCGCACCTTCGAAGCAGCCTGAGCACTGGCAGCCTGGGGAACCTCTTGGCGGTAGTCAAATCCCAGATCGAGGTCTTCCAAAACGAGCCGCTCCAACCTACGTCTCTCGCGCTCTCGCTCGCTCTCCAAAGTGTGCAGGCCGACAGACGCACGTGCCCGAGGTGTCGCAGGCGGCGTGTGCTCATCTTCCTCGTCCGTACTCTGATCATCTCCGGCGTTGTTGCGCTGGTCCGGTGATTGTTCATTGTGGTCCATCTCGTCAGGCGCGGCAATCTCCTCGAGGAACAGCATGGCCTCGCTTCGGCCCTGCTGAGGCTTATCCAGCAGAGGAGCGAGGTCCAGGAAAACGTGCAATGGCTCAAACTTGACCTGAATGCTCATGCGCCCTTGATCGTAGCGCTGCCGCCGACTGGACGTCGAGATCGATGGCGGCGATTGCAAAGTGTGAACCTTGACCGTAATTGCCGCTTCATGGGAGTGCTGCCCTATATCATTATTCTTCCCGGGTGAACGCGACATTCCTGGTTTAGTGAAAAGAGACGACGACGGGGAAGGCATTGAATGCAGGCCATCGGAACTAAATGAGACTGGCACTTCGGTACTCTTGCGGCGTGGACTCGATTGAGGTTCGACGAATGGTAAACGCTCGTGCGTCTGCTGTGTCCGCAATGGAGGAGAACGATGTTGAGACCCTCTGATGCGCCATAGCGACAACTTGGCTGTGGTGCTTTGGTGCGCAGAGTCTGTCCAATCAATCACGTCGAATGCCGGTAGGACCGGTCCTTGCATTGCGCTCGTTGAAGACGACGGAGGTGGATATTGCGAAGGTAGATGTGGGTCTGTGATGAGAATTGGATGGGCAAAGTGCTTGATTGTCGTCTGCGCCAGGTTTGGGGGAGTGGTTCCTGCAGCGAGCACGAATGTAAACACAGATATCTCGGAAAGGGTGAGCGTCATCGAGATCATCGGACGTGAAGCAGTGGTAGGTGCATGTTTCCTAGTTCTCGTACTTGATGATTTCGATCCGACAGGTGGGGCTGAGCGAATGGACAAAGACGCCTTTAAATCATCCAAATGTACGCGGAAGAATCCATGCGGTAGATGAGGAGGAATAAGTGGCCTGGCGAAGAACTCAGTGAGCAGATCCACGAAGCCGACATGCGTTGTCGATGCGGGCAAGAGCAGAAGAATAGTGCCGCGGACGCGTAATTCGGCCTCCATGGACGGTAGAGTACGTGTATCGGAGTTGGGCATGTCCGTTGTAGTAGATGCCGGAGCGTCCGAACTGAAGACGCGCGCGATATCGAGAATGCCTCGGATGTGCCGTGCTCGAAGGGCAGCTGCAATCACACCGATCATAATCTCGACACGAAAGGGTTCTTCTGATTTGTCTGTGCTCCGGATATGCACCTTCGCGGTGGGAGACATAGTATGGCTTCCTAACTCGGGACTACCCGTCGGCAAGGGGGTTGTTACACGGACCACAATAGGTTCAGATGCTAGTGAGAGAATAGTCTCATCATGCATCTCATTTATTGTCTGTGGCTTCAAGTGTCCGGGTGAATGCCGATCTTTATACGTTGTTTCATCTTCCACATTGTGTGTAGGCCGCCGTGCTGTGGAAGTCGGCGTCGAGCTTTGGGGCCGAGAGTTTGCATTATCTTGTGAGCTGCTCGGCTGTGGCTGCACTGCAGAGGAGGCAGCGGACATTGCACTTTGGTACAGACTGCTGGCCACTGAGCTAGATGGAGATGCCGGGCGCGGAGGAAAGACTGCGATAGATTGTGACATTAACATCTGAGTGTCTTCATCCATGTCCGATGAGTCTGAATCTGGCGAAGAGGGAGCCTCAGATGCAGTTGCCAGCGAGGACGTTGAATGATGCAATGTTTCATGTCCGATGGACGTGGTAGGCGATTCTGGCGTCTCATCCTGCGTACTAGGTGGTCGTAGACAGCGAGTAGTTACATGGAGTCCTGAGATTGAGACGGATCGCGCTTCACCTCGCATGCTTGTGAGATTTGCATTCCCCGATATTAGATTGTCCTCATTCCTATTCTCTGCTCCATATCGTACCTCTGGAACGACCAACGTAAAACTAGCGTGACCAGGATGGACCAGCGTAATTCTGGTGTCCACCGCATCGAAGGCAAACCGAGCTAATAACCGCTCAATCAACGTTGCGAACAGTGACACACCTTGAGGCTCCATTTCGCCGGAAGGGGGTCCCATATCTGTAACGAAAGGATCAAGTCCTCCCGGTAGGTTGTCCATAGATATCTCTGTGGGGGAACCGAGATCGGGATGAAACGACTCGCGCAATGTCGCCTCCTCATTAGGGGTAAGTTCTTCATGTATAAATGACTCGGCAACCGATGCTACTGATTCTGACAGGTCTACAGGCGTCAGGGGCGTGCCGGCACGAGGGGAAGAGGATACATGGAACGTCAGGTGTAGAGACTCGAGGGTCATCCCTACTGTAGAGGTTAAAGGATTGGGCCAAGAGATCCGCGCCGTCACTTTCTCAATGGAGCCATCGCGAAGTTCTAGAGGTAGCCCGACAAGCAATGCGTTGATAGCCTGAAATCACGTCAACGGTCGACTGATACAATATGAATGCGAAACATACATCGTTATTGAGCTCCAAATCCCTGATCTGAACATAGCCTGATCCGATCTGCGAATCAATCTGCTGTACATCTAGCTGTCCGGGTTGCAGAAAGTGTCCGAGAGAACGTTTCAGCGCGAAGGAGATGAAGCGGCGCTGGATACCGGTCGGCAATGACAAGTCGATGGACGGGATGGACAGAGAAGGCAACCACGATGACCACCAAGAGGACATCTTAGTTCATGAGTGTTGTAGACAAGCCGCAAGGCAGAAGTGAGTGAGCAGCCTCCAAGTGCTCGTCAGCACACAGTGGACGCAGTCCTCAATGTCAATTACCCAAGGTTCCATATAAGGTATCGGTCACGTGTACTACACCCAAAACCCAAACAGTGGATCCCCTGGACGCATCGCAGAAGATCGCAGAAGCCGTGAAGGAATTTGTAACTTCTTGATCAATAAACTTAGTATGAGAGCGCAGACGTGATGCGCACTAAGCAGCGTCTTTCTTACCAACGTTGAAAGCCGTACTAACAAATACCGGAACTTACGTAGCCACGTAAGTTGTGACCGTGGCGGCGGTGGCTCTGTCTCCTTCATTGAACACAACTTTCAATCATCTATCGTGATCCGCAGGCGATTCTCATGCACCCGCACCTCACCTTCGCGCGCGCGTTCGGACCTGTTCGAACCTGCCGTCACTTGCGGCAGACATACTAACACTGGCCCTCTAATGCAACTTTTTGACCTTTTGAGTTCCTGCGGTCCTTGAACTTATTCAATTGACTCCGGAACTACTTCACTAGATAGCTATGCTTCTCACATACCTCGTAGATTTTATGATATATCACTTGTTATTCCATTTTCTGTTCCTTTAAAGAAACGAATATTCAATACAATAGTATTCATCTCGAACGATTTCAGCAGCAGCGCCGAGCCGCCTACTTCGCTGGAGATAGACTCCGCCTCATCGTAATTTTCACCATCCGTGGCTCAATAGACACTGTCCTCTATGTCCACCGCAATCCAGGTCGAACGATATTGGCCGGGTTTCAGCCGTGTCAAGAACCTCGTTATATTGTAGTACCGCTTCCTTGGCTTTGTCCTCAAGTCCGAATCTGCTGACCGCATTTGCCTGTAGCGGCGACTCCTATTCTGCGGTCGGATACAACTCAGACAGTCCGTACCCCAGTACAGACAACCCGCTCGGCGTGCCATTCTCGGGCACTATTACTTGGACGGAACCGAAAACACCAAACTGGGTCGGGCATCTCATCACCGAGCACGCACGGGGTCAACTCTTGGTCTACGACTACGCGCAAGGCGGAGATAACGTCAGCGGCGTTCGCACGAAAGTGTACCGGGAATTCTTGAAGACCGTTGCAAAGAAACCGGAATGGGCGCGTTGGTCGGAAGCCGACTCCCTCTTCGGTGAGTGCCACTTGAACCCAGTGGTGTGGATGACTGAGGCAGGTAGGCAGTAACTTGGGTCGGCATCAATGACTGCGCGTGAGTCGAAGTATTGAATCGACGAGTTTGTCAGACTCCTCTAACATAAAAATAGATTCGCCACTGAACGTACAGTGCCAAAGTACGTGGACAGCTTATTCGATCTTCAAGAAGACCTCTACAATGCTGGAGCACGCAATTTTCTATACATTGACGTTCCGCCGCTTCACAGATCTCCAGCTGGTACACGGGATATATACGCATTAACGGACAATACTGATCGTTCCTTCAAACAGGCAAGCGACCCACGTCTCTAGATTCGGCAAAAATGGCTCCCAACGAGCGCTGGAACATTGAACTGAAGAGAGCGGCCAAGGACTTCGCATCACGCCATAAAGACTCCACTGTCCTGATCTATTCCTCTTGGGACACGTTTTCCCGCATCATGGATGATCCTGTTGCATTCGGCTTCCAGCCAGGTGACGTTCGCAAACGAGGAAGTTCCATGTGGGTCGATCGCCTCCATCCCACCAGTAAAATGCACAACGTTGTCGCTCGTCATCTTGCAGAATTTCTGGCTAGCGTGCCTCCGTGGACTGGGACTGATGAATTGACCGAAGAATTGACCGAAGAAGTCAACGCAACCAAGACGACTTCGAATATCCCGCATTCCGCCCAGAGAAATACATGAGCTGTATGGCCATATCACTGGCTCTCGAGATGAGATATAACACTGCCCCAGAACGTGAACCTTGAGTGCCGAATGTACACCTCCACCCATGTCCTGACACGCTCCACCTGCAACAGTATACTTTTCCACCGCTGTATATACATTCTGTGCTTAGATGTACATTGAAGACCAGTAACAGTTCTTCCCAATGGTCCTCAGTGATCGTATTCAATTACCATCAGATCTCAAACAATTCATCGTATCGGACTCCAAAGCTCCTAGCTTTCGATGTGACACTGTAGCGAGTGGGTTCGTCAATGTCAGTTGGTTCGATGTATCCCTCGTCAAAGAGTGAATCTAGGGCATCGCTAGTAGAGACCAGTCAGCTCCCAAAGTATGAGGAGAAACGCCGATGCTTGAGCATTTACCCAATCTCCTCTGCCGAAACGCGTTGGCGCGAAACCCGTCTTGCAATAGTGGCAACAGACACGTCGTTATTCGGGGGAGCGTCAAGTAACACCAGGAGAATCGCTCTCTCCAGTAAATTCAGGTGGGAAAGAGGATCGCGTAGGATTGTACGGGAAGGACCTATGGCTGAATTGAGCGGCGCAGTACTGGGAAGATTATTAGGAATGTTAAATTACCCTCAAAGCTTGAGTCGTGAAGCGAGTCAATTGAACGTTCGTTAGCCATTATACTGGCATCCTGCGACTCTTGCTCAGGTTCATCTGCGACACCAGTAGATTGCTGTCGATGTGGTAGGGCAGCTTCCGTTGTGCGCGAGATGGGCTCAGTATGGGCCAAAATGGACATATCCAGCGTCGGCGGGGGAGTGAGACGCCTAGGTGGAGCGACATCTCGCACAAGGCCACGGGAAGCACTCCGTGATGCAGATTCAGGCTTGTCCGATACTACATTGAGACCAATCCACATATGAAGGTACGCATCACATACTGGTAAACCGAACTGCATCGCCAGCGAAACATAGAACACCTCAAGAACGTGAGCCAAGTATTCATGTCCATCGGCCTTGCGGATCTGCCCGACCCTTATCGTGTTTCTGGGCTGTCTGCCAAAGCGTTCGAGCGACCCACGGATGCGCACATAGCACGTCCCGGAATCGCTCTCTTCCAGGCATTCGCCCCCGCCATCAAGCCACTGTTTGGCAACGATCCGGCCCCTGGTCCCGTCCTCGAGTTCGTACTGCATTTGCATATTGCGTGTCTGGGCACATATAAGATGGGCAACTATCGTGAACTATACAGCCTCGTCAACAGACTAGCTTCCCAATCTTAACATACGGGAGGCATGCCTCACGAATCTCGATGCCATCGATCGTGAAATCCGCCGTGGAATGAGCCTGCTCTGCACTCAGCAACTGGCCGACTGTCAGTGGACGGAAAGCGTCCAGTGACGGAGTCCACTACGTGAACACAGCATATGACAATCGTCACGTTAAGCCCAACGTGTTTAGCTACACAATTGATCAATCACTTCAAGTACTCACATTTGGCCTGGTACTGCTCCCAACAGGCGCATTTGTGCCGTTGACGTTATCAGACATCCACGCAATCAGTTGCAGGACGGGAATGAAGTCGCGAGAACGTATGCTGTACTGAATTATATGTCTCCAAAGCTCCGATTCACCAGTGGTAGAGCCTCAAGCTAGTAATCGCCGAATCGGCAGGTCAAAACGGCTTCATCAAGCTGTGAGAACACTAAGAGAGTCGACGAAGACCACAGAGTTGCACTGATCAAGCGCCATTTATAACGTTCTGCGAGAGCAGGTACCGTGGTGGAAGAACAGGACCGTCTAGAACTTAAGGTCATACTCGTATCGGGCAGGTGTATTGGTTTGAAGCGCTTGTGGTGGCTGCCGTCGCGGCAACACTCTGATAGTTTGCTCATGTGTTTGAGGTACAGCTACGTAAAATTCACTATAGACCCAAACACAGCAATTGCATAGCAACAGTCACAGCCACGGAATACAACTCGATGGCCACAATATACTCTCTAGGTAGTCACGCTCGGTTTGGGCTTATGCTACAGACTGGACCCGCGACGAGCGTTCGGATATAACTGCAACCGAGCATAGAGATGAGTACCAGCGAGCGCAGATGCGTCCACACGAAACCCCACCTTGCCAGGGTTGAACAGGTTGTATGGATCGATAGCGCGCTTGACGGTCTTCATGAGCTCGACGGTACCCTCGCCCAGCTCATCAATGAGGTACTGCCGTTTGCCGATGCCGACGCCATGCTCTCCCGTACCTGTATGGCAGAGAATACGTATCAGGAAGAGCTATTTGTTGAACGACGACCAACGACGAACAAGTTCCATCGAGGGCGATTGCACGGTGGACCATCCTGTGCACCAATTCTCGGCACCTCTCTAGCTCTTCATCGCTCGTGAATAGAAGCAGCGCGTGAAAGTTACCTGACCTATCCGTGAGCAGGCAGACAATGCACGTCAGAACGTTGGACATACCATCACCGACATGTCCGACTACAGTCGAGGCAATCCCAGACTTCCTGATGTCCTCTTTAGTTTCATAGACCAGATCAGGCAACCGCGAGACAGGGACACTAGGAAGATCGTCAGTGGGCACATTCCTTCACGAACCTGAATGCCCCACCAAACATCCGTGCTCCATCCACGGCATCCTTCGACCAATGCTAAGCCAGAATACAGCGCATTCTTGCGATCCATCCAGAGGTCCGCCGCCTCCTTCTCGGTCCGAGCGAGCTCAAATCCGGTGCCACCGTACTTTTTCGCGATGTCGCGCGCAATCTTAACTGACTCCTGAATTGATTGGGCAGTCGGGCCTTGGAATTTGAAGAACAGGCTGTCCTTTTCCGCGTATTTGCGAACCGATGCGCCGTAGCGGTTAGTCCCGCGCATGAAGTTGTCATCACACAGCTCCACACATTCTGACAGCCCAATGTCGGTATATGAGTGAATGGAGGGTGCATGGCGATGGTACTCACGTATCCCGATTCCTTTGTTTAAGAGCTCGATCACTGCTTCTGTGGCTTTGCGTACGTCGGGAAACTGAACAACGGCGACCGCCGTCGGCATTACAGGTGCCAAGCGTATCGTTGCTGTGCACAGCGTCAATACTCCGACTATAGTTGTGCAAACTGCGCTGCAAACCTTCCGTGATGATACCGAGTGTGCCTTCTGCACCAGTGAACAGCTTCGTGGTATCAAAGCCGGCTGCAGATTTCCGCGAACGGCGGCGAGTCTTGATCACTTCACCGTTGGGCAAAACAACTGTCTATACGGACGCGTTGAACTTCCGAGCAGGTGCAGAATGAGGGAGCGACTATACCACGTTCAAGATCCACTCTGCCTTTGCTGTACCATAACGGACAGCATTGGCTAAACACCGCGGTCAGGACGCGCTAACACTGGGTATGAAACCTGCTTACTGCCGGAGCACCCTGTGCTAATAATTCCTCCGATGGTGGCGCCAATTCCAGGGTCAATCTGAATACTTCAAGTTGACAGCGACACAGATGCGTTGCGCTTAACGACTTACGGGAAAAAAGAGCGCAATACCTGCCAATAATTCATCAATATCCGCAGTCGAGCCCAGAATATGCATCTACCTTTCTCCTTCAGAGTGTCGTTGATCTGCACCCATCCGGCACCAGACTGGCATACCAAGTCCGAGTCCGCCTCTGTATACCGCAGATGTCAGAGCTGGCGGAGGCCGTGGCATGCTGATAACGAACCGTGAATTTCGATTATCTTGTCCATGCCAGACAAATCAACACATATTCCGCCGACTTTCGGCTGCAAGACTTTCTGAGCATTCATGTTTGTGGTGTCATGGGATTGATGCGTACAGCTCTGAAATTCCCCTCCAGACTGGTTGCTCCTGAGTACGGCGTCACAGGCATCTTGTACTTGTTCGCTATTTTGACAATCTTGACGACATCTTCCGTGCATGTCGGGTACACAACGACCGTGGGAGGGGAATCTGAAACGCAGTCCCTAAAGTTGAGTTACCTGAGAGAAGACACGTCAAGGCGCTCACCAGGATGATAGTCATTCTCCGAGTGACCATGGACATGCAGTTCATCAGGGTCAGTGGAGACTGCATTTGCTGACGGGAAGGTCTGCCGTAGCTCTGCTATCGCCTTCTGAAAGTCCTGCGGGGTACCATATTGATCGTTGAGTCCCGACGTAGATACACGCGTTTCTGGATGCTGTGTTTCATGCTTGATCGCGTAGTAGTATCCAAGGTATGCACTGATAGCAGAACCAATGGCGAGAGCATAGTAGTGAGAATAGCTTGCGCGCGTCGAGTTTGAAGTTGCTTGCGGCCCCGTGAACTGGCTGTTGTGTCGTACGTTCCGACAGGAGATTGCAGGCCCAGCAAGTTCACTACGGCCACAGCATTGTCGAAAGGCTGACCGAGTATAAGTCAACGCGCGATGCTGACCCAACGCTCCTAGACGAAAGCAACTGGACATTGGGTTGGGTAGTGACTCTGAAGTCCAGCTGAGAGTGCGTGCGTGGGGTCAGAAAGGGCATCATGAAGGTTTTCGTGATTTCCCGCGGACATGGCATGGGTGGGAGGACTGGCAACGAGAACCCAACCTGCTGACCGCTGCGACGCTGATGAAGCAGACCGAAGAAGATTCGTGTCCGGTCCATCGGATCAGTCAGGCAGGTAAGACGGTTTCTTTGCTGTGTGTTGACGCTCTAAGCCGGCACAGAGAGCGACCATACAAAGTCTATCGAAATCCGAGCCTAAGTAGTCGCGCGTATGGGCATGCACCGGCTCGTCGGCCCGCCCATTGTTTGGAACAACACGCGCGAGAATCGAATAATAGGTACAGCAGGCGCGGCCAAAATCATACATTCGCCAGACTGAAGTGAGACTCGTCAATCGTAGTGTAGACAAATCCTTCGTCCATCAGTTTATCCAATGCCTCGCTGCAAACAAAAGATCGTCAGAAAACAGCAAAAGCAACGGACATCTTACAAGCCACCCACCTTATGATAGCTGCGTCTTTGACGTCATCACTCAGAGCTCTTGCTATAGCCCCAACATTGATGCCCTCCTCCTTGGGCGGCTGGACCACCATGAACTCCACGATCTTGCGTTGCACCGGTGAGAGGCGTGCGTATTCTTCCCTTGACAAACCACCTTGCGCTTGTGGCACATACGCTGAAGAACCCGCATGCTGGTTCGTGACACCGCCATTCGTTGTGTGAATGCTTCCGGCCTCGCTTGGCCTCGGAGGCTGCAACAACATTAGCACTTGCCATCAAGCGGTCCACCTTAAATACATACCGGCCCTCTCTCGAGCGTAAGGGTCACCACCATTGCAGAGGAGACATGAGATAAAATTTCATGAACGGCGGTCACTTTTCGAATGTGATTTGCGTTGATGTAGCGCTTGTTCCCAAACGACTTCAGGCTGCCCATGACATGAATATACATGGCCTCCCTGTGCATGGTGATGAGACATCGTAGACACGTTAGCGATATTGACTTACGTGATGCCTCCCCATCGCTCTGTATCGTCTTCACTTGTGCTGTCAACCCAGTGCCGCGCTTCTATCCTCTCGGTGCCATCATCTAGCCAATAGACGCAATTCGTCGTCTGGCTGTTGATGCTCACTACATGTCCGACGACCGAGACCTGGGAGCAAAGTAGATGTAGAAAAGTACATGGATCCAATCTGTTGACTCACCTGCCCAATCTCATGATTGTCTATCATCCATTCGGCTTCTGAATGGGGCTGCGTTGCCGTCATAAGTTGTCGGATGAGTACAGGCCGCAATGAGTGCATAGCGGCTCCTCGCTGCATCCCCATACTCAGATGGCATGCATTCAAAATCCACAAGTACTCACCTTGAAAGGACCGCCTGGGCTGCCACCAGTGCCACCAAACGGCGAACTCCCTGCCAAGTATCCGCCTCCCCCACCGGCGCCTCCGTTCTGGTAATAGGGGTTGTTATTGCCGTACTCATTGTCTATGCTCCAAGTCAGAGAGGCGCATGCAAGCTGTTGCGCACTGCTTACATTGACTCATGGCTGCCGGATCACGAAGTGTTTTTGGAGGGACGAATGTGAGTGTCAAGATGAGAAACGCGACGCGACGCGTAGCGTGACAGTACGCGCTTTACATTGTTGGCGCGTTCAGTCACAACGTCGTGTCACGCGTTCGACAGCCTTCCTCAAGCGCAGGTAGTATCGAGTGGTGGTTTGTATATAATCCAAGGCTCAACGAGGAACTCAGAAATAATGCAACAACTACGGATGACAGTATGATCATGCGTGATTTTTGCAGACCCGAGTAACACCCTTTCCGACACCCTCGAGCACTTGCTTCTGCGAGTCTGTCACCTTCTTCGACACGGTAGACACAAAGTCATGGTCGATCTGTGAAAGAAAACAAGCCATGAATACATGTCTAACCGGTCAGAATAATCCCCTGTCCACTTACCCCGGTTGATTCCCAGATAGGCTTGCAGGCATCAACGAAGGCTTTTCGGCTATCGACGGTCGCGCCTTCCTCTCCAAGCTTGATCAGTGCTTCCGACATCTCAGTAAGAGACGTCACCGCCTTCGTGCGGATGTCTTTAAAGTTTTGCACCAACTATAGCATTGCGCAGTGAGCGTTACATGTTTGTCACCACAATCTGGCACGTACCGCTCCGAGCTTGTGCTGCTTGACAACGGACGCAGGCTTGAACCGCGCGGTCTCGATGGCCAACAGAACGAAAGCCTGCATGCCAGGTTGGACAATGATAAGCTGAGGGCGATGAACACTTACTTCTTGGGTCAAAGCCACAATGTGAAGCAGCTCAGAAGGTAACCGTCCATCTTGCAAGGCCTCCCTAAACCGGGTGCTCATGTCTGGCAAAAGAGGTATTTATACTTCCATACGACTAAGGAGATGGATTGAAGCCCACTCTCGTAGAACTTGACAATGATGTCCGGAGATTCCTTCACAGGTGGTGGCTCCTCACCCTTCTTCGAGTGGCCATTGGCCGCGTCACCGTTCTGAGGCAGGAGTTCCAAGCCTTTCAGAGGATGTCCTGTTTTCAGCTCAGTCTGCTTTGCCGCCTCAGCAAGAACAGCGGACGCTGGTGGCCGGACGTGGTCGTGGTACGGCGCCAGCCAGTCAGAGAGGGCACATGAGTAATCTAGCAGTGCTCGCTCGTCCGCGGTCAACTAGGCAAGAAAGTGATCAGAGAGGATGTATGGGTAGCAAAATCTGTTTTACCTCGTCCGTTTCCTCCTGCTTGATCTTGACTAGCCGCTCCTTCAAGGGCAGCTTGGTGTCAGGATCCGTGCTGGGTTTCGGCCGGTCACCGATGAGGAGCTTGTCCTCGACGGTCTCATCAAGATCACTAGCGGCCTGGAATGTCCTGATATAGATCTTCAGGAAAACAGAAAGCCAGCCTGGCTGCGGATGACGATTGAGTCAAGGACGAACGAAGCAATAGAGAAAAGACACCCACCCCTGGTAAGCTCTCAAACAGCATTGTCTGGTCGTTGAAGGTCTGCGTGCAGCGCGGTTGGTAGTTCGGAATGACATTGAAGTCTCGATTGTCGTGATGGACTACACAAACTGAGTCAAGGATTTAATGCCAATCCAGGTATTAATGTCAGACACATACAGCGATCAAAGATGAATTTCAACTCGATGAGCTCCATATCAACGAGATCAGAGCTGATCGGCTCATGGACGACACGCATCCTGACGTGTTCGACTTTGGTCAGGTCCCGCTGGAGAGAGTTGTCGAGCCGCTCCTCGAAACTGATGAACTCCGGAACCTGCTAACAGTCAGATCAAGCCGCATACACTCGCAGTATTCGGACGCACCTGTGTGTACTTCTCCGTCCCGAAAGCCCGCACAGTGAACTCTGCCGTCTAAAAAATGTTACTACAAGGATCAAACGGGCGACGCATCTATCTTCACCTCTTGTGAGTTGTTCAAGTAGATCTGGCTCGACTCGAGACATTCGGACGAATAGGTCAGGTCGCCAATCGCCGTCAAGGAGAACGTGGATGCTCGCGTCAGGATAAGATGAGATAGCGTGTCGTTTTGCACTTGTTTTACGTTGATCGCCCGATAATGTTCTAATGCCAGTGACGATGCGCCTGAAAAACAGCGTGTCAGACATGAATGACGTGATCACCAGCAGTATACATACCAAGAAGACGGTATACCCTGACGAGCAACACCCGTAGCTGGTACGAGTGTTTACTCTGCGTCACAGCGTGCTCAAGCAAAGCGGCAGCCCTGTGCAGTTGCACCACGTCATTGCTAGTTCTCCACGCGCTGACGAAGGCTTGACCGGCAAGGATGGCAAGGTCGTCCGCTGGCTGCAGTTCTGTATCCGGAAGCTCCTTGCCGTACGGCAGCGCTTCCATATATGCTCGTAGGTATCGTGCTGCACGTTCGGCTTCCAAATCCGCGGTGATTTCCGACTCAAGGATGTTGTAGCGTAACAGCTTTTGCACGTTGATGTAACGGACGAGCTCCTTGGACGTCGTCTATGCGCGGACTGGTGATCAGACATTAATTCTTAACACCGCAGCTTGCACCTACGAATGATGACGTTTGCGAGCCCAGAAAAGAGGACCATGACGTTAACTCATCTCCCTCTATTTCGACGTATGGCCTCAGGTCCTCAAAGCATACAGCTTTGTCGCTGAATCTGTGGAAGTACTTCTCCAGTCGTTCCTGCAGTCCAGATGGATCTGCCAATAACTCTATCACAGCCGTTCGCTATAATATCTTCCAAGGACGAACCTATTGACACGCCATGCGCACGTGCGCGCTTTTCAAGCTCCAAGAGAGCCAAAAGGCCTGACCGGTCCTTCTTGCCGTCTTCCTCTGCTATCTGCGTCAGGAAGTCTCGCGCCTGCGTGAGACGTTCTGCGCACGCTGTTTTCGCAGCTTCTCGCTCCGCTTCAGAAGAGGATATAAGGGCTGCGAAAGTCGCATCTACAACGGCCAAGAACTCTAGCCAATTTCGGTCTCTGGTGTTATTCGCCTCTCTCATGAGCATATGATCAGAATAGAAGATACTGTCTGAACGCACTTTGCTTCTGTGATCCGCACCTGAGCTCTGGTCCCTTCCTCTTTCTGCAGACCCTTCAACCGCCAGATGTCACGCCTCACCTCGTCGCACGCCAGACTTGCCGCGCATATAGTGTTGCCCACTTCATTGCTCAGAAGGTCATAGGCTTCGTCATACAGTTCGAGCTTGCGGAGAATGGTTAGATGGAGGTAGAAGCGATCAGCACTGTAATAGGAAGGCGTGGGCGACGAGGAGATGAGGCGGTGAGCGAGTTTATACAAGACTGGACGGAGAGTGTCGGGAGTGGTGGGGTCATTTGCCTGCAGGATTATCGGTGAATGCTGGAATACAGGTTTCTATGCTCGCGCGAACGAACCTGAAGCACAGCGCTCATGACGCTCCAATATAGGTAATGATCCTCTTGGAACTGCTTATGCATCTTGGTGGCAATCTGATTCCATGAGTGACACGCTATTCGGTGGCCCCGTCCGGACAGGAAGGAACTGTCATGAGAGTTTCAGACATACCTGCTGAGCTGCCTTCCAGTTCCCAATCCTGACATTGGCCATGAACGTCTGAGAGCCCAGCTCTTCATTCCCAGGATTCTGCTTGTATGCGCCTTCGTACATAGCAACCATATCCGTGTCTAGGGCGGGTTTGAGCCGTGGAAGTACGGGATGTAATCCATGAAATGTCGCTCACGTCGACCTAGCCCGCGCAGAACGTGCATCATTGCCGACAAAGTAGCCTCGTCCGTAGGCTTGGATGCTAGCACCTCATCGCAGAGGACCAGAGACTCTTCTACCTTCTGCGAGCGGACCAGTGCGAGAGCTTTCAGTGCCTATGGGCACATATTTAAGTAAGTTGCTCACGGCACAACGGCACACGACGGAATACATACCTTCACTAGATCATTCTTGGGCTGCTTCTTAAGAAGCTTGTTGCAAGCCAGGATAGCTGACTTGTTTGAGCCTGTGTCAAGTGCCTCTGCATGATAAAGGCTATTAGAGTGACACGAATGAAGCAACTGCAAGAGATACCGACCATAGATAGGGCGGATCTGGCGGTCGAACGCGGCGGACATGCGGACAAGACCTAGCGAAGCTTATGCACCACAAAGCAAGCAGAAGGTCGCGACGAACAACGGGACGACGCGTAACAGAAATTTTGGTGGAACGCGAGGTATTCAGCCACAGCTCAAATCAGCGGTAGTAGCCACGTTCCGCTTCCCGTCTCATTCCGAGCCGGAGTGCATACAAACAATCTCTAGGCGCGTTATGGCGGCTCACAAAACCTCAGACTCCCTTAATGCAATGCATAAATTGTCTATGGTTTGGCAACAACGTGGATGGTGGTGCCTCAATGAGACATTTACCCGCATAATAGATGCCCACCCGAAGTGATCCCCGGCGCTAAAATTGCTTTGATCCATCCCGATTCACTCTCAGCCACCAGCAGCCACCGCTCTCATCCACCGTCCCAGAATGCCTCCTGTTCTGCTCTCGCGGTAAGTGTCTCAGACGTTGAGGCAGCTGTAGGAAACTTAATTCCGCGCTGTAGTGGTCTGGACCCTTTGTTGGGCATTTTCACCGGAGTGTTCGCATACTACCTCTATGAGAGTCACCCACGCAGCGCCATAGAGCCAGAGGACAAGCTGAATGCAGTCATTGCGTGGAGATGGAAGAAATGGCAGAGAGAGCGCGAGCAGGTACTATCACCTGAGGAGGATGTAGACTTAGCAGCCCTCATTGGCCAGGCAGGAAAGTGAGGCGCCCATGTAAGACGATCATTCACCTCTATCATACGACTAAGACTGAGGATGAAGCTATTTTCTCTATTAAGCGCAAGAATGACATGCGGCCACCGTTCTCATTTGCACCGGGCAAGCTCGTCTACCATGTCCATAATGCCATAGAACACCTCTCTCTCGTGTTTGCTGAGCCCCATACCTTCCGCCTCGTCCGTCTTGCGCAATGCCAAACCGACAACGACTCCACGCCTCTCAACCTCAAGTGTCCCCTCAGCTTCTGAGGCCCAAATGATTGTCGCGATCTGGGAGGCATAAAGGGAGTGCAGGGCTTGCATGTGTTCGGAAGGCGCGTTACCCAACAGCGGTGTCAGCTGGATCGCTGTTGGAGGTACTGGAAGAGATGTGACGTTGGGATGCGATGGGTCGGGAGGAGGAGCGGGGTCAATAACCGTTGTTGCAGGAATGGTGGCTTGTATCTTGGGTATGTAAGGAACCTTGAATGCGCATACGTTAATGTGAGACGCACCAAATTGCCCACCTTACCCATCTGAGTAACGAGCACGAGAATACGGTCAGAGAAAGCCTGCAGGAGCACCTCTGTCGTTATCCCTTCTACCTCCCTGCACGCTTGAGTTGGTGAAAGCATGTTATAGAGGCGCCCAGCGCTTCGATCGACTGTATGTGGCCTGGGACTGCGGGGTACCTTCAGTCACCGCGTCTCTGCAACTTGTGCGCTGTGGCATCCATCAATCGACGACCCAAACTGCTTCCTATCATTCTCCCAGCGATACCTTGGAGCAAGCAGTTCTTGCGACGTCTGCCGCGCAACACGCCATTACTTGTCTGAGAAGTACCGGAAGCTGCGCGCTCCGCATTCTGTTGGATTCCACTCCTCCTGTCTGAAACCCCGAAGTATTTCACTCACCAGCGCGGGATTGACTTATGGCATCCAAAGGGAAGGCTAGGGAAGATGTTCACTGGCAGCTTGGTTGGTGGGATGTAGCTCACTCGCTCGGAAGCGCCCGAAGGTCTGTACTATCGTTGCCTGTTGCCCATCTCAGACCTCCCGTTAACAGTGAGAAGACTTTTATAGACCTGTAGTATGGTCCAGGTCATCGATAATATACACTGCACATCCTACTAAGCCGGTCATTCTGGCTCGCCACTTTCCGTCCTCTAGTCGTTTCGAGATACCCTCTCCAACACCGATACCTACCAAGACCGCTCCGTATGATCCTCCCACTGTCATCAGTGTCTCTCCTACGGATGATTGGCTGTTCGCATATTTCCCTGGACGCGGCTGTGATGGCGCGGGGTGCCTATATCGGAGAGGGCCCCAGCTTGACAGCTGGAAAGAGCGCGAATGGTGGGGCTTCGCTCCCGGAGCGGGAGTAGTCACCGCTGAATGGACGAGCTCGCAAAGAGAAGTAAGCTATAGGCCCTTCTCTACCGCAATGCAAAGCTGACTGTGCCATAGTGGCTCGTCACAGACACAGGCTCCACGCGTCTGCCTCCTCGTGGGCCGCTCACCACGTTATCTTGCCCGCTGCTGATGCTGGTCACTCAGAACCATCAGATAAATCTCTGTTACTTGCCACCTTTTGTGCCGTCGTTGAAAATCATGAGAGCTTCTCTCCTGCAAGCCAGCAGCAGCAACGAAATGCAATCTATAGTGGGAGATGACTTCAGTACCGTCGCGGGTGGTCAGAGCGTCTGCATGAACGCGTCCATCGGAATGGGTTACAATGGCAAGTTGTCAATGCCGGTTGTGCACCTATACTCATGCTCGACGTGTATAAAGATTCTTCCATTTTGATTGCAATGCGCACTCACATCCTGCCATCGCCCAAGTCCACACAATCTACGTTTCCGTCTGTGGACATGGAACTGCCTATAGATATCTCTCAACCTGGTCCGTCTCATCATAGTGCACCATCACTTGAGTGGGAGACATGGGGCGAGGAGCCCATGATCCGCTTATGTGAGGTGAAACTTTCCTTTAAATTAAGTTCTCTTGGTAAGCTGTCACATCTTTGCATTTGAAGGTCATCCTTAAAGTGCGATGACATACAGGCGTGACGACAACACCGCTTCCGCCAATTGTCGATACTGGCGAACATTTATATGACTTGGTGTTTTTGAGTATCCCTCCTCAGCTTGATAACGCCTCCGGATCCAACACTAGCAAGGCGAACGAAGGTCATCGGCACTTGGCTGTTATTTTTCATGACTTTGGCAACTGTGAGTGGTCAATATAATTGGGCGGGTTTTGCTCACGTCACTATTCCATTGACTTATCATCAGTCGGTGCAATCCCCGAGTCTGAACTGAGTGTGTATTCAGTTGTGAAGAAGATCGAGGAAGACCTTTCATCCGATAGCAAGGCTTCGTCCGCCTGGGTCAGTCACCAACCCTACAAGCGCGCACATGGCTGATGATTAGCTACCTACTAGGTTGCGGAACTCGAATCGTCACAGCATTACGATGACAGAGTGCTAGCCTTCGCAGCGCCGTCGCCGCAGAGAGACGCTGTACTGGTCGGCTTTCTGGATGCCCGAGGCGTAGAATCCTCTTCCAAACGGAAGACTAAGGAGTCGCCAATAGGGCGGATAATTGTTCTGAAGTTGTAAGCCATCAGATCCGTTGGTAGGTGATGGATTGCTGACTCTCCGCGGTCAGACCGGACCTGAGCATTGACGATACATGGCAAGAGGCTCCCATTATGACAGGTATCACCAGCATCAGTCGGGGTAGTAAGTGAAATGAAGTGCTAGTCCCGTTCCTCGCGGTCTGATTTGGCTTGCTCGCGAAGTTCCTGTCAGCGTGGCCTATTCACCTAATAGAAGTCTCCTATGCAGCGTGTCCTCCTTGCTTTCCGTGGAGTCTCAAGTGTCGATTCATGCACTTCCGCGTAGAGGGAACGTAGATCCCGCCTCAAAGGATCCCTATGCGGTGTTCAGGATGGATCTCGCGTGTGCTATTGCATCCGCTATCCGAGCAAGGACTTCACCTTCTGATATCATCCATCTCTTATCCTTGCCTTCTATAACCACGGAGATCGTAGCGAACACCCTGAAAAAAGTGCTGTCGCTCTTGCAGAAAGGTCCGAATGGTCAATTCGAGCTTTGGGCCGACGAGGTGCTCGGAGTTGCAACAGAGGTGTACTTGTATGAACCTCATCAATGTTCACGGGGAGATAGTTCTGACGTAGCGGTTGTTTATGAACAGGGAGGGAGCACGCCACGCAGCGAATGACGGAAACAGAGAGGGCTTGGCGGCACGTTGGAAGATAGCGCATGAGATCCTGTCCTTAAGAGCCTGCTGCAGTGCATTCGAGCAATGTCAAGAAGGGCAAGCATATGATCTCGGCAAGTCGTGCATGCATTTGGTCTTGTTGTTTTCTGATGTATCATGTCTACAGATGCCATCTGGCAATTGGTGTGCCTAACGAGATGGTTCGTCGAGTTTCTCGAAGAGCTACTCAAGAACTGTGTGCTCGCCAGTGACAGTTTGAAGCTAACGTCCGAAGCTGACCCTTGTAAGTGCTGGGAGACATTATAGCAACTGCGCCGTTTAATGAACACGCTTTTTGCAGCTCTACGGCCGAGCAGTCCGTCACTGGACTTCAGCAATTTCCTGCATCTCATTCACCCCTTGTCACTCGGGCAAGTGCTTGACATGCTAAACCATGTCAAACGTTTCCGGGATCACATTTCATCATTGTCCGCCAAATCAGAGAATGCACAGATTGCGAAGGACGTGTTAATGGACATTGTTACAAGCTCTGGTATCAAATTGGATCAGCTCAGGCAAGAATTGGGGCAGACGCTGCAACGTGCAAAGGGTCTCAGCAGTAAGCGTGAATTCTACTGTTCTGAGTGCGATGCTCATGCTCTCCCATAGCCGACGATCTTCAACTGGCACTTGTATCCTGCTCCCCATTACCATCTTTCAAGAGACACATCCACGAAGTTATCGACACACTGGTTAACTCGAAAACCGTCGATCGCCGTCATTTATTTGTGAGACCAGCCGACTTAGTCGACGGATTGGCCGGGGCCGATGTGATGGGGCGACATACTCAGACTAAGCTCATGGATGTCGTCACGAAAGAGTTTTTATCCAACGGGCGGATTGCGGCGTCGTGTGTTCGATGCGGCGGAACCACTGAAATAGGTCTCCAGGACACTGCAGATACTTCTCGTCGATGGAAGATCTGGGAGAGAAGATGGATGCACAGCTGCGTGTGTGGAGGGCATTGGATGAAGTTTGCAACAAGAATAGCTGTTTCGTCTGCTTCCTAATGTACAATTGTACCTATCAATGATTCTCATACTATTGAGTCGGCGACACAGATTTTTCGCTCTAAATGCAGTCTAGTCAACCACGATCGCATCATGTAAATCAGCCTTCCACTTTGTCCAAGCTACTTCTCTGAGCTCAAGCCCTAACGCAGCTCCGAGCTGCCAAGGCACCGCATTACCGATCTGACGGTGCATCTGGAAATTTAGTCGGCAACAATAAACGATAAAAGCTTTATACATGTGCTCACCGTCTTGATATCGTCATACAGCGAATAGAATACGAAACTGTCCGGGAACCCTTGGGAGCGTGCGAGCTCACGGACAGTGAGCATCCTCCTGCACTATCAAGCAGACATCCATGTGAGGCACTTCCACGGCTAATAGATAACTGGAACATACATAGGGGTTAAGAACCCAGGACTGCTTTGCGGTTGGTTCTACATTGGTCACCGTGGTATGAAACCATTCGTCCTTATCGAGACGACCGTACAGGCCTGCAGTACCCTGAGTTGAGCCGGCTTACTGCGACAAAAAGCTTAGGCTTACCAGGCCGAAAACCGTCTCGCGCCGTTGCAGATGAGGGATGTGCTGCCTGCCATTCGTGAAGTTCCACGGGCAAATCTGCCAACGTCATGAGATGACATCAAATGTCCGTATGACCTCACGCACCCCTGTAGTCTGCCCTTGCTTTCAACGGAATATTCACAACTCTGCAAAATGATCGCACAGCAATGAGTCAATGTATAAAGGTACGCGTGGAATATGAATTCAGTAGCTTTAGCTACAAACCTTTCTACAGTCGCCTCCTTCCATATTCTCGTAAAATGCTGTAGATCTCGGGTAGGCTTCGCTCTACATTTTGCCTGGAAATTGGTGCGCGGTGGATGCTGATACTTCACAACTCCTTGAAGGCCACAGACTCTACTTCTGTGGTCACACGGCAGTTCAAGATCCTGCTCTTCAGGTGCAGGTGTTTCTCCTGTTCTATGGCCATGGCGAGGAGCAATCAACTTATGTGGGTCCCTCCTGAAACAGAAGGTGTGAATAAGTCGTGAACTGGAGACTAGAGCACTCACCAGTGGAACCGGGGAAGATCTGAAATGGCGTCGTCGATGGTTACGAAACGGAATGGCGCAACACCATTTGCTGTCCGAATGGGCTTTGCAGTGCCAGCGTTTGGGAACTTGATCGACAGCTCGTTCTTTAATGGGAAGTCGTGCGTTGGTTGCGGGAGTTCGGGTAGGAGGGATCCTTGACGAGCTGCAATCAGTATGAAGCGGATCCTAGATTGCGGAGTACCATAATGCGCTGCTTGTAATAAACCAAACCGGACCTGGTAACTAGACGCTATCATCAGCTACCATCGAGACATGTACACACACAGCACCTATACCTCATTGCAAGCAGAGCTCTGACCAAAAACTTGAGGCCTCCCATCTCGATCCCGCCTTCTACCCTGTATCTTCCCGCTTGCGTCGCATTCAACTTGTAGCTGAGAAAGCCACTAACGTTTTCGACGAAACAGTATTTCGGCTTCAAGAAATCTATCCACGAGAGAAGGTTCAGGAACATATGACTCTTTCGATCATTTGCTTTTTGGAACATATTCAATCGCGAATGCGGTTGACTGCAAGCAACGCAGATGAGTGGACGAATTATACACAGTATGGTTAAGTACCAAGGAAACCCCGCCACTATGCAGTCGATATCACCAGGCTTTGGTGGGTCAGGTAGCGACTGCGCAGGTTGCTCAATTTCCTTCGGCGGCTTTGAATTGTGCCCTGCATGTTTCTTAATGGCATATTGTAGCACCACGTTCGCATCCTGATTATGCACGATGGTCTCAGGAGAGTGTTTTCTAATTCGCAGGTGAGTACGAGAGCATGCACGAAAGTAAATACACACTTCAGGGTCTTCGCAGCGCTCGGTGAGATTTCGATGGCATGCACCATTTTGATGCAGCCTGCTTCTTCCATTCCGAGGCCGAATGCGCCGACACCGCCGAATGGGTCGAAAGCTTTGAGTGGATTTTTCTGACAGCTGATCAGGTACTTCTTCACCGAGTCATCACGGTTTTTGTCCTCTTCAAAGCACGGCCGGCATACCGGGAAGTCGGAGCATTGCAAAGGATGTTTTTCACTCCATTCAGTAGGATCGATACCTCGAAAGCAATAATGGACGTAAAAATGGTACGGTGACAGCGAAAGCCATTCATTGCGGTCCAATGGAGCATCTCGATGTACCACGAAGCATTTCCGAACTATGCGTGCAACGGAAACAATCTCTTCAATTTCAGTGAAGAAAAAGTGACGCTGAACCTGATTAGTATATCTGCGAATTGACAGCAATCATTGAGCACGTACCTCATCCTTGATCATGTTCGCGGGACAGATGGCAAAGATATCACTAATGCGGCCAAGGGACCGCACGCGCACCGTGTCTTCTTTTACAGTCCGAGACCGTTTCAGCGATGGTACATTTAGAAGCTGTGCAACGTCCGCCGGACCATTCACTGACTGAAGTAAGACGAAGTCGTACACGTGGTAATTCACGCCACGCAGCTTGAAACCTTGTCTCGTGCACAAATATTCGTCTCGTTCTTGCTGCTCTTGCTTGAGACAGACAGGGCAGTTGTCAGGTGGACTCAGATCTCGTGAAATGTCGAAATAGTCATCTTGGATCTCCGTGAATGATGCACCGATTTCATAATAGAGGTAACTTATAATCGATGCCATTAGCAGTTAACTGAGGACGAATACTTGTTCTTACCTGCAGTAAAACTCCGAAGGACGGGCTGAATCTGCCGCTTGCTTTTTCCAGTGGACAGTCGCTTTGCAAACAACACGGCTTACGTCAATCGTACCACATGTATCGGTAAGAAACAGTTCCTGGGGATCGCCTATTTCCTCCAGACAGCTCTGAGATGAATGATCGAACCATTGTACGTGGATCTGCTTGCTCTTCTGATTGATCCACAGTATATGTCCAAACCTGACTACTCGTGAGTTGACTAGCGGCCAATGCAGAATCAATACCGACCAGAAGTAGTCAGCGATCGACGCATCAGCGGCAATGCTGTTAGGATCATTCGGAAATTTCGCTGCTGGCTCGTGTCTCTGGTCGTCTGGGCCTGCAGGAGCCAAGATGATATCCCCTACCTGTGCCAGTTGAGCCTCGGAAAATAGCGATTGCGAGAGCAAATTGAATTACCGAATACACTCTTGCATCGATCTCTATACTCCTCCAATATTCCTGTTGAATGCGCGCCTCACCAGAGAACCAGACCTGCGGTTTTCTCTGCCCGAAGTCGCGGTCGCGCCATTGAAAGAGCAGCTCGATGAGCCAGGCCCGAGAAGCAGCAGCCGCCTGCCGATAATTTCGCTTATTCGGTGGCTTTGCACCGACAACCTGTAGATGTTCCTGGAACAGACCATACGCAAGCTGATCAATCAGTGGAGTGACATGGATGTGACTCTGGTTCTCGGGGCGTAGGATAGCTAGGTCGATATTGCCAGTGAGCAATGACCTATTTCGGAGGGAAGGTAATGCCGGAGCTGCACTGGGCACGATAAGGCGGGGAGGCAAGTCGGTCTGTTCGGACAGCAGGTGACGAATGAGCTGAGATGTTTGTGGTTCGTCCGACTGGGGAAGATCCCGGAGCAATGATACAATAAGCGGTATCTGGAATGCGACATCAGCAAATCTGGTCGCATCTCACATGATCCAACACTGACCGCGTTATAGACATGGTGCTTGGTAATTCGCGTCTCGAGTAATGGATCTCTGACATCTACGTGCAACTCGCTGTATTCCTTCCATGTAATCGTCGGGTTCTCCTTGACTGCTGATAACACGGTCTGCGCCACACGATGGGGCCTATAAAAATCATAAAAGCATCTCGAGTATATCTTCGATGGTCTCCGCAATTGATACCAGGCGGACTGTGTCAAGATGTACATGGGACTGTGGAATAACACTTTTAGCTGCCATGCGATGCGATGTGTAAGCCAAGAGCGAAACTTGCTCTTCGATGCTTTCATAATCAAACGTATACCGCTGTATCGTGGTGGTATGTATACGCTGCGGATCTTCATCCTCGATATCGTCCTCCTGGCCGGCATCTTCCTCCTCCATGACAAGCGGTGCGACGTACCCCGCAGCTTCAAGCCTACGTGTCTGTACGTCGTCCATGGAGCGTATCCCATAGTCGTCATTGCGGTCGAAAACGCAGAAATCAGATAGAATGCGAATCGGCACTTGGTCCGATTCTTCGTCGGCGTCGTCGGGATCTTCTCCAAGTATCACCGTGTCCTTACTTTCTTTCACATCACGGTTATCCGGAGAATAGCGTACTTCCATGATTTTAGACCACCCTCATCTCTACATTTCCTTAACAACTGAAAGCTTACCAGCAGGCGCTTCTAAGATTCTTTGGCGTTTAATCTGACTGGCTGTCATCTAAGAGCACGTTCAAAGCAGTACACTTCGTAGCAAATTAGACATGCGCACAATGTCGCCCCCATCGACACCGCGATCTCTTCGTTTCGGAACGAAACGTGGCACGTTTGACATCACGTCTATATCAGAATGCGAGCGCCGTCCGGAGTCGGAGGACGAGGCAGTTGGAGTCGACCGAGATTGAGACGCGGGGGTCGGACGTAGCGATGCCAAAGGGCTTGGTATTTCATCAGGGAAGCTAACTTCGAACGCAGTAGGACGCCGCCTAGGTCGCGACATACTGAAGCTGGAGCCTGGGGGTGACGGTCGCACAAATGACAAGCACGGTTGCCCGGAGCCTGTGACCGCCTCGAGCACGTGTCACGCTCTCACCCAGTGCAAAGTACAAGATGTACTTATGTGACAACAAAAGCTTCACGTCTGGTCGCGCAACAAGTTAACATAATGGTAGTGGCATACAAGGACATGATAACGAGTAACCCCAGCGCGTGCGTGATGCTAGCTCAAGCAATCTCAGGGCGGGCATACCCTCAGATCAACAAAGCCCTCCTCAAGCAACCGTAAGCCGCAACGCTCAGTTCATTTGCCTAATGAGCTTGTTAATGTTCTCCTCGCGATTGCCGAAGTCGCCACCCTGAACGAAGTGCTTGAACTTCCGTGTTCTCCAGCCGCCAGTAGGGTTAGAGAGCTTGAAAGGCCAGAGGAAATTTGACGCCTACGAGGGCACAATTCGTATGCCGCGCGGTAATCATTATAAAGCCTTAAACATACCTGCTTGAAGTTGGGACCTGCTGTAGATATCTCGTGGACGAGGTCCTCTACCGAGAGAATGCCGAACTCGCCGAGCGCCTCCTCAATCACAGCGTTGTTGGTCAGCGGAATGCGCTGCTTGTTGATTTTGCCATAGCCGCGCTTGTAGATCAACTCGCGGACAGACTTCAGGTTTGGTTCACTGGATATGAGTTGTCAATGCATGAACGAGTGCGTATCAGGATAACAAACATACCCATATGCCACGTAAGGCTCAACGAGACGAAGCATCTGCTCGGTCGCCTTAGTGACCTTGACGAAGACACCATTGTTGATCTGAAGCAGACGGAGAAGCTGCAAGATTTTGCGGGGCTTCGGCGCAATCTCGTTGATACTGCATGAGCCCTGCCGTGAGTTACCTGCTCGGAAAGCGACTTGAACATGTTTAAGACACACCCCCGGATACGGATGACGAAGTAGACCTTTGCCTGTGCGGGGACATAAAAGTCACCCGCGGCACGCGCCGCCCGCTTCAGACGGATCTCCTCCTTCTCCTTGGCAAGATATTCCTTCACGTACTGTTCAGCGCGCTTGAAAATGACCTTGCGTTTGGCCTTGCCTGCCTGCAAACCAAATAAGCAAGTCAGCTCAATTGTATAGTCCAAGCGCGAGACGAAGATATAAAGGTCAGTCCCGAAAGATGGTTAATTTCGAGCAGCACGGTGAAAACAAAGCTCCCACTAGCCACGAACAGTAAAAGTATCATCATAGAAGCTAAACAAGTATAGAGTTCCAGAAAATGCTCATGCTCACCTTGCGGGCAGCCGCCGCAGCCGCAAGCTTCTCCTCACGGGCCTTTTCGTTCTGCTTGCGCTTCTTGAGGAGAGTCTCGGGGACTTCAATGTCCTGTAGCCACGCAGACGCGTTGTCAGAATCCCAATCATAGGTCACGCATGATCTGAGCGACACGGACCGCGACACTCGGGACGCTAATAGAGGCGTGGCATGGGTCAATCCAGACGCATACGAAGGACCATCGGAGAGTATACGCACGTTGTTGGGGGGGCCATAGCGAGATCTTGAGGACCGACGAGGTTTTGGGCGGTAGTACAGGGCCTGTGAGAGATCGCGGTGGCTGGGAACTGCTGTGCAGTTTTCTCGCTAAGTTCTCACGGACCCCAAAAGGCAACTGCATGTACCAAATCCAGCAATGCTGTTTGATTCCTTCTTCATCCAGGGCCTCTGTTATCCTTCGTGCTACATTTCTACGTCTATTTGGACTCTGACGGACAGATATATGGAGTGCATGAGTTTGTATGAGAAGCTCTGGCACCAACTACTTGCTCAGTCTGGCAGTGTCGCGCGATCTCCTCTGGCTCAAGCTTGACGATTTTGTCTTGCCTGAATATTGTCTACCCAAAGCTGTTCTCCTCAACTGAAGATAGCCATGTAAGTTTCGAGTCGTCATTGCATGACGAAGTTTGCTCGCCGGCGCTACTCGATCGCTTTCGGTCGAGCGTTGTGTATAAATCTGAGGCTCTGGAGCGGCTTACTCAGACACCACCATCATCTACTTGCGCACATACCGTTCGCAGCTGGCAGTCAACTGACTCTCATTTCATCGTTGCGCTTTCGACTCTATCGCACTGCTTAGCTACCATGGAGCACAACAGAAAAGCGGAGCGGAAGCCAATATCTCGAGAAGTTACCAACTTACTCCATACTCTAAGGTGCGTAGTGGCAAGTGATGTCCCAATGCATTTGTTCTAACCTGCTGGCTTGTACATTAATTAAGGGGAGAACATTATCGTCACGAGCAGAATCTGCAGCGTTCCAAAGCCCGTGTGCCATCATATCGGTTCCGTCAAAATCCCACCCTCCCTTTCGACCAGATATACGCGGATAGGCAACCTGAGCAACGGAGACCTATCCTCTACCCAGATGTGCCCACCCCTGTTAAACTAGGTCCAGAAGGGGTCTTGGAGTATGCATATCCACGAGGCCCGGTCCCTGGGCCAACGCCACCGCCAAGTTGGAGTAGGCTGTTCGGGAAGGGGAAGGGGAAGGAGGTAGAGGAGTCCGAGCACAGGGCTGAGGCTCTGTCGCTTATCTTCTCCCACCTTCCGACAACCGCAGGCGCACCGAGAAGTGCAGATGCCGCCAGCTCATCCATTCCGCCACTCACATTGATTTGTCTACAATACTTGCTTTCCCTCTTTTCCGATTCTGAACGCGCCGATGATTTCGCCGAGATTGTCCCCTATATTCCGCCTCACCTGCGCCGAGATTTGATGCGCTGGTCGGCCCAGCACTCTCCGCTGCCCAGCTCCAAGTTGTTTGCACTGTGCGATGCGGAAGGCCATGCCGACGGCGAACTCATCGTTGTTGGTCCTCAAGCATCGCTCCCTCGAAATTATTTTAGGAGAATCAAGGCCGCCGACATGAGCACGGAACATGTAGATGCTGTTCATGGCGACCAGGAGGCAACTGAAGATTGGGACTCAACGAATGTCTATACGCCTGCAGCGCTGCATACGCTCGTCCTCCTCTCCTCTCCTCTTCCTGTCGACACGCTTCTGACCTTCCCGCCTACGCTCACACATTTGGCCTTGCTCGCTCTGCCTGCTCCTGCGCAGGTACATCGGTTACCACGTATCTGTCCTCTGATTGAAGTGCTCGATCTATCTTTCAACGTATGGCTCGTGGAGGATTTCGGGAAGAATGGTGAGAGTATACTGGACAGGATCGAATGGAATCGATGGAGTCGCCTGAGAGTGCTTGGATTGCGAGAATGCGGAGTGGGTACGGACATTGTTGCTCGCGTTAACCAGAGTCGCTGGACAGATGTCGAGATCATAGGTGTAGATACTTCTGTCGGCTGATAGCAGTCTTGCACTCGAGAAGTGCCGCCCTTGGCGGCAGATCCCTTGCTCGCCTTAGATGCCGTGTAACAAGTGCATAAGGTGTAGTAAATGTTAACTGGTGTCTTACCTTTGAGAAAAAATTGCCTCCATTGCATTTGCTATCAGTGTTGCATGCCCTAAATTTCAAACTTGGGTAGCCACTACGAAGAACTATATATATCAATCATTTAACCTATATATCAACACAGGAATTGTACAAGTGACACGCAGAACATGGCACTGCCATAAACATGCTTGTGATTTCAGGAGCAGAAGGGTATATGAAAGAATCTGGTATACTGCCACACAGCATGCATAGCAATATTTTCCCACTGAAGAAACCGTGAAAATATAGTAAAAGAATATAAAGCCCTGCCTTGGAAAAATGCTAAGAGATATTATGTACTATTTTCCATATTTGGGTAGTATATGCCCATATATAGCAATCTAATGATGGAGGAAGCTTCAATTTCTTCACCATTTTTCCAAATCGAAGCTTAATATGTTTTCAGAGTTTCTCTACTGTTTTCCAATGGAAAAATGTTGCTATGCACGCTGTGCCATAGCATCTGGATAGCAACAATGAAGGAATGAAATTTCAGAGACTGAGGTTGAATTGAGATGAATTGAGATGAGCTTTGACAGTGGACATCCAGCAGATGAGAAGATGGCAAAACAGATACTATGCATGATGCCCCAGGGCATGGTGGATCCGACAGCGACGAATTGAAGAACACGAAGGAATATAAATTGAGCAGCTCGCAAAGAACAGAGAACGGTAAGCCACCCTGAGCAAATACTGCCAAACAGTGGAAAGCGCCCGGCGTTCATTTCGAGGCTGAGAGCCTTGCTCTGGCGAGCAAGGGATATTGATGAATCACTGCAGACATGAAGCAATTTGCGCATGTGACAAATGCTTAGCAAATGTCGACAGGTTTTTTGCCTTTGTGATCTCAATTTGCTACAGTTCCTTCCCACATTCCATATTAAGTATTTGCATAATAATATGTTAGAGGCAGAAATTAAAAATCATATATTTTAAGAAATGACACCATTTTCAAACTCATCAAATACATTTAGAATTTGAGCGCTGTTGAATGTAATCATACATTTTGAATTTCAAACTATGACATGTATAAAATATCCAGTAGCAGATGAAGGTGTAATTACGGTGAATGACTTTCATTCTAGTAATCTTGGCTAGAATGACTTCAGTAGGGAAGTAGAATGTAGGCATAATCACACCTTCATCTGCTACTGGATATTTTATACATGTGATAGTTTGAAATTCAAAAATGTATGATTACATTCAACAGCACTCAAATCCTAAATGTATTTGGTGAGTTTGAAAATGGTGTCATTTCTTAAATATATGATATTAAATTTCTGCCTCCAACATATTATATGCAAATACTTAATACGGAATGTGGGAAGGAACTGTAGCAAATTGAAACACAAAGGCAAAAAACCTGTCGACATTTGCTAAGCATTTGCCACATGCGCAAATCGCTTCATGTCTGCGGTGAATATTGTTGACTGATTGATTGCGTCGGGCGTCTCTCGCTTCTCATCGCGGTCACGAGCGTGATCCAACGCGACGCGTCCTGGCGCTTGAGGCCACCCCGACTATTCTTTGTCGCCATCTTGTCAGTGGACATCGCGAACTTAGGTCAACGATGCTGCGACGCATCCCAGTAACACCAGATGGAAAAGCCGTCGACAGGCTGCAGGAGAGCACTCGTGTCAACAAGCCGTTCAAATCACCCGCCAGCGTCGTTCAGCGACATCAGCCTCAACGCAAGCGCAAGCGGGTGAACTATAAGGAGGACGAGAATGCGTCCCGTCAGTCAGATTCCGATGAGGATGGCTCGCAGAAGAAGAAGAAACTCGACAAGAATGGTCGGTTTGAAACTCCCCGCGATAATAACATCAAGCACTACCCGGTCTTCAAAGTGAAACCATTCGACCAAGTGTCTCGTAGATTCTCCATGCCAGAGATGAGAAATAAAAATGGAGAACTTGTTCCACTGATACCAACCAATGCCTCGCTTGGTATTCGTCCCCTGGCGAATATCATCCCTCGACCGCTCCACGATCCTATGGAGGATCATGCCATCGTTCTCTATGACCCTACCGTCGACGATAGAGAAACTGATGAGGAGCGAAAAGAACGTGAGAAGGAGGAAGCCAAGGAGAAGGCAGCTCAGGAGGCACGAGAGAAGACGGTCGGGATGTACAATCCTCACAAGAGCCTGAAGGAACTGCTGGGTGGTGGTAAGAATAAGAAGAAGCAGAAGGACAAAGTCGCAGTCGTCATCGACCCTGCACTTACTAAGGTTCTCAGACCACATCAAGTGGAGGGTGTAAAGGCACGTCGCTAGTCACCTCATGCTTCGCAATGTGCTGATGATAGCAGTTCCTATACAAATGCACGACTGGCATGGTGGTCGAGAAACAATACGGATGCATAATGGCAGACGAGATGGGTCTCGGAAAGACGCTCCAGTGTATTGCACTCATGTGGACACTTCTCAAGCAGTCGCCACACGCTGGAAAGCCGACTATAGAGAAATGCATCATTGCCTGTCCGTCAAGTCTGGTTAAGAATTGGGCCAATGAGCTAGGTACGATTGAGCATCCAAATGTATGCAGGGGGTCTGACAATCCATTGTAAGTGAAATGGCTCGAGAAGGACGCTATTGCCGCGCTTGCCATTGATGGGAAGGGAGGTAAGGCCGAAATGCTCGAAAAAGTGGCGAGGTGGGTTGCTGCCGGCGGTAGGAACGTAACCCAACCAGGTACTTAAATTTCATCTATCCACTCCTTTGTCAGCTGAATCCGTACTCCATCTGCAGTCATGATTGTCTCCTACGAAACATTGCGTACACTGTCCGTTCATCTTGCCAATTGCAGCATCGGCTTGCTGCTGTGTGATGAAGGCCACCGGCTCAAAAACTCTGGTGAGCGCAAATGGTGAAACCCAACGAGTCTTTGTTCATGCATAACGCATTAGAATCTCTGACATTCCAAGCGCTGAATGGTCTTAACGTCAAACGTAGGGTGATCTTGTCTGGGACGCCCATACAGGTTCGTCTAGCCAGCGATATATGTTTTCCAGATGATTGAGTCCATGACTTTCAGAATGACCTATCTGAGTATTTCTCTTTGCTGAACTTTGCCAACCCCGACTTCTTGGGCTCGAAGAATGATTTCCGAAAGAACTTCGAGAACCACATCATCAGAGGCCGTGATGCTGATGCTAGCGACGCCGTCAAAGCCGAGAGTGAGAAGAAATTGAAGGAGCTGGGTGGACTGGTAGCGAAGTTCATCATCCGACGAACGAACGATCTCCTGTCCAAGTACCGTCAGCCATCCATTATTGTCCGAACATTTTCTTGTGTGCTCACTTGTTGTCTACATTTCAGTGCCCGTCAAGTACGAACATGTTGTGTTCTGTGGTCTATCCGACTTCCAGCTCTCTCTATACCGATTGTTCATTTCCTCGCCTGAGATTCAGGCACTCTTGCGTGGAGCAGAATCTCAGCCTCTCAAAGCCATCAACATACTAAAGAAACTATGCAATCACCCGGAGCTGCTGGACTTGCCGAAAGATTTGCGAGGCTCGGAGAAGTTGCTACCAGAAGACTTTTGTGGTGCGGGTTCCAGTGCGAGGGACAGAGGTAGGAACCAGACAATTCATTGCGAGTGGGGTGGCAAGTTCCTGGTGCTCGAACGGTGCGTTCTCTCGGTTTGTCATCATCACTATAATCCCAATCTCATTCTGTCCGTCAGATTCTTGCATCGTATTAGGACGGAGACAAATGACAAAATCGTCTTGATCAGTAACTACACACAGACGCTGGACCTCTTTGAGAAGCTCCTCCGTTCCAAGAAGTAAGCTGTGGTTTATCATTGAAGCATGCTGCCCTGACATTCGATTACAGGTATGGATATTTTCGTTTGGACGGCACCATGACGATCAACAAACGCCAAAAGCTCGTCGACCAGTTCAATGACCCGAATGGCAAGGAATTCGTCTTTTTGCTTAGTAGCAAAGCTGGAGGATGTGGTATCAACTTGATTGGCGCAAATCGACTCATCCTCTTCGATCCTGGTCTGTTCATGCCGTTATTTCCGTGAACGAAGTGAAGTCTGATATTCCATGCAGATTGGAATCCGGCCGCAGACCAGCAAGCCTTGGCTCGTGTCTGGCGTGACGGACAGAAGAAAGAATGTCAGTCGCACCGCCACGTACTTCGGCGTTCATTTCGCCGCTAACGTGATTCTTTAGGTTTTGTATATCGGTTCATATCTACAGGAACGATTGAGGAGAAGATCTTCCAGCGGCAAGCCTCAAAGCAGGCGCTCTCCTCTGCAGTGGTAGACGAGAAGGAGGATGCAGAGCGACATTTCTCGGTCGATGCTCTACGAAAGCTATTCTTATTCAACGAGAAGACGCTGTGCGAAACACACGAAACGTTCAAGTGCAAACGTTGCAAGAACGGCAGACAAGTCATGAAGGCTCAGACACTGCTCTATGGTGATGCGAGCACGTAAGTCATCTCTGCAAGTCGTTATATGCGTGGCATTGACGTTCGTCCAGATGGAACCACTTCACGAACGAGGAACTCAGGAACAACCATGACGACCTGTTACGGGCGGAATTCGGTCTCCCTGAGGTCTCCTTCGTATTCCAATACATCAGCCACTAGAACTCTTACAGAACTTTGGAAATATCGCTTTCGTTGCCCGGTAGAAACAGCAGGACTGAGGATCCGAAACACTGTACAATACTTCAAGCGTTTCTTCCATTGTAGTGACAACCTCCATACCGACTAGAAATACAGATAGTGATACACGTCGAAGCAGGATAGATCAACCACAAATAGTCTGCAGCGAGCGTAGCAGTCCTCTTTATGTCACAACATCAGTCCAACTTCCCCATTCTCCTCCAACCTTCTTCACCATCACGTTTTCACCGGATGTCCCAAAATACCCAGCCTTGTACCACGCTTGCACCTCGTCCTCGCTGAACGGTCCGAATACCTGACCATCCGGGCCAGAGGTGTTGGGGACGGCCCATTTATATTCGTACTTGACGTCTGCAGATGGTGGTACCCACTCTGGGTCGACCTTGCCTGACGACCGAACAGCACGGACGAGCTCCTCGTATGTTCGGGAATAGATATCGATGTCGCCGAGCGACATAAGCATCGACGCAAGATGGGTTATATGGTCAATTCCCGATAGCGCCTTGGGTGTCTTGTCGACCTGCATTGTGTCGGTCTCGAGATCGTCTTTCCGCTTCTTGCTGGGCTTGACGCTGTACAGTATGTCAGCACAGCGCATGTATCTACCAACGTCTAAACGTACCTCTTCTTCTGTGTACCGTTCTTCCGTGCCTGCGTCCCGAGCCGCTGCAGCGCCTCAAGCACGGTCTCTCCCTTCTTCAGCATCCCCACCAGCTCTTTCTCCATATCCTCTTTGCTGCCCAGCTGCTGAAGTTCCCGCTCCTCCGCCTTCTGCTTCTCTCTTTGCTCTCTTTCCCGCTGCCGATGGTTCTGCCGCGCCTTCTTGATCTCTTTCTCGTCCAACCCCTCCATCCACCGATCATGCGCCGCGTGAGGGTCAAACGTTCGTACGTATGTTCCGTCCGCGGCGAATTTGCCCTCCTCCATCTCCTCGCGCATGTTAAAAGACGAGAGCTCGTAGCCCATTCCGGCCTTCTTTCGACGTTCTGCGACATCCTCATCCTCGAGCTCTTCCTCCTCGCTCGCTTCTTCTTTCTCCCTGTCCGACCCTTCATCAAACTCCTGCCCTTCGATGTCTACCAGTCTCAGGAACTTCTCTTCCTTCTTCCCACTCTGCTCTGCCTTCTTCTCCTCCTTCTCCGCGATGGCGAACATGTCCTCGTCCTCGTCCTCAAGGGCACCATCCCCGCCAGGCCGCCTGCTTGGAACAACGTCCTCACCATCATCGCTGGAGTCCGACTCATAGCCCTCGGTCTTGACCTGTCCTCGTCTTTGGCGCGTCTCGAGCTGTGCATCTACCTCCTCGGCGAAATTGACAGGGTCTTCAGAGGGCTCTACAAATCTGGTCTTCTTACGGACGTTGCGCGGCGTGACATCTTCGCTCGAGCCTGCTCCTCGTTTACGGGCCGGTCGTGCGTCCATGTAGCGAATACGTGAGTGAAACGGCGATGAGTGATGGTTAAGCGCTAGGGACATGCGCGGTGGCCAGAAGCCAACCAGAAGCAGGAGAAAAAAGAGGCACGTGATCATCTCCGCACTATTCCCTCATATGGAATAGACATACTTGGGAGAAACGACTATTTGTCCCCGTCTTCACGTAGATTAGACATAGCCAGCTGTTGCAGCGCGAATCTGCTCGAAGGGAGATGGTATAGACTACGTAAATTACTCATCAACTGGACGGTGCACATGCTAGATGATTCTAGGCTACTGTACATGTCCAGGATTATTCCTTACACAGCAGAGCTAACTGCCACGCAACTCTGAGTCAGCAGTTGCACCTGTACGCCTTCGAGACGGTGTGCCCATATCTTCTGCACCAGTCGCTCCGGCACTCAACAACGCCTCCTCCTCTTCAGGCATTGAGCGCGAAGCTCGGCGTCCACGGGCATGTCCCTTCGGACGGTACAAGAACGATTGCGTCACGATTGCCACGTCGAAAACGAGCGTGCCCCCACTGCCCATTAGGTATCTGGGCGGATCGTCAGGGTAAACTACCTGATCAAATGGGCATGAACTTACGGTATGCTCTCCTTGATGAAGGTGGTTGCTTCAGCTTCAGGGAGTCGGAGCTTGGGCGAAGTGAGGATGGAGGAAACGTAGAAAAGATTTCCCAAGAATGCAAAGATGAATAAATACATGGAGAGGCCCTTCATCGCAAGCGAATGAGTACGGTGCAGCAAGAAACTGATCGGCTGTTAACATACCTCTACAGATTTCCGGGCATACTGTAGACATGTTATTCAGAATCCTTGGTCTAATGTGATAAGGTAGGCACTCACGTTCTTCCAAATTTGCGGTAGCCGTGAAGTGAGGTAGAGTGTAGTACATATCCAGGCTGATATCCGCCCAATAATAAATTCCGTCGAGTGGTCAGGTTGTTTCGTTGCATCGTAGTCCGCATCTTCAGCGGAGAGTACGAAAGCATGAACAGCATCTACATCATTGTCCCCACCCAAGGTGCCTGCAAGGGCCATGGGGACTGCACCTGCGAGGTCGGACATCGTCACATTCCGCCTCTCCAGCACGCGTCCTATTCGCAACGTGTTGCTCTGAACAGCATTCCGCTGTCCGCCATTGGCAAGCGTACTGATACCAAACAGGGCCCACACGCCCAAGAACACCATGCTCGCGCCCTTTCGGCTCGCACGCGAGCTGCGTCGGCGAGATGCCCAATCCGTCTCCTCCTCGTCTGGTGGCACGTCTCGTGATAGCGAGCGTCCCCGTGTCAGCGCCGGGTCGACTTCCTGAGGTGGCCTTGTCAAGTGCAGCGATGCATGCATCCTGCGGGGCGGTGATATCGTCTGCTGATGGCTCCTGCCGAGGCTGCCTGCGCGTCGCTCCTGGCTCCAGGAGACCTTCTTCTGCCTCCCGGAGCGCCCACCTTCGGAGTGGAAGCTGTCAGCGAGGCGAGCAAGCGCCTCCTCGGAGACATCATCATGGTCTTCTTCGTGCACTGGAGGCTCGACAGCGGTATATGGGACACGTTCGAGACTTTGAAGATTCCGTCGAGCATGCTCTTCTTGCTCAGCGGCGAGAGCTGCTGCTGCGGCAACGTTTGCGGCCACATTCGATAGGGCGCGATAGTGCGTGGCCTCTCGTTCGATGGACATGCGACGTGTGGCGGCGGATGCAGTGCGTGAGCGTCCAGCAAGATACGATGATGGCTTGATCTTGGACGTCAAGCTATAGTAGAAAAATTGGAGGAGGAGGGTTAAATCGACAAAGCAGAAATACGCTGCTAGCCATGTCTGGAGAATGTGTATATGCAGTCATTTATGAGAGCTTCAAGCGTTGGAGGCCACGCACTTGGAATGGTAGCTGATGGGTTAGGATGCATCCGATGAGGTTGGTGGCATCCCCTTCGTGCAGACTTGAACATAAGACATTGTACTGAGCGTATCTGGCCCACTCACCCATTGCCCAGTTCAACAAGAACGGCAGAGCCAGTCCATCCGCTGACTGTCTGCGAACGTTCTCAATAATCTGGCTAGATAGAAAGTCTAATTATGAGCTGAATGTGCATAACATGCAATCACCACGCTCACGGGAATTGTGCCCCAAGCCAGCTGCCCATGGAGGCGTATCCGAGGAGGTCGCTGAGGGTTGCAGGGCCAAACATCGTCGCGGGCGCATAAAAAGTCGGTAACGTGGGCAGCGGGAGATGATGTGTATGCGAAAGGATAGCGAGTCGGGATGAGCGGTACTGTCAACTTGTGTTCCGCCCGGGGACGCGCCTGCATTTCAGTCGCGTGCTATGATTGTTCCCTGCATCGCTCCCGCACTCTGCCTGGTTTCATTACAGCCTTTACTCGTACGACACGGCTTGTCGACCATCAACATTAGTTGGTGCGATTGAACAGCCACAGCACAGCACAGCATAGCGGCGGGATAAGCTCGCGTGACGCGCGCCTACAACTTGCCTGCTAGTATACCCGGCCGTCAGAACACCTTGCATCTCACTACAATCCACATAAGTCCTGACCTCACAGAAACATCCATGGCGGCGAGTATGCTATCACCAGCCCAAAGCGGCGCCGGGGTCTTTGCTCCAACACCAGATGATCTCGTATGCGCTATCTCACATACGTTATGGCCCGCTCACACTCTTACCGTCGCTGTTGCAGCGCCTCCTCGTACTCGACTACCTGTGCCACAATTCATATTCCAATACTGCTCGCGCTTTAGTAAAGGACACCACTACGAAGCACTTGGATGCAGACGGAGATGAAATCTTGTCATCCGCAGAAGCAGAAAGCAGCGATGGCCTACTGCACATGCTGGAGGAGCGACTCGCGCTTGGCGAGCGTCGCAAAGGTATGTATAGTCTGCTCATCAACATAGTCCTTTCACCCACACCCCGAGCGTTCCAGAAATCCGAACGGGACTACTATCGGGTCAGGTAGACGAGGCGATCGCCCTCCTCATTAAGTCCTTCCCCTCTGTCCTTGCCGAAATTTCTGAGCCCGCTGCATGCACCACCTCCTCCGACACACTCACCTACATTCCCTCTACGTCCGTTGATCCCCTTCATCTCATGCTCAACCTCCACATTCACGCCTTCATCGAGGCTAACCGCACCGTCCCACTCCCGTACTACCCACCCGGCACTGCGATCTCACCTGCGAGCCCCGTGCTCTGCCCGGAGCGCGACGAGTCCGAGCAAGCCAACGCTGCGCTGCTCCACCGCGCGCAGAACCTCTACAGCGAGGCGAACCGCCTCCCGGGCGCGCAGGACCGCGTCGAGTACTTGAAGGAGCTCGGCCAGGTTGGCGTACTCCTCGCGTATTCTGTACCCGAGAACAGCCCGTCCTCGGAGTACTTGAGCCAGCCGCGGAGGGAGGCAATTGCTGATCAGATCGATAGCGCCATTCTCTGTGCGGGCTTTTCGTGCAATCTGTCATGTTCGGTAGATTGATGGACTGCTGTTAAAGACAGGTACCATCAGCCCATAGTGTCCAAGCTTGATCTCGTTGCACGCCAGACATCAGTCATCTGGTCGATGCTGCACGAGTTGAAATACAAACTCCCTCCGCGCTCTGCATGGCCCAGCGGCGTATCGCTCTCGCTACCCGCCAGCGCGCAAACACATCCGAACACAGCTGGTACCACGAAGACAGCATCCCTGCCGGTCAAGACGAGCGGCCTCGAGAACGATTCTGCGGAGGTAAGCTCGTCAGTGGTTCACGTGTAGCGGATGAAAATAACGCCTTCCTTGGTTTGTCCAGATCGCACCTCCTTTCGATTTACAAGCACTCCTCGATACAGTAACATGAACCAGGCCCGCTTTCAACGTCATCACTTCATTCTCTCTCCTCTTGCATTGTTTAGGATATGTACTACTCATTAGCTTACATGGCGTTTGGATATTCAAATTGTATATTACACCAGTAACTCAGCATCACCATCACCCCAGTCTGTACGCTGCAGCGCTGGCAGCACCAGCTTCCAGTCAACGTTGGCAATGTATTGATTGTCTAGGTACAAAGCGTTCATTACGTCGCGACACGGGTATGAGTTACAAATTTGAAAAGCATGCAGGTACTAGGAAATCGATGGCTGTATACGACATGCACTGCGTAAACGAACTCAAGCACACCAGCGAACACCATCTGCGTGTTCGACCGCAGTAGCGTAGGCGGAGTAGTTGGCAATGGCAACCTCTGCCACCAGCACGCCAGTGCCAATTTCACGAAGATCCGCGGGAATCTGCAGATTTTCAGCAAGGGGCTGGTTATTAGACGAACACATTGCAAGCAACGCTTTGCCTGCCATCTCAACAAACTGTGGGAGATCATTAACGAGCCAATCAATGAACGAGTGCTTGCAGAACTGACCAATTCGCCCGCACGCAAGCGCGAGCAGAACCGCTCAAAGTGCTCTTTCTGCGCGTCACTTGCAGCTGGGTCTATTTCGAGCCTGGCAGAGAAGTCTGCAGCACGCAGAGCGTCTAACAGAGCAAGAGCGTGCTCGCTTTTGTAGAATTTGCCGGGTGCCATGGGCTTGCTGAACGAAGCGTCAGACTTCTCGGAGTGGATATCCTTGAGTAACAGTGGCACGGAAACGTCGGAGTCAAGATTGAGAAATAGCTCTGAGCGAGCCTCCTCCGCCCTGCCGGAAGCGTCAAATACTGGCGCCACAATGACTCAAAGTTAACGCACGAGTTGGCTTCCTCTCCACTCTGGGGAACAACAGGGCGTTCTCTTCCAAGGCCTCTACAAGCGGGGGAAAAGATAGCTCTTCAGCTTACGCGTGATTCACGCGTCCTTTAAGACACTCACAGTGGACCAAAAATGGTCATTTTCCATGCGGAGAAAAATGCACTCGAAACACCTTCAGTAGATTTTGCATTCGCTGACTTTGACTCCTCAGCTGCATCATTGCCCGCCACCTGTTCCTCGTCATCCACCTGCATTGCATCAGCCTCCGGCTCCTCCTGAACCGCAAGCGCGTCGTCCGTGAGCATGCGCTCTACAGCAGCGCCTTCCACCGCCGACTCTGGCTCCTTGCTGAGAGATTCAGTACCCATTGCAGCCGCTGCATCATGATGAAGTGCAATGTCCTCAACAACAACGTCAGCCTTTGCCACAGACGGTTCGACGATGGACATCGTATCATCCGCCAAGGGGTTGACTGATCTCGCGCTGCATTATCACTTAGGCTAGGCAGACCTACACTTAGAATTGTAAGACATACCTGGTAGACGGGACCCCGACCGACTGTGCGTCCGAATCGGGCTCGCCAATCGCATCTGCATCATCCTCAAAGTCCGGCAGAGCCGTCGCCTCCGCGTCCATCCCCGCCAATTCCAACAGTTCTGCGCCAGTCGGTACTATTGGCGACTCGTCCGCTCGGCCCGCCGTTTCAATATGTGCTGTCCTTTCCACGATCTGCAGAAAAGAGCCGTCACCGAGTGAGAGCTCTTCAGCTTCTTCATCAAGGTCAACAATTGTACGAGACGGCTTCGATTTGCCCTTGACAGTAGTAAGGGAGCCATTCTTGAACGTGAGGAGCGAGCTGCTGCCCGTGACGACGTGTCGCGAGGGACGCCCGGATTCAGTCTTGGATGCTCGAGAAGGAGAAGAGTGAGCACTATCAGATTGCCGTTGGGCCACTCGAGCCTCACGGGCCCTATTTCTCCGAGGGCTGCTGGAAGGGCCAGCGACCGGCTCGACGGTAATTCCGTTCGCTTCGCTGCGCCTCATGATTCTCGCCTTTACTTGACTTACACTCTCAGAAGTCTCGGCTACTCTCCTGAGTGGATCTTCGAACCGTTTCACTTTGGGGTTAGCTGCACGCGCACGCTGAGCAGGGATGCTCTCTTCAGCGGAAGGACAGTTCTCCTGCACGTTCAACAAAACCGGGTCGCCGAACATTGGCACGTCTTGATGGATAGTCTCATCGGACTTCTCTTCTCGCAAAGACGGTCCGGCCGGAAGAGAGCTGGGCGCGTCCGCCACAGCTTCCTCTCTAGCTATATTACCGGCTGTAGGTGAGGGGTCCCTGACCACCCCTGGCAGAGTGATATAAGGTCGGGCAGCTTCTCGCCAGGTATAGTTAGACTCACTCTGGGAAGGCTTTCGTCGTGTCCCGGGTTGACGACGGGGCTTTTCCGATGTCACTTCAGCCGAACTACATCCAGAGTCCGTTGAGTCGGCAATAGAACCAAAAGGCTGAGGCTCCAATTTTGAAAAGGCGGGGGCTCGACGCTTATGGCTGCCTTTGTGAGAGTTGGTTGACACAGTTTCATCGGGTGCGGCCTTCGACTCGTCACGTCGCTGACGCTTGGCACCACCTGGCCTTTCTCCGGCTGGTGCATCTGCTGCTCGACGCTTGCGCGCCTGGTTGCCTTCCTCGCTAACGAGCGATTTGACTTCCGTTTCTGAGTTTTTTGCAGAACGCTCAGAGCGGCGTGGAGCCTCCAAAATCAGAGGTTTCTGTTTGTTGGCCTTTCGTTTCCCTCCTAATGTAGACCATCGTTAGCGAGGAAGCATATGCGCGTTCACACAAAGCTTACGCGGGGGTCCCTGGGGAAAGAATTCCTCGCCCACTTTGAACTTGCCCAGATCTCTCCAATCCCTTCCGCCAGGGTCAACACGACCCCAAAAATGTTCGATGAAATGTTCTGATCCTCCAGCGAACGACTCTGGTGGCTCCCACCTAGAATCGGCTCGTCAGCGAGGTGCAGTGATGTCGTTAATGGCTGCCATGAGCCAACGACACGAGTAACAGAAGGAGACCTACGTGTTGTCCTTCAAGTCGTAGTTTTTCCACTGCGAGGCAATGTCACTTTCACCAACGCGTTCTCAGACCCATAACGTGGAGCAACCACTAACCTTGACGTCGTACAGCTGCGTAGAGACATCAGTGAGTGCTGTACATCTTGGGGTGAAGACTTACCCATGTTTTCCGTCGCCCATCCTTCTGTACTTTGGCACGATGAACACTTTCTGGAGGCCGCGTTAGAGACTACCGCGACATCGCGAACGTTGAGAGACTAACCAACTTCGTACTCGCTATCGACACTCATCTTGTCACGTCCTGCGTTCTCGCGATGTTCTGTTGAGTTCGTCTCTAGAGCTCTTGTTTGATGGCGGTTGGGAGTGTTCGTGCTCGCGCCACAAATAGGTCGCCGACGGAACTTCCCTTTTTGGAGGGTTTAGGCGCTCAGCTCTAGTCCTCTTGTTATTTGACGAGACATGTACAGCATAGCATTGAATAGCAGTAATACAATCAAAGAGAACTGGTACAAAACATCATGATATACAGAGCGTAAAACAAGATATAAATGTCTAACAAATCAAAAAGATCCGCAATATGCATGAGATGAGAAAGCGAGAGATCACAGCAATTCAAACAAGCCATGCATCGAGCTACTGGAACGAAATAAACGCGTGTCTTGTGCCATCCATTAGAATTTACCACCAGTCAATTTTCCTTCCAGTAATCCGGGTAAGGCAACAACCTTCCTGCGATCAGACAGTTCTTCATCCAACCCCAGTCGACGCATTTGATTTCTTTTGGAAGCCCCTGGACATCGCGATGATCGTTGACCACCACGTAATGGAACTCTGTCAAGCGTTGCGACGCGAACCCGACGTCGTGAACCGACTCTACTCGAGATGCGCCCATGGACAGGATGATGCGAGGGACCATTCTGTGGAATTCATTATCATCATTCTCCTTCTGTCACGACTGGTAAGCTCGTGTTCAAACAGAGTAAAGGACCGATGTCTTACCTCGACCGGCAGAGGAACGAAGTGGTCCCCAATGCACAGAACGGACTTGTCCTCAAGTAGCTTCGATGCCACAGGATTATACATGATATGCTCCATGTAATCCGGACTGTCTCCCCAACAAAGATCGACAGTCTGAGACACCAGCGCATGATACATTTTGCCCTCACCAGCCGGATAGCTGCAAATACCGGCCGGAAGAAGGAACCTTGACCATCCAAGGTCACCACCCTGAGCACATATTATCAGTATGGCAGGCACAACAAGGTAGAGTGTGCCTTACGTGAAGAGTGAACCTGTCTTTGACATGTTTTAACCAGTCAAAATGCAGGCAGGGGATACCAAGTGCAAGAGCGATCAAAAATTTTGGCGTGGCACTGGCATCATCCGAGAGGAGGAAGACATGGTCAAGCTGGTTATGCTGGAGGCAGCGAACGTCTGAACGCTTGATGACCCATCTTTTGTTATCCACATCATGTTCACCATTCATCGAGAAGAGATCCGGCCAATTTTCGATGACCGTGCCACCGAGATTCCGGATCGTCTTCACGACTTTCGCCTTGCTCCAAATCTCGTTCCCTTTCTGACCCGCAGTACCTCCACCAATCTTGCTCCCTTTGTTTCCAGGACTGGTGGTCATGACGAGTCCGATCTTTGCCAGCGGTTGACTCGGCTCCTCATACGACTCGCCACTGCCAGGCGGAGCGTTCTTCGGCGTCTTGGTCGATGGTCCGACTTTTACGTTGGAAGCAGTCAGGATACGTTCATTCCATGCTCTAAAAATTGTTCTGGACGCAATCCGTAGATTCTTGATATTAGTCTCGATTCTGCACGCGCCCGCGGCATCGCCTACGTCGACCGTAATCATACTCTCAGCCTCCGCACGCCTCACATCAACCACTGTTCCGTTGACGTTATATGGAGCTAGTAATACTTGATCCCCGACGCGAAGATCGCAGAGGCGCATGTGAGATATTTCCACTTGAGCCTGGTCCCCGTCATCGAAACGAACCACGTAACGAGCAGGTTTATCCTTGTCATGGCTGACGGCAGTACCAGGATAATAAAGCCCGTCGGCCTTCCAGAGTGCGAACAATCGTGTAGGTGTTTCATCCGTCTTTCTCCTGGTGGAAGGCATCGCCCGAATCTTCTTGCTTGCATGAAGTACAGGAGTTGTTGATGATCTTATCGCCTTGGTTAAACCCCTCGAAGACGATTTCCTAGTCGCCGTAGAGGCTGCGCGCTTTCGCTTGAGATTGCGAGTGACTGTGCCAACCATAGAACTGCCTGAGGCAACGTCCATACGATCATCGTCAGCGAGATCCGTGCGCGATTCTTGATCATCCATGATTGTGGTCGGCGGACCCTTGCTTGTCGTTGTCTCCGCCTCGGATGATTCATCCACGGCTGAGTCCGTCGTCTTCGCCGCGAAGGCTGGTAGATGGGTAAAGGAGACATCGGACTTCGCTTTGCGTTTGCCGACTGGAGTGCGATCGTTCATGACCCTCTCTTCGAAGATGGATTGTTGAGGCGTTCTGAGGACTGCATTGCCTCGCAGATTCCTGGAGGGTTTTACGGTCTTCGGCTCACGCGAACCATGACGCGAGAGTTCGTCGTCTCTAATCACCGGTATAGTTGCTTCGCGAACGACGGCCAGAGCTTCCCCAGGTGCAGGAGGCACAACCTGACGTCGCTTTGCCTTAGGAGTGTCGCTTGTGCTACGTGTCCTTGTGACTGTGCGGGATGTTCGCGATAGGGGTACACTATGGACTTCCCGATTCCGCATCACAACAGCCAGTGGCAATTCCTCTTCTTCGTCTGAATCACTTTGTTGGCACCTTCCGGTCTCGACTGAGGGCGGAACAGTCTCCCTGTCGGAACGCCCGTGCATCTTATCTAAAGTCCTCGTCACTTCGTCTGCATCTGTCGACTTCGCTGCGATCATAGCAGGGACAAGACCGGTGGTCGCAGAGGAAGATACATTCTGCTTCAATCTCGATGGCTCCGAATCAGGGACTGTATCGATTTCATCATTGACCTGTAGCCTGTTGACAGGAGTTGGCGAACGGAGAGCTGCAAGCCCAGCAGCAACTGTTGGCGCAGACCCGTTCACGGCGGTAGCGTTCGACAGCTGTGCCTGCTGCTGCTGTAGTTCAGCGGTATCTGCTGCTATCGTCCCCTGTACCATAGGCTGCACGGAAGGCGCAGCATGTGGACGGATTCCCTTGCTCAAGTACTCGTTCTTCTTCTTTTCTGATAGCATGTTCCACAACTTGCTGACCACTGTCCGCTCCGTTGTGGTACCTTCTGAGGGTACTGCGGCTGGAAACTGTTGCCCACCTGCGTTCGCTAGAACAGGCTGCACAACCGTTGGCGCCGCTTGTCCTACTATTTCCACCGGTTCGTCGAGCTGAGTAGGCTCTGGCTCATATGGTTGCGTGGGTTCCATGAACTCTGGGGACAGCTCGAAGAGGCCCATATCGACGATGGCCTTATGTGTTGGAGTCTCGTAAGAGGAGGTAAGTTCAGTAGATCCATCATCCGGAAAAGATGACGATGTCGCGGCTGGAACTGCATGAATCGAACCTAACGGTCTTCCATCGTCATGATGGCCATACGACCCGCCAATTTCTTGGCCTTGGCCTGCAGTGAATTCATCGGACGATTGAGACCCATCACCTCGACGGTACGAGTTGACAGCCTGAGAATGTGAGGGAAATGACCGGCCACTTTGCACATAGATTTCCTGTGAGTCATCGGACGAATTTTCGGGCGTCGCGGCTACAAGAATGCGGGCGACATGTGATGGAGAACTAGGAGGACTTGAGAGCGTGACTCGTTGCTTCGTTGCGGCATTCACCTCCTGAGTACGGGTTGTCGCCGACTGTTCGGCCACGGATCTACTATGCGTGCTGTGGCTCAACTGCCCCAGCTCCGACAGAGGTACATTGAAGGCCTTCGTATGCTGTAGATATAATTTCTCTTGGTCCTCGGCAGGAAGCGGGCCTGCGAAAGAATCTTGCGATGCAGGGGACGGCGATCGTTTCCTCGGTGCACGAGCCGTGCTTCTCGCAGGGACGATCGCTGGGCGCGAGACACTGCCACCATAGTATGGTATCATCTTAGATGATGGCACAGGAGGGTCACAGGGATTCATTTCCTTTGTTCTGACGATTGCAGCAATAGGTGGGTTCATGGAAGCCCATGGCACGACGGCTTTCGTTGACATGTGCTGGAAGCCTGCATTTAGCCTTCTCAAACATTGAGTAGGATGACACAGTCTCACATCAGCAGGACTCTGATCTGCCACCTTCGCTTTTGAAGTATTCTTCGTGCGTTTCGGAGGCGCCGCATTTGAAGGCGGGCCGGATTTGTCACTGTCCATCGATCCTGGACTGTTCTCCTTCTGTGAACCTGTGGAATCCAACTGCTCATTTCCTTGAGACTCTGACTCTGGCTGTGTCCCAGCGTGCCCAAGCACTTGTTGTTGCGAAGGGGTAGATTTCCTCGTCGGACTTGTCAAGGCTTGTGGCGCTGGCATACCGTTGTTGATCACAGCGGTAACGAGATCCGTTCGACGCGATCTCTTCGAGCTTGAAGTTCGCTGTGGCAATATTGCTTTCATTAGTTGGCTAGCTTGAGATTCGTCACTCCTTCGGATGATTATCAGCAATGTTACCAAACTGAGATGTCATGAGCCATCCAGTCACCTGGATTCATCTGCTGGTCGCATTCTGGAGTATTTTGGTTATCCAAGGAAAAATAAATGATGCAGTCAAGAGCACAATCCGACACTCCTTCCGAGAGTAGGCTGGCTATTCGGTCAAGGTTAGTGTGATTGCAGAACGAGCGGGCGATCCGTTCGATGCTACACACTCACAAGTATAAGCAAGAAACGTAGATTCGGTTGTTGAAGAGGAAAAGCAACGGGAGCTCGGGAAATGGTCGCCCAAGGTCGCAACGAGTGACTGCAACGCGTTGGTCTGCGTCGAACCTGTCAAGGCCACTCTCGCGTGTACAGTCACCTGACCGGTTTGTACTTGCGAGGTTGAATTCTTGTCGATCGTGCAATCTTCATCTATAACTTCAGCACGCCTCTCCAGCACTGCTGGTACGGTGCTGGCCAAACATTTCCGTCTACAGGCTGTCGTCTCTCTTCATTCGCTCGTTCCATTGACGCTCATTTCCGCCATGTCGCACAAGGTCTCGCGTCGCGAATCGAACACGCCGAAGGAGAAACCGACGAACGAGTCTCTTTCTTATAATTTAGAGGAACAGCTGGATACGGATGAGCGTCCCAGCAGCACAAAACACGTTAAAAGCGCCACATCAAAGGCTAAGGATGCAGAAACGACTCACGCGTCTTTGACTAAGATCAACACCGACGTGGATGTGAACGCGGTACCTGATCCTATACCTGACACTGGACTGTCTCTCACGACTTCTCTGCCTGGCACACTCACCGTGTACACTGGTGTTCCTCCTGCGATTGCTTCAGCAACTCATACGCCTGGCTTCTCTCCCCTCCCATCGCTCACTCCCCCGCCCGCGCTCATTACCTCAGTGGCATCAACGCCGTACTCGCTAGCACCATCTCACAACGATAACGCAGCTTCGGCTGCGTTAGACTCTCAGGGGCCGCAGACGCAGACGCACCCTGCCCGACAACTTTCGGCGGTAATCATTGTGCTCATTGGCATTGGCTCGGCTTTCTTGCTTCTTCTTGTCTTCGTTCTCTGTAGGATGTTCAGGAAACGTCGGAGATGGAGTTATCCCACGCCATCTCGCCCAATCCTGCAAGACCCGTTCGCCGATCGAGCCACAGATGGCGATGAAGAGTCGCTTTTCGGAGGCAAAGAGAGGATCTCCGGGAGGCCAGGTAGCAATGGCTTGTGGACTTGGACGCAATATCCACATCCGTCTCTGGAGAAATCTCAGGTGATTCATGCTATCAATGAACATGCAAGCAATGGTAGCACTCGCAGGCTTGTTGAAGAGGCTCAGCAACTTTCATCCTGTTACGAGGAAAAACATTCGACTACTGCTGTTAGTCACCGACTCTCCCGTGCTGACACCACACTCCCTCCGCCTGTACAGCAAACCTTGGGTCGGGCCGCGAAGCGGGTTTCCGCCGTTTCCGCGTCTATCTATCCTGGGTCACCTCAGTCTACTCTCGACACATCTGCAATCGGCCTGGCTATTGGAAGCGCGTCACCGTTCACAGCAGACGGTACTCCTCTTCTGCAACGCAATGCATCGAAAGCTTCGAACCGGCGTATGTCCAGGAGTAGGCGAAGTGTGCGTTATAGTCTTCACGAGAATGTCAATGCAAGCGTCCCGGCGGATGCCTACGATGGTGTTCAAGCATCATCTCGGAACCCGTCGCCGGGCGTGGTCCACAGGAAGTCAAGTTCTCTCCAGGGTCGCGCACGGGTGAAAGCTCCTTATGCTCCTGGTTCAGTCTTGCGTGCATCTTCCACAGTCGCGGCCTTTGCTGCCGCTCAGTCGAATCCTTTCGATGACTCGCAATATGTCTTGCCGCCCTTGTCTCCTGCGTTGAAGACGGAAGCCACCAGAGAGCGGGACACTAAGGCTTTGACGTCTGCCCTCGGCTTAGCAAGTCCACCTCCTCTATCACCCCAGCCTACCCTATACCCTGACGACTCTATCACGCTGGCTGGAGACCGCCGTAACAAACGTAACACGCGTCCGCAAAGTCAGCTACTCAGCCCGAGCACAGAAGCAAGTGCGCGACTTGGAAACTTGATGTTGGCCGAGTTCTCCAGCATGGCATCGTTGCCTTCAACGCGTACCATCGCAGGCACTGGTGAATCTACCCTAACGCGGAACAGGAGCAGGAAGAGGACCGATGATAAGCCTCCGCGCGTACCGTCCCCTCCACCGATGCCTTCCTTGGCACAAATGGCCCTGGCGCACACGAATCCGGATGACTTTGCCGATTATAGAAGTCCGACCTACAGTATCTATGGACTGTATGAAACTGATAGAAAGAGTCGCGCTCCCGGTGAAGGCGGCTATTGAAATTTGCATAGAATATCTCGTTTGTCTTCACGATTGGATTTGTATTACTGCCCGAACTCATGTTGTACCCCTAGTCATCTGCATCTGTATCGTACGCACTGGAATAGATGTGATCAGGAGTGGATAAAGTGTTCGTATGCATTGTTCACTTTTACATCCGATGCACACGACAGGCTTGGCAGGACATCGAGCTAACCATCCATCAAGTCCACCTTCACGCCCACCTTCACGCCAGCTTCCAGCAGAATGAGAATCAGTAATCCGGGTATCTTCTACTGCACATTCATAGCAAATAAAACGCGGAGCGCTCACAAATGAGGCAAGTAAAAGCATAGAACACAGCGAGATCACCTCACGATAGCATCAGCATCAATGAGCGGTCTGCATCTCCGCTTGTATGGAATCGGCCTTGTCCTCGCGATCTACAGCATGACCTTCATATATGCTCGATGGCACGCGTAGCCCATCGGCAGTGAGCTTTTCTCGCTCGAGTTGGACCTTCGCGCCCTCCCTCTGCGCCTGTTCTTCCTGCACTCGTTCCCTGGTCTCTTTCTCCTCTTCCTGGATGAGAGCCTTTAGCTCGTCTTCCAATTCAGCATCGTCGATGCCAGCTTCCGATACCGCAACCTCGGTACCCACGCGAATGGCATCGTCGATCTCCCTAGCGTCAGCATTCGCTGAAGCCATAGCATCCATTGTCTCGTCGATTTTATCTCGCTGCAATGACGGATGTGCCAATATGGCACGCAGGGTGACGGTAGAACTTTCGTAGGACTTCATGATCTACATTAAAAGGTGGTACTGAGTCAAACAGTTTTCCCCCCCATCAACGACAGTCAATATCATACCTCGACATCACCCGCAGACGCTTCAACGCGTAGGAGCGTGGATTGCAGAGCGTCTAGGGAGTTGAGGCGTTTGCCGAGCAAATCTTCAAGTTGCTTCTTCGCACGCAGATGGCTCAAAGCGATTTCCTTCCGTTTGATTCGTAAAGACGTTGAAATTTGTTCAGTGCGTCTGGCCGTTGAATGTCAATTTCAGCGATTCACGAAAGTCCTTGTGAAATGAGGCTCAACTCGTTGATCTTGACGTGAATACTGTCGATTTGCAGTTGCAATCGTTCAATAGCCGTCTTCAACTCTAAAACACCCTCGTCAACAGATGTTATCCCTTGAAACTGTGTTGCATCGCCCTCGACAAATTTAATGACCTATAATTGTATGTATTAGAATCGCAATGCGTATTTCTGGAAGAATGCACCTCTTTCTGGACGAGAATAATGCTTCTATCCCGCTCGAGGTATCTGACCAACACCTTCAAATCCAAGTCTGATAGCACCACGCCCTCCAATGCATGACCTGCGAATTCCCTCCGAAAGCTGTCCATATTATACAACGAGCTGACGAGAGAGACGTCGGATTTCCTTCGCTGCCTCTGGATCACGTTGTCCGCTGCTCTCTCCAGGAGGCTCAGAACGACATAATCGCCTCTGACCTTCTTCCATCGCTCGTTGTAGCTTGTATGCCCAAGTGTGTTATCTTCCGCATTCATAATGTTGAGTTGCTGCAATGACCACCACAGCGGCTTGCCGATAACGTAGGATGCTATTCGATATGGCAGCCAACCCGGGTTGTATATAGACTGTGGAGCACTCAGAAACTCTGGAAGTGAAAAGTATGCTTTCATTGCACAAAGCTCGGACTGCACTAGCAAGATGAGCATTCAGAAGCTCCGTTGACTGGAACCTAATCCCACCACTCACTATCACTGTAGGCAGGCTCAGCGGCTTGCCGACTCCCTCGAACCTGAAATCTTCCGACAACGCTGCTCCTTCCGCATGCAGAACTAGTCTATCTGGTATGGCAGACTGTGTTTGATTTATGTAAGGCCATCCTCTCAGGACAACAGCCTCTAAGGTCCGACGCCACCACTCGACATTGGAAGAATATGATGTGGGATTTGAGTGCTTCTGCAACGAAAAGTCGGAATATAACGCCTTAAGTCGCGAAGTCGACAGGGAATTATACGTTGGCAGGCTGGTCAACTGACTATTCGATAGCGGAGACATGACTGCACCATGAAAACAGGGTGACAGCGACCCTTGCTCACCCCCACTCCACATTTCCACTTATGGTAATACCAGTTATTTTTGCACGATAATGTACAGATTTGAAATGATAAGAGGCAAAAAGGTGAAATAGCCATTGCAAACAACCCGGCACATGACAAGTTTAGGGCAGACAAATGTGAACTTCCACGATCGTCCGGCGAAAAGAAAGTGAAAAGTAGCTGAAACTGAGCGGGTTCGAACTTGCGACATACAAAATGAAATCGCGGTGGTAGCCACTAAGCTAAGTGACCACGATGATTGTGTTTCTAGTAATGTATATCATAAATCATTTCAACCAATAATGTCCGTTATGAATATCATCAGTGAGTATCAACACACCCACTCCCCTCATGACAGAAGGTAAATATGGATGTGCTTATGCATTGGACTCATCAATGTTATCTGGAAATAACAGTAGAGGCAGTGTAAGGTGGCTTGAGGTGCATGGATGGACCGAACACATTTTGATTGAATTTACACAGAACATATCATTTCCTTTTATGGGAATGTGGAGTGGGGGTGAGCTGGGTCCGCTCAGGGTGACGATGTCAACAATCGCGAGCAACGCGGCGCGCGAGGGCGCGCGTCGTGTACTTACTACTTTACTGAGCAACGTGTTCGCTCACTTCACGTGGCATCCTGCCCATGTCATCGTAGGCGAAGGACTGACACCGGGTTTACATGACTCTAGTATCACTAATTGTACATTTATAAACGTACTACAGACAGCTCTGCCAAAGCAAACATGTCCTGCAAATTTAACTAGGAGAACAGTTACAGGTCACATAGCAGAGCAAACGATAACAGTGACATCCCTTTCAAGATGATAGCAAGTTCAGATAGCATTCCGACTCTTCAAGTTCTGATTTTTCGCGCGTTAGATCCGGACTTTCTTTGAGCATTAATAACGCGTTCTGTCTCATCTTCCACCGGAAGCGAACTCCAGCTTGAGTTGAGAGAACGCGAAAGTTGCTCCCGCAGTTGTTCATCGTGTAGAATTGTACGGCTGACGCGGAACATGCCCGTTCCAGGTTGCGCTACTTGCCATGGGCGTACTCCATGAGAGATCGCCTATTGAAAACTGCAGATAAGCATCAGGTCCTGAGCCAGAAGAAGAAAGATTGCACTGACTGGAGGTGCTACGCGAGGAAATTGATTGTTGGTCTGAGTACCGGGGGTTTGGAAGCTACTTCCATTGCGAAATGCCTGGTCTACATGTTGTTTCACATCGGAATCTTGTTGGAGGTAATTTGGCGCAGAATGGTAGCTGTACCCAGTACCCTGCTGGGAATATGCCACTTCCGCGTACGGAGGGGCGAGCTCGATCGGAGACCCATGTGGATGAAGCTGAAAGCCTGAGCTCGAGAATGGTGACTGAGGATTAGAAACGGGCGTCACGGGGAGAGAGATCGTAGTTGACGCAGGAGTAGGCGGCTGTGAGAATAGTGTGAAGGACGGAGATGTACTCTTGTAAACGGGATCGCTCTTGCTCATGATGTGCTGGTTTATTAGGAATTCTGTTTGACGCATTCATCGGTTAGATCTACGATGTTGCATCCAATCCGAGCACTACTTACGACGCGATCTGTACCGAAACACGAAGGCAACATGAGTGCTCGGTCCCGACTTATCATAGGGCTCGAAAGACCAAGTGTCCGGCGTTTGCATATATGTCTTACATTCTTCCGCAAAACTGTGAAGGTCTGTATCTCAATCCTCTCTGGCGACGATAGCATCAGCATCGCACCTGATACACGTTTCGTCCGGTTGACGTGTGCCCCTGGCCGGAGGTGGGATTGTCTGAGGTGCATTAGGCTGACGTCTGCCGTTCCGAAGCACCAGCTTGATCTTGACCGCGATCGTGCCAACCTCGGGATTATTCCTATAGCCTGCTTGAGCAGACGATGTGACTATCCGAGTTGGGATCAGCTTCTGTAATTGACAAACTAAACTCAGCATGATAGACTGAAGATGTACCTTCATCAACTCGGGAGAACTGAAATGGTCTCTCCGAGTCGTCACCAACCCTCACCCCGGAACGTTGAGCCTGACCCTTGCCGAATAGAAAACGCCCTGGCACAGTGAACCCATCCAGCTTGATGTAGGTTGCGCTATCAACGTTCGTTCCCTGGTCAGCCCAGTGCACGCTGAATGTCTGTCACTGTATCAGGAGCGCATCTAATGCAGCCGGGACGAACGGGCGAAACTCACCTTTCCCGCTTCGCTCGGAATCCAACATATCACCCTCTTACCTGTACTATCCAGTGTGCTCTCGTACTCTATAATCTCCTTCCCTTCGCACGTAATCCAAGCGCAGAAGCCGGAACGTGATAACATCGTTTGGCGGAGGTGGAACGGTGACTGTAAAGCAAATCCGGCACGCTTGATATCTGTGACGCTTAAAATGTTGCCAGATTACTGTTGTGTGGCGCACCCTCAGGATTGACCGCAAATAGATAACTCAGAGTACGAGGTGGCGTATGGAAGGTTTCAGTCGTTTACAACCAACAAATGGATGGTCATGGATGAGAGATATTCCTGGTAAGAGAGCGCTCTGCGAAGCGGATCAAGCCCACGTGGTCGTGATTTGTGGGCGCGCGCGGCGACGCGATTGACACGTGATGCACGTGATGGCGCACGAACGGCGGTACTAGAGGAGAACATAGAGGAGAAAGCTGGAGAAAGACTGCTCAGAATAGACTAACTGACTAAGGAGGTCGATAAATCAGTCTTGAACTTGCTTGCCAGTAACAACAACCATCAGCTACTGCTGCAGGGGGATGGATGATCTTCACAGATAGATTCCCAACACTATCTAGCACATTTGAGAACTAATTCTATAAAGCTACACCGGGCAGAGGTTTGTCGGAGACACCAGGTGACCATCCGATCTACAGAATCTTCACAGAATGGATGGCCAAAGAAGTGGACCTTTGCTCTGAGGCACCGGAAGATGAAGGACCATCGAAAACAAGACGGCCCAGCATGTGGTAATCCAGCGCCTGTGTAGTTGTTAAAAGATGAGGTTCGCAGCCGCCCTGCATGGCTATATAGCATTGGGCGTTCATTAGGGCAGGCCGCGATGGACTTCATCGCAGCAGCTCGTCTTCCGAGCCTCAACGCGGTCCTCCGAGTTTCAACCGTCGCCACATGCCGTCGTTATCGCGACACCGTCGGAAGCACACAGACGACAATAATATAACATCTGCCTGTTCTAATGGCCTGACGCAGCGCTATGGGTGGGAGTCCTTAGTAAGTGGTCGTCATATTCGATCAAGCCAGTGTCAGCATACGCCATCTTGCTAGTCTCTCGACGCCGCGACGCAACGGACAGCGAGCCAAGGAAGCAATCGCCGATAAAAGCACGTCATGCTATCCTGGAGAGCCTATATAGCGGGCATCGCCTTTACCATGACCGTCCTATCTCTTCTTCGAAGCTACTCGACATCGACCGTATCAAACTCGCGTTCCATCATGTCCGCCCTCACCATCACGCTGAACGACGGCAACAAGATCCCTTGGCTGGCATTCGGCACTGGTACAGCCTTGTACGGAAAGGACGTGGAGAACGCGGTCAGCGTCGCGATTAAGAACGGTATCGTCCATCTTGACGGCGCCCAGTCCTACGGGAATGAGGACTCGCTCGGAGCTGCCATCGCTGCCTCGGACAAGCCGCGCTCATCGCTGTTTGTCACAACTAAGCTGGGCAAGATTCTGCCAGGGCAGACTGTCCGCGATACTGTGTTGACGTCCCTGAAGAAACTCCGCCTCGACTACGTCGACCTTTTCCTTATACACTCACCCAAGAACCACGAGGGAGAGCTGAGCTCTGTCTGGAAGCAGGTCGAGCAGGTCCAGAAGGAAGGGTTAGCGAAGAGCATCGGAGTTTCCAACTTTCGCGTCCAGGACTTCGAGGAGATTCTGGGTGATGCAAGCGTGGTCCCTGCTGTGAACCAGGTGCGTATAGTCTCCGAGAAGTGTGCTATTTCCGAAGCTCATGAGTTGAAAAGATTGAATATCATCCATACGTCTTCAAGGCGGATGAGCCTGTAATCAAGTATATGAAGGAGAAGAACATCCTGCCGACGTCTTTCGGTGGCTTAACGCCGATTGTGCGCTTCAAAGGCGGCCCCGTTGATTCTGTCCTGACCTCTATCGCTGCACGAGTTGGAAAGACAGCGGGCACGACGGTGACAGAAGGACAGGTTCTGCAGTTGTGGTTGAGGGCCAAGGGGATCCCTGCTATTACGTATGTACTTAATAACAAGTTTCATATAGCTGATCTAATGATGCGATATATTGGCAGGACAACGTCCAAGGAGGAGCGGGTAAAGGAGTATCTTGCGACGGAGACGTTGCCCGGCCTCTCCGCGGAAGAGGTTGCAGCGATTGACGAGGCTGGTTCGAAGACGCACCACCGAGTCTTCGTGAGTCGTTCATCCAATCCTGGTCCATGATCAGCGAGTGCTTTGAACTGACTGTTCGTCAGTCCAAATGGTGGGACGACTGAAATCAAGCAGCTGTGCATGCAATAGGAGACGTAGTGTATGCGAGAGCGGATGTTGTAGACTTTATAAACCAGAATTACACTCCTTGATGTTGTCTCAGCACTGGCCTTGGAGCCCAATAGTCCTCAAGAGTGAGGTGACTGAGCTTAAGCATTGACCATCTGAGTTGCTGCAGTGATCGGGACTCCCTAGGTGACATCGAACAGGCTGGTCCCATCAAATGAACAGATAACTCTAAATCCTCGTTCCCCGCATGGCCACAGGATCATTCTTTCCGCGAATCGAGTCCGTATTCTACGCCGTCTTCGACGTCCGACAAGGTCCAAAAATTGTATATCAAGTCCCAGAGGGTCTCATAGGAACCAGCGCATCTGCCAGTTCGGCTAGCAGCACCAGCAGTAGTGTCTCACCGTTTCTGACTTCATCTTCGTCGCCCTCGCCGGTCACACCAGACAGTCCAGCCCTTCCTCGTCTTGACTCGCGCACTCTGCTCAGCCCGCGAAAACGCCCAGCTTCGGCCGCGGAAGTCCTCTTCAATTTCGATGACATCTCTAAATATGTCATACCGCAGAGCGCGCTGTGCGGGAGGTTGGTTATCTGTGCTACTGGGAAACACCGAATAATAGGCTTTCCTGTCGAGTTGCGAGGAAGCTATGAGCGCAACTACTTCCGATATAACTTGTGCTTTGTGTTTGAACGTACCGCCGATCTGAGTTGTTACGAGCCTATTATCCGCAAAGTCAGCCGGGTCCTGACAAATTGTGAGGTTCGTCGACAATGCTCTTCGTATGCGTTTCACTAAAGGATGTGACTGTTCCAGGAGGAGTCTGGCTTTCTTTCGTCGCCGCAAAGTTCGCCTGCCATTCACGCTATTCTCGAGCAACTATATGAAGATCTTACCTCGTACTCTGAGACGTCTATACCCGTCGATAGGTTCAATTCCATAGACTTAAAAGTATTTCCCTTCTATCCCAATCCACCGCCAGTGAAAGACTGGATGGTGCCCCTTGCTCTAATAGGCCTGACCAAAAGGATTGAGCCTAACTGGGATTTGACGATGGTCAGGGTACGCCCATCTGTACAGATCGCTACTTCCTCACTGTTTATTTTCGTTGTCGCAGATTTGTCAACACATAGATGGTACGAACCATGTCAGTCGCATTGCGCGGCTTGCGGATTGTGACATTGACCTGGCCCGTCAGGCTATTGCACACCTGCTGTGAGTTTGAGCCAAGCTACCAAGCATGTATGCTGAACCAGCTGGTCCTGCCAGGTATTACCAAGTGATCATGATGATTGATATATTCCAATACTCGAACATGTATACCCTTCGCACCAGCATACAATGGCTGGCGGACGAGTCCAACGTTAGAGATGAGTGCGGTCCATACGCCACGCGGCCAGGTACAGTGGTGTATGTTAATTCATAACGACGCAGTCTCATCTGCCGTTGGATATAGGGGAGCCAATAGCCGACTGGCCGAAGCTGCTGCACCTGTATTCTCGTCTCAAGCCTGGGAAGACGGTACGAGAATGGATGGAGGAGTATGATGTACAATCGTACGGGATTGACGTCCGTCGGTTTACCAGCTTCGGTGTGATCAAAGTATGTCGTAACCGTATCAGGTCTAACACAGTCGTTCACATATCTACGAAGGGCTTCCTGCGGCGCGTACATCGCTGGCCCATTCTCCTTCGCGAATCGCAGACACAATCCCCCGAACGTCTTTCCCTCGGCCGGAGGCGCGGGCAGAGCTTTGCCGCCATGGCAAGTAACCAGCTGCCTGCTGCGCGTCCCGGCGCAGATCCCACTCGCTCGCGTGGTCGTCCTCAAGATCCCGTACCGACCATCTCCTCCACTGGCGCCGAGATTGCGACTACGAAAGTGTCTATTTCCAATGCACCTCTCCAGCCTACTCGACGTGCAAGTGTCGCCGAGAGCTCTCTCGAGCGACTGCGCGCTCGGGACACGCGCAAGGCCGCGCATCAAATCTTCACCAGTCCTTCGCGCGCCGGGCCGCCGGGCTCACCGACTCCTGCAACTGCTGGCCCTCGTGCGTTGCGAGATATCTTCGACGTCTCAACTGTGGACCCCGTTGGGGCTCAACGCTTGGGATTGGGAGCCGGTACGACGTCTTCCACCTTAAGCTACCTCCGCCCGCGGCCGTCGCGTTCTCCCTCTGCACCTGCGGTATCGCATGTACATGCGCAGGTCCCAATGGGCCCGTCATTCCCGCAAGAGCTACTTCCGTTGCTGGACGGAGAGCATCATACGGACGAGCTCTGCACGCGGTTCGAGGTGGGCTGGCCAGTGATGAAGGCGTGGTTGATGCTTGCTGGTGGAGGGATGGGAGACGAGGATTACGGACAGGTTTCAATCATCTATCGATGACATAGCACTGCCCAATCCAGTATAAATAGCTCTACTACACGCAATGCATATCTGCCTACTGTGCGGCATATAGCCCTATCAACATCATGGGTCGAAGTGCCTGCGTACCTATGATCATCGTTCAGACCACACTATCGCGATCAGCTCGAACAGTGAGGCACAAACTGCATCGCTCTAGTCAGATGCAGCATCGCAGCGATGCTCTGACCCTCCACTATTACAAATACAACAACTCTCACTCGAACGCCCAAACGGAGTCTCGGGAAATGTCGTGCATTCTGTAGAATGAATGCTAGAGAATCCGCAAGTGTTCGGTTATGAGAGCGTCCTGTTTGCATTCATATATCCTGTGCCATAGCATGAGAACATGTAATCTGAGCACTCCGGGTCCGCAGGATCTGCCGGGATGATTTTGAAGGTCGTGCCGAAACATGTCTTCACGTCGCGTAAGAATTGGATGCTGCATCCGGTCAACGTCAAAGTTAGGTGCCATACACGGAATGAGGAGGATCGTGGATACCCACGTTCTCTCAGTCGGTTCGCCCATCCTACACCGCCCGACATCTTCGCTACCGAGCACCATCATGAGCAGGACGAGCACTTGATGATTGCTGTCCACACACCCCCCTCTGTGAACTTCGGACAGGAGGGCACGCGACGCAAGCAACGCAATGTCTTCTGGGGCGACGCCTGGCTTGGACATGGCCTCCGCACAGTGTATTGCGCCCGTGGTGGTTTCTGAGAGGAGTGAAAGACCGTATCCTGGAGACCTGGTCAAGGGTACGAGTTGATTTTCAGGATGATGCGATTCTATACGAAGGTTCGACCTACTTTCCACTGTCCTCTCCCTTGTAAACATCAGAATAAATATAGATGTCGGGAATGTAGCGGTTCAGCACGGATCGCGCGGCTTCGATCATACGATTCGAAAACTGTGGATTGACGCGTACAGCATGTCTGTCACAGAGCATATAAAGATCCTTTGAACACCAAGACACGCAGCAGATAACTCACGAGATACCTCGGATCCGCTTGATCTTGCCCCGTTCGACAAAGTTCAAAGTCTTCACCTGCTTCACTAACGGGCACAGGAACTGCACTTCACCACCGCCTAATGGTGGACTGCCGCGTTTTTTAATCTGTCAGCATGCTTCAATATCTGACTTGTAAGAAAGGGGAAGACCGCTTACCCTGAGTTCCAAGCCGTCAGAAATGCCGAACAATTGTAAGTACGGGAGTGTCACAGTGCGGATGAGGTCGACCTAGAGCGGGTAATGATATGAGCAAGAGACCTTACAACAAAGTCCGATACTCACAGAAAGATCCATATCATCAGACGTGATCCCCCGCAGTGTTACTTGGAAGGGCTTCTTCGAGAAGGGCGCGAGCATGATGATCGGTTCGAGGAAGTATCCCACTGAGCGTGAGAGTGGACAGTCATGCGTGACAGGACCTCCTTCAATGATTCCTGGTTTCACGAGAATAGCAGTACCTGCGAGCAGACATGAGCTTGAGCCTGCTCGTGAAGACAGCGGATTGCGTACCCGTGACGGATATCTCTATGACAGTGCCATTCGTTACTCTTTCCAAGAGCCGCAAGAGGCTAACCTCATAATCTGAGAAATGCGCTTAGCGGAGTTCCACAGACATTGAGAGCAAGTTTCGCACCTCTGAGGCCTGGGTTTTTGTCCTCTGGTCGGATTTTGTCAACTTTGACAGGCTTTCCACTGAGTATCGAGAGAACGAGACGATGTCTCAGATGCTGGTGTCCGCTGAAGTTCAGCACTGAGGTGGTCTGTGCGATGGCCTCCGCAACCATGGTGGCTGAAAGACAGGCGACTGGGTGAAACAGAGCTGCAAAGTTGATGAAGCGCTCGTTCGTTGATCGAGATTTTATCGGGCGGGCGCCAACGCGTCGCGCCATAGACGCGTGCCGCAGTGCCGCGCTGAGCTGAGCCTTTGTGGCTACACTCACCTCGTCTCTTCATCGTACGCCGAAGCAAACTTTTGCTCAATGGCTACCGCTGCTGTAATGACAAACGGTTATGCAACATCTGGCGATTGGCAGGAACGCTACTATCATGTAGATCAGATCCTCGACAGACCAGGTCCCCGCACAGATCCCTCCTTCGCCGCTGGTGACGAGGTCAGTCTCCGATTTCAGTACCATGGTGTCCATGCTCATAGGTTTTTAGGTCAAGGACTTTTTGAGGAATAAATGCAAGATTCTTGTCATCGGTGCGGGTGGCTTGGGCTGCGAGATTCTCGCGAACCTCGCCTTGTCTGGTTTCAAGGACATCCATGTCATTGACATGGATACCATTGACATCAGTAATCTCAATCGACAGTTCCTCTTCAGGTATGCGATGCGTTAATTGTGCTTGATTACTCCCTGATGTGCTATCAAGGCCGAAAGACGTCGGCAAGCCGAAGGCGATTGTCGCTGCTGAATTTATAATGAACCGTGTGCCAGGCGTCAAAGTCACTCCGTAAGTTGCCATCCCGGTCAGAGGAGATATCCTGACGATCTTATCAGATATTATGGCAAGATCCAGGACAAAGATGATGATTATTACCTGCAGTTCAACCTCGTCATTTGTGGTCTGGATTCGGTAGAAGCTCGGCGATGGATCAACGCCACTCTCGTCAACCTAGTGGATCCTGAGAACCCAGAGAGTCTGAAGCCTCTGATTGATGGTGGCACAGAAGGTGTGTAGCCCAGCTCCGCTGACCTGCACCGTTTCTGAAGACAAAGCCAGGGTTCAAGGGCCAGGCTCGAGTAATTCTCCCAACCATTTCCTCATGCTATGAATGCTCCCTGGACATGCTTAATAAACCTACCGCCTTCCCGATCTGCACAATCGCCAACACGCCACGTCTGCCCGAACACTGCATAGAGTGGGCATCGGTACTACAGTGGCCGCGTGTCTTCGGAGGTACGCCTCTTGCCTGCTCTATAAATGTAACACCGACGCATCGTTCCAGTAGATAAAAAGCTGGACACGGATGATCCGGAGCATATCGGCTGGCTGTACAAAATGGCTCTGGCACGAGCGCAGGAATTCAAGATAGAAGGAGTGACATGGTCCTTGACGCAAGGTGTCGTCAAGAACATCATTCCTGCGATCGCTTCCACGAATGCCATCATCGCAGGTATATTTTGATGTCCTTCGTTCATAGCACTATATAGCTAAGCAGCCCGTAATAGCTTCGTGCTGTAACGAGGCATTCAAGATCGCCACGAGCTCTGCGGCGTACCTGAACAACTATTTCATGCTGATCGGCACTGATGGCGTCTACTCCTACACCTTCGAGCACGAGAGGCGGAAGGATTGTCCTGTGTGCGGTGGAGATGCACTCGACATTTCCGTCAGCAAGGAGTGGACCGTCGACCGACTAATTGAAATGCTGGTTGAGAGGCAGGACGTGTACGTTCTCGAGCTCTTCTTGACCATATCGCTGCATGCATGCTGACAGTTCCCACAGTCAAGTGAAGAAGCCCTCTCTCTCCACCGCGACCAAGCAAATTTACTTCCAAGCACCCCCGCAGCTCGAGGAACTCACGCGCCCCAACCTGGAGAAGAAGGTATCCGAGCTAGTGGAGGATGGCGACTTTATCACGGTGACGGCATCAAGCCTGCCGTTCAACTTGACTTTGCGAGTGAAATACATCTAGAACGCTGCTGTAGAGTTGTTGTGCATATCCTGTAGCATCCATTTGCGCATACCCTGCAAAGGCTCCGCGTCTGTGCTGAACGCATCTCATACTGACGGGCGTATCTTGGGGGTTCGATTCCCGTCACGGACTAGCTGCGGCTGCGGTTTCTGGAGTGGGTCGTGCATATGCATGTGTGCCAGTTTGTCGACAGCTTGCGAGCACCATGACACAGCTTACCAGGAGCTATCTCCGTTCTACTATACGTCTGCTATGCTATGTCCGTGGGGACCTAGATACAGCACGCTAAACTTACTTCGCCTCTTACTTCGGTAGTCCTGCGCCAAATCTGTTATCTCACACATCTTCGACACGGCCTTCGGCCGTGTATAAATAATGTATTTAAAAAAAAACTGACGGGCGCCTATCCTCTGATGGCAAGCTGCTGATTAAGACGAACAGCTGGCGCCACAGGCGCGCTCATCCTTTAGTCGTTCTTCCAGTACTGTTTCCTCGCCTTTGCGCCCGACTCGCCGTTCTTCGCTCAGACTGGCAGTCTGACCTCCCTCTGCACACTCTATCATCATGCCAAAGTTGGACATAAACAAGGCAGGCTGGGAACAGAGCGAGTTCCCAATCTTGTGTGAAACATGTCCGTTGTTGCATGCTTTCTTCTCTAAATGACATGTTGACATTGTGAGGGCACAGGTCTCGGCGACAATGCATTCGTTCGAATGGTATGTTCAATTGCCAGTATCGTCTATGCAGCTGTAAGCTCATGACTGTCACAGTCCAAGCAAGAATATGGTCGATCTTGTGGAACTTGTGCTCGACCCTTCACTGTCTTCCGCTGGAACCCAGGCACCGGTATGCGCTTCAAGACGACGGTGATTTGCCAGACTTGCGCAAAGATTAAGAATGTGTGTCAAACGTGTTTGCTGGATCTCGAGTATGGCCTGCCAACACAGGTCCGCGACACCGCGCTGGCGATCGAGAACGAGGCCCCGACGAGCGAGATAAATAGGGAGTACTATGCTCAGAATCTGGAGGGAAAGGTGCGTAGGCCCTTCTTGAAATGTTGTGCACTTGATTGCTGATACGCTTTGTAGCTGGAGGGAAACAGGTCATTACTGGACTCTAGCCGCGCATCCTCAGCAGGAAAGGAAATGCTGAAGCAACTTGCCCGCACTGACCCTTACTACAAGCGCAACCGGCCGCATATATGCTCCTTTTACGCCAAAGGCGAGTGCAATCGTGGTGCTGACTGCCCCTTCAGGTATGTACGCCGTGCGCGTAAGTTGTCCCTCGACCAGCTGACTGGTGAGACAGGCATGAGATGCCCGTGAACAATGAGCTCTCGAAGCAGAATATTCAGGACCGGTATCATGGTCGAGAGGACCCTGTGGCAAAGAAAATCTTGTCACAGCATGCTGCTAATATGGGTCTGCAACCTCCGGAAGATCAGTCCATTGTACGTCGACCATCTATCCGCCTTGGTGTCTGTGCTAAACTGTCCGTCGCTAGATGTCGCTCTTTCTCACTTCACTGCCCTCCACTGCGACTGAAGAGAACATCCGGACGTGGGTGGTCAAGTCTCTTCCCGCCATTGATCCCGCACAAATCAAATCCGTCGTCCACGTCGCGAAGTCGAGGTGTGTTTAGCCCATTTATCTCTGCTGTTCACGAGTGCGCTGATACATTGCACCCTGAAGATGCGCGTTCGTCAACTTTAAGGACAGGCCTTCAGCAGAGCTAGCTGCACAGGCTTGGGCCAATGGGTTTGAGATGGAGGGTCAAACTGCGAGTGTGAAATGGGGCAGGAGCAAAGGCGCAGCTGGAAAGCCCAAGCTGGCTGCTGAGATTGCTGCATAACATGTCTGTGATCAGCCTCGCGGTGTACGGTTGTAGTATATCTATGGTAGTCTCACTTTATCACCTGTAGAAACCAATGCAACTTGGATAAGTGCTTGTCGTTCAATCATTGCCTTGAGCAAAATTATTGAAGGTGAAAGTAAAAACCAAAATAAATATTGAGACCCGTAGGTCTACCACTCCGGGAAAGCGTGTCATCCTTGTGCAGGGGCCATGCTAATCTTCTCTGTATCGTTCCAATTTTTTCGTATGTCACCCCGAAGGGGACAATAATAGACATCAGACAATTGACCCGTTAGGCAGAGATTTGCATTTTGTCCAGCCTGCGGGTTAATCACGTGACCTTTAACAGTTCCTCCAGTTTGTCTGTCAGCTTTGAGTCCGTTCACGTTCACATCAGAGATGAGCAGTGAAGATAGCTGCAGAGGCAAGGCTCTTCAGCATTTTTGTTCGTGTCGCTTAGTTGACAGTGACCAGTGATTAGCAACAGAGACACTCCGTCTCCTGGCTGAGACATGCTCCATCGCTGTCGAAACACTACAACAGCCACCGTCCACTATTTCCTCCCCTGCTGCGACACCCGCCTGTTCCGTTCTACATAAAGATTTTTTGTCCCTCCTCACGTTGGTCTACACATCCACGACGAAGGTCGCGCTCGCATTTCGACCACAAGAACCTGCATACAAGGCCGCACTCGCGCCTCTTCGAGATCTAGCGGGCAATGTTACTGCACTGACTTCCTGTGCAACGCTCTTCGACGCCCATGGTGCGACGCTCGCGGAGGAAGCACGAATGGTGGTGAAGGGCGTTCTTGAGGCGGTAAGTGCGTTCGCGTCCGGCTTCCTGGATGGCAGCGACTACCTAGTACGCACGGGCGCGGTGCATGACTTGGTCGACAAGGCAAAACGAGGCTTCCCCACCGACAACCGTGCTGCCATCCGGAGTCGATGGATCTCTGACAGAGGGATGCTAGAGGACTCGCTAGCGGAGGTGATGAGCATGATTGAAGATAACGAAGACATGGACCGCGATGGCGATGAGGATGAAGAGTTCGATAACGATGAGTGGGATGAGCTCGGACTAGGTTCTAGCAAGAAGATGTCCGAAGTTGAGCTGGATCACGTAAAGAAGGTACGGATCATTTGATCCTGGACGTCTGAACATCCTGACATGGGTGGTATAGATCCAACCTCTACTTCGCTTCACAACTCTCCTACACAAGCGCGTCCAAATTGATGTTCTCTCCAACATTCCCATGGCCACATCTCCTAATTGTCTTGCACCCCTTGATGCCCTCCCCGCTCACTCGCACGCCCTCCTTGTGGCTTCTGAGGAAGTTATCGCGTCATTGTATGCACCGCCGGACCCGTCTTCTATCGCTTCTGCAATCTCGCCCTTAGCTGAATCGGTCCGAGACTTGCATGCAACACTGCTCGGTGGAGAGCTTCTTCCACCACGACGTGCGGATGATCAAGATGTGGATGCGCTAACGCGGGACGTGGCGTCTATGACAGTCGGTGCGGGAGGTGCGTCGAGATCGGCGAAGCAGGAGAGGGACGTGCGCAAGTGGTTCGATACATGTTTCAAACAGATCGAAATACTGTCTGCAAGTATAGGCGATACACTAGCCCTTGAGGTTATGAATGCAAGATGATGGTGCACGCTGCCCTTCTACGTCTACCACACACGTGGATGGGTCAATCTGCTGAGACTACTGGAGCGTTTCACTCACAAACAATGCCTGAATCGGATTCAACATGAAGCAGGAGACCACTGATAAACTGACCAGAGTCCGTCTCAACGCATATGCACATTGTCCGCTTTTTCCTTGAAATATGCACCGAGTACGTTTGGATAGACTGAGATGGATTTGCGACTGCGCAGCTTTTCCTCGAAACACAAGATCTTGTCGTGCGCGGCTTGTAAATCGAAGGCATGGTTCTGCGCATACGGCCGTTAGCAAGGCACGGTCTAGGATTTACGAAGAAGAATCACTGACAGCCTGTTCAGCCCGTTTTGCACGAGCTTCCTCGCGCATCTTATTCAGCTCGCTTCTCCGCTGTTCTTCCTTTTCCTTACGGTTCAAGCCTGAATCAGGCGTGGAGCTCCCGGGCTATTGCAAAGACATCAGCACGCACTCAGACTCATCTCCGTTAACTATCGCCGATGGCACGTACCTTCGTGAATAGCTGCGCATAAACACTGGCATCTCGGAGGTCGAAGTCGGCTCTGCCGAGGCTAGCGGCTGGCTTCCTCGCAGCAACATCGGCCAGCCCAAGAAGATGAGAATTTGGGTGTTTGGTGGTGACATCGGACTCCTTGTTTTCAACCGATGGTAAACGCTTTGAAAATGCTGGCGTTGTAGAGACAGTACCGGTTTTGTTCTTCTTGATCGTAGGCAGCTTCCGCTTCTTAAATACCGGCTGCGTCGGATCCTCTACCTTCGAAGGAGACTTATCGTGCTCTTCCGCCGCCGGCGCAGGTACAGATGGTGTTATGGCAGGAGGCGTAACCTTCACGGCCTCTTCCTTGGGTAGGGATCGTTTGGTACTAATAGGAGGACCCGAATACTTTTCTCTGGATGTGCCACGAGAAGCGGGGTGAGGGAGCTTGCGCTCATTCCGGATATGGGTGACCTTCCCTTCTTCCTTGTGTTTCGCCCGTGATCGCTTGGAGGCTTGGATAAGTTTTCTGCCCTTACTTTTCGTCGTAACAGCGGCTCTCTTCAGCGAGGGCGGCGCAGGCTCTGGAGTGAAATCATCATCATCGGGGTCCACCGCGAGCAGGCCCAGCGGATCCTCCTGCTCCTCATCTTCGTCGTCGGTCCATACCACCGTGCGCTTCACCTTCTTACTCGACTTGCTGGAGGACGAAGCAGCCGGTCGTGCTGCCTTGACTTTGGCAGGCGGCTGTGGTGTTCGTTTCGGCAGCCTGACTAGAGGAGGAGGCGAGGGAGAAGGGGAAGGGGATATAGCTGCACGAGGGGAAGGTCGATCCTTCTCGCCATCGTCAATGTCGACGTCTTCGTCGTCCTCGACATCGATCTCTGACTCACCCTCGTCCGAATCGACCATGACTTCTGCGCTTGCCTGGCTACTCTCCACTATCTTCGGCCTCTTCCACCTACGTGGCACAGAATAGTCTCCTATTTCATCCTCCGAACGTTGTTCGTCGTCCGACTCTATACGACGTTTGGAAGGCTTGGACGACCCCGGGCGCTCGACGACCTGTTTGCGCAGAGTCAAACATAGAGGAGCACACGACAAGGCTGAACAATTACCTGAGACGAATTCACCAAGCCTGATTTGGGTATCTTGATGCGAAACGACATTGTTGGTTTGGGATGTGCACAGAATGTGGCGGCGCGTCGAGGATCGTAATCTGAGATCTGAGCGGAAATCGGGCGTCGAGACTCCGCCATCAATATTCAATTGTTACCCGTTTGCAACGAATGAATCTTAATCATTGTTATTTACTGTCCGGGCAGGAGATGTCAGCATGCTGCCTCATATCTATCTACGCAAAGGTATGCAACGCAGCAGGAAAATTGAGAGATTATCAGGATCGTTGCAGATTGTCTATAGACCGCTGTACGGGTCCATGAATGTCCGAGATCAGCAGGCACTTCCCAGCTGCAAGGACGCTGCTAGTAGGAGCGCAGTCTCCTCCTCGCAGATGCTAGCAAAGAGTTCGACGATGTCGTATGCGTGGAATATGGACACTGCAGATATGTCGAAATAACTCCAACCTAAATGCGTCACAGAACGCATTGCGGCTGCTATCAAACCGCGAATGACACTACGGTGTAGTAGGTGGTACTACAGGCCACTCTCTGATCATCTAAGCCTATCATCGTGTGATTAGTCCGATCATGTACTGGCTTGATCGGCGGAGATACGGAGGCAGACAGAGACTTGCCTTTCAGCCACGCAAGCTGAATATATAGATATTGTCTGTAGCAGCCATGATATCAGTCTATATAGTTTCTAGCTAGGCAAGCCAGATCTATGCGAAAGCACGCCCTCAGCGTTACAGATGCATTCAACGATCGACATTGATTTTGATATCGGCGGCAAGACGAACATGATTGCTCGTGCACCTCGATTAGTAATAATCGGGATTCCAACCATGGCACGCCACCAGCGCGTTTCGCTTCCTCTAACTCAGCTAGAGGATCCACTCCACGGCTCTTCCGTACACTTGTTGCGCACAACAGCGCAATCTGCTATATCGACACCTCGAACTCTTCCTGTGTTATCGCTAGCTACGCCGCCTGAAGCGACGATCCCCGCACATCGCAAAACTTTGCGCCTTTAAGCGTGCTGTCAGGCACCAAGGACGTTATGGCAGTTAGCTGGGGCGAATCAGTGAAAACAGCCCAGAATGTGAGCTGGGGTGGGGCTCAGTTGACAAGTACAGAAGCAGATACCGTGACAGCGAGAGCTTGGGCATCTTACCAAGGTGACAACTACGCTGGCTCGAGCGGGTGGACAAATGGGAATTCGGGCTGGGGGAGCTCTGCTGCAGAAATTGGTTCGGAAGCGGATGCGAGCGTAAATGGGTGGCAGGCGCCATCTGCGCTCAATACTCGTCCTCCCGCAAGCGGGACGGATACATCTCCTTTTGCCACTATGCTCGACTCGTCAAGCCATGCGCGCAAGGACTCGCATTTGGCGACTGTCAGCGGCGATGCTCACGCACGATCCCCGTCGCTGCCCACATCAGAAGATGACCTCGGTAGTGGGCCGCGATACTCATGGAACAGGTATATAACGTGAGTCTGCGCCATGCCATCTGTCCGCCTGTATAGAGTTACCTGACATTCTTCCTTCCTAATCGTAGCACCGTCGCACGCGCTGTCGCACAAAAATTGGAGGTTGACGCAGCGAAAGACAAGTGTGACGGCCTAAATCGCTTCCGTCAATCGCCCCAGGCCAAGTACTTTAAACAAGAAAGAGCCGAGTCCACGGAACGGCTGTATTTTGCGCAGCGCAACGCTTACAAGCATGCGCGCGACGAGTATCATGAGGCGCTCGATCTGCTCACAGAATTCCCTTCCCGGATACGTCCTCTCAATGCAGACGAGGAGGCCGGGGCTGAGCCATTGCCCAGTAACGAGGAGTTGCAGCAGTACTCCAAAGATGTGAGGCATTGGCTTGATGAGCTTGCACCCTACGTTGAGCGACTGCGGGAAGATGCGAAGGCGGCCCCCTCAGCGTCAGGCATACACAACGACGGTGTTGAACGCTCGATTCAGCCACTTGCTGATAGGCAGGCTCGCGATTGTGCAGGCATACACGACCGCGTTGAAAAGCTCGAAATTAAGTTCAGCAACCTCCACGACTACTGCCGTGATCTGATGGCGGATTCGCATAATTTGCTCCGCCAGGGGCTCCAAGAGCTAGACGGCGCCGAGAACATGGACGTCGAAGACGGCGAGGCCACTCCTGCCCCGCCAGTCTTCCGATCTCAGGTATCGCAAGGGCAGGATGATGTAGATGGCAAGCTTGCGACATTGAAGCAGTTGCGCGAGCAACTAAGTTCACTCAAAAAGCGGGATCATCATTGGTGGCAAGAGCAAGCACAGCTCCGCATCGATAATGAGAAATTACAGTTCCAATGCGCTATAGTAAGTGCTCGACTATCAGCGCATTAAAATATAGTTCTGATGTTTTCTTCGTGCAGCTCGAGGAAGAGCTCGCACGGTGCAGGACGGAAGTGTCCAATCAGGCACATAGCATACAAGAGCTTCGCAATTCCCTTGAAGCCCTTAGGGCTCAGCCCTCACCGCCGGTAGCGCCCAACATGGAAGAGATCATTGCACGAGTCAAGGAGAGCATGGACTCGTCATGGCGGTCGGATGTCAATCAAGCGCTCTCCTGCATGAGCCAGGGTTTTGAGCAGGAGCTCCGAGCCCAGCAAGATGCGGTCTACTCAAGGATCTCTGCGGACATGCAGCCATCTTTGCTGGTGTTGAAGACTGTGCAGACATTTATGGAAAATGCGAGGCGGAAAGGACAATCGATGGATGCCGTGTAAGATCCTTCTTCGTTCGGTTTTCGTCTCATGCATCTGTACTAGTACTTTTCTATATGTCGCATTGACTGCTTGCATGCATACCCAAGGGATAATTTTATGGTCTCTCTCACCAATTTGCCGTGTGATATTTGTTCACTTTATTCCCGCTACGACAGTAGTGGGTCTTAGCGAAAAGATGGGGAACCAGTTTCCCGCCAAAAATCGACATCACGTGAAAAATGACGTTAATTCACGGGACTGCTCCACTGGGATGTGAAAAAACTCTCCGCTGCCTAGAGAAAGAAAGATGACCTCGCTTTGGCGCGCGCACGTACGGCGTGCATACAGTCACTATATGCGTCGCATAACATTGTAACAAAATATATTCGTTGGCATCTACAGAAACGTCCATAGCACTACCAAGGAACACAATCACTTGTCAGAATGGAACAGTGCCCAAGTGTTGAAATCGATATTGTAAACTGTATCGAGAACTTAGACAGGTACGGCGACTGCAGCAACTGACGAGACGTACGTACCGAGAGCATGCCAGATACCATGGACCATTGAACAGCAGACGTAATGTGAACTGTATTCAAAGGTTGGAGCTTAGAGCGTCAGAGACGGACATGAATGCCAGAAAAACTCGCGACTCATCTTGTGGGTCGACTCAGCGATGCACGCCCGTGAGTGAGCCTCACGGTACAAAACCTTCAGCAATTGATAGAATAACGTACGGCTTCGCCAATACCACTCACGCTAGCCAAGCCCGTGTCCGCTCACTCTTGCAGTCGACACTGCAATAGGTACATACACGTACCCGCCAGCAGTCGCCTGCATCATCAACTTGCCGTTCCTCTCGCCAAAGGTGTTCGTGAAGTTCGCCTTGACGTTGTGTGAGATGCCATACTGGCGTGATGTGTACGGTCTTTGTGCCCGTAGATCAACCGCCACGGCCGCACACATTAGACAGCTCGCACACATGACCCGCAGTAAGAACAACACGGCGTTCACTGATGTGTATAAGCCGTACCATTGCGATGTACTCACAGTACTGCGTGCACTTGATTGTATGCCAATCCCGTACACATCTCGTGGACGCGGATGCTGACACAGCGTCTCTTGAATGAACGTACGGGTCAGATACAGACCAGAAATGTGCTGGGCGCGATCTGCTCGTCGTAGCGGGCGCTGCCGGTACCGGCCCTATCCTTATCAATCGCAGCGGCGCAGAGTCCCATTTTCGTTAGTCGCGCCGGCCGGTGGCTCATAGCACGTGTTGTTGTGGATCTCGCGAGGCTTGGAGCTTTGAGTTAGCACTTCTTGTCCACTGTCTCACCGAACACTGCCACTATCCTCTGGCCCTAGGAACACCAACTGATATCGACAAGCCCAACGGAGGCATATTCGACACAGCCAGTGAGTAGTGCCACTACCTAATTTGTCACCATACGTAATTCATGAAGTAGCGTTACAGCCACCGCAGGTCACCCACCCAGATTTTGCACTATAGTTTAGTCTACAACTGCCAGGATGAATCACAACGACCAAGAATCCGTCTTGAATTTCTCTGATGTTGTCCATGACGACCCTCTTGGCGGAGACGACTCGCGGCATCTATCTGGCATCGACACTATGTCTCTGCCACCATCTGACGTCTATGCGCATGATGATCTCTCGCTTGAGGGTCAGCTGGGTTCTCTGCACGACACTGTCTCGCACGACCACTCGCAGACTCATCTCTCTCTCTCTGGCTCGGACATGCCTTCCTTCTCCGTCGAGCAGCTCGAGCACGAACTCGCTAGTCTGCTACGTCAGAATACCTCCACTAGTTCATCCTTTTTAAATACTGCCGTCCAACAGCGTCAGGGAGTAGTGCAACAGAGCTTGCTGGGTAACTCGAGCCTCACCTCCGTCGGCGAGGACAGCGCAGCGGCTCTCGGAATGCTGGGTCTCAACTTGAGTGGGCTTGCGGCGGCTGTACTAGCGGCACATGTACAGGCGGAGGAGAACGAGCGAACAGCTGAGGTGCTCGCAGCGGCAGAGCGTGCCGATTATTCCCGCCCTCACCAGAATGGCTCCGGGAAGGAGAAGACTCGGACGGCCCCTGCATTCCACTCTCTCACTGCCAATGAGGACTCCACCCTCGTGGGTGCGGCAAATACATCTGGGAACGGGACCGCCAGCGGAACAAATGGCCAGGAATACGTCTACGACGATGACGAGGGAGAGAGCGAGAAAGAGGACAATCTCGACGTATGCATTGCCAACACGCGGAGGCGCTCCTCGCCAATTCCAGCTGCATCCCTCACCGACGACACCTCTCCGAGCCCGACAGACTTCACCGACATCAATGACATACTCACCCATTTCACACACTTCGATCGGGACCACGGAAGCCGGCACGGAGGCACGCCCGACATCGCATCCTCAAGCCAGCCCGTGGCAAGTACATCTCACATGCCAAATTACAGTCCATCACCTGAAGACGACCAGATGGATGAATATGGCCAGCGTATCCCTCTAGGAGCACCGAAACAAGATGGTTCGCCGACTATCCCGGAACTCGACGAGCTCGAGGAGGCCGACGAGCTTGTGGATGATCACGATCAGCCGTTGGGTTCGAGCTCCTCCAGCCCGCCCAGGGAGATGAAGGATGATGGAAAAAAGAAAAAGAGCGACCGGGAAAGATTAGTAAATGCGCACGCATGCGATCGATGCTCAAAGTCGTTCAGTCGACGAAGCGATTTGGCACGGCACATGCGTATCCACACCGGCGAGCGGCCATTTGAGTGCCCCGAGCCTGGGTGCGGAAAGACATTCATTCAGGTACCGTCTTTACAGCCGTTATTGCGCTCCGGCTTACGTGTCTCTGAAGCGATCCGCTCTGCATGTGCATTTGCGCACGCATACTGGAGAAAAGCCGCATGTATGCGAGTATCCCGGCTGCGGAAGGACGTTCGGCGACTCGAGCAGTCTGGCGCGGCATCGGCGGACGCACACTGGGAAGCGGCCATACAAGTGCGAAGACCCAGTCTGCGAGAAGACCTTCACTCGGCGTACTACTCTGACGGCGCATATGCGAACACACGACCCGAACTGGGAGCCTGATCCAAATATGTATGTATTCTCACCAGCTCCGATCATGATGCTGTATAGTGCTGACATTCACCCATAGCAAATACAACTTCAAGGCAAAGCGGGTCAAACTGGATAGTACGACCGCTGATCAAGAGCTCGCAGCATCTGTACAACAGTTGTCTGCGTTATTGGCGCAAGGTGACCCGATTGTGCGACAGCAAGCGAACTTGGAGCCATTGGACGCTCAAGCAGCAGCGGACATCGGCGACGAGCTGTCAGCTGTCATAGCACAGGCCTACGCACAGGTCTACGAGGAGGAGGACGACGAGCTCGATGAGTCTGAGACGGAGCAGGACCAGGTTGCTACCATCGGTCTTAACACCAGCGAAGCGCGCGACGAGGACGCCCCGTTGTCAGAGGATGATCAAATGCAGCTGTCGGAGGTGCTGGGTGACCAGGATGGTGAGCAGTTTCCTGTGCCTTTGCGGACACGAACCGGGAAGGACGTTGTGACTGTTGTGACCGGTAAACGAAAACGATGAGGCATTGAGGGGCCGTCGCCGTGAATGATCCATGATCAGTGTAAGTATGCGAGGAGCATGTAAATAGCCGGTAGGTCTTTGCTCTCATTGTCTCAGCCTTCCAATGAGAAGCCGTGCTCTGTTTGCTCCTGACGCACGCAGTATATATGCGCTGAGTGCATATCGGAGGCGTCGCGCATCGTGTGATGATGATTTCGGCATGTGTTGCAATGTCCTGTAGCTGATAAATATATCTACGAAGACAGCACAATATGCCGCCTGCTAATTTACGAATAGTTCGTGCCGGCAAAGCAGCAGGCGTGGGCGGTTTGCAAGCCACCGACACCAGTCGACTTAGGCACCTCTTCAATCATGTCGATCTTCAAGTAGACATACTCCAAAGACAGTCCCGCTATGTACATTTGCTCGCGCTTCAAACTTTATTGCTGAGGACATATAAAAATGTTACAAAAGGGCTTGACCGGGAGTCGAACCCGGGGCCTCCTGCAATCACTAACCCGAAGCAGGAATCATACCACTAGACCATCAAGCCGCTGTAGTTGGACACTCAAGTATTCTTGATAGAGAATTATTTATATGCTTTGAGCGTCAAGGCGCGAAGACCATTGGGCCGTTTATAAACCTTACTCGCCAATTGAATAACAGTGGTGAATCGAGCTTACGACTAACGGCATTTAAACTTGACGGGTATTCTGATAATGTCCATACATGCCCAGATCCTAACCGCAATGTCCTTGAAACGCCCACCGTATAGCGCTATGAGCGAATATCTGCCCGTGGAAAAATTCCTACAACCCTCCCAGCCGTCCTCCCGGCAGACGGGGCCTCGGCCCGACTAACGGTAAGAATGTGCTAGACGTAGAGTAACTTGGAGTACTCTCGCTAGCCAATGAACCGCCGATTTGGTCATACGTGATGTTGTTGAGAACAGCATCGACGTTCCTGTAGTAGGTATTGCCATGATCATCCGCATAGTTGAAGGTGTTGTTGCTCGTGCCGTTGCCGTAATTACCGCTCGACGTCTCAATGAAATCACCAGCTATCGAGAGAATTAGATCTGTCTTTATTGCACCGAACGCGTAGTCCTTACTGGCAAGCTGACGTTCCGTAATGGTAGATCCTAAGATGAAGGGGCTCGGCAGGGAGACATGGTCATATGAATGGTCAAAGTTTGCCGTCCCTGGGGAAGTAGGTGAGAAATTTATAAATATGCAGCAAGAGTTGACGCACAGGAGGTTCCGTTAGCGTTCAGTGCGGTATAGTTAATGGAAAGCGGGTATGAGAACTGGTCCGTGAGACAGGCGACCCCGTTGTGGGTAGAGTAGAAACTTCCCGACGCAGTCTGTGCGACGTTCTGTGAAAAGAGAGCATCAGTCAACTGTTTGGTGCTTCATGATTCTGTACGCCTAGATATACCTGAACATAGAAGTCGTCTAGGTAATACTGCGTGTTTTGATACTTTAAATTCTGCGACCAGACAACGTGTGTGTATACTCCACTCCCGCTCAGGATGTCGGCCTCTATTTGTATGTTGCGGGTGGCGGAGACCGTGACTTTGACGTCACCATTCGAACCAACAATGCCGGTCGTGCTTGTTTCGGCATATGGCTGGACATCGTAGACCGTGATGTTGCCAGTAGTCCGTTCCGAAGAAGAATCTAAGACAACCTGCAAGTTGCCGGAAACGTACCAATTGTCGTTGATAGCGTGGTCGGACTCTGCTGATACAACCGCAACGCTGATGTTGTGTGACCGACCATCTGTTAGCACTGGTACAAAAGGCGTCAAGTCAAGGAAGTAGGTCGGAAGGTCAAGTGCGCCATAGGACGTGATCGGTCTGTTGAATGTCGTCAGCGGGGAGTTCAAACCCAGAGCGAGAAATACCCTTACCGCCATGCTGGTGGCGAGATTCCCCCGGTGAAAATTACCGCGTATCTGGCAGCCGCCAATCAGCTGAGATGAGATATATTGAGGGCCGTGCGTACGGGAAAGCGACCCCTGCGAGCTGATCGTCGACAAGCAGCTGGACTTCACGGAAAGGCCCGTTTCCGTAGGTGGTTTCACTCGGAAGATCATCAAGGTACTCGTTGGCAACATTATAATACTGACATAATGAGTGTCCAATCAGCAGGATCGCATCAATGCAATCGTCAGGAATGTTGCGCACCCAAAATTCTTCATCGCCATTACCGGAAGCGTACAATTCGGCGTATACCGCAACTGCGTTTTCAGGGACAGTCACATCAATCTGTGCAGGAAGGTCAGAGGCGCGGGTACGTTTCATTGCTATCTCGTCGCACCGAAAACGTGGGAGGCACAGATGCCTGATCACTCGTGGTGTTTGACAGTGTTGATATGGGTATGATTATATCCGCACGGGGTGCAGCAGGATATTCTGATGAGGAGGCATAGAACGTCGCCGTCACCGTAGCTAAAAGATGAATCTATAAGTTTTGGTCACGTCTCCATGACAAGACAACATTGAGACTCACATGCGTATTGTCCAGTAAGACCATCCTCAAGCAGGTTATCAAGTTCAAACAGAAATGTGCCGGGTTCTGAAAAAAGTGGAATATAACGCGTCACGTCTTTCACGTATGTCCAGATAATCCCGTCTGTTGTGGGCTCAGGCGTCGATGTCCTCCATACTGGTGTTCAGGCATCAGCCCAAGTATTTCTGCTTTAGTATGAGAGGATACTCACTCTCGACATTCTGGAATGTGAAGATTCCTAGCGATTCATCAGATGACTTACACAAACCACATAACATACGTATCACACTCACCTAGTCGATCATATTGAGTACCGTTGGAGGTGACCGTCAAATTGAGGGTAATGCCGGCCCAAGATCCAGCCTCTCCACATTCGGTCGGCGGTCTATATTCACACGGTGTGAGAAGCATCTAAAGCTTTGGGCAAAGAAACTTGCGTGTAACTAGCGATTGCCGGTCTGGTTGCATGTTCAAAGTCGGAACGCCAATCGATAACTGGGCAATAGAGTGTACTCACTGATAATACGAGTTACCGAATGTATGGCTGCAAGGTCCCATCACGATCAGCGTCGGGCATTAAAGTGATGGATCTGCAATACTCACTCAATGAGCTCTAGAGTGCACTTCTGTGCGTCTTCGGGAAATGGAGGTGGTTGAGCGACCTGGAAGTCCATGAGTACCGCGGAATGCGACGCCGATGCCCAAATGAGCCCCAAGCTCAGCGGCCGCAAGAACTGCTGCAGCATGACGGTCTCTTCAGTATCTCCGAGACAAACAAAGACGTAGCCTGGGGACCTACCCGTTCTCTCACCCGTCATCGCTTATATACTGCAGAGATAGACCCTGAGACTTCCCAGTGGGAACTGCTCACGAAGCATGTGCCAGTCGGCAAGTGAGAGGCGGCCGCAATTAGACTAGATAATCGTCGTAGCGGACATTGTCGTCGAGAACACTCGAGCGGAGCAGCTTGCAGTGGCATAGAATGGTCGAATCACGGTCATTGGTATCATCTATAATGCGGTAGAAATCGTCATATGTGATACCGTGTATGAAGAGAGTCAAATAAAGCGCCGGCGGCCGTACTACGTGTCGGGAACGATTAGCGCTGCATATGAGTGGCTTTAAGCGAATGGTATCTAAGTAATGATAAATACTATGTATCTGCTAACGTATACATGGCGCAAGTGATGTCTGCAGTGGCCGGGATCTCGGTATTCTGACCACAACAACGAAAATGTGCCTCGGAGCGGGAACGTGAAACAACACAATCCCGATGAGGGCGGCGCGCGCCCAAGCACAGCCTAAACAGCACATCACTACCGGAGAGGAACCACTTTTCAGAACGCATGCATACCTTCAACTACACCTCTTGGTTGAGGATATCATCATCGTTCAAGGGACTGCTTCCAGTCGGCGTGCGATCCTCCCTCTCCTCCCTCGGTTCTGCATAGAAACCGCCCTCAGGATCCTCAGGCAACTCTGCCGGTGGATCGTGCGACCAGGTATCAGAGTCGACTGTCGCGGTACGGCTCTTCTTCTTTGACTTCCTCCCATGCGTTCCTGACTCTGTATCTGCAATGGAATATGCATCCTCTGTCCTTGCCCATCGGTCCTTCTTATCCTTCTTCTTCCTCCGATTCTTCTTCTGCCCATCCGCCGGCGGAGTTGCGTCCTCAAAATTGGCAGGATAGCGCCATCTCGTACTAGTTGACTCTACGCTCGCACGATCCCCGTTTGCCCCATAGTAGTGCTCTTCGCTCCGATTCCAGAACTCTCCACTGGCACTTGCGTTCGGACGAGTCTCTCCCCCCTCATTGGATGCAAGACTGGGGTTTGAGCCAGCAATCTCCCCTTGTGCATACGGCTGATCTCGCAAGCTCGAGGATGGGAGGCGTTCGTTATATCGGTTGGCCCATTGCGATCGCCGTTCCTTGCGTCTGATCTCGGACGTATCGACAAGGCCGTATCGCTGTACCCATTTCGGTGTACGTCGGTGGTTCTTATTGTTGCGGATGTTCTGTGAGGGTGTGAGCAATGACATTCACGCTCACAGTGATTGGAGTATAATGACCTGAATGTAGAAATTATGAACATGACCTGGCGGGCAAGGTTAGATTAGGAATGGCGATAGCATGGAAAAGCGTTCAGTGCTTACCAGGTATGTAGCCGCAGATTGTAAGCAGCAAGTTGAGAAAGAAATCGGATCCGATACCAAACCTCGCAGCGACGGCTGAGGAGAACGTCCGTCAGTATCGGTTGTGACGTCGTCTTGGGTCGAAGAGATGCATACCTAGAGGAGGGAACAACGTGCCCATAATGCACAATAGTATGGCATAGCCATGGTGCCTCCTTGGAGTAAGGTCGACCTTCGTGAAGGTCTGCGGTCTGGATGTCATGCCGGCGAACACGAGCGGAAGACTCGGAGGACGTAACTGTGCAGCAGGAGCAGCAGGCCTTCCTGCGCGGTCCCTAATCTCAGCCACCTCGACTGGTTTGTTGTGACCGCTTTGTCTGTGACGGGTCCGTCACATCTCAAGACCGTCGCGACTGTCTCAGTCTGCGCCACATTCGACTTGGCAATAGCATCGCCAAGCCTCGCATTACATGCGGTTCGTCTAGAAAGTAATGGAAGATCGCCGGTTGCGAACGTTCCAGGCATTCATGCCGGACATGAGCGAAGTGGATCTAATATAGAATGGGCGCCCGCACGCAATACGCTCAGTACATAGTGAATAGTAAGTAGATTAATCATGGTCTTGACTCCGGCGCTGGTAGATAATACCTTCCTTCAAACATGGAAAGAATCTGCACGGCTGAAGCCATATCATGCAAGCATTCACATATGAACAGTTCTGCGCATACACCAATGTCGTTGCTACACACTAACGATGCGCATGGTCACAGCAATCGCAAAGTCGCCCATGCATCGCGCGCATTCGTCCTCGCCAATCGCCTCCTCAATCCACGACGCGGCTCGTTGAGAGGGTACATCGCGCACCAACCATCCCAACATCGCGGCGGGATCGTCAAGCCCCGCATAGTTCCCGTGTTGAACGGTATATGGGCCGTGTTGAGACGGCGGTTCCTGGTCGAGAGTCAATCTGATGAAGATCGATCCCAATTTGCTGTCTAGAATAAGCCGATGACCCTGCCTGTCGCAGGATCCAGTCCGACTTCCCAGAAACCTAGAACAAGTGAGAGATTGCGCCGTAATAGTGTACGAATATCTTACCTGGGCGAGTTCCAAGACCAGGCATTGTCTGCATGTCACCGCAAAGTGGACAGAGGAATCCTGCACCTGCGGAAAGACGAACTTCGCGGATGGGCACGGTGAAGCCTGCAAATATGCTGTCAGTGAAGCATCTATACCGATCGAAGGAAATGCATACCCGTCGGAACACCCTTGAGTTTCGCGTCGTGAGAGAAGGAGTACTGGGTCTTAGCCATGCAGACTATCGGACATAAGCGATGCCCAGGAAAACTGACGGATACACTCACTGGCCAGGTTACCGAATCCTTGACGAGTGTACGTCTCAACCTGTTTCTGAGCGGTCTCGCTGAGCTCAATGCCATCGGCACCGTAAATTTCCTTGCAAATGGCAGTAATCTTGTCTACGATCGGAAGATCGAGGTCATACAGGAACTTGAAGTGCGACGGCCCTTCGCAGGTAGCGATAACAGCTTCCGCAAGCGCTTTAGCTCCTGCACCGCCCTCAGCCCAGTGGTTGCTAACAACGGCAGCGTCTGCACCACCAGCGAGTGACTGCTGACGCACAAGCTCTAGCTCAGCAGGGGTGTCAGACCTGTAAGCGAAGAGCACGATCAACCATAGCTCGGCTGTTGTCTGATATGAAAAGGCACATACGAGAACTGATTGATGGCGACGACAACCTTCAGACCAAACTTGCGGGAGTTTTCAATGTGTTTGACCATGTTCTTGCAGCCCTCCTTGAGCGTGACGAGATCTTCCTTGGTGTACGTATCATGCAGCGGCTTGCCAGGAGTGACATCGGGTCCACCACCGTGCATCTTCAACGCGCGGGTGGTAGCGACAATAACGACGGCATCCGGGGTCAATCCACTGACACGGCACTTGATGTCACAGAACTTCTCCATTCCCATATCCGCACCGAAACCGCCCTCAGTGAGAATGTAACCGGCACGGTCAGGTGAATCTCCCTCCTCAGTGCCAGCAAGCTTGAGGGCAATGCGGTCTGCCAGAATAGAGGAATTGCCGTGTGCGATGTTGGCGAATGGACCCGCGTGTACGAAGACAGGTGTACCCTGACACTGGCTGAGCATCGTTATTGAGGAAGATATTAACGCAGACGCACCTCCAAAGTCTGCATTAAGTTCGGCTTGATCGCATCCTTCATGAGAACTGCAAGAGCACCACCGACACCGATATCATCCGCAGTGATCGGATCACCTTGCTTGCTGGTAGCCACCACCATCGCACCAAGCCTCTCGCGCATATCCTTAAGACTGGTGGTCAATGCCAACACAGCCATACATTCACTCGCCACGGAAATGTCGAAGCCTGTCACGCGCTCGTGGCCTAGCTCAGTGGGCGCCTGTCCGATGGTGATCTTTCGCAAGAAGCGATCGTTCACATCGATAACCCGCTTGAATGTAATGGAATCGGGATCAACATCAAGACGAGCAAACCGTTTGATCTCTTCGGGAGTCAGGTCATCGGGATTGGTCTTGTCGATCCCGAGCTTCTTGAGGCGTTTGAACATCAAGGACGCGAATTCACGCTTACCCTTCTTCGCTGGGACAAGCCGGCTATACAGTGCCTGCAAAAAGTATGCAGTGAGCGGGTGTACTTCAACGGGAGATGGCCAAACAAGCCTTATCGGATTGAGTGGCCTCGTGGAACATCCGCGCATCCAGGGCAGCCGCTATAATTGGTATCAGCAGCGGCGACAGCGATGGGAATGGCACGACGTACCTAGCAAATTGTTCGCAGCGGTGACAGCGTGAATATCACCAGTTAAATGCAAATTGAACTAAGGAACTCGTCAAATGGCGGCGTCGGATTATTTGCACGCAAGACTTACTTCGTCCATGGGTATAACCTGACTATATCCACCGCCTGCAGCACCACCCTTGATACCGAACGTAGGTCCTTGACTTGGTTGGCGCACGCAAGCGAACGCAGGTCGCCCGAGGTGGGCTCCAAGAGCCTGAGCAAGACCGATCGTGGTGGTGGACTTGCCCTCGCCAAGTGGCGTCGGAGTGATGCTAAGATAATCGTACTTATGAGATTGCATCTTGGCATTGAAACCGAAGCATACTTACCCCGAGATGATGATGTACTTACCATCCTTGCGGTGTGCCAAACGGTCTAGAACGCTGAGCTCAACCTTGGCCTTGTACTTGCCGTAGCTCTCGAGCTCATCGGGCAGCAGACCGATTTCATGAGCAAGGTGCGTGATCGGTTTCGGCGTCTGCGCCATCGCGATCTCGATATCGCTGGGTACCTTTGCCTGGATGTCCAGCTTGAGGGGCTTGACCCTGAGGCTGCGCGCCTCTTCCCAGAGACGTTCTGCAGACTTGATCGTGTTCAACATCAGCATCGCGACAGTCATGGGTCCAACGCCGCCCGGAACTGGAGTAATATAGGACGCAACAGCGGAAGCAGATTGGAAGTCGACATCGCCAACAAGACGATGGCCAGATTTCTTAGTGGCATCTATGGGCTAAGTTAGTGGGCATGAGATAGCACATCGTGCAACGTATCTACCTGGAATGTAGTTGGTTCCAACGTCAATTACGACAGCGCCGGGTTTGATCCAAGCACCCTTCACGAACTCAGGCTTGCCGATTGCTGATACGAGAATGTCTGCCTCTCGTACGACTTCCGGGAGATTCTTCGTACGGCTATGACACTGTGTAACAGTAGCATCACGATTGCGAAGCATAGCCGCAACCGGACTCCCGACGATATCACTGCGGCCGAGAACCACTGCCCGAGAACCAGCGATGGAAATCCCCGTCGAATCCAAAAGCCGAATAACACCCGCAGGCGTACAGGGGGTGAACAGCGGGTCGCAGGCACGCGACGAAAGATGACCGATATTATACGCGTGGAAGCTGGTCCGCGCATCAGCAAAAATAGAGCAGTAGATAGGGGAAAAAACGCACCCATCGACGTCCTTCTCCGGACTGACGGCCTCAGTCACAGTGCGCTCACCATCTGCGCCGACGTGATCGCCCAGTGGGAGTTGGACCAGAATACCGCTTACAGTCTCATCGTCGTTGAGATTTTTGACGATCTCCACAATCTCGTCCACCTCAGCCTCGGCAGAGACTGTGACATGCTTGAACTTGATGCCGACCTCTCCTGCTGCTTTAGCCTTCATGCGCACATAGACCGCAGAGTCTGGGCGCGTGCCCGCCTGTATGATGGCCAGCTGAGGTTGGAAGCGGGGGTGCTGTGCCTGCAGCGTCTTGATGCGAACCGCGACCTCATCGCGAATGGACCTTCACACGACACGACACGGTGAATAACGGGTCCCTGCGTGACGGCTCGTGCACTCACTTCGCGATGGCGGTGCCGTCGATGATCTTCGCGCGAGATGGTCCTTCTACGGCGGTGGCCATCGTACGATGATGGGGGGAGGAGGAGGAAAGAGAGAGGCTGAAGAGCCTGAGAGACCCGGGGAGGAGTCCTCGCATCGATTTCCTTTTGAGGAGCGCGTAGCGTGCACGCGTCGTGCCGTGTTCCCCGCCCGATCGTTGCACGGTGTTCCGCTACCTGTCTCTGCTGTCACTGCGCGAGAGGATGCGGGTTCAGGTGGAGGAGGAGAACATGAATCAGTCTTCAAACGGGGAATGCTATAACCTCGGACGTCGATGCATCGTGTATTTTGAGTCTATAGATGTCTATAGATACACAGGCACGTGCACCTTCACACGCTTTCCTCCGCCAAAATTTTGGACGCGCGCCGCCCGACTCGTCACTCGAGAGACGAGCGTCTTCTTCGCTTTACCTCCGCCGTTCCTTGTCGTCTTGTTATACATCGTCCGTCATGAGCTACACGCAGGCGTTCCAGATTTTCCGCTCATACTCGAGCTCGCTTGCTGTGCGCAGCGTAGCACGCACATCTCTCCCCGGTGCCCGTCGCAGAGCAGCGATAGGGACGCGTTATTACTCGGACGATAAGTCGCGGGGAGCCGGAGGGTCGGAAAGTAAGTTAGAGGGCAAGGAGGGTGAAAGCACGCAGAAGGCCGAAGGGTCGGATAGAGAGGCAGAGAGCAAGAAGGGCGAAAGCGCGCAGACGGGCGAGGCAACCGCAGGCTCGTCAGAGTTGGCCCAGTGTGACGAGAAGCTGAAGCAGAAGGAAGCAGAAGTTACAGACTTGACGGTATGATGTCTCGTACACGCACATCATAGTAACAGCTGACATCAGTCGTGCTGGTCTCAAGGGCCGGCTACGATATCTCCAGGCGGACTTCCTCAATCTTCAGCGGAACGCTGCCAGGGAAAAGGAGCAAACCAGGGATTTTGCTATCACCCGCTTTGCATCCGACCTGCTCGAGACTGTTGATGTGCTGGCCATGGCACTCAAGTCCGTCCCTCAATCTGCACTCTCCCAGCCCTCTTCCTCTTCATCCGACTCTCCCACATCACCATCGTCCGACTCAGCTGCTCCGATATCTGACAAGCCAGCAGAAAAGCCCGCTCAGGCATACCTCAATGACCTCTATTCCGGGGTGGAGATCACCCACCGACTGTTATTACAAACACTGTTCAAATACGGAGTGAAGCCTTTCGACCCGACCGGCGACAAGTTCGACCCAAACAGGCATGAAGCTCTCTACCAAGCACCGGTGCCTGGAAAAGAGCCGGGCACTGTCTTTGATTGTCAGAAGACGGGATACACGATCAAGGAGCGAGTCTTGCGTGCAGCCCAAGTCGGTGTGGTACAAGACCAGGCATAAAGGCCGGCCTGGCTGCTGTACGGTATTGATGAGATGCGGGCACCATTACTGTCACGGATGGTGAGCGGGACATTCAGTAAAAGTTATAGTCAGTACGACAGGCGCTCATTAGAGCATGTATTGTAGCAGTGATGATACCTAATCAACGAATCTCAACTCCGAACTTTTCTTGTAGGCGTGACAACACCCCGGCCTGGTAAACATTGGCCTCTTCATTGGATAGTGACCTTGCAGCAGATATTCAGCAACTATTGCAGCGTGTAATGCCACTGCACTAAACATACCTATCCATCGATCGGTAGTTGATGCGATAACACCGACTAGTCCTGTTTGTTTTCGGATGCGTGAAGCTGTCGATCTATGGCAACAGGATATATTAAAACAATCACATCTCAGCGAGGTTTCATGCAGACATACCAGCTTCACATCTTCCGCCACGTCCCCAACTATATCTCGCACGAGATCAAAGACGTCATTGTCATGCAAGCCACCGTCTGGTACCCAGAAGCTGACGTCTTTGTAACATGGAGGATGCTTGGAATATGGCTTGAAGGTCGTAATTTGGCCTTCAGCGAACTGCGAGAGAAATCGCGGGTCCTGTGACCAGAACAGCCTGATGTCCGGAATCGAGAACAGGATCATGGCAATGCGTTCCAATCCGAGGCCGAATGCCCAACTGACATTGTTCGGCACATCTGTCAGTATAACAATGAGACAGGCAGTGACCAAAGAGAATGCTGGCACATACTGGCGCGGTCCAGTGTTTGTTGTTGCACGACTCCGCAGCCCAGGATCTCCAACCATTTGCCATGGAAGAATACCTCCACTTCATAGCTCGGGCTCGTGAAAGGGAAGTAAGCTTCAATCCATCTTACCCGCAGCGGGTCCTCACTCGCACCTGCCCGCCCACCAAAGAGTGCCAGCATCAAGCTGTTCAATGACAACTTGAGGTTTTGAGCGACGAGCGAAGAAGTGCGGGGATCATGTGTCGGCTGCGCGGGATTAGACGGAGTAATGTGAGGGACATCCTCGATCACGATATGCGCTTTGGAAAGGTGTTCTGAAAGGCGCGCGTTAGAGTCTTCAAGCTCCTCCACACCAGCGGCGGACGCAGGAAAAACCCGTGCACCCTCCATCTGATGGAAGACTGGGTAGTGGGACGCATCGATCTCATCCCGCCGGTACACGTCCGCCGAGAGCAGCCAACGGCGCTCGCCACGCGCGTACACCTCGACTTCATGGGCAGATGTATGCGTCCGAAGCATCAGGTCGCGATTGATGTAGTAACTGTCGCTGAGCGCACGCCCTGGATGGTCCAAGGGGAACCCGAGGTCATCAAAGTTCTTCCCTGGGGTGACGAGCGGAGAGAGCCCCGAGAGCGCTGCAAAGTCGGTAAAATGGGACTCGATGAGTGAGCGAAGGATGCCAAGTGGATGAGCCGACTGCAGATACAAGTTGCGATTCAGCTTCTCCGCTACGGTGGGCGTGATATTGGTATGGGAGTCACTAGGATATTCCTTCCCGAGCAGTTGAACGGTCTCGGGGTGACTTGCAGGGGTAGACAGACATCGTCGCACGACATGCGAGCTAGGAAGTGATCGTTGAAATCCACATCGCACACGGCATAGCGCGAACACCATAAGCAGAGACCTACTAGATCATTCATCAGCCTTCGAGCAGAGTACGGACGGAAGAGATATGCATGATGCGGAGTATGACATCGGAACCGCTTACAAACTGTCGGATGCAAAAAAAGGAAAAAATATCGTTTGCTGTGACGACTTACTGTGGCCTGGTCCGAGGTAGTAGTTCCGAACACAGTCGGCGGGAGTAGCCTGTGACGAAGAGTGTGACAATGCGCGTACGGTCACATGTGACAGACGCGTATCGGGACGCATCTCACGGGACAAAGGTGCGGACACCGCGTATCAACGAAACATACGCTTGAATTGGCAAGGACACAATATAATCTGGAGATATTCTTATGTAGTTCCATTGCTAGTCTACACAAGACAATCGTCGTCGTCGTTAAGAATAAAACAGTAAGGCAAGCTGGAAAGTCGTAAAGGCCATGCTGACGTTCTCCAAACATCAGATAGTCGTGTCGCATGAGTACAGTTCAAGAAGTATCGATACATGCGTCGCGAAGATCATACACGTAAGAGGGAGGGGAATTCCTAGTACAGCTCGTAGATGCTTGGAAATCGCAGCAAAGCAAAGCAGGTCGCGGGAAAAATGAAGGTGAAATCGTTGAAAACATCGTAGATCAAAGCAAGACGACACGCGTAGCGACAGGGTCGGCCACAGCACCACAGTTTCACCACCATCTCGCGCGCCGCCTCGGTCGCGAGTTACGGACAACAGTGACTGTTTCGGTCTCATCTTCTTCCCGCTCAATAAAAATTGGTTCCTCGACGACAACCTCTACGGCTGTAGTACGGGGTATGTTCGTCGTCGGAGACGAAGCAGAGACCAACTCGGGAGTAGGAGATGCAACGCGACGAGTGTTTGCAGGAGGAGGAACCGTGACTTGAGTAGCGACCGTGTGGTGCTCCGTGTGTGTAACAGTCTTGATCTCGGTAGCTATCTGAACAGCGGTTTCGGTAATAACGAGCGGAGGTGGAAGAGCATTGTAATTGTGATCATAAGGGTCTTCATAAACAGCCATCTGTGAAGTTGGAAGAACGAGTCAGCAACTGATGCACAACACAGAAGTGAATGTGCGCTGACAGCCGGCCGGTGTCTGTACGAGCGAGAGCATGGCAATCTATGGCACATATGCCCAGTATGCGTACACGCAGGTGCTCTCTCATTGTTCGTGAGACAGTATCAATGGGCTCGTACTCGAACACAGGCGGGCTGTCAGAGCACAAATGGACAAGGGGGACAAAGCAAGAAGCACCGCGGTCCCCCAAGCCCGGCGACGAAGAGGGGAGGGGCGTGACGGAGACAACGAACTTGTAAAAGAAGGATAGAGTCAAAGAAGGATCCCCCTTCGTCTCAGAGCTCGGCACGGCGCTGCACAGGTGGAGGCGGGGGTACCTTGGGTTTCCTTCTGGCACCTGCGGGTTCGTAAATGTACTCTTCCTCTATAACCGAATCTTCGCTGTTCAGAGCGCTAAACGTAATCGCCACATCAGCGTCAGTGCAACAGAAAACGTGTCATTTGGACGTACACGAGTTGCTCCATGATCCAAGCCTCACGTCTCGATGCGTCATGCTCGCGACGGTTCACCGCCTCCTCACGTCTACCGATCTCGCGCTCGCGCTCGGCGATCTTGAGCTCGCGGTCCAAGATGTCCTCCGCACGAACCCGCGCCTGATCCCACCATCCAGGAGGTGTAAGCGCCTCCTCCTTTACAACCTCTTTCACGATCGTCTGAACGGGTGGAGGAAGTTCTGTAACTCTCTCCACAACCGTGGGACAGGGAGAACAAGCTGGTATGACGCCGCCAGGAGCACCGGCGAGTAGCTCAGCCTCCCGACGCGCGACCTCAGCTTCGCGCACGGCGATGTTGCTCTCGCGGGCAAGCAGCGCTTGGGTGCGTTTTGGCGTCAAATAATTCCATAGGCCTTGACCGTTCGGTTCGCCTGCGGGCGCTCCTTCTCGGGCGGCTTGAGTTGATGGTAGGGATAGCATAACCGCGAGCACCGCGAGTACGAGCGAGAGAACTAGAAGCAAAGTGGTCGAAGAGATGGTGCGATGGCGACGACTACGGGAGGAACTGCTGCGTTCCCGCTCCCTATCTCGAGCCGAAGACGAGGGTTGGGCCATCCTGACGCTAGCGGAATTCGAGGGCGACAAGGATGTAGTGGTAACGGCTCTCAGAGTAGACGGTATGGTGATAGACGTATGGCGGAGAGCGAGCTGTGCGTGACAAGTCCTGGGGATCCCTCGAGAGGTCTCCGAGTCGTGAGTTGATAAAGAGGCGCGAGGTCCGAGTAGAGACGAGCTCAAGGACGGAGAAAGAAAGCTCCGGCAAGCCGTGGCTGGCTTTCGAACATTTGTTCCTTTATCAGGAGAACTTGCTGTGCAAATAGGCCATAATACTTCTACACGTGTGCGAAGCCGCCGGAGTGTCATGTAAGTGATGGAACGAACGTTGGGAATACATGTGGACAGAACGGCGGAGACGCTGTACTCGACGAAGGGAGAGGGACACCAGTCGCAGGGCCAGTACCGAAGAATTTGAAGTTCATGCTGAACGACGCGGTCCTCGAGCTGATCATAGCGTGACGGGCGCAATAGCGTGTGACGTGACGCAACGCGCCCGATAAAGTCGCCACTCATCCTGCTCGCAACCTCGAGGAGACAGCCATGGACTTGCGGCGGTTTGCGCAGACTCAAAAAGCGAAGACGTCCAGCCCGTCTCGTATGAGCACATCACCAATCGCTCACGTTTCTTTGCCGTCCACCCCCATTCGTGGCGCCGCAATGCAGGCTACTCAGCATACTCGCCTTGTGTACCCCATTTCTCCTGTGACATCACCGTCTCTCTCTGCATCCACAGCATTTGACTGGGAGGCAGCTCGGTCCAGCAGACCGCCACCGTACTCTAGTCCTGCGGCGAGGCGTGTACGAAATGTCAGACAGAGCGATGTGGGCACAGGGTCGCCAGGACCCGCGACGCCTGGAGGTCATAGAAGAGGAAGAATTGTGCGGAAGAAGGGATTGATTGAACGGTATGTTCTGCGTGTGACGGCGCATCGCTTCTGCTAGTCCTCCATTGGGCTCAATATGCGTCCAGGATTACCGCTTTGCCTGCGGCGATAGCCTTCGAACTCTCGCTTTTCCCTTATAACGTTCCACTGCCAGCATCAAGAACTTTGGCATGGCTTATCGGTGGTTTCTTGCATTTCTTAAGCGTCTGTGTGTGCATCTCGCGCATCCGATCTCTGCGAGACTCGGACTTGGGCTGGGAGGATATGTATCGAGAGGAAGAAGGGAAGTCATGGTTTGACTGGGTACGGCATCAGTTTCCTTGCTGCGATTCGTCGTTAATTTTTGCTCGCTGGCCAGGCTTTCTACACAACTCTGCTTTCGTTGGTCACTTCGTTCACTCATGCTTTGTACTTCTTCACACGCACCCGACTCTACCAGCTAGCGATGGCCGCTGGAAATGTCCCTTCTCCACACGCCAAACTCGTTCCTCGTCCTCAGAGCCCCCGTGCATCGTCTAATGACGAGGATGAGACTGCGCATGCCAGTCACATTGGACCTCTCCTGCTGTCCATGCTTCGCAACCTGTGGCACGGACTCGTGGTTTCTGCCCGATTCCTACTCAACCTCGAGCCGCCCAAGGATAGGCAGACATCCTTCACGCTTAACGGAACGGAGAAGATTCAGGAGCTAGAAGTTTGGATTCCCTCGGAACTAGGTCGGGAGTTGTTCGCCATTTACTCGCCTGTGCATGCACTTCTCTGGACTGGAGTGACGACTGCGAACTGGATGCTGATGGGCATCATCATGGTCGTGACCACCATGCAAATACGGGTGACGACGCGTTCCTACGAACAGCTTATCAAAGATCGCGCAATCATTGCTGCAGAGGTGCTCCACGAGTATGATGTGAAGGTATGTTCTCCTCATCTTTGAGTTTTTCAATGTGTCTGAGATACATTTCTGTCCCAGTTTGTAATCCCTCATGTCAATCCCATCCGCAAGGATGCGGCCGTTATGACGCATGAGAGTGAGGTCGTGAACGCGTGGGGAAAATAAAGGAACCCTATGCCATCATCATTCGTCGGTTATCCTGCTCTGCCGTGGACATCAGGTTGCTCTCTGGAATTGCTTTCTGCACGCGCATATCGCAAGCTCGTATTCAGCTTTACATTTGGAGTTCTCCACAAGTCTGGGGTGAACAATATCCTATACCACTGCAACTATGATTTCCAGCATGTGTCAATGTATATATATATCCCTTTCTTACGATGGTAACGGTGTATTTGAGTGTCGTGAAGTAGCACGACGCCAAAACATGCTGCATCGTGCCAATCTTGATATCGTTGGCAGTCTCGGCAACTACTGTGACCGACGTTGACAGCTCTCCACAGATTCGACTAGAATGTCCGCCTTATCGTCGTAACGATAGAATTGCTACATTTCTGCATATTATGTGTCTGACCTGGTGGTCATCATAACACGGTGTACCACGGCAGATGCAAACGAAACCGTCCTCATTAGAAAGGGGGAATTTGCATAACCGAGGTGATGTTACCGGACTAAATCTTGATGATCTTCGAATTGCGCTACGGTCCGGTCTCGGATGAAGCCACCAGACGACGTATGCGTCGGTCAAAGTCCTAGTGCTCTATGCAGGAGCTCTGCAAGTGCATGCGCATGCACGCTACGAGAGACACAGAACCTCTTTCGTGCTGCTAGAGTGAAAGTGCGAGCGAGCAAGGGCAAGGACACTGGCGGCCGATTGTGGTAAGAGTGACTCGCGTTGGCGCCGCCTGTCCGCCTTCACGCGCGACTATCACCAGCAGGCAGAGGCAACGTAATATTGCGACCCTCCGACCATCCCCATCTTTTCCTTCTTCTACGACCTATCATCTGGCCAGCTCATCCGTCCAGTCCCGACCGTCATGGCGAGCTCGTTCGCCACATACGCATCCCAGTACCTGAACCGGCGGCAAGCCGGTACTTCTAGTCTCACCTCGTCCCAGCCCTTGTTCTATTCCTTCTCGTCTGAGGATGACTCGCGGCAAGGCAGTCCCGTGGAGGCAGATCTTGACGACCTGGACGACCCGCACCTGGACACGAGCGTTGCAAGCAGAGGTACAGTGAGGAGAGAGGGGACACACACGCTCGGACATGAGGAGGACGATGATCCGTACCTGCGCCTCGATGAGGAGGACCTTAACGTCTCTCACCATCAATCATACTCAATACCATTGCTTGGTGCGTCAGATCGAGAGGATGCGAAGGGATGGTTAGCGCATGCGTCACCCTTGCGGTCGCCCTCCCCTTCACCTTCTTCATCCTCAGTGGACTCAGGACGACCTCCATCTGACATTCTCAGTGCATCGTCGCGACCACTTCCGCACGTTGAACCTCCAGAATCGCCACTAATACCGCCGCCTCCACGCGCAGAGATCACGCTCTCGCTAACAGAATCCCTATTACCCCGCGACGGCCTCACACGGCCCCTCGACGTATTCTCCCTCCCAGATCTTCGATACATCCCTCGCGGCCGTCGGAAGTACAACGACTTCGTATGGACCGCCCTGTGGTGTGCGAGTGTCAGCATCTGCATTTTCTTCTCTATCCTCATCCTATTCCTCACTCGCCGACCGACGAAACACCCACAAGTACCACTGCCTTACGTTACATTACTGCACACAATTCCATTGCTCACGATACTGACGTTTCTAAGTGCCCTTGTTGCCTACTTGCATGTCTTCCTGCTACGGATCTTTGTGAAGCCTGTCATGATTGTGACATCCGTCTTCATCCCTGCCACGCTGTTCATTTCGGCTATCTGGGCTTTCGTAGGCAGCTTCATGTGGGAAGCCGGCACAGAACCTACCTGGGGCGAAACAGTCGGGTACGTCGCCAGACTCCTGATTTGCATAGTTCTAACTTGCCTTGCAGACTGCGGCTGTTTTCCTTGGTTCCGCTGGTGCTCTCTCTGCTGACCGCTCGCAAGCTACTCGATCTCCCCCGAGACATTCATACTGCATCCTCCCTTCTCACCCTCACCACACGCCTGCTTATGATGAATCCCTTCCTCCTCGCACTCTCCCCTGTGGTCCTACTCGCTGCGCTTCTTGCGTCCATACCATTTATCACGCTCGCGTTCCGCCTCCTCCTTATCGGGTACTTTGGCCATCCGCACGGTAGCAACTCTGGGTGGGAATGGTACGTCCGCGGTTGGGCGAACTGGGCGATTGCGGGGACAATCGGGGTTTGGCTATGGAGCTGGGGCGTCGCGCGCGGAGTGCTCCGTGTGACTTGCGCTGGAGTGATTGGTGCCTGGTACTTTGCTGAGTGCGTACATATCGTTGCAGCTTGCCATGTACTGCTTGAGTGCTAATCTTGCCCCATATGTATCAAGCCCCGCACTACCTCCTCCCCCGCCAACCAATACACACACCATCCACGCGGCTATTACGCGCGCGACTCAACCTTCGCTCGGTACTGTGGTCCTATCTGCGCTCATCATAGCAGTGATCCGCTTCTTGGGGCTACTTGTGGCAGGGCTCCGTGCGCTGCCATACTATTTGCCGCCCTACATGCGCTTGGTGAGCGTGGCGGCAGGATTCGCGGTGGGTTATATGGAGAATGTGACGGGAAGCCTGAGCAAGTACGCGCTAGTGTACACGGGGTTGACGGGAGACGCATTCTTCCCCAGTGCACGGCGCTCACGAACGCTGACCGCTGAGGTAGAGAAGTCGTCCGTTGTTGATTACAGACGCAGGTTCAAGACTGAACGTAGGTCATACGACCACTAATACTTCGGCTCGGGACTGACCTTCCATTGTAGCATCTCTCACTATCCTGACTTTCGCTCCTTTGACCCTCACGTTCCCTTTCGCTTTGGGGACTTACTTGTTTGTGGCTCACACGCTGAACGCGCCGGATTCAGCACTGTCTGCAGCGCTGCTCGCAGGCACGATCACCGCTCTTGTAGGCCTGTTTTGTATCGGCCTCGTGCGAGATACGTGAGTGTTCCCGATATCTGTCTTCGGTCTGCAGTGGTATGCTGACAGTAATCCGTGCAGTGCGGACACTCTCTATCTGTGTTACTGTATAGATAGGGGTGTTGGAGAACGGCATCGAGATGAAGTGTTCGAAGCGGTACGATGATTTTTTATTCAAAATCCTCCATTTCCTGATGACTCCCCACATTGCAGTTCGAGTACCAAAGCCGGAGACAACAGCCAACTCAAGCGTCTCGACCGCCTCCGTCCGCACAAGAACCGCAGCGCTTCCGGCAACCCGACCTCCTCGTAACACCACCTGCAGCGCCGCCGCCACCCCGCGCAGAGACGCCAGATCCGTTCGAGCAGTCGCCTGACCTTGAAGCACAGAGCTACCCGGGGCCATCTTCGCCCAGCACGTCCGCGCTCACCTCGAAATCGAGGATGCCGCTGAGCAGGCGGGAGAGCGTCCTGCCGGAGCCGATGCTGAGCACGACGCTGCCATTGCATGAGGAGAGCGATGAGGATGAGGATGGCGAGGGCGAGGAGTCGCAGCTGTTCCCCGGTTCGGACCTGTTCTGATGCAAGCTTCCCTTATTACGTCGCAGCAAGATGATGTGGATGTGGAACCTGTGTAGTGCAATGTATTTTGCCCTTGGGCTGCTTCTGTAAGATGTTTGTCCTGGTCGTACGCAACGCCGGTGGCCTGGCGTTGCTTTTGGTTCCGTTTGGCCAGGACTCGCTGTCCGGGACTCCTGCCACTCACTTACTCACTCGCTCACGCATCATGCCATGCCATGTAATTTAATGTCATGCATCTACTATTTTGATCACTGCTGTTTTCTCTTGTCGTGTCATGTATACAGGTCCTGTTTGAATGTGATACTCTAGAATGCTTACATGTTGTCCTATTTATGCCATGACGCTACTCGCCCGAGTCCTCCACGCTGTGTGGGTGGCCTCGACCTATCAGCGCTTCAGCCGCAATAGCGGAAGCTTGTGCTTCTGCGAAGACTTACGCATCCAGTGCTGCCTGGCTCACGGTGCAGCAGCATACGTTCCACCCTCACCAGCGCTCCGTCGGACTGCGTAGTAAGCCCAAGGCTCACGGACGCACGCAGCCCGTTCCTCCCGCTTACTCAGTATCGCGCTCGCGCTCTGAACTTTGCTGAGCATCTGAGACACCGCCGGAGTTCATCGCATACTAGTGTGACTATGTGCCAGCCGCCCGTTCGCAGCGGCATCGCATTACTTACGCCCTGGGACGTCAAATTGGATCTGTGTGACTCACAAGCCCGTAGCATGTGGCCCGCATCTCCCTCTACCTCCACAGGCGCGATAGAGATTAGTCAACCCTCCGTCCTCCTCTCATATTATCAAAAGCGGCAGCATGTTCCGAGGACGATGACTGTTGAGTCCCGGCGCGTGTCTGCACTGCTCGAGTCACTTCCGGATTGATACTCGATTGCCGTCTCGAGCGCAGGGGTTCCCATACACACATGTGTCTTCTTATATGCTGCCAGGCACGGTCGCGGAGTGGTGGTGGTATGGCGAGGCGTCCGCGCCGCAGAGGCCGGGGGTTACTCGTTATTCACGCACGTTCGCCGCACGCTGTATGCCGCATGACGGTGGTGATAGCAAAGCTCCTCGGATAGAGCATATCAAATTAATCAACGAGGGTATCTCGTCTACGCCTTTGGTCAGAAACGCACCTCGATAGACACAATCGGATTCTAGACGATACAAGGTTATGTAAATGCGCGTACGCGCTGGGAGCATTCGACGGAAGTAGCTTTGTATCTCCTGCACGCAGATAATTTACATAAACCGAGCGGAAATTCCGCTGAACGCTGCGAGGGGTGTTGGGGTGATATGAATGCCTTGCGTTGATATATTCATACAGCGAGACTCGATCGTGGGGAGCATCTCGCCGGCACCCTCCGGGAATCAAAGGGCCAAGGGGTAAGCAACTGCCCCTGCTGAGCGTGGGCAGCGTACTGACGCGTTGCATGACATATACTGGAATGTATCAGAAGACATACAAGAAGTGGCCGAACAGAGCGGAGAGAGAAGAGCTGTGGTCAAAGATAGATAGCTAAGTGACGTCAAGGAGCTCGAGGGCGGACCTAGAGGACTTCGTGGGGCAAGGGGCCCTGTAATATGTCCGTGAGCTTGTGCAGAGTCATGAGAACGTAGGAGGATCATATGTTGGCTATTCCAATCGTCCGACGGTACTGCTGGTCATAGATAGCTCTTCGTTGCCTCGGTACTACGGCCCTGATAATGAACGACCTGGACATGCTCCGAGGGGCAGCGGGTCAAATGAACGTACCATTGCAGTCATACGCATGTAGCTATCCCCAGGCATCCGATGGACTTATTCGCCACTGGGTTTGAACGTTGACCATTAGATAGTCGATCTTCTGTGCATTCTGCCCGACTAGCTCCGAGATATGCATCCAGGAGCGACATTTCCCAGACCATGGTCAGGCAGCGAAGTGTGTCCACGCCGACAACTACACGACAAGTCCGAGATACCCTTCGTCCTGAGTGCGCATGTCGGTTGTCAAAGCCGCGTGTGCAGTGGCCCGGCCGATAAGATAATCTTTAGAAGCAGCATAACGCACTGGCGGAGCAAGCCTGGCCGTGACGTCAGGCAACGACGAACCTGATTTTGATTGCTGCTGCGACGACAGCGCACTTCCGCTCTTGATCGCACCTATCTATACTTGCCGGGCTTGCGCAGTTCGACGGCCGTGCGCGTCCTTGGAAGCAGTGCACGTACAGAGCAACCAAGGCACACTCGCGACACTAGTACCCCCCATGAGGCGCGGAGCTTGTGCATCACCAGACCGTCTTCGCAGAGCAGCGGCCTGCTTATCCGGCGAGCATCGCGTACTGTGCGAGAGGAACGACCCATTCCAAGAACCCCAAGCATTGCATTGCGCGGGACCACGAGCCACGGGTTTGACCAATCTCATACACACGGTCATACGTCGTCTGCGATTGGGTGCCGCGCAGGTGCAGAGCAAGGACGCGCAAGTGCACGGCCCCACCGTTCCACACGTCCAGGCATCAGCCAGGCGACTCTGTGGCGACACGCATGACGCGCGAGCTGGGGTCTGGAATGCTTGAGCCTGAGCCAGAGTGAGAGTCTCCAAAGTCCAGCAGTGCGTCAGAAAAATGGCAGCAGACCGGCGCGCAAGTTAGGAGGAGCCGTCGGGGGAGCCTCACCCTGTATCGGCCCGCCCCCGTCCGACCCTCCCCGACGCGACCCACGTGATCGCGTCACACCTGACGCCCGTTGCGCTCACAGGCCGACGTATCGATGCAGCTCTTCCAGCATCGCAAACGTTTGCACCTTACAAGTCCTCGCGTATCATGTTATTTCGTTGCTTATTTGTGACTACGATAGTGCTCCTGCTAGCTGCTCGTCACCTTGGTCATACTACCAGCTACATATGTCATATCGACGACTCGTCATAAACTTGACTCATACCGTACCGTAGAACCGTGCGGCTCCTCCTAGCGAAGGCCTAGTCTGAGGAATATCGTGTGGGACCGGATGGGATATATCGAACGCGAAAGCGAGAACTGTAAAAGACTCCGGCAATGTGGACGAATCATGGAGTGATGCCCAGCTGCTACAAATGCGATAGAAAATGTTCAATCGAAATGCAAGGAACCTCTAGAGCCATCGCGCCCCGGGCGTACCGCGGGGCATGTCACTGCGCTCCCCCGGCGAATCCGCGGGATAGGCTGAAAAGTTCAAATGCAAAAAATGTGTGCGACGCTGATGCGAATGGAAAGCGGGGGGTTCATGCGAAGATGAGAGGCGAGATGAAACACTCGGACAGGACGAGAACCGCCGCGATCGCGCCGATAAGGACGTGCAGTGGCTCGATAGGTGGAATCGCTTAAAATGGGATATGGCGTGAGGTGATGCGCGTGATGGATGCATGCGTTGCGGGACTGGACAAAACAGGATGCGATGGATAGGAAGACGCGGTCGCAACAATAGTGCGAAGGGGTCGGAGAAACTGAATGCGTGTGTGCACGATCAACAGCCCGGGCTGCATCAATTTCCCGACCCGCCACACAAGCCTGACTCGGAAGCAGTACGAGCCGAGCGCGTGCAGCGCATCGAGGCAAGCAGATCAGCGCCCGAGGAACCATCCAAGATAGGATGTGCGATGAGGCCAGGTGATGATGTGAAGGCATGAGAGTCTGCGGCAAAGACTATACTGTCGCGTTCGAACGCCGTCTGCTGCGTACGCTCAATCGCCGCTTTGCGTGGTAGATGCCAAATCGGAACCGTAATAAGGTTGCTTGCCATTGTTGGCGGAGGGCAGCGACGCACGTCGGGCTGACGAAACGCGAATCCATATGGCCATCGTGAGCGATCATTCTACAGAGTGAGAAATGCGAGGGGACATACACAGTGTCCGCCTGGTCGCCGGCCACCGAGAACTGCCGCTGAGACGATCGCTCCACGGCGACCTTCTCAGATAGAGATGCCTCGTGCACCTTCGACTCGCTCTTCTTGGACCCCCTTCTCAATATACTGCTGTGGCCGCTACTTCTCCGCGCTTCCTCTACTAGCTGCTCCGGCTCCTCTGGCAGGAATGGCGATTCCTGCAGCGGCGAGTCGTGTATTTGCGTTGTCCCGTGCTCGTCATCCATCGAAACCGTTGGCGAACTCGCGATTGGCTGTGGCTCCCCGACGATGAATTGTGAGTACGACGTGTACGGCTTGAATGTGTGCGCGGTGTGTATGCTCGCACTGCGGCGCATGTTCACGGTCGACGCAAAAGGCGAATAGTGCGACTGCGACTCGTTCTCGTCCGCGTCCTCCATCTCGCGGTCCTCGTCCTCAATCTCGTGTGACCAGTCGCGCTCCCATTCGGGTCGCGTCATGGCAGAGTACGTGGTTGACGAGTACCGGCGGTCGGTGTTGCGGCTGGTGCTGGACGAGCGCGTCGTGGTTCCGTCACTGCGGCGGCGCTTGTAGCGCGACGAAATGCTGGGAAGGGCCTGTGGCGAGAGGACAGGGAAGTCGCGGTAGTCGGGGTCGTGGAGGTCGCCGTTGCGGTCGACGTACGCGCGTGTCTGGTCGTTTTTGTGCTGTGTGGGGCTGGTGCACGTTGACGAGCCAGAGGAGGAGGAGGCGCTCGCGTAGGCGGGGTCAAGGAGACGGGAGATATCTGCGGCGCGCGTCGAGGGAGAGTACTGGGACTGGTGGGAGTGCGGCAGGAGGGTGGAGATGTGCGAGATGGGTGAGTGCGAGCGGTGGTTGCCGCGGTGGTGGACGTGATGATGGGTGTGGTGGCCGTGATGGTGATGCCGGTGGTGGGGGGAGGGCGGGGGGGCAGTGGAGGAGGATGCGACAGAGGGGCACAAGTCGTACATCGCTGAATGGGGCGGAGGGGGAACCCTGGAATATTCTGTCGGCTGTCGCGGTTATATAGGAGGCCTAGTCGGCTAGAGCAGTGGCCTGGGTCGGGGAGGAGTTCGCGTCGGGGAGGGAGGGGGAGGAGGAGGAGAGGACGTGTGGCTGCTCAGGATCGGATTGGCGGGGATATATAGGCATGGCAGCGAGGGGGTTGAGATCACTCATCCTGGATCGCTCGGAGGTTGCGTAATCGGCTCAAACCAATCTCGGGCGCCTGTCCAGGCCACGCCCAACCCGTTTCCCACGATTTTCTCGCTATCCATATCCATTTTCCCCCGCCACGCCCCATCCCACCTTGTCTTCCACACGCTGCCCACCGCATAATTCGCTTGCATCTCACACCCCCCGTGATGTCCCGCACACTGTCCGCACCGGGGTCTGACGAGTCCGCCCGCGTTCCAATGCGCTACGGCCACTGCGTGCCAATCGGCTCAGTGCCCCGGCACTCTGCCGCGCCCAATCCTCGGCCGAGTCGTAGCTCCCGCTTTGAGTTCCGAATTCCGAATCCAGTATCCACCCTCTCCATTGATTTCCCGCACGTGGTAGTTTTCATTGCGTCGCCGCTCGAATCGGCACGAGTCTCCCCATAGACTCTTCGCCCAGGTCGGTCGATCCTTTCGACGACGTTCACGGCCGTGGCTCCCTCTCAGCGTGGTGCAGTCTATCTCGTCTACAGGCTCTCGACTCATCCTGTTTGTCCTCGTGCACGTATCCTTACGTGGAGTCATCCCTGATTCAGATCCTTGTGCACCTTCCAGATATGGATTGGCTATAGTTGTCGCTGTCATGACTAGTTTCTAGGTTATGGAATCTATACCGGAGTGTTGCTTCAATCATGGAAGGTCTTCTCCCGCATCATGTCTCGTCCGATAGATGTGGTCCGCATGCGCTCTCAAGCTCATGGTCAGGCGCTATGGAAGAGCCAAGTGACGCCCGCAAGCCACACACCATGCCTCTTCTATTACGCCCAGGCCGATTACACCGGCCAATGTAAATACTTCTTCGAGCTTCCGCAATACTTACTCCATCATTCTATCGGCCCTGCACGTCGTCCGATTGCAGCAGGAATCGCCGTATCCTGTAAGTGCCCGTTTTACGAGTATGCTGTACACGTTCTACCCCATCAGGGACATCTTTATTCAGTGCAGCTAATGTCGGAAAATCCTCCCGTTTCTGGAACCAGGCGTGGTGGTAACAAAGCAATTGGATGCTGCGTTTCTATTCGCTCAGCGTTGACGACATCATTTTGCATCCACCCCCACCCGCACTATTTCCTGCAAGTCCATCGAGAGTCCAGTGCGGCCTATGTGCTTCGACACCGTTGACATCCTAACGCAGGAAGCTGTCACCCCGGCCTGGCCCGCCCGATCTGCGAACAGTAGTCGATAACCAAATTCTTATTCGCCCGATCGCGGACGTTCACAGCGTCCGTCGTTCGCCAGCTAGCTTCTTGTTTATTCCCATTGCATTCAAAGCAGAAGACGCACGGAGTCATTAAGCGAATAGTCGCATCTCGATGGTGCACGAGATGCCATCTTCCCTTCGTCGCTCCGCCTGGCTCCGACTTCCTTTGCCCCGGCCCGTGCAGCAACGCTCGATTGTGATTCGCTTCGAAGCTAAGGATGTCTTCACGACGCTCGTCCTTAAGTGCTTCCCCATATAGTGCAGGCTCTGTCAACTCTGGACGAGTCCGACCGCGGACGTCCAGAGCCATTGAACGTCCTCCCACATGCGTGCCCCCCTGACAAGGGGAACACTCAATCTAGCGTGTGTATCTGAATGCTGAAGACGGATGAGCCGATCGGTTGTATTCCAGGCACGCTTGACAGGTTTCCCGCAGGCGCCGGGCATTCTTTGCTGTGCATCGCGTATTCTCCCGATTCCATCCTCCGATTGTCACTTGGCAGGAGCGGATGCGGGGAAGTATGGGGACTGCACTAGCGGGCCACGGACGGTATGAGGCCGACGAACCATCGGTAGCTTTAACCTGGAGCTATGAGCCACTTCGCATTTGTGGGGTGGGTGGCCACTGAGTGGTCAGGTGCTCACAGCTCCATACTCCGGTGTAGTCGCCGCATAGAATGTTTGAATGGGCAGTTCGGTTGGTTTTCCTTGTTGCACACTTAGGTATCCTTTTCACAGTACACGTTTGGCAAAATTTTATAAACGCTAGACGCACAGCGGTGGTCCATCTCTTCTGTGGACACGCGGTTCACATCGCGCGTTCTGCTTCCTTGCTGAGAATCCTAACCGTTCAGCGGTGTGCTTAATAGCCGGCGCCCCATTCGTCGCTCAAAGCCGATATACGAGGAAGGCTTAGCAAAGCTCACGAGCGCGGACCAAGTACCCAAGCATACCGATGAATCTCCGGTTAGCTGCGTCGTCCTCTTCTCCTTCCCTTCCGTTCACCTTATCTATATTTTCATCTCGATAACGGACGGTTCTCTCACCGATGCTGGCGTCTATGCTCGTGGATCGTCGTGATCATGGAGAGAGAGGAAGGTGTGAGCACGTCATGCGCTGCTGGCTTCGTGTCCGTGCGCGTCCCGTCCTGCGTCGCAGAAGATGGAATGAGGCTAGGATCAATTCGTCAGCGTTTTATGATGAGAACCGCGTCGTGAGCGTCAAGACGTCTGGAACTCATGACGCATGACAACGGAGCAATCCCGCCCGTTCGTCATTAACACGATCGGACCTACACGGTTGCACAGCAATCCTTACTCACTGAACCTTTGCACGGGTAGTTACGCATTAGCGTTCAATATGACTGTAGCCCTTTCATGACATCAACTTCATTCAAATGGTTCTCAGCTTCAGACGCCGGTCGTTCCATATGCTCTCGCCCCTGTGGCGCGTCTCGACTCGTCGAAGTTTCTCTCCCTTATCTTCGTCAGCCAACGGTGCCTGTTCACGCTTCGCAAATTGACAAGGCTGTCCATCAGACGGAAAAACAAGCGCGCTCTGGTTTGCTCTGTCCTCACGTCTCTCGGCGGTGGCCGCCAACGCAAGCGCGCCGAACGAGTCGTCAGCAACAGCCACAAGCGTGTCTGCCGAAAACTCCCAAGCGCCGCGAGCCCTAACCCTAGTCTCCGCATGCCAACTCCGCGATGCCAGCAAACTCGTTTTAAAAAAAACATTTCAGATTTACTCCGATATGCTGGATCTATTGCAATCGCCGCAGGCCGAGGAGATTTTCCGGCGGAGTCGTTAGCCGGGGATGATCGATCTTGTTGTGTGGCTTGGTCCACCAACGCGTGCGCGTTGGGCTGCCTCAAGTCGCACGCCTCGTGTGGCCTGCTCCAACATCCTTTGTGTAGCGTTCCGCGTCGGGCTTCGAACTCATCGACATCGATACTGCGTCGTGGCTGATCAGTATCGCCTTGTCCCCAGTTGCCCGCTCCGAGTGATAGCGAGCGAGCGACTGACGTTCAACGACCTTGTGGTTGTGGGCTGTCGTACCTTCGCACTGTCTTTGACTTTCAATTTCGGCTGTTCCCCGCTGATGTATGAGATATGCGAGCTCGTCTTGCGTTCTCGGGCATCACTTTGTACCATCGTGGTCAGCCGTTAACCTCAAAAGGGCGTCTATGCTCGACTGATCAGTATCTATGACATGATCCTCCCGAGTTCGTACGATGCATGACCTTTGTGCATTCTTCATATTACTCTGCTCTCGTTCTCGTGCTCGTGACTTTGCGATGAATCATCAGGGCACGCATCCGGTCACATCGGACATTCTTCGTCTTCTTATGATTGTCGAGGCATCTAGATCCAAGCGACCTTGTCCTGGTCTTGTTGGCCCTTCATGCGTATGTCCTCTTGCTTTACCAGTCTACTAGGTTCAAAGCTGTCGTAGAACGTTTCTATCGTATTCATCAGCTGGCGTTCTCTGGTCATCGGGTCACGTATTACGCCTCGTGTCTTGCTTCGGTCTGACTCAGGCTGACTCGCGATGTGTCTTATAATAATTGTCTTCGAAGAGCCGCCCGCACTGCGTACTGCCTCCAAGTAGCACGCTCCTGTTCGGCTGTCTCACCCGAGCATTCCGCGGTCCGTGAGACGCGCCGGTGGTTCTGATTGCGCCGCAGTAACCCACATTCCTGATCGTTACTGATCTCTCTGGCTGATATTCAATCGGTGACTTGCTATGCTTTACTATGGATGAGCTCTGTGGTCTGAACTTCGAAGTAGAAGCGCCTGCTTCTCAGGATGTTTGCTGGAGCCTCTGCGATTGGTGAGACTGAAGTATGAAGCATGCGAGTGTGTCATAGGTGAGCCTCACCGTGTATTTGAACGTCATTCAGCCTCATCACAGCACGAGCTAGGGACCGATATTCATTACTGCCTTCATCCGTGCCTTCATACTTGGGACACGACGTCACAGTGCGAGGCACGGACAGTCTCGCTGATGTGGAGGCTGCTTCTTGCTACCTCATTCTGGATGGACTCCGGCTGCGTGGCGTTGACCAGTGCGTCACTTGCAAATACGGACTGTCGTGCGTCTGGTCACCACCTCGGTTGTATTGGGGTCAGAAGTGGCTCGTTATCACCTCACGGTGCTGCCATAGTGGTGTGGCTAAGGCTTATGATCCGTTTGAAATCGCATTGATCGTTGCCAACAAGAATATCAGGTGATTTTATCCGCATCTGGTTCACGACTGTGGGTGAGTGGGCAAACGACCACTGTGATACAACAGTTGAAGGTCCAGACGCAGACCGCCGCCAAGTGTTATGTGGCTTGGGCATCTCTACAGAGCATGAGGCAGAAACTACCGAGATGATGCGGTGCAATGTGAGGAGGTAGGTGTACAGCGATGCTCGATTCTCACGCAATGTTGTTGCTGGACATGCGCTCGCCGTATCTCCGCTATTCTCCCATCATTGATGCATTCACTCATGTTGATACGCAGCACAAGAAGAATTGCCCCAAGTCTCAGACCATGTGACCTGCTGGAAGTTTGATCACTGTTCCACAGGAAGCGAAAAAAAACGTATGTGGAATGTTACATCCTTATTATAAGTTATAGGTGCCGCCATAGTTGCTCTAATGACCAAACCTTCACTGTAGGACGTTTTGAGAACTAAGCGTGCGGGCCATGAGGCGATAACACTTGTACGTCATGTCTTATTCACTTGCTTGCAGGCTCCTCTGACATCGTCCAGGCAAGCCTCCGCATCGACCAGTCTCCGGCCGAGAGTTCTTTCGCTTGTTGCATGCAACCTCAAATCATCCAATAGAAATTGGCAATGCCCTTCTCGGCGGCTCGTGTACGGGAACGTCCGCTCTGGCGTTCAGGTTGTCATGCAGCTGACCACGAGTTGAGATCTTTGATCAGAGATTTCCAGCGTCACTGTGTTTCTCGTTCGCCGAGCCTGGCAATCATCTGTGCTGCGTGGGCCCGGCTCGCACTGGATTGAGAAGATAGGCCCAGAGGGTTCATAAGCCCGCAAAGGCCGAACACGCCCTTAACCACGATCACAACATTGCAGAGAGTACCCTGATGAGATAAGAGATGTTGCTTCTGGCGCAGTGACCGAAGAGATGAATGTCTGATACATGAGTCCACCTGCGTACATAGCTACTACGTTGTGCCGCTGGCAATACATGAACGTAGTAGTCTGGAAGTACGGCTAGCAACATTCGTACAGTACAAAGCTCCAATGGATCGCCCGCCTAGTGGCCACCCTCAGATCAGTGATGTGTTCGTCAGGGTAATCATAGCGGTTAGGGCTACCGCATCAATGCGATCCTATATGACCCGTAGGAGTCTCTGTGAAGGACCCAACACCGCCATCGTTACCGGACGAATTCATTTCGGCTATCGTGCAGTAAAATTTTTCTATGAAGAAACGGGAAGATAAAGGATCATGCCGACTGCGGGTGCAAGTGCGTTACGAGCGCCTGGCATGTGGGAGGGATCTTCAGCGACTAATTAAGGCAATCATCCACGATGAAATTTGAGATAGCATATACAAATCGCCACAGCAAAAGCGCCATGCAACGATGCCAGATTTTCGCACAGCGGAAAACGTTGCAGCAAGATGGCCCGACCTTGATCGGCGCGAAATGAGCGTTTGCCTCCCCGTGGGGCCAGCGCTTTCCCGGTATGGCAGGTGAGATGGTTCGTGGCGGCAACGTGCAAATAGGGACATGCTTCCTCACGTTCAAGTCTCCGAGCTCGCTGTCAGGACCCTTCTTTGTTTTGACCTCCATCAACGCTGTCCTCCAACATCTCCGCGATTGAAAGGACCAGATTGGTAGCCGACAAAGCATAATGTCTGCTCCGAAAGCCCTTGGCATCGGACAAGCTCCGTCGCTTGTGAACGCTTCTGGACATGAGCCCGTCGGCAAAGGCGTTCACGGTACGGTTCCATTACGTTCTCCAACACAGCCGCTGAGGGCACGACTGCAGCGGGCAGTGTGCTATCTAGGTTCAGAAGACTTCATATTGCCTTGCTGGTATGGCTTGCGATCAGTTGCGTACACTGGATGGGGATCGGGGGCGGTCCCGGAATGCGTGGAGCCGACAAAGTCGAACATGAGGCCGTCGGTCGCTTGCCAGGTATGGAATGAGCTTGATGGATGTCAAAATCAATTTGAGTTGACGGCGGATCGCCCTCCGCAGTAATGGGATACAACAGTGAGGTTCCGGCTGTTTGGGCTAGCAGTTACGTCTAACTCAACGATTGATCCAACTTGGGTAGCATGGAATGCCTACTATGTGCGCGCCGTTGCAATACCTGTTCGGTTGTACAATTCTGATGCTGTCATTAGTGCAATATTGATGAAAACCTCATCCTGAAGACGGCTAAGCTCATGAAGTCCCTCGGACTAGCTGTACGTACCTTATGACACATGCTGCTTTTGCGGCAAGTGCTTAACGCTTAATAGGACGTTGGCTACAACTATGTCAACATTGATGACTGCTACTCCGAGAAAAACCGAAGTGCCTCAGGTGACATTGTTGCCCGTAAGCAGCGCTCGGCACTGGAAATATTTGGAATTTATTGAATCCCGCTATGTTGGTTCTAGATCAGGAGCGCTTCCCATCGGGTATGAGGAATCTTACTGACCAGATCCATGAGATGGGATTGTAGGTCTCTCTCGATGAAATTCTTCACTTTGAGATCCGCTCATCCGGACATTTGTAGCAAAGCCGGCATTGTAAGTTCTGACATGTAAACAGCGACGCCCAATGCCAATTAGCGAATTAGTATAGCGACTCGGGCTGGTTCACTTGCCAGTTGTACCCCGGGTCATTCCAGAATGAAGCAAGGTACGTGCATAGAGAACAGAGAGTACATGCTGGTGGTACTAATGCGCGACTCAGAGATGCGAAACTCTTCCAAGAAGAATGGGGCTTTGACCTGCTGAAGTGAGTAGGCAATCTGTTCGTAAGGCATGACTCACCGTCCAGCCAGGTACGATAATTGCGCCAGTATGTGCCGTGCCACATTTGCATCTGCCATAAGAGGATGTCACTAAATTCTCTCCTAGTCCCATTCGACGAGGTCATTAGGGAAGGCATGGTCGGAAGTCAGTTTGAACATCATCATATGTTACTATCTTGGGGTGCCTGACCATGGACTGCCTCAGAGTTCAGTCGCATGGCGGACGCTATCGCAGATCTCGCTAAGTCCTCCGGGAAGCCTCCATTACTATTCTCTCTGTGCCAGTGGGGTGAGGTCAGTAGCACGAATCACTACCAGAACTGTGAGCGAGTCTGATGGCGCGAGTCCAGGAGCAGCCTTGGCTGTGGGCAAAGCGGTTTGGCCAGAGTTGGCGGGTATGTTACCAACACCCGTTTGCTCTGGTGCACATCTAACAATATCCACCCATGCGGGGAAATAAGACAACCGGTGACATCGGTGAGTTGTCTCGCCTGAATGCGGTAACAGCCAGCTCATCTCATCTCACCTTTGCCAGAGGCCAATTGGCGCTCTGTTATGAACATCTTGAATCGGTATGCACGTTGTTCCGTACTCCAACGGTGATTACTGACAGCCACCAGAAACTCATTCATTACATGGGCGACTGATTTCTATGGACACAATGACATGGATATTGTGAGTGTTCCTGAGGCAGCACTTTTGTGATGAACGGACGAGCTAAGTTGCGCATTGTGGATTCTAGCTGGAAGTGTACGCATGTAACAAGAACGGTATTGGATGACTCTCTTCTAATAGCTGACACCTAGTGGCAACGGTGACCTTACGTATGAAGAAGCGAAGTCGCACTTCACTGCATGGGCCCTCATGAAATCACCTCTGCTCATTAGCACAGACGTGAGTCTTTTTACATTATCTCGCCGTCGCTACCCATCCCAACTTGCACGACGTTATACTCGGTCAGCTTCCTACCGTGTCGAAGGAGACAATTGAAATTTTGATGAACGAGGAAATCATTGCGATCAATCAAGACCCAGTCGTCGGTACGAGCATTAGCCCATTCAGATGGGGAATCAACGTGAGTGGCTGCTGGCATTTTCGATTATTGAGCTTTGTTGCTGATTAGATTTAGCCCGACTGGACAAGCAACTCGACGCATCCAGCACAGTACTGGAGCGGGGAAAGCGAGAACGGGACGGTCTTCATGCTGGTACGTTCTAGTATGCCTCCATGCTTCTAGGACCATCCCGATGATATCCTTGACGTTCGCATGGACTAGCTGAATACTCTGGACGAGCCGAGAGACATGTCCTTCAGCTTGACGGAGTCGCCGTGGACCAGGGCGGGTCGGCAATATTCGGTTCGCGTAAGTCGTTCCCGACGCCGTGTCCGCCGTACAGTAAGCGCTCATCGATGATCTTCCATTCGGTCGCAGGATCTATGGACGCACACGGAGAATGGGACCGCTGTCCGAAACTTCACTGCGCACGCCGTACCCGCACATGGCGTTGTCGCGCTGCTGCTGAAGGATGCAGGCGACGAGCCGTCGGGGATCTACCCTCCATGTGCGCGGACGGAGTGGTGCATGAGCGAGAATGGAACCCGATACGATCAGCAGATGTGACATAACTGCGACGAAATTTGCGCTCTCCCTGCTCCCTGATGCTCTGGACGACGAACTCGATTTGTACATTTCTAATGTTCTTGGCATGAAATTACTTCTCGCCCGCCGGAATAACGCTCATTCGCGTTGCATGAACTGTACTTGCTGGAAACTTGTCTGGCCGCGTAACCGAGACTCTGTGGGGCTGTCTGTAATTTGGGTCGTCAGACTGGCGGATACTCCCAGCACCTTGGACAGCGATCCCCTCCTGCATTGAGCAGGGGGCATAAAAGGCAACCGCAAGTCGGTGGCCGGATGATGCCGGAGGGCGGGGCGACGGAAGTCAAATTTGCGTTGGCGGGGGACGCCGATGAAAAAAAGGCGCGCCGATCGTAGCATGGTGGCGGCTGTGATCGCACAGTCACGTGCACTCGCGATGGAGTGGAATTTCCGCGATGCTAAGGCGGGGTTGGTCAATTGCAGTACCCGACCCGGCTGGCTTCATGTTGGAGAACAGTCAGCGCGGGTGTCTGGATTGCACAAAATGCGCGGGGCGACAGCAACCGGATACCTTCACCCTCAACCACCACTATTCCCCAGCTCCGGCCGCGGGTCCCCTTCACGTCCACACGGTCCCCCCATTCAACTGAGCCACGGATCACACGACCCATATGGCGGGCAAGCGAGAGCGCTCCTCGATCACGGCAGGCCGGAACGGCACCCTCGATGAGGCCAATTTACCCGCGTACGAGATTGACGAGAGTGGCTTGAAGAAGGACCATGTGCACACGGACGTCAGCAGCGAGATTGACGGCTACGTCAATGAGGATGAAAGCGAAAGTGGGTGCCATGAAATTTTGTGTGGTCGCTTGCCGACTTTACTGATTAATGTGCTGGTTTACAGTCAAGTATGCCACCATGGTATGGTGGAAAGCGGCGGCATTGATGCTTGCGGAGACCGTCTCTCTTGGTGTATGCATGCTCTACAACGCCACACGAAGTGTGCTGACTGTCTTTCAGATCCTCTCCGTCCCATCCGTGTTCGCCACCCTCGGAATGGCTGCCGGCGTTATTCTCGTCCTTGTATGCTGCATCGCACTGGCATGATTTCTAATTCATCCTGATCTGGTATCATTACTAGGGCTTGGGAAGCATAGCCACGGCATCTGGATACATGATTGGAGCCTTCAAGAATCGATACCCTCATGTACAGAACATGGCTGACGTCGGGATGGTCCTTGCAGGCCCCCTCGGACGTGAAGTCCTGGGTGCTGCACAGATCATTTTCATGGTCTTCGTCTGCGGCAGTCATGTCCTCACCGGTTTGATCGCGTTCGACACCAGTATGTTGGCCGTCTAATTCGTTCGTTGTGATTGCTCATCGCGTCTGTCTCGTGTTCAGTCACCGCCGGCGCGTCTTGCTCCGTACTCTGGGCAGGCATCTCTGCCATCATCTGTCTCGTCCTGACAATTCCCCGGACGCTCGCTGGCATCTCGTACCTGAGCGTTGTATCATTCATTTCCATCTTGAGTGGGTTTGATTTTTGTGTCGTCAAGAATTCATTCCTGATGTCCAAACGACAGCCGCTGTTCTGATCACGATGATTGGCGTTGGCGTTGCTGGCCACAAGGGCGGCATCACTGCGCATGTCAACCTCGATTTTGCGAGTGCGTTCCTGGCCGTTACGGATATCGTAAGTGCAATACAGTTTGAACATCTCTTCGCTTGGTCTGATCATCCGTTGTCATTAGATTTTCGCCTACGCTGGACATGTCGCTTTCTTCACCTTCATCTCCGAAATGAAGAACCCCGAAGTGAGTAAACGCTGTCTAGCTCAACGCACCATTAACCTGATGGAATATACTCCCCAGGATTTTCCCAAGACACTTTGGGCACTTCAGATTGCAGACACAACACTATACCTCATCGTTGGCATCGTTGTCTACGCGTACGCGGGTGCCAGCACCGTTTCCCCTGCGCTCGGAAACACGGGTACCGTGCTCAAGAAAATCTCATATGGCATTGCACTCCCTACAATCATGATTGCGGGTGTCATCAACGGACACGTGTGCTCAAAGCTGGTGAGTCGAGTCCTGCATGCAATCCAACGGAGTATGCAGGATACTGATTCGCGCTGGTCTGCTGTGCCACGATAGATTTTCGTCAGAATGTAGGAGCTCGATCACAAGCGTCTGGTTATGTGACACTGACAGTGGTTCTTGATACGCAGATTCCGCCGGGATGATGGGAAAGCCTCCAGACACATGACGACGCATACATGGACCGGCTGGCTGGCATGGATCGGCATTTGCTTTTCAGTGTGGGCTGTGGCGTTTATCATCGCCGAGGTGTAAGTGTCTCGTGTGGTATCGTACTAGCCTATGAGGGTCGAGGAAGCTCACATTGATTGACAGGATCCCGTTCTTCAACGACCTGCTAGGTGTAATCAGTGCCATCTTCGCGAGGTAAGCGTGTCTTCCGCCTTCCTGAGTAGTCAGGACTCTGCTCATTTGTTACTTCCAAAAGTTGGTTCACATACGGCATTTCGGTGAGTTCCCTGCGCCTTCCCTGTGGGAGTTGGTGACTTACGTGGTTCACAGGGAATCTTCTGGTTCTGGCTCACTCCGCGCTCGGAGAGGTGGTCCACGCCATGGCAGAAAACGAAGGCCATCTTCTGGGGCTTCATCATCATGGTAAGTGACACTCCTAACCCTAGCTTCGTTCCGCGCTAACTTGGACTAGATGGGTGCATTCATCATGGTCGCCGGTCTGTACTCGAGTATCTCAGACATCGCCGATGGTGCGAGACCCTTTAGTAGATTTTCCATGTACAATTCTCACTAGTGTGCGTGTGCAGGATACCGGGACGGGTCGTTCTCAAGCCCATTCACATGCGCGGACCAAGTTTAACGAGATACCTACCTGACAGCATCCGATAGCTGCTGGAGAGTGTTTCCAAAGAAGCTGATCGTCATGACACGCACCAAGGACTTTCAATGTCTGTTCCGATGGCCCTTCCAATACCGGAGTTTTCGTTGTTGGACATGATGTTCCTGGAATGCCATTTATGACTATTTATGATGTCGCGGCATGGATCTAATGTAGAATACAATGTGCCTGATACGTGTATACCTCTCAACTGGGATGTAGGCTAATTCATTCTTTTGTCGTGCTTCGATGGATCGTGACACGGGCCATCCCCGCCCGTGTGATCGCCTCTCACCAGCTCCGCTCATGCCGTATTATCTCAGAGTGAGGATTCCTCACGTGAAAAATCCCTCGCTCGTGCGGCCCTTTCTTCGAGACTGAATGAACGAATGACGGGAAGTTGAAACCCACCGAATGGTTGTTAATCCCATGGCCATGTACACGATTCCCGTGATGATGTACTCCTTTCCGTATCTGATATACCACCCGGTGCTGTTATCTACCGTTTACGTGACTACATATCGCCCACAGCATCTCCACAGCCCACCAGAACTCACCTCACTTCGCAGGGTCGTGTCCAAAACGATATGTTGCACCGGTTGAATCCCTTCTGCGTTGGACGTGGTCATGCGATGCCCTTAAGTGGCGCATATCTTCTTGACTCAATTTACTCGAGTCCGCGCTACACCCTGCTTTCCCCATCCCGACATCTGCTTCACTTCATTCAGAACACAGTCCTCTGCATCAATATACTTTCTGGAGAGCTAGTGGGGTTTGTACGGCTACCTTGGGTGACACAACGCTTCTGTCCGCTCGCCACGGCCGATTGTCCACAAGTCTAGATCCGAGCCCGAGGTACGCTTCGCTCCCGAGTCAACGCGCGGGCAGTATTTGAGTGGCAAGGCGATTCTGAAACACTCGCAGAGCGCACGGACTCTCTCACTGTTCGCCATGATACGACCGAGCGTTTCAACCGACTCGCCCATCGAGGAGCAGCCTGCCATCGGCGTCATTGGCATGGGCGCGATGGGCACCATGTATGCGCACTATCTCGCTCTGGGAGGTTGGAAGAAGTGCGTGGATGATGTGTTTTACTGTTCTGATGCGCATCTCACTGATCTTTGTGCAGAATATATGTTTGTGACCAGCCAAGCGGATACGAGGCGCTCAAGGCAAAGTACGAAGGTGCTGTGCTGATAGCCGTTCTTCGACATAGGTGTGAATCTCATTTGTGCTGTACAGGACACGAGAGCATCACTGTGCTCCGGGACGGGCATCTTGTCTCACGGATAGCAGACTTCATCATGTATTCCGTCGAGGCGGAGTACATCGAGCGTGTCGTCGCTGAGTACGGTCCATGTATGCTGTGCCATTGCTGGAATCCATCAACGTATTCTGACACCCGCGTATAGCCACAAAATACGGAGCCATCGTCTCGGGGCAGACATCTGTCAAGGCCCCTGAGAAGATCGCGTTTGAAAAGTACCTTCCTCCGGACGTGGAGATCGTGTCATGCCATTCACTACATGGACCGACGATATCCCCGGTTGGCCAGCCACTAGTGCGTATTACTTTCTAATCCGCCTCGTTGCCATATCTCACGGGGAGTCCCAGGTTCTGATCCAACATCGTGCATCGGACGACTCTCTTCACCTCGTTGAGAACATCTTGCGGCCACTCAAGTCACGCTATGTCTATCTCTCCTATGAAGACCATGATGTTGTTACAGCAAACACACAAGCTGTGACCCACGCGGCATTCCTGAGGTACGATCTCTGCAGTAGGGGGATCATAAGATGCTGATCGTCATTTTAGCATGGGCTCGGCATGGTCGAACGAGATGGAATACCCCTGGGAGACAGGCAACTACGTGGGCGGTATTGAGACCGTCAAGGTAAATATCATGCTCCGCCTCTACTCAAACAAGTGGCACGTCTACGCCGGACTCGCGATCCTGAATCCCTCCGCGCGCATGCAGATCAACCAGTACGCGCGCAGCACGACCGAGATCTTCAAACTCATGCTCGCCGCGGACGACGCCTCGCTCCGCCGCCGCATCTATGATGCCCGCGACAAGGTCTTTGGCGGTAAGGCCAAGGACGGCTCCGTCACCACACGCGCGCCGATCCTCCTTTCCGAGGACATCCTCGACCGCTTCACCCTCGGGCAGCGGCCGTCTCGTAGCAACGGCAACGGCAGCTGCTCGCCGCAGGACAAGAAGGCGAACTCGCACCTCTCGCTGCTCGCGATGGTGGACTGCTGGGCGCGCCTCGACATCCAGCCCTTCGTGCACCTCGATCTCGCCGCGACGCCCATCTTCCGCATGCTGCTCGGCGTGTCCGAGTACCTCTTCCGCTCACAAGAGCGCCTCGACAATGCCATCAATGCTGCGCTGTACGACACGACCTACCGCGCAAACGACCTCGAGTTCGTCGTCGCCGCCAGGGGATGGAGCCAGTGCATATCGTTCGGCAGCTTCGAATTGTATCAACAGCGGTTCATGGCGGCGTCGAACTTCTTCGAGCCTCGGTTTGAGGACGCCACAAAGTTGGGCACGGCGATGTTGCAAGCAATCTCGGATAGCTCTCGGTCGTAGAGTTCGGTCATGCTTCCTTTCGTTGTATTTTGGATTATGAGCTTTCAGGATTTGGGGCAGCGAACTCGCAAGATGAAGCTGTCGCTGGAGCATGATGTAGGCTCCAGTCAAAATATATGAACCTACAGCCAACTACCTAAGAGGCAGCACCCCAGGTCCCCAGATTATATCGATACAGAAGATGTCCCCGTGGGGACTTTTGTTTCGTCGCTTCGTCGCTCGTCGTTAACGCACAGATAATAATGGACGATAAACAAATGCGCAAATGAGTGGGGAGCAGGGACTCCCATGCAAAGTAGTATGCGATGACGAGATAGCAAAGAGCAGCAAAGACGAAGGATATATGCTACAGTGTTACGCGCTGCTCATGAGTTTTTCGGGGTCGTATTTTGAGCGGAGGGAGGAGTGGAGCATTTGCTCGTGAAGAGCTTTTCCGGCAGGGACCTGCGTTTCGGTTAGCGCTCTGCACTTCCGGCCCATGCGAGCGGTGACACATACCATAGGGAATACGTGCTCGTTTGTCTCGACGAGACACTCTAGGAGTACCGGCCTCGACTCGTCGTATTCTAGGAACTCCTTCATCTTTTCGGGCAGCTCAGCAGCAGAACGACACCGGAGGGCGTGCACGCCCATCGCCTTCGCAAGGGCGACAAAGTCCGGATTCGTCATTCGCGTGTGTGCATACCGTGCGTCATAGAACAGATCTACGGACAGGAGCATCTGAGCGTCAGCGAGCGACTCACCGTGAAGGATAGCGTGAGCGCGCACCTTGCCACTGGAGCACCATTCCCTGGAACTCGTTATTGAGCACCATGACCTTGACGCCGATGTTGTACTGCGACGCTGTCTGGAGCTCCATGGCGGTCATGCTGAATGACGCGTCGCCGTCGATGTCCACGACGGTTTTGTGAGGCGCGCCGACCTTTGCGCCAATGGCTGAGGGCAGACCGAAACCCATCGTCTAAAACCAAAAAAAGGTCATCCCTCAAGATCGACAACTGCAGAGCTAATACGTACCCCAAGACCACCGGAGGTGACCAGAGAGCGTGGATACCGCCACCTATAATACTGCGCAGCCCACATCTGGTGCTGGCCCACGCCAGTAGTGACAATCACGTCCTCCTTCCTGTGTGCAGTCTGTCGATCGAGCTCCTCGATGACCTCCTGCGGCTTCATCAACGCACCCGAGCCATCCTTGCTCTTCTCATACGTGAACGGATACTCCGCCTTCCATTCCCTAATATTCCTGAACCACTCCTTCCTCGGCGACGAACGAATGAGAGGGACCAACGACGCGAGGTTCGCCACGACGTCCCCAAGCACGGGGATCTGCGCCTCGACGACCTTGTTAATGTTCTTTGGCTGAATCTCAAAGTGGATGATCCCGCCCCGACCCTCCGCAGCCGCCGCACGCGCAGCTGGTGCGAACTTGTCCACACGGCCCGTCACACGGTCATCGAAGCGTGCGCCGAGCGCAAGGATGACGTCCGCCTGCTGCATCGCGAGGTTGGCGTACGCGCTCCCGTGCATGCCCAGCATGTGCAAGCTCTTCTCGTCAAGCTCGTCGAACGCGCCAAGCCCTTGCAGCGTCGTCGTCACCGGGATGTTGCCCTGCTGCGAGAGCTGCTTGAGCAGCTTCGGCCCGAGGGAGGAGGAAAGCACGCCGGCGCCGGCGTAGATGATGGGCCGCTTCGCCTGGTTGATGAGGTTGGCGGCTTGCTGGATGAGGACCATGTCGGAGGGCTGGTCAGATTGCAGGGGGTTTGACGGGAGGCCCAGGGGCCGGCCGGGCGTGGTGGCCTTGTATGGAAGGGGCGTCTTCAGAACACCAGCGGTGATGTCCTTCGGAAGGTCCACGAGAACAGGCCCTGGCCGTCCAGAGGTCGCGATCTTGAACGCCTCGTTTATCCTCCGCGGAAGCTCAGCGACATCCTTCACCATGACGTTCCACTTTGTGCACGCGCGCGATATGCCAACCATGTCCGCCTCCTGGAACGCGTCCGAGCCGATCGCGCTGGTCGCGACCTGTCCGCAAAACACGACGAGGGGCACGCCGTCACTGAGCGCGTCCTGCATGGGCGTGACGACGTTGGTCGCGCCGGGTCCCGAGGTGACGAGGACGACGCCGGGCTTGCCTGTGACCCGCGCGTATCCCTCCGCCATGTGTCCCGCGCCCTGCTCGTGGCGGGGCAAGACAAAGTCGAACTGGGGGGAGTTGTAGATCGCGTCGAAGACAGGGAGGATCGCACCCCCGGGGTAGCCAAAGATGTGCTTCACGCCGTGCCGCACCATCATCTCGTGGAAGATCTGTCCGCCGGACATGCCCACGAAGGAGTGGTCGAGCGGGCCGTCGGCGTGCATGGACATCATCGGCGGTGGGAGGGAGACATTGTGCTTCGAGGGCAGCTGCTGGAAACCGGGTGCTGGTACGGGCCGTCTGCAATTCGCCCGTCTCAATGTAAATGGTCACTCGGAGTGCAAGAAACGGGTCACTTACACAGAGCCAGTCGCCGTCGCTTCGCGTACGGTCGAACGACTAATATTCCGCGCATGCTCGCGGACTCTTGACCTCGCCTCGAGCATGGACGAGCCTCCGCTCGTGCTCGCGGCGGTCGAGCGGGCGCGGACAAGGGTGATGGCGGAGGGATTGCGTGCAGCCGCAGGGGCGCGGATGCGCGAGGGAGCGAGGGCCATGGCTGCAGCAGCAACGGCGGCAGCAATGGCGAGGACGAAGGAGGGGGAAAGGAGAGAATGACTTGGGGACTTGGAATGAGTGCATTCTGGAGCGCTCGAGTCATTTCGATCAGCTGACTCAACACGGGGGTAACCCCACGTCCATATATGGAAGGAGCTGTATTGTATGCACAGTTACAGGCAAAGAGTCTATTTTGCCCTGTTTGTGACACTGTAATAGGCACGGCATGCTTGCGTCTACGCGCTGCATCGAAGGCCCACACGCTATGGAGGATTCTGTCCGTTCGGCGATCTCGCTGGCGCATAAGTATTGGCGAACTTTGTCCGCGCAGGCGCGGAGTCGGCGTATGCACACTGCCGACCGTCTCAGAGCGCACGCACACGTATGTGGATGACCACTTCCTCCGCAGGATAACCCTACAGACCGCGAGCGAGGGTGCAAGGTCAGCAGGACACGGGCCACGGCGGCGCTGTATGAGGCCAGTTACATGTGTGCAGCTTCTTTGCTAATCTGATCATTGACCAGGTCATAGACGTCATGGGCACATTCAAAGCATCGAAAGCGAGCAGGTCAGCAGGACACCACACGGTGCATCTGCAATTAAAATGTACTATGAGCAGCTATAACGTGCTATAGCCGCTCGTAGTATATTTTAATCGCATGTGCTTGCTTGTGACGACGCAGTGGGTGGCCAGTTCCATGTGTGCAACTTCTTTGCTAATCTAATCATTGTTCAGGTCATAGACGTCGTGAGCACATCCAAAGCGTCGTCCGCTCTACAAAGCAGTCGACTTTCCTAAATGCAACGTCCCGAAGGCATCGCACAGATATTTATACCCATCGCGTCGACGATCTGCCGTAGCGACATCCCGAAACGGCAAGTTCTGCGGCCATCATCGTCCACACACCCGCGCACATCATCGCTCAATGTGATGGCTTGGCTCGCCCCAGGAGACCAGAAGCCGCACAGCGTCACGACCTCAAAACCGCCCGGCTCCAGGTGTCTTGATCGACCACGCAACCGGCCGCCGAAGGTCTATCAGCATGCTCTACCGTGGTCCGTGCATACCTTGACCAAGCCACCTTCCGTACCGCGAAGAAGAAACGATAAAGTACGCCGCGTCTCATTAATCCCAGTACAATCTACCTACATACATAGAACACGGCGGTAACTTCTAAGCTAGTCGTGTCAGCGTCGTGAATATAGATACAACGGCCGGCAGGCCCTGCGTCGAACCGTAACCGTCCTTCCTTTTTCGCACCTAGTCCGAACCTCCTCTCAAATGTATCGCAGGTGCGAGTCCGCAATGTTCGACCAGCCTCACGGCATCCCCGGCGGACCATTCTTGTCGCCGCGGCTCGTCGATGTGGACAAGGGCGCGACCACCACGGCGTCCCCGCCCTTTCCCTCCACGACCTCATCCACCCTCACGGTAGTCTCGCTCCCATCATTCTTGCCCAAATTCCCGCTGTCCTCCCTACTTCGGCTGCGCCATCTCGAATCGCTCGTCCTCATACTTGTCGGCACGCCCGACGTCCGCGTATCCGTATGCATACTTGTACGCCTCGGGGCGGGTAACGGCTGCGGCCGGGTACTGCCTCAGCTTAGACGATGGACGCGCCCGGATAGTACACGAGAGCCTCACCTGCATGACCACAGTGTCCTCGGAGAAGGTCGACTCCTCCGAGGCGGAGGAGGATGAGGAGTGCGAGCGCCGCGACGCGCGCGGGCGGTGGTGTGGGTGCGCGGCCCGGGCGCGACGGGCGGTGCGCCGCTGTTCGCGAGCGCGCTTTCTGCGTTTGTTGCGGAAGTGGACGTAGCAGACTGTGGAGATCACGCCGCCGATGACGAGCACTGCGGCGGCCGAGCCGATTGTGAGCATGTGTGAGATGATGGGGCGTGGCTGCTTACCGACGACCACGATGACCGCGATGACCCAGCCTGCGCTCTCTGGTGTGCTGACTTGAGCGCCGTCGTCGTCACCGTCGTCGCTGGTTGTGGCGAGAGAGCAGGGTGAGTCCGAGAGCCGAGGCGGGCAGATCAGCTGACTTACTCTCTCCGGAGGAGCGGGGCGGCGGCAGATAGCGTCGGGAGGAAACATGGGAGGAGGGCCGTGGCGGTGCGCATGGAGGAGAGTGTGATCGTGCGGGGCATCGTTTGGAAGGGGCGGGCGCACGGGAGAGGACGGCGCAGATGCTGCGGAGAGGGGAGGGGCGAGGCGGAGGGGTTGCAGGAGAGAAGGGAGGGGAGATTATATGAGAGAAGGGTCGCCAAGAGTGCAGACGTACGGCGCCCTGGGAGGCGCTTGGCCTGCCAAGGCGTGCAGTGCCAGCAGGTCGTACAACGAAGGCTTGGAGTATCGGTGCATCGCGCGAGGTCCGATGCCCAGCTTCCCGCGGGGATGATTGAGCACATCATCATGGCCGGAGTGCGCACATGGAGAAGGGATTGGCGACGCGGAAGAGGGCAAGCGTGGCACGAGGAAGACTCGGCAGCGGTGACGGGACGTGATGCGTCCAGGAGGCTGCAGATACGAAGCGAGATGCACGTCAGCATAGCTCGGACGATATGCTCGGCAGAACGGCGCAGTCGCCCTGGGCAGTCTGCGCATCCGCTGCACGGCCACGCCCAGAAGCAGAAGTGCTCACTACATGTCTGGACGGGCGCCCGCGCCGAGTTACACGAATTGACTTCGCGAATCCTTGCGTCCGAGGTTACGACGCTTCGTAGATATCTGTTCATCAACGCTCAGCGCGCGGCACGGTGTGGCCGCGCGAGGAGGGAAGTGGTGGCGTCAGGGAGACGGCTTGGACAGCGGCATCCGCGGCCCGCCTGCCCACAGGTCTTGGCAGAACAGTTTCGATCCGATCGATGCCCCCGCCGAATGAAATCTCCCGCGTTTGCGTGCACGACGACAGCCGCGACGATGATCAGCGCGCGCCACAACGCGAGCATGCGCACGCGCACTCAATCGACGATATCCCCCGCCGCGGAGTGCCTCCTCCTTGCATCACGTGCGCGCTCGACCCGTACAAGCCCTCTTGTCGCGCATCTACCTTTACCCGTAGCCATCCTTGTCCTTGCCCCTCCTCGTCCCGCCGGCCCAGACAATGCTCGCAGCAGCCACGCGCACCCTCCCTCGCGCCACCCTCTCCCCAAGCACCCTCGCCGCGCGCACGACCGCGCTCCGCACATACTCGACAGCGATGGCCGCCCCCGAGGCGTTCGTCGCCCAGGGCAAGAAGGTGCGCGGCGCGGAGACTTCGTTCGTTCATGGTGTGATTGATGTGCGCCACGTAGATCGTCGCGATCGGGCGCAACTATAGCGAGCACATCAAGGAGCTCAGCAACGACGCACCCACCGAGCCCATGTTCTTCCTCAAGCCCACCACCAGCTATCTCCCCTCTGGCGGCAGCGTCGAGATACCCCAGGGCGTCCTCGCCCACTACGAGGGTGAGCGCCCCCTTCTCCACCCACTCGCGCGCACACTCACGCACGCACGCACGCGAACACAGTCGAGCTCGGCCTCGTCGTCGGCAAGACCGGGCGCGACATCGCACAAGCCGACGCCGACGCCCACATCGCCGGATACGGTGCGTGCTTTCGCGTCCTCATCCTCGCCGCACCGGACGCAGACACGAGGCGCTCATCACCTAGCTCCCTGCAGCGCTCGCGGTCGACATGACCGCGCGAAACATGCAGGACGTCGTCAAGAAGAAGGGACACCCGTGGAGCGCCGCCAAGGGCTTTGACACTTTCACTCCTATCAGGTGCGTCCTGCGCATCCGCGCGGAATGCTAGATGTTGAATCGCCGACGCCTCATAGCGCGTACGTGCCCAAGACCGCGCTCAAGGACCCGAACGACCTCACGCTCACGCTCAAGGTGCGTCCGTAAGGATCTCCGAGACTCGAAGCGCACCTAACACCCCGCGCGCCCAGGTAAACGGCGTCACAAAGCAGAACGGCAACACGAACCAAATGATCTTCAAGATCCCGCGCATGGTCGAGCACATCTCATCCATCATGACCCTCGAGGTGCGTTCCGTCTCCATCCCTTCGACAAAATCCTGGACACGTTTCTTGACTAACCCCGCTCCCCGCCAACCTGCAGGCCGGCGACCTCATCCTCACAGGCACGCCCTCGGGCGTCGGGCCTCTCGTCCCAGGCGACAAAGTCGAGTGCACCCTCTCCGACACCACCGGCCACACCCTCGCCACACTCACCTTCAACGCCATCCAGCGCCAAGGCGGCTACCGCTTCGCGCCCGCGTCAAAATAGAGCAGGCATCGCGAGACTCGCATTGACGGAAGCGTAAACGGAGGCAAAGGGAGCTACACGACTACATTACTATGCGGTGTACAGCGCACACGGTCGGTACGTACTGACAGGCAGGACACGAAACTATGTATGGAGAAAAATAGAACGACGGAATAGAGTACTACGTACGGATGAAGTTGCAGCGAGCCGTGCACTAAGACCTGCCCGCGGGAGCAGCGCCCTGCGCCTGAACCTGAGTCCGTTCCTCCTTGTCCTTCGCCGCCTCGGGCGCATCGAGCGAGCCCGTGCTCGAGCCCGCAAAGCTCCAGCTGTCCGCCATCGTCGGCGTCAGCGTGCCCGCTTCGCTCTCATGCTCGTGCTCGTGCTCGTGCTCAGGCTCTTCTGCGCTCTGAAAGTCGCCAAAGTCGAACGCGCCGTCGTCCGGCGTGTCCGCGCGGAAGGTGAACGGGTCCGTCCCGCTCGCGGCAGCAGCGTCAGAGAAGGGGCCGAAAGCGTCAGTGTCCGCGTCCTGCGAGAAATGCGTGAGTTAGATAGGTGAAGGAGGGACGGATGATGGCGTACGTCGTCGAAGGGGTCTTCGTACGGTGCGGCGTTCGTGGTATTTGAGGGCGCGGTCGTAGATGGTGTGAATGAATCCTGTACAGTAGAAAGACACGATGAGCGTGTTGTTCGACTCGGGTCAAAGAGAACATACGTCGAACCCATTCGAGCTGAGTGGCCTGCGGCCGTTGTC